AAACAAGTGAAACGTCGGTGACGTCAGCGAATATTCTGTTATATTTTTCGTTGATACGAGTCCGAAGACAACGAGGTTAACAGTGTCCCGCCCGAATTTCAGACTGGTCGCGCAGGACGCATGTGTGTGCGCGCGCAGTCGGTGGCGTTATGAGAGACACCTGGAATTTGAGCGGAGGCGTTGTGTAAATTTGACCCTGTATTTACTATGTTGCGAAAATTTAAATCTTTCTAAAATTTTTGACAAAGAATTGCTTATTGAAACGTAACGTTACCAGGCATACCTTGAGTTGGGACCTTGGGGGCCGTCCATAAATTACGTAACCCTCTTTGGGGGAGGATGGCTTGAGGAAAGCGTTACGCTTTTTTGTTTTTGCAAGTTAAAGGATTAGGAGCTACGTCTTTAATGCGTTTAAAAGAGGGACCGGGGGGGAAGGGGTGTCAAAAATGCCGAAAAAGTGCGTCAAGTAATTTATGGGCAGACGAAAATTCTCCGCGTGGGCACTTACCTATGAATCAGTGGCAAAGTGTAAAACATCTTTTCGGCTAACCAGTTGTACAAGAGGAGTCGCATTGTACGCCCTGAAGATAAGCGGGCACAGAGCGAGAAACGCGCATTGGCACCAACAAACCTAACAGGGATACTTCACGCATTGCGCAATGCGTGAAGTATCCCTGTTAGGTTTGTAGGAGCCAGTGCGTTGCCGCGCAATGCGTGAAGTATCCCTGTTAGGTTTGTAGGCGCCAATGCGTCGCCGCTCCACTTTGTGTTAGGCTCTAATATTTAATCTCGCGGAGTCAGCGTTTTTCAACTCATGATTTTGAAATGTTTGCACACTCTGTATGGACCATCTCATTTTAATTGATGAAAAAACAATATGTTTTAAAGGAAAACATAATGTGTGTTTTGTAAATATCAGGGTAGTTCCGTATCAAACTTAATGATTTCCAAAGCACACGAATTTCTACACAATTTCTTATAGCCTTTTATAGCCAATGGCGATAAAGTGTGCGATAGGAACTATAGCCCGACTGTATACTTTTTTATAGCTTTGTATAGCCCGGCCATATGATTTGCTCCGCTTTCTACAGCCAGCTATATGAGTTTCAATAGTCTTCTTTAGTCGGCTATAAGAACTCCTATAGTATTTTGAAACGCAGCTCGTATCGCCAATTTTTACCAGGGATTCTTTATGATTCTTTGATTATGTGTGTGTCATGACACACATGATTTAGTTCTTGAGGTTCATTTTCTTCAAAATTTTTAGAATTCAATCAGCAATCAAAAGTACCAGGTACATCGGAATTTCTTGTCAGGAACTCGGTCAACTGAGACAGTTTTAATGCGAAATGTAGCTGTATAATTTCAATCAAGACTTTTCATTCCAAGTCTTCGTATATTAAGACAAGATCGCAGGCTTTTTCGCAGTAAAAGTAACCCTAAAAGCCTCTAAGTCATCATGAAAAGAATCGCTGATAGAATGCCACCTCAGTCTCTCTGTTTTCTTGTCTTTTAAAAAATCCTGGCACGCATTTCGATCAGATGTTTTTAGCATTGCGCCATCGCAGTAGAAAGTAAAGCTACAATTGTTCGTTCAAATTAGAGAAATTGGCACACATTTCGTAGATTGTTGGGAAAATTCTCGACTGAGCATCCGTTTCGGTTTCGGGCATTGTTTACTTAAAAATCCCTTTGCCCTCTATTTTTCTCTCCCCCCCCCCCCCGGTCTTTTACTTTTCAGTCTCCTAATGGACCGCGTTTAACAGAAAGGAATCAAGTCGCATCAGCTATTGCCAAATTTTATTGGGCATTTCAATTTTTTACATGGAAACCGTTGTCCGAATGATTGCGCAAATTTCAGTGAATTTTCTGCTTTGTACGAACCAAATGCCTTTAAATTTTCAAAGGAATCCGCACAGACGTTCTTTTGTAAAAAAAAAAAAATAAAAATAAATTTCTCAGTTAAATTTTGCAATAGCTGATGTGGCTTGGTTCATTCCTGCTGAACGCGATCCAAGTGATGTAACCCCATTTTCAATCGGGTTTTTAGCGTATACCTACCTACATACAGTAATAAAACATAATTACCTACCTACCTACTTAATTGGGTGTACTTTATGCACTTCGGAAAATGAGTTTGGCGCTCACTTATACTTACAGGCACAAATAACGTGGATTGAACTCGAAATCGGAGAATGTTTTTAAGTGTTTAATCCTAAGACTATAACCAGGCTCAGTCTTACTGTATTACACGTCACGTTTTCCCTCTTCTTTAAATTTTTTTTTTCTAAATAGAAAACCAAGAAACATAATTTTGTACCCTCAATATTCTAAGGCAGGATGTTGTATAATCTTTAGTGAGAAAATACAACATGCGGAGGAAATCAGAGGGCTCGTATCGCGTTTTTGCCTCTGATTTTGTTGTTATTATTATTTTGGTTTTTTTCCTCTCTTCCAAACGTCTATACTACCACGCCTTCGTCGCATAAAATAAAAATGTGTTGAAACACTGCTACCGGAAGTACGCGAAATAAAGTTTCCCTAAAAATGAGGCAACATCAACGCTGATCTTCGGGTTGACTAAGGTATTATTTTTACCTTGCTCACATCAGACATTCTTATGAAGAATGACGGCGCGGTGAAGTTTAAATTCCTCGCGCTGATGCCATTTCCCACCTAAAATTCAGAATTTACCTCTCATTTTTCGAGATGACTTTTCAGAATTTTTGCTCCGCCTGGCACTGTCGGTATCTCGCTCTATTTTCTTGTTTCCGTTTCAAGGCCAGTTCTATTTTTTCTCTCTCGTCTCTTCCTTGCTCCGCCTTCGCTTTGAGCTCAACCCTTTCGTTTACATGTGATATTTTCCGCCGCAGCATAGCTCGTGGAGCTTACGATAATTAGTCAAGTAACTATATTTTTAGACAGTAAGGTAGGTCCAAACCTCAGGGTCTAATGATAATGATCAAAAAATAAAATCACGAGGGATTTTTTTCGTCAACTCAAGGTTTTTTATCTGTAAAATTCAATGTTTTCAAGAATTTTGATTTTAAAGACGCTCAAAAAGTGGAAAGTTTTAAGAAAGCTTTGCGAAGAAAATTCCTAACTTTCGCAGGAATTTAGGAACTTAAAAAATCTATCATAGGTAGAAAATTTTGCAGTTTTTTTGTTTTTTTTATTTTTCTCGTTTTTATGCCCTGCACTGGAAAAAAAACACATTGGATCTAGAGTCCAGACTCTTAAAAAGAGACTCTTGATTCAATCAGACTCTAGCTTAAATCAAGAACCAAACATCTTAATCTAAGCGGATTTCGTTTTGATTCAAGCAAAAATCCAATTGAATCAAGAGTATTTTTTCTTGTCAATGTTTTCAAGAGTCTGGACTCTAGATCCAATGTGTATTTTTCCCAGTGTGCTCGACGATTTTAAATTAATTTCCTTTTTCAATACTCTGAGCTCTACGGAACTTCAATTTTTTAGTTTTGACGATTGGCAGGTGCTTAACTCTAGATGAGCCCGTTGTGTTAAAATTTTCGAATTATGTTTTTTATCACTGCAAAGCGGTCATTTGAAACCGCGAAGCATATATGAAAGGCACAGCCTGAGAAGTCCCCTAGTTTTCTTTAATTTTTAGATCGTCCAAAAAATCTCTGAACATTTCAATGCCAATTTCATCAGTCATGACCATTTTCATCGTGTAACTCGATTGTATCAATCATCTGCTTTTGGACTCGTTCCTAGGTGTATATACGAACAAACCGGCAATTTGTACAATAATAGTTATGCAGGTGCGCAGTGACCTGTGGGTTGGGCACCAGAGTCTTTAGAAGGCGTACCTCACTTTTCTTTTGTAACATGTCGCTCGTGTCAATCTTTGAAAAATGTTGCTCGGACCATTAGCACGGTCATAATGATACATCCGCATTGCTGCGCAGCACTTTAGGATCGTCACTGAAGTTCGCCTTCAAAGAGTCAAATAGGCAATTTCACGACCCTCGAGTTAAAATAGTTATCTATTCGACGCCTTCCATAGTGTGTGAGTAAAACATAACGCAATTCTTTGTCATTTCGTTTCCCTCTTATTCTTCTTTATATTGATTTTTTTTTTTTTTTTTTTTTTTTTTTTTTTTTTTTTTTTTTTTTTTTTTTTTTTTTTTTTTTTTTTTTTTTTTNGCGATGTTTTGGCCACGAGGATGCCCAGCCACTTGCTCGGGTACCGCGGGGTCGCCAGCCCTCGAAAGGGCCTCCCATACGACATTGAGGTCGCCCCTGAGGTCTATTATTGATTATTATTATTATTATTATTATGTGAGGTTGCGAAGAAGCAATGTTTCCCAATGCAAAGTATGTTTTTTTTTGTAAACCAGCCTCGTTGATCGTTTTGTATTGAAATTTGACCGTCTTCAGGAAAATAAAACCTTGGTAGCAGGAGACTAATTTTTTTAGGGATGCTATCCCCGTCAAGTTTGGTTGAAAATTTAGAATTTGAAAGTTCAAAATAATACTTACCGTTTAGTTTTTTTGAAAAACATGTTGCGAGTGGCTTAATTTTTTTTGCCGGATAGTGACGCTTTATCGCAATTTGAAATTTTTTCTTTGACATCACAAAAAAAAAAATCTTGGAGCAGTTTTTTATTATAACTTTGTTTTTCCAACTGATTGCTGAAGATTGCTTGAAATCACGATTCCAATCTGGTTTGACATGATTTTGCCTTTATTGAAATGTTAGTAGTTTGAGTCTCCTAGACACAGAATCAAACAGTCTGTAATTGAAATATGAGTCGATAAGTTCAATTTCAGTTTACACATCTCAGGAGTAACATTGAAATAATATAAATTATTATATTATCATAATAACCCTTTTGTCAGGCTTCCTTAACTTATATTCACATATATTTAAGTGCTGATTTATCAGTAGGTACATCACTAGCGGTGTAGTACAACGTACGTGCCAGCAACTACATTAATAGTTTCTAATTGCAATTTTCGTTTCTATGTTTCAGCCGTACCGCACATCTCCATTGGTATTGCCCGGCGCCAAAGTCAAGAAGGACAAACCCTACACAGAGTCATACTTACGCCACCACCCGAATCCGGCCATGCGAGCTGCCCCCGGACATTACGACCCCTCACAAGAAGTTTTAATGAAGCAACGAGTAAGTTTTCTTTTATTTAAAAAAAAGAGTTTCAGCCTTCTTTCTCTGATTGTTTATTAATGGACCAGTCGCGCTGGTCTCAGAATCGTGTTTCGACGCTTGATTATTGTAGATCAACTAAAAGTAATAAGATCTGTCCAAACAGCAACTGTTTACTCGTACGTTCAATATCAACCGAGATGTCGTCAATCGGTGAGCCGCTCATTTGCTTGACCACTCAACATGATACTCGCGGATGAAAGCAAGGCGTAAGGAACCAAGGTTGTCACTGCCGCGGTGGATTACGTTGCAGACCGAATTTTTCATTGCGCGAAATCCTTATGTTAATAACGAATGTAAAGAGTTGCCGTTTGGACAGATCTTATTTTTTGGCTAATTTATAAGAATCAAGCACTAAAACACAAATACTTTAAAAACAGGAGTGAAAAATTGAGAATGGGCCTGTTGCATGCAAGAGATACAGCCGTGCGAATAGACTTTTCAGAGGTTAAATGACACGAAAATTACGATGGTCACATTAAAAAAGTCTGAAATACACTCCTTACTGCGCAATTTGCGTTGTTAGGAACGCGCTTTTTCAAATTTCCCGCGTCTAGGGGCAGTTTTCTAACGGAAACAATTAACGGCAACTCGCGGCCATTTCCGGTCAACTAAAACTGACAACATAACCTAAAAATCGGAGCTCGTGATATTGTGAAATAAAATGTAGGAGGATTGCGTTGGATATTTAAAAGTTGATCGATTTGGTTAGCGCATAAAGCGTAAATGGACCACTATAAGAGATCACGTTGGGTTTGTAAACAAACTGAAGGATAAAATAACAACAACAAGAACGACTCGATATCTTCCGGAAATCACCGAGTCCGCCGTTTGTTCGTTTCCGGTGATTAGAAAACTGCCCCCAGACGCGGGAAATTTGAAAAAGCGCGTTCCTAACAACGCAAATTGCGCAGTAAGGAGTGTATTTCAGACTTTTTTAATGTGACCATCGTAATTTTCGTGTCATTTAACCTCTAAAAAGTCTATTCGCGCGGCTGTATCTCTTGCATGCAACAGGCCCATTCAGCATTTTATAAGTTCTCGCGCTCTTGTTTTTACATTCAAAATGTTAAATCAACTTCACTTTTTTTTCGGTGATGATTCTAAACCCTCTGAGAAAGTGACGTAACTTAAAACCATCATTTCACAACCAGACATAGACTGCCGTGCTAAGGAAAAACGCCGTATGAACCTTCAGACGTTGCCAAATGTCTATTTATAAAACAGGAATACCTGGTAAACTTGTGAATGTTTTTCTTCCAATTTTTCAGATAATGTTGTTTGCAATTTCACCTAAAGTTCCTGAACATTTCAAGAGAAAATATACATAACTTTCCTCAAAAATGAACATTTTGTCGAAGGAAATTCGGCAACTCTAGGATGCTCCTACGGCGTTCTGCCTTAGCACGGCAGTAAAGCATGAAGTACTTCACATTAGACAGTGCCTATAGAGAATGTAATTTGGATGTGAATTGGACACATTTCTGTCTTACGGAACTATGTGCGTCATGACGTGAGCCGTGTTATGCACATATTCTTATGGGTCTCAGGGCTCATGTCTTAATGCACTTAGTTCCGTTTGATAGAAATACGTCAAATTGAATCACTCTTCATTGACTCCGTGAGCCTTAATCCTCATTGTCTATTTTGGATTAAGGGACATGTGTAAGATTAGCTCCCGTCAATGACAGTAAGCCTTTAATGCGGCATTACAGTAAGTGTATGAGCTCTCTCGTCAGTCAGTACTCCAGGCTCAAAGACGGATTTTGTAGGCAATATCTTTCTTATCGTCTTTGAAACTATGTTGACTCAAGCACGTCAAAAAAAGGTGTCTATTTCCTGCTGTTATACTTACATCTCGCGTTGATACAATGCAAGAAACTGTGAATAGATTACAGTCTTTTGACTGACTAAATGAACCAGAGGGACGTATTTATGCTCGAAGGAACTATTTTGCATTGCTGCCCGCAAACCCAATGCACATGGTTATTTTTAGCATAAATGGACTGCATTTTGCAATTTGGAGCTATAAATTCTGGCTCTTCTTGAAAAACGCTTACGTGCATAGGGAAACTAATGGCACATACGTTGTTTTTAAACCGGGCTAGAATTTATAGTTCCAAATTGCAAAATGTAGTCCAAATATACGTCTAGGTATCATATGGTAGGATGCGGAAATATGTATGAAATGAGATAACCATACCTCAGCTTAACGGAGTCAATTTTTCGTAATGTTCTGCGAAAACACCCCAAAATTCTAGTATTGAGCCTTTGCGTGCATTATAATGTTGGAAAAAAAATTCATCGCGCATTCGAGAGTAACACTGCTGGGGCTGTTGCCTTCTTCAGAAATATTTCAATCGGAAAGCTGAATGACATATAATGCGCATCATGATTTGAAATTTCTACCCAATGTTTTTGCGGCTATTAAAAGCGTCTGAATTGAAAACTTGGAACTCAATATTTTTAATCCAAAATCGGGTTTTTTCAATCGGTACGGACAGAACAACGTAGAGTTTTCATGTTGAGGTTTTTCTGCCTAACTCCATCAAAAATCCATCTACCATGTGTTTTTCTGCATACACTGGAAAAAAAACACATTGGATCTAGAGTCCACACTCTTGAAAACATTGCCAAGAAAAAATACTCTTGATTCAATCAGATGTAAGCTTCAGTCTTAAGGAAATCCGCTCAAATGAAGAGGCTGGGTTCTTGATTTAAGCTTAAATCTGATTGAATCAAGAGGATTTTTCCTTATCGATGTTTTTCAGAGTCCGGACTCTAGTTTCAATGTGTTTTTTTTTTTTTTTTCTCCAGTGATATTTATACTGTGGCAAAGCATATTTTATAGATTGTATGCCCGCAGTAATTTGTCACGTTAAAAATATTGTAAAATACTGAACACAGTTTTTGTGATTAGAAAAAACACGAAGGCATTACGCAGAGAGAATTTTCAACAAAAAAGTTTGGTTAATACGGGAAGTAAAACATAATATAACCCTATTCTTTGGTTGACAATTTCAAGCGAAAATGACGGCTAGTTTTCTTGAAGAAATTTAATAAAAAAAAAACGCGTGGTGAATACTGACGTCGCAATCGGATGAATGTATTTTCTCAGTCTTTTCATCGTTTTCTGCGGTATAAATTCACCGTGAACCGTCCCAAAATCACAAAATTTGTGTGGGTTTGTGTTTACAACTTCTCATATTATCAAAAAGTAACACAATAACACAAATATTTATAAGTGTATGAGTTGTGAACACAATAAACGAATAAAGAAAAATAGCAATGTTTTTCTCTTAGCACGGGGCGAAAGATGCGTACAAATAAATTTGTCCAGTCATTCCTCTCTTTTCGCAAGAAATCGAGTCCAAACAAAGCTATGAGCTCATCACACGTTCTCGTCCGAAAATTGTCAGATCGCCCAAAAAAGTTACCGTCACTTTCAGAGCTTCCCGCGCCAAGCACCTTTCTTGGCAGAATCTCCACGAACGGAAGTGTTGACTGTTGAGATCGGTGTGTCTGTGTTTTCCGATGAACGGGTGTGTTTTCATGGCATGCTCGTATCGGTGTAAATTTTGCTCATTGGGGGAATTTTGGCTCGGAGATAGACTAGCTCCGTTTGAAATACGCCACGGGTCATTTTATAAATGTATGCCAATTTGTGTCTCCTTTAACATGAAGTCCCATCATTCCTCGGTTGGTGTGCATCGGTTCATCATTAGATAACGTTTTGCTCGTTATGTAATAATTCTGTTGCCTACCTTTGCCGAGCGAAAATTTCAGTCATTTTCACGGAAAATGACCAAAAAAATTACGATGAACGCATCGCGAAGAATTGGAATCCACTCTCAACCTCAGGGCCGGATTTTCCTACTCGCCGCCCATGGGCCGCCTGTATTTTGCCGCCCCCTTCTCATTCGTTTTGAAACATCAATAAAAACCATCAAGTGAACGTGCCAGCGGGGGAGGGGTGATAAGACGCGTTTATTCGTGTTGAACACATTTTTGGGAAAGCCCTGTCAACACTACTAGCAAAAGGTCGCGGAACTTTGCGTGAAAGTCAAGTCTCGTAAACCTATCTCTAATGGACAAGGCCTTCCATCCATAAGATATGAACGAAAAAATTATGAAAGAACAAACACAAAATGGTTTAATGATTTTAACTTCCGCCGCCGCGCCGCGCCGCGCCGACCGCACCGTATTTTACGCGCAATGCGTGAAGTATTCACACAGTCTTGTAGGCGCTATGCGTTTCACGATGACCGCACTGTGTTTGGTGCAATGCGTGAAGTATTCAAGCATTCTTGTAGGCGCTATCCGTTTCACGCTGACCACAATAACCGCACTGTGTTTGATGCAATGCGTGAAGTATTCGTGCAGTCTTGTAGGTGCTAAAATGTGTTACATGCCGATTGCCGCGCCGAGGGCTCCTCCTTTTCATCTCAAGTCCTCGTCATCATTCCTCCTAAGTCGCGCCGTTCCAGGCCAAATTGTGTGTTTGGTTTCTCTCTTTACTCGACTAATTAAAGGTGCTGTCTCTTGTATCACTGAAAGGCGACAAAATTAGAAATTACTATACTCTCAGGAAAAGAGAGATTTTGTAGCCTTTTCTCGTTTGTAATTTTTTTTTCTAAAACCGATTTTTTTTATACCTACATTTAAATAAATTGCAAAATTTGCCGCCCCCTAGATTTGCCGCCATGTGGCCACCCCCTTAATTCGGCCCTGCTCAACCTCACTTGCAATCTGCATAAGGAATTCGCGCACTTTTGAGCTTCACACTTCAAAAATTTTACTATGGTAGAAGATACATCTATGGTCAACGTGCAAAACCACGTATTTGCGTTTGTGACGTTACAGACTTCCTGTCATACTTCATTTTTTTTCTGGGAAACTAGTAACTGTATACTCTTGAAAACTTCCATGATTATTCTTTTTTGTTAGCAGAATATTCGCGGTAAATTTCAAGCTACCGAGTTTCTTTGTTCTCCTGCGAAAAAATAAAAAAGGATCGTAAACTCTGATACATCGCAATTGAGATACATCGTTTCGCACTTCAGGCATCGAAATTTTGAGATAGATGTGTCTATTAGGTTTCGCAGCTCTACGTGTACCGCAAAATGGCTGTCAGCGTGTGACGTATTTCCTCGAACGAACGACAAAATTACCTCCACTCATCATGAATCCAATTATGATACAGTAATATTTTTTGCATTTCTTGTGCATTTATGGGTAGATTTTCTCTTCTTTGTTTTGCTGTCTCAGACTATAATATTTTTTACGTGTTCCAGGTTGCTGACACTATCATCCACAGAGTAGGACACGATGACGGAAAAAACGTAAGTTTCAATTTTAAAAAATCTTGTCACCAATCACACAGTTTTCTGCTAAAAATTTGAGCGTTAATTTTGAAAAAAATCCTTTTTGGAAGTTCGCTTGGAAAATGAGTTATTCAACCACTTACAAACTTATTTTCCCCAATCTTTTTTTAACAGTATCCAATTTTTCTTTTCTCGCCAACGCAAAAACCACTTCGTAGAGTTCCATCTCAAGGAAGAAAAGACCTATGATTAATGCTTTTTTTCCAAGCATGATTTTTTAAAACAAGATTTGTTTTACTTTCCAGATCGTCAACAAGCAATATAACACTCCTATTGGATTATACTCAGAAAAGAACATAGCTGATTCTATTCAAAGCCAGACCGGTCAAGGTTTCGGGCCTACGCCGTAAGTATTTCTTACAAATATCTTTTATTTTAGTTGCCTCTCTTTATTGTATTATATGAAGCTTTTCCTCCTATGAACTTTGTTTTAGGAACTTTTACTCTTTGTCTGTAGCAGGTAAATCCAGTCTTCCTTAGGTTGGTTTTCATGAAAAAACTAATGTTCCGTGCCCCCTTTAAATGCGAAATGTGTTTCAACTTTTATTCCTGAAAACACTCCTGAGACTTAAAGTCGTGCCCAATTCTAATGAGACGAGTGCCATGCATTTAGAGCTTTTTTTTTTTTCTTTTTCCCCCTTCTTCCTAATAAACTCACATGTTATACTATGCTTAAGCTGACACAAGTTAATTACCTTTAACCGTTTTCTTTAATTCGCCAATTTTGACCTAATTTTACAAGAGGCAAGTATTTATTCAACAGCTGTTTAACTACTCTAGTATCCCAAGTAGCAGTGATCGCAATAAATAGCGATTTTATCGGTTGATTTTCGCGATTATATCGGTGGCAATTTATCGCAATATTATCGAATAAAAAATTGCGATTTATGGTGATTAAATCGCTATGCGTCGCAATTTTTTGTTCAATAAAATCGCGATACATTTTCGTTGATAAAATCGAGATTTAATCACCATATCTCGCGATTTTTGTTGCGATAATATCGCGATAAATTGCCGGGCAATAAAATTGCGATTTTATTGCAATAAGATCGAGGATAATCGCTCAGATGTTGATGATCTTAGCGATTTTATCGCCGACAAAATCGCAACAAATCGCGATTTTTCCGTTGAAAAATGCTACTTGGGATCCCAATTTTTCTCCGTAGCATGGAAATACTTTCTTCTAGATTGGAGTATTAATTATTTTATGGTTTTATGTATTAGGAGTGAAGAGCCCTCTAGTCCTCAAATTAGTTACCCAGGTTCTAAAACAAGGCAAGTAAAAAGATATCGTAAATCATAAGCCTCCGTAGCTGCTACTGAGTAGCTTGGGAATGTTTTGATTTGGGGTTTGATTTTCAGAATTTTGCGGGGATGTGATTTTTTTGGTCCGAAGTATTTTACCTTGTTTTATTCTTGGTGCATCTTTGCCTCTCCACGCGACTCTTTAGTTTTTTCTTCATCTGTTCACCCCTGGTTTATTGGTTTTCATCCCTTAACAAAACAGACACCCGTAAAATATTTGCCTCCTGTTCCCCGGCCTCAAATCCTCAATATTTACCGACCGTCGCGTCGAAACATTTCTCTTCGGGTGCAGTTCTTTTCTAACCCATAAGTCTTTGGATTTCTTGACTTACGATGTGTGAAATTCATGAACTCATTTGGACACACCTCAGAGAAAAATCAGACCCTTGTATCTGATTTAACAGCTCAAGTTGTCTACACTTTTCACTCAAAACCCCTGATACTCTTTGAAAGTCGCTGAATTGTCACTTCTTCAACCATTTTATTAATTTACTTAATTTTAGCATGTTTGTAATTTTGCCTCTTATCTATTATTCCTGCAATTTTCTTCTCACTATTAATAATATTGCGATTAGCTTTGAAACAAGTATCTTTTGCTTTTTTCCTGTAGTCTTAATCGTTCTAAAATGGTTTATGGATGATCGGTTCTTTGCATGATTGTGCCGGCATGACTGACCATATATTGTGGCGTTATTTGTTTCAAATGAAAGTTTCCTCTTTTCTACGTATTCTTTCAGTCCTTTTTGTTTTAAATTGAGAGAAATAATTTTTAGCTATAGCTGAATGTATTTCTACTACAATTTCTCAGTCAGTCAAGTAAATAACGTTATGAAACTGAATTTCAATTTTTCTTTTATTCCTTAAAAAACGGAATGTGTGTGAGCAAGGAAAGAGAAGAGCTGTAAATATAGGTAACCCCTTCCAATATTTCCCCACAAATGTATTAGAATACAGCAAAAACCAGAATTTCAATCGAAAAATTCCCCAGGGCTCTTATTAATGCCAGCTATGGCAACTCCAATTTTTTTTTTTTTGTATCAGCTAGAAACATATTCTGCACAAAACTCACTTATTCCGCATCGTTAAGTTATTAAATTGTTGGTTGTAAAAGAGATGGAAAATAAAATGGTGCATACCTACGAATAAAACATGTGCCTCACATGGCACCAGGTGCTTTGATGAAAATGCGTCTTTTTTTTTTTTTTTTTTTTTTTTTTTTTTTTTTTTTTTTTAATACTCATCATTCAACTCATCTCGCACTGTTGCTTTTGCATTACAATCAATAAGTCAAAGCAAAATGAAGTGAAGAGTTAGAAACAAGACGTAATCATCTCACTTAAGTGTACGCACAAACTTACTCTTTTAGTGTAGTTTTGAACTATTTCTGCATTTCTAATATTAGTATTTTTATTGATTTGTCTTTCCTCAAACAAAAAATTCCATTCCTACCCCAATCATACCCTCAAAACAAATAATTTCTTCTCATCCTTTACCTCTTGACTATTGATCACTTGGACTGTTCTATTTGTCGTAATGCATGATTATGTTTCCGTAATAAAATAATTAATATCCTAATGGAACGTATTATGATAACTGGCACGTAACTGTGTAATGACGAATTACTTGTGCAACCTCTCGTCAAAAAATGGTGATCGATCCTTTCCACTCTTAATTTTTTATACTATGTTGTTTTTTCGGGACTAATCTTTTTCATTAAGGCGTGTTCCAATCTTTAAATCATCTAACCCCTATTCTACTTTCTATTAAATGGGAATGCATTACCCTCTTCAAATGCATTTCTAATCCACTCTGTTCTCAAAACTCTTACAATTTCTCCCTCTCATTTTCTTGTAAATTCCTTCTCTATACAATTACTATTTTTTTTATTTATTTTTTGTCACCCGAATACTTTTAACATTTTTTCCTCGAAAATTTAATTAAATCACTTTTTTGCCCTCTCATAACAACCCTTTCCTTACTCTCCCTTCTTCTTCCTTCCAATCCTACTATTTTTTCTACAGGTACAAGAAAACTTATGTCTACAATCCTGCCAAATCTGAAACCTACAAAGCCCTCCAAGAAAGTGAACACGAAAAATTCCATGAGCCAGCACAACCTCCAGTCCAGCCACCTGTACAGACTCGAGTTTTTTCACCAGTGCAGTCGAAGGTAATAATTGCTTTTTTGTTTTTCTTGAATCTTGGCTCATTTGACTTAAATTGTCCCCTAGCCTCAGAAAGATATCATTATTCTCACACTTGAATGAGACAAACAGTTGGATCACATTTTGCAATAAGGAACCACTATTTTTGGCCCATTTTAGAAACAACATACATGCCATTGGTTTCCTTGCGCAGATATGTGCTTTTATGGGAGAGCCAGAGATAGTAGTTCCTTATTGCAAAATATAATCCAGTTAAATGCTCTGAGAGTCGGATAGGTACGGCGAATCATAAGAGAATTTCCACAAGTAATATAAACTTATTGATTGTGAGTGAGATAGTTGTAGTTGTTTTAAGAACAGGTTAAATCCTGGTTAAAATATTACATTAACAGGCCTAGATTTAGATAAAATAAGATTGGGCGCTGATCATGAAAAAGGAGTGAATTAAATTTATTTTAGAAAATATGAAACAAAGCACATTGCCTTTCCAGAATGATCACGAAGAAAAAAAAAGTTATCAACCTCGCTCTAATTTCATGAATGAGCGACAGCTCAACGCCTGTCGGTGACGGCGCCGAGATACAACTATTCGTGCTTGATGGATGTCCGTGTTGCATCTGCAAAATTGAAGGCGCGATGGCGCGAGGCGTGATTTCGCAACACTCCGCTCGCTCTATGCTGTTAATGAGGTCACTTAGATTCGGCAAAGAAGTTAAACGAGGAGGCCCGAATAGGTCTCTAACGGCTATGTTGACACTCGATTTTTTCACTTTCTCCGATTTGATGTCCTAATATTTTTTATGATGTATTTGTAAATCTAAAGCTCGTATGTAGCGGCCCCATACAACCTGCAGGTCGCATGTTTTTAGCAAACCTCGGGTCAATTTGACCCGGCTTGGGCATCTAAGGGTCAAAGTCATTTGATGTTGTAAATATTAGGTGTCTATATGTTAAATGGTCTGCCATTTTGCCTCACTAAAACATGAAAATATATGTTTTTCTATTTTCACAGAGATTGACAGCACCCACCGCACCTGATCCAAACGTAAGTAAATTAAATTTTAAACTAGAGTTAAAATCTATGAAAAAAGATTCTCTTACGGTATTTTTAATTTTCCCGGAATAAAATGTGAAAGTAAAACTCGTACACATACCTACCTACCTCCTACCATTCAGAAATCCCAATCGAAAGTCTATAAAAAATATGATGACTATGCTATCTACCTACACTCAAAATAACTTTCAGCTTAATGCGTTTAAAGCTCGCAGTGCTAAGTTCTTAACCACATAAGAACATATATGACATTCTTACATGGCGAAGCATTGCATAAAATTTTGTTCGATTTTTATCATTCTTGAAAGTGTTGCGGGGCTTTTCCTCTCTAAGAACCACTAAATCATCGGTGCTTTTACGATAAAAAAGCGCTAAATTGTCCATCTGTTGTAGTAGCCGGAATTTTTTCTCATAGTCAAGGTTGGTGTGAACCAAGATGTCTTCTATTATCTTCAAATAAAATTTTGTTTAATATACTATTTTATTCAATACTAAGTCCTCGATATCACTAAATTACATAGTCTATCTAAAACCTAGAGGGTCGTTTTGTAATTTATCTAGCCAATAATTTTTCTCTTTTCAATTTCAGAGAGCATCCCCTCAACCTCACCCAACAGCTCCTCACCCAAATGTAAGTTAACTATTTTCGTTTACTTTAATTTTCCCCCTTTTTATAATTGCTATTTCTGTCTACAAATATTATTTTCTAGAATATTGAGGGGAAGCGTTCATAAATTTAACGCACTTTTCCACTGTCGAGGATCAAGATGAAGTTTTTTTTCTAGTATAATGAACAAAATTGGTTTCAAAATTGCGAAAATACGTCTGAATACGCGATGTGAGTACAGTTCACAAGCAAATAAATTCTCAGAACCTGCAATTTCGAATAATCTTTATGCAACGTCCACCGCGTTGCCATCCGTCAAGACAAACCATGAAAAACACTAGAATTTGTTTAAACAAAATCCTGATAACCGGAAAGTTCAAAATGAGGTCAGAGAGACAGAGACATTCCGTTAGTATCTTTAAGCGGTTTTCTCTGTATGTGTAAGTGCCCTGGTGAAAATTGGCGATAAGAGCTGCGTTTCAAAATACCGTAGGAATTCTTCTAGCCGGCTAAAGAAGGCTACAGAAAATCATATAGCTGGCTGTAGAATGCGGAGAAAATCATACGGCTGGGCTATACGAAGCGATAAAAAATTATGCAGCCGGGATATACTTCCTATCGCCGGGCTTTACACTTTATCGCCATTGGCTATAAAAGGCTATAAGAAATTATGTAAAAATTTGTGTGCTTTGGAAATCATTAAGTTTGATACGGAGCCACCTTAATATTTACAAAACACACATTATATTTTCCTTTAATACATATTTTTCTTCATCAATTAAAATGAGAATAATCCATACAGGATGCATTTCAAACTCATGAGTTGAATGACGCTGACTCCGCCAGATTAAATATTAGAGCCTAACACAAAGCGGAGCGGCGACGCACTGGCGCCTACAAACCTAACAGGGATACTTCACGCATTGCGCAATGCGTGAAGTATCCCTGTTAGGTTTGTAGGCGCCAATGCTCGTTTCGCGCTGGCTGCCCGCCTGCCGCGCCGCAGCGTGCCTCGCCACGGGGCTTAAAGCAACTATTTCACACCAGAGGTATTGCACAGTATCATACGAAACTGAGGGCGCTCTAATATATTAGGACTGGCAGGCATCCATCAAAAGTACGGAGCTTTCCTCGCAAAATAAATCAAGATACTACGGCCCAAAAAGAGAGCAGTATTCCAAAAACTCACTAAGTCCTAGCATCCGTAATTAGTAACGTTTAGCATACACTTGTTGCCTAGTTGTTGCTTAATCGCCATCGGCTATAAAAGGCTATAAGAAATTGTGTAGCCGGCTGTAGAAGCTATTGGAAATCTTACAGCCGACTGTAGGTCTATGGTATTTTGGAACACACATTCTACTGCCAATTTTTACCAGGGATGATATGGCTTTATGGTAAATCTTTTCTAATCTGGCAGCACATACACGATAAATCTCAACATTTTTTTAAAAATCCTGTAAACTGAAGTTCCGAATCTTTACTGACTCGAAAAAATGTAAGCTATGGAAAGTTGTCTGAATGTCTTTAATGCTGACTTTAGTTTTTGAAACAAACACAGGGAAAATGCCGGGAAAGCTCAGAAAATTTGGATCATAGAAAACAATCCGATAACCTTGCTTTCTCACAGGAATTTTCCCAAGGAATCGATTTATTTTTAAAAGAATGAAGTTGTCACCTTCCGGCCAAAGTATCACAAGCCCCATGCGACGTTTCAAAATTTCCGCCGCCATTTTTTTTTACAGAGAAATTTTTGGTTGCATCCGTTCGAAAATTTCAATGAATTTTATCGGTATCACGAAGAAAATTTAGCGAAATTTTCGGCCAGCTTCTTTGAACAATTTCTCTGTAAAAAAAATAAAATGGCGGCGGAAATTTAGAAACGTCGCTTGTCGCTTGTGATACTTCGGCCTGAAGGTGACGAAGTATACATAGACGGATCCTGGCACTTTGAACGAGGGGGCAGAAAGGGAGATCGGGGGAGGGGGGGGGGGGTTCCCTAAAAAAATTGTTGACATTTTTAAAGCATCTAATATGCAGTTAGAGTCAATTTCGTCGCAAGTAATCACAAAATGTAAGCGGTCTTTCTTTTTCTGTCCTCCGTTCCTTCCTGCTTTCTTTCTTCCCTTTTCATCTTCCTTTTTTTCTGTCGAATGGGAGGGGCGCGGTCACACGCCTTCTTCACCCCCCCCCCTCTTGGATCCGCCTACGGAAGTATATTTTATTATTCTTGAATTGCCATTGGTTAGTTTTTAAAATAAAATTGATATGGCGATTTCAACTCGAATAGTGATCATGCTGTGAATTTGTTTGATGCTTCTTTTTTCACCCTTTTGTATCCGTTTAACAATCAATATTCTTTATTTTTCAGGCAAACTACACCGGCGTCAACTCAGAAGAAATTCATCAGAGCGGCAGCTTCAAGCGTCTGATGCACATGGTCATGACAGAAAGCTATTAAAAAAATGATAGGGTGATACCGGAAGACAAGAAAAATACAGAACACTCTATTTTTACGCTCACTCTACCCGAAACGACATACACCAAACACTATGACCTAGCAGTAGGTTAATTGATTCCTAAAGTTCCCCAATTTCCGAAACATCTATTTGTAACCTGTAGGAATCTGTTTTATACTTTTTAATTTCTCTCCTTTTATTTTTCCTGTTTTCCAACTATTTATCTGAAACCCGAATGTAGTTTAGTTCCCGCAATGTTTGAAAAAAAGGAAAGGAAAGATTATTTATTATGATATTTTGTAGGGTTGAACTCATCCCTTTTTGTTTTACTCTGCTTTTTTTCTCTGAGTTAAAGTAGGCCGCTCTACGATTTACTGTCAATAATTTAGTTTCATCTTGTAGGTAGCTTCTCTTTTCTTTTTTTCACTACGCTCCCTTCCCTTCTCCTGTCCTGTCTATCCTCATGTTTGTATAAATTATCCTTCCTGTCTGTTATTTATTCGGTTATGTTTTGTACAGAGATGCCTCTTCTTTATAATCAGTTAAAATTTGAGAGATTTTAAATTATTTTATTTTTATGAAAACGATGTTGAAACGAAACGAATTTATATTGTTATTTTATTTATGTACTTATTTATTTATTTTGAAATAAATATTGCTTACTAAGTAATTGGTTGATTTTTTTTATCAATAGCATCAGCCTTTCCTTAAGGAATTTGAAAATAAGTTATGAGGTGATTTGCCCTGGTTTCCAACTATAGTTGAGGGGCTCAGAGGATAAGGCGCATAAGTGCAGTTTTTGAAAAAATTGAGATATTGGTGATTTCATATAAAACTAGTCCGAATGCACATTCTATGAAAAATTAGCTCCCAAATTCCAATTTTTAAACACTGAAAAGTCAGTTTGAACTTTCCTTCCGCCATGAGGATCCATCTAAATTCGGAACTTCCAACACGTGTTTCTCGAATAGCAAAAACTACACTTATGCGCCTCGTCCTCCAAGCCCCTCAGTTGAACTGTTGTTTGATATACATCAAAGGTCGATCAGTGTATTATTTATGTAAACAATCTCAACAAAATTTGATTGATTTACAGAAAAAAAAGGGAAAAAAACTGAACCCGGAAAATTGACTTAGTACGTGAGTGTTTCATCTCATGCCTATAAACAATCATTTTTTTCTTTCCCCCTTTTTTTTCATTTTTTTATTTTTAAGTCAAAGATGCCAAGATTTTACATGCAAGATTTTTTAGATGGTATACATCAAAATGCCAATTTGCTGCAATTCCTGGTCAAAGCACCTAAGAAAATGATCAAATAAACATCCAATCATGTTAACAAAGTTTCCTATATTAAGTCTCTAATATCATTGCGGATGAGTATTTTGTAAAACTAAAAAGTTTTGAAGCGTTAAATTACAGCATTCTGACTTTTCCGAAATCGTTCAGAATTACTTTTAGAGAATTTCCAAACACTATTAAAATGAAGGAAAATTGATAAGTTGGTCTAGAATCTTTAAGTCTCGATTCGCCGCTCCTCTGACGTGAGGGCGAGGGCGTGTCTCTATTTCAACATGAGCCCCAGAAAGCATGGCCAGTGGCGTGGCGTGCTTTGCGATATATCGATTGTTATGTCATTTAAACATATGGAAAAGGATCGATAAACAGAGTGTTCGCAGCGAACACCTTAATAATCGATTCTTTATTATAGGTTTAAATGGCATAACATTCGATACATCGCAATTCACGTCACGCCACTGCATGGAGTCTTGTGGAGAAGAGGGCTCACTAGAAAATTGAGATACACCCTTACGTCAAAACAATGACGAAATGACTCACACTCTCCAGGTGCTTATTATTGGACAGGGTAAGAATTAGAGTAACCAATGGATATGTTTCCTCATCAAAATTTCACGCCCAACCCGTCAAACATGTCGATAAATTCCAAAATTGACCAATAAATAGGAAAGCAGCATTCAAAATCTACGTCGAATCCGTACATTCCAACTTTCCACCCGCATATACCAACATCAACTTAAATCAAATCAGCAATCACAAACAAACTTGATTATTTTGCAAATGAGGGGCTTGGAGGAGAAGGCGCATTTATTGCAGTTTATGAAAAAATTGAGCTATCAATGTTTTCAAGTAGAACTAGTCTGAACCATGGCCGGATTCACCTACTTGCCGCCCATGGGCCGCCTATTTTTGCCGCCCCCTTCTCATTCGTTTTGAAACTCGATAAAAACCATCCAATGAACGTGTCAGCGGGGGAGGGGTGCATAAGACGCATTTACTCGTATTTAACACATTTGTTGGGAAAGCCCTGTCAACACTACTGGCAAAAGTTCACGGAACTTTGCGCGAAAGTTAAGTTCCGTAAACCTATCTCTGTGCGGACAAGGCCTTCCACTCTTAAGAAATGAACGGAAAAATTATGAAAGAACAAATATAAATGTGGATCAATGATTTTAACTTCCGCCGCCGCGCCGCGCAGTCTGCACTGTTTGGCGCAATGCGTGAAGTATTCCGACAGTCTTGTAGGTGCTGTGAGTTTCACGCCGACCGCTGCTGAACGCACTGTGTTTGACGCAATGCGTGAAGTATTCACGCAGTCTTGTAGGCGCTATCCGTTTCACGCTGACCGCAATGACCGCACTGTTTGATGCAATGCGTGAAGTATTCGTGCAGTCTCGTAGGCGCTAATATGTGTTACATGCCGATCACACGCCGAGGGCTTCTCCTTTTCATCTCAAGTCCTCGTTATCATTTCTCTCTAAGTCGCGCCGTTCCAGGCCAAATTGCGTGTTTGGTTTCTTTCTTAACTCAACTTATTGAAGGTGCTGTCTCTTGTATCACTAAGAGACGACAAAATTAGAAATTACTATACCCTCAGGAAATGAGAGATTTTAGCGCCTTTTCTCGTTTGTAATTTTGTTTTTATAAATCCGATTTTTTTTTTATACCTAAACTTTAAAAAATTGCAAATTTTTGCCGCCCCTTAGATTTTCCGCCATGGGCCGCGGCCCATGTGGCCACCCCTTCAATCCGGCCCTGGTCTGAACGCATATTCTGTGAGAAATTCGATCCCAAATTATAATTTTTAAGCATCAAAAAGTCAATTTGAACTTTCTTTCCACCATGTTATTTGATATTTCGAAACTTCAAACACGTGCTTCTCGAAATATCAAACATTGCACATATGCGCCTTGCCCATCAAGTTCCTTAAATGCTGAATGTTAAAACTCCAAAGAATGTCCTCTATATTCCGAGGCTTGGCATCTATAATTTTCAAGTAAAATTCAGCACACGAAGAAAATTATTCCATTGGAAAGATTACTGAAATAGCAGTTCTATGGTCAGTCCGATGTCAGAAGACAGTGGTTTTTTGACTAATGCATAGGAAGTTTGAACCAATGAACTTAAAAAAACGCTGTTTACTAGGTAATTAGGTACGTAATGAGTCAAATGCTGATATGTTTAATGTGTCCACGATAAACTACCTGAAATTTCGGTGTGAGGACATGTGTTGGATTAATTCATTTCTCACCTTTTCTGCCTATCCTCGTTTAGGGGGAGCACGTAGCCGGGGAGTTGGGAGGCGGGAGTTTGGGGGTCTCTATCCCCTCTCGAAAGCTAAAAAGTCGCTTTTCCAAAAATATTGGAGGGGGGACCCTAAGACCCCCTCATTCTGAGGAAGGCATACCTCCTTTACCAGGTAAAGCCCCCCCCCCCCCCCCNGAAAGAAAATTCTGGCTACGTGTGCCTGGTAGAGGACTATAGGGTTATTTTTTGAAGTGAGGAATGAGGATAAAATACCCACTCGATAATTCTATACAGAGAAGTATGCGTAGTGTGTAGTACAGTATTTTACCACTGCCTGCATTAAAATGGAAAATGAAAAAAAAAAAAAAAAAAAAAAAAAAAAAAAAAAAAAAAAAAAAANAAAAAAAAAAAAAAAAAAAAAAAAAAAAAAAGATTAAATAGAGAGATTGCTTTATTTATGCAAAAAGCTACTATCCTTCATTTCCGAAGTAAAAAATATCTTTGGAGGCCCAATAACACGCTATGCCATGGTTTTACAGCCACCTTCTCTTTTGCGCTCGCAGGAAAAAAGCCCGTCAATTTGAAATTTGGCGGGTCATTTCGTATGAGAATGTTTTACCGCCTTTATTTCGCTCGGAAGTGGAACGGAACGAACAAGGAATATGATAACGTTCCACCATCATCAACAAGGAACAATGTTTTGATGTTACGTGTTTGTTTGTAGATAGTGTTATCAAAGTTCTAAAAAATTATCACTAGTTTTTAAAAAATAGGAAAGGAGAATGTCGCTCACCCAATCACTAACTTTTTAGTTTTTAAACAAAAGTTCACTGTCATTCTCAAATATGGCCGTCATCTCAACAAGTTTTCGATGGCTTGATTTTTTAGAGAAAGAATTCGATCAAGCGTTTGTAGACCTAGATGTTTTGCTTGGTAAGTTGCTTCATTCACATGAATCTTCCTCTACTTTTAGACTGATATGTTACCCCGTTCGCAAGGTCAACATTTTAAAATAAACAATTCAATACCGAACTTGTACTTTCCTCAAACTTCATTCAAGAAGTAACTGAAAGGCCTGTCTTGATTTGGGACACTCCCTCTGGTTGACGAATTTTGCGGCGAGATCTGCAGAATACACTGAAGTTTGGAGCCGTTTCTTCGAATTTATGTTGTAACTACAAGTGTATTCTAGAAGGATCCTTTCCTCTCTTGCCTTTCTTTAAAAATAAGTTTGTCAAGTTTTACCGTACTTCCTGAGGAGGTAAGTAATGTTAGGAATCATTACTTACCTGTATCCAAATTAGTCCCTGAACGGCTTTGGGAGGATAGGGGACTACTTAACATATTGTATTTTCATTGTACATGGGGGATACACAACTTATTGTACCCCCGACACAACTTCTATCGCTCAGGATTGCCTGAGGTGCTCCATTATCCCGACAAGGTAGCAGTATTGTAATGAAGTAAGTAATGAAGGAACACCGGCTACTCATCATATGCTTTTACAAAGACCTACTAGATTTCATGCTCCATCCTCACTCCAAAAATTTAAGGTCCATTATGACCAGGGATTTCAATATTTAGGAGCCTTTAAATACTTGACAAGGTTAGCAAAGAGCCATTCTGGACCGCATCAGGGTTTCAGATTCAATCTTTCGCTAACGGCTGATAAAATTGGAACACAGCTTGGATTGTAACATTATACAATTTCTGTGAAGACAGCATTGTGTTTGCTTTCTAATGAAGTCCTATACTGATTTTTAGTTAAATTTGTTACCCCTGAGAAAAGTATTTACTGTTAGAAAAGTAATCTGGGCTGCAGAGATCTACTCTATTGCATCCTTAGCTATGTTCCTGACTTAGTGCAGTGCCTATAGTGCCTAAAAAGCGGCAAGTGAGGGGCGGAGCCAGTCGGCCGGCCCAGTCTATCGTTTAAGGGTTGAAGCGCAGGTACTGGCCCAATCGTTACCCTGTCTCAACTACGGGCCAATACCTGCGATTCAACCCTTCAGCGATAGACTGGACCGGCCGACTGGCTCTGCCCCTCACCCGCCACTTTTCGTGGCGCGGTCCATAGATGATACCTGATCTTTGACATAAGTATGACAAGAAGTACCCTGTTCATCTTCTTCAAAGGAAATGGTAACTCATATTTAGGTAGTTGATATTTTGAAACAGGCAGTCTAGCCATCAGATTCTTTTTTGATTTCTCATGGCTATCTAGCATCTGATAAATTTTTTATTGAAATCAAAACTCATAGCATTATTTAATTAAGTACTGTTTTTCCAGGAGATTTTGACAGTGATGATCCGGGTATGGTTTACACAGTACGCCAGAAATTAGCAACTTTGAGTTCCTGCTTTGCTCAGCTATCGCATAAAGCACAAACAATTTTTCAAATGAATGCAAAATCTGAGGTACGTATTTCTTTCAATAACACCTAATGATATCACTCTACTGTAAAGAGTATGATAGAAAAAGTCTTCCATTTATATAGGTCTCTTATCTCCAGTTTACAGCTCTAAAGGGTATCCTTTGGTAATCATTTCCAAAAGCCCCTTCTCTCCGATTTAAATTTCAACCATCTGCAGTCAACAAAGAGCTCCTTAAGCTTAGGTTGTGAGGATTTTCAATACAGGAAGTTTGATGGCAAATTTCTCTGAGTAAAGTGACACTTTATTCTAAACAAGTCAGGAGTTAGCACAAAACTACGGTAATGAAAAGATAAATAAATTATCTCCAACATTCTCAAGTTATCTTAATCTTTTTTCATCATTTTTGACCATGATGACCATAGTTTTTTGTATCCTTGAACATGAGGTACCTCCTGCAGTTCTCATAGTGAGATGAAATGTCTTACTTGGACGCATCGTTTTCTAAGATTTGATTTGTGGTGTTTGCCATTGTGCCACCAACTGGTGAATCCGGCCCTAGTTTGGAGAAATAATGGTTGGACTAATAAAGGCTCCTAGGTTTCAAAATGTTTTGCCTGCTCCAGCATTATAAAATTATTAGGATACTAGTGAATAAATATTGAAGTGATAATACTGCTTTGAGAGAATCCTCTCTCAAGAAATTATTAGAAAATAGTGCTGCAAAATACCAAGAAACAATGGCGAATCTTGAGTTACTGCCGAAAGTAGCTCAACTGTATGATTGTTGCTAGGAATCAATTTAAAAACAAAAAATTACAGAAACCTTGAAACGTGGAGAAATATTTGTCTCTTATACAGCGTGTCCGGAAGTTGATATGCCATACTTTTGGAATTGTTTTTTGGGCTCAAGAGAAGCTTAAAATTACTCCTAATTACAAAACTCAATTTTTGTCAACATTAGATGCTCTAAGAAAAAGGTACAAATAAATTTTGGAAAAAATCCACAACTTAGATTGGCTCAAGTGCTTAAAAAAACAAGACTTTTATAGAACAAAAAAGTCTTATATTGACCTCAAAAATCTATTCTCACAGTTAGTATAGCGCATTAACTACTGAGCACCCTGTAGAGGAGTACAAGGACAACTAACGACAGGAAGAGTCAAATCATTACAAAAATATATTTACATAGTGAGATTTCCTCTAAACCGAGGTACATGCTACAAACTTTTTGATACAAACTGATTTAGTAAAGTGTAAGCCCATAAAGGGTTATCCCTAGGGACCATATGTCCCGTGTTCCGCACCATTATATCGATAAATCTCCCTGCTTTTTTGTAATACCCTGCAAGTTTGTTCTCGATGTACCACTTTTTGCTATCTGCTTGTCTGTACTCCTGGGTCCCAGACCACTGGAGCTGTTTAAATGCGTTGACTGTTCCTGGATAAGCACAAATTACATCTAATTGACCGTTATAGAATAAAACATCGTAATGGTCCAGTAATACCTCTAGCCATGTGCTAACTGATTTCATTATGTCAGCCCTAAGATGCCATGCAACTGTGTTGTATTCCCCCCAGGGAGTATTTCCCACGTGAATCATCTTACGGGTTGAAGCTTTTGTCAAAAATGCCATGAAGTTTCTATAATTTTCTCCACTTTCTGCAGGGGAATCAGAAATATAATTATAATGTTGTGATAAACCTGTATAGTTATTAAATAAAGTTGGATACCCGTAAATACTTCTAAAGAACAGTTCTGAAAATTTAAAGGTTGCATTTAACCAGTCTTTTTTATCTATTAATTTTTTTACGTCTGCTTGATATGTATTGAATATGTGTTGTTGATTCTCATCAAGAAGGCCAATCATTTTTAAGTAGTCTCCATAGATCATCTGGTCGCCAGGGCTAAAAAATGCATTTCCAACGAAAAGTCCTGTCAAGTTTATTCGAAATTTTGATTTTTTGTTAGCAGAATGAATTTTATATCCTAATGCTGGTATGTACTTGCCTGCATAAGATTCCCCTGTCAGAAAAAACTTGTTACTGTGTATGCTTGGGAATAGTTTAAAAAGTTGGACTAAGGCTTTATACAAATTGTTTGCCACTTGCTTTTGATTAGTGGCATAGCCTTTCTCTGAGCCAGTGTGACTATAACCCACTCCTGCTGGGTTATCAATATAAACAACATTGTACTCATTTGTCCAAGCATATTTACGATTAAGTAGTGAAAAGTCATCAGCAGACTCGCGTTTAATTTCAAAAGGTCCGTTTTCCATAAATAAGCCGTACAATGAGGTCATACCAGGTCCACCTTGTAACCACAATAACAACGGTGAATTTTCCCAATCGTTAGATTTTGCTTTGAAAAACCAAAAAAACAAGTTCGTCTTAAAACGTTTGTTAACTGTCAAGAAACCTGCATGACTTTTAATGTTGTGCTCCAAGTCAGTCACTCTTGAAATATTTTGAGCTTCAGATATTTTCCCGCTTTCAATTAATGGAGTTAAATGGAGAGGCTTTCCACAGTCATCTTTGGCACTAAGTTGCGTTATGTAATTTTGACTTGTATCCAACATATCACTGAACATCAGTGAATTCAGCTGACTGAGGTGAATTACCATCAGGAGAAAAATCACAACACCAAACATGTTTTACTGATGAAAAATTGTTAAATACTGCAAAATTAAAACCTTGTTTTAAATAATTATAAAGTCCTCTGTTTAATGGGAACTTAGAGGTAATACAAACTAGTCTTACTGCTGATGCCACTAACATCTACACAACTATGCATTGGGGCATCATTTAATCGTCCCCTTAAGTACCTGTATAATTCCCCTCCTTGAGTAAATCGTTGAGTCCTTTTAAGAGCTTTAGTAGTATGTTAGTTTCAGTTAATTTGCATCATTTTTAGCTCATTTCATCCCAAATACAAACTGAAGTGTGCTTTTTAGACGTTTTTTACGCAATATCATTTAAAAATACAAATGAAAGTTTTATCCGCTGCCAATATTGTTTTCCCCCTTAATAATGTATCAAATTTTAATTATTACGACTAAATTAAATTGCAAATCAATCTAACCACGATGTTTGCAAATAGAAAATCATTCAAAATTAGACCAATGCTCAAAATTAAAGCCATTTCATTGTTGAAATTTTCATAAAATTTCCAGAATGGTTTCCTGTAGAATGAACCATCAGCCAGAAAAATAATATGTTTTGGTTAGAATTTTTTATTAAAATAATTTTTCCAATTAAATATTTTTTTTAATTATTGTATTTGCTATGGAATTCGTAGAATTTGAACTTATATCACAATTACCACCGGAAAAACTTATTTGCAAGGAAAATCTCATATCAAATGATAACTATTGTAAAAATAAATTACAATATTTAGGTAACTTTAGTTATTAGCTACATACAAAATATACAAATACCATATTGAAATGCCGTGATAACACACTAATCAATAATTATGATCCCTTTGAAGTAGAATCATTTTTGTCTTGAGGAACACTCATAATTATCAGTAACACGTAATTTGATTTAGGAAAGTGATACGATTCTAATATTCAGTTATTTACAAGTACCTGCTTATCTGAATTGAAGAAACAAGAAGATTAACAGAGATTTTTGAATATTTGCTACTCATCCAGGTCTTTGAATGACGGATTCTTTGTCTGTAAGGAATGTAGTTTTTTATTGAAATGCCAGTGTTTTTTCCTGGTCAAGAGGTAATGAAAATTTGCAATTACCTAAAATGATCAGAAATGGAAAATCAAGAGAACGGTTAGAGAAAAAATTTCCTTGTTTTTTTTTCTCTCTACTTTTTTTCGTTCAAATCGCCGATATTGTGCTGTGCTCAATTGACCGTACCTAGATATTTTTCTTGATCTTCTCATCTTTTATCACATCGTGTGAGTCAAATTCATTTTCACTGTCATCTTCCTCACTGAAATCCTCTCCATCTGCCATTTCACTGCCATCGCTGAGTTTATCGTAACTCTCAGAGCCCTGAGATTCCAGATGATCCACAAAACTGTCTCCGTCTGTTTTCGTGCAAGTAGTTTCATTCAAGAGGAAATTCATGTTCGTGCGGAGATCCTGTTTAAGGAAACATCATGACTTTAAATTATGGTATTATAGATAAAGACAATAGGTATCTTCTTCTCCGGTAAAATAGTTAAAATTAATGAAAGGAAGCTGTTAGGCAATCTACAACATTTTTTGTGGAGAGAATGACAAGATTCCAGTCAAAATCTGATCAATAAGATTTCTTAGGCCAGATAGTGTGTGAGAAATTTCATGACGTGAGAATTCGTCTCTATTTTTTTTAATGATCTTCTCAACTTCACATAGCTTACATTTCGGCTGTACCTATTTGAAGGGAAAAATTAATATCTTCCATAAGATGGCTCCTCAATGTACTCATATTACAAATTTATGGTGAAAATAGAGAATCACAAACTTGGTTTTCAATACGGAGGATAGTCTCCCAAATTTCACTCTTTTGAAACATTATTTTTGCTTGAGGTAAATCAAAAAACTTAAACTCGTTCGAATGGCTTTCTATGTTCACAATAAACGATCTCGGCGAGGTGCGTGGTTGACCTCGCGGTGTCGGATCGTGAATTCCCTTCATGTGCTGTTTACCTACTTTAAAATCTCTGTAAATGAAAACTAATGAGGTTGATATATACGAGTCAATGACGAGCCTTATCAACACATTGTTTTGGAGTTCACTGTTTGTTTCGAGGGCCAGATTTACATACTTGCCGCCCCTTCTCATTCGTTTTGAAATATCAATACAAACCACCAAGTGAACGTGCCGAAGGAGGAGGGGTGCATAAGACGCGTTTACTCGTGTTAGGCAAATTTTTTGTGAAAGCCCTGTCAACACTAGCAAAAGTTCGCAGAACTTTGCGCGAAAATTAAGTTCCGTGAAAATATCTCTGTGTGGAGGAGGCCTTTCATTTTTAAGAAAAGAACAAAACAATTGTGAAAGAATAAACATAGATGTGGCTTAATGATTTTAATTTCCGCCACCGCGCCAACCGCACTGTGGTTGACGCAATGCGTGAAGTATTCCTACATTCTTGTAGGCGCTATGCGTTTCACGCCGACCGCTGCTGACCGCACTGTTTTTGACGCAATGCGTGAAGTATCCATGCAGTCTTGTAGGCACTATGAGTTTCACGCCAACCGCTGCTGACCGCACTACGTTTGACGCAATGCGTGAAGTATTCGTGGAGTCTTGTAGGCGCTAATATGTCTTTCATGCTGGCCGGCGCGCCGAGGGCTTCTCCTTTCCATCTCAAGTCTTCATCATCATTGCTCTCTGCGCCGCGCCGCGCCGCTAGGCTCTTCAACATCTGAACGATTATCCTCGATCTTATCGGGATAAAATCGCGATTTTATCGCCTGGCAATTTGTCGCGATATCTTCGAAATAAAAATCGCGATAAATGGCGATTTAATCTTAATTTTATCGACAAAAATTGATCGCGGTTTATAGAACCAAAAATAACGATGTGTAGCGACTTAATCGCCACACATTGCAATTTTCAATGCGATAATATCTCGATATATTGCCACCGATATAATCGCGATAATCAACCGATAAAATCGCTATTTAGCGCCATCATACTGCTTCTTGCATGGGCCTGGGAATCAGAACTGCAATGAAGGGATTTCCCATACATAGACCTATTTTTACCTTACGCATATCGACGGTGTAAGTCGGCAATCACCTAACTCGTTTGCGGTGTCTGAAAATCTCCGTCTCCATATTAGTTTTTTAAAAGAGAACAAATTGACGTCATTCCTTGAAGTTTATGCAGAATTTTCTTTGCATCGAGAAGAAAAATCACGGAAGTTTTAGAGAATTGCCGTTGATTAGTTTTCCATTTAAAAAATAAAGTATGAAAGGAAGTCTGCGACATCGCAAACCGAGTTATGTGATTGCCGACTTACACCGTCGATATGTTTTTAGCTCTCTTTCTTGTATTACTAAAGTAACTTTTACCTGAATATCTGCTCGAATTTGATTACTACTGTCGGTGACAAATGCTAGAGAGGCCTCAATGTGTTTATTTTTTGAGCTCGTTTCCTCGTCCAGTCTCACTACCAGACTGTTCGTGTGTGCAATATTCTTCGCCGTATTTCTCCCTTGTGTTTTAAGTTCTTCCACCAGCTTTTCAACTTGCTCGTTCAGCTCCACACTCCTGGTAGATTTTAGCAAAAACAAAAACCTCAGTTTGAAAAACTCTTCCAAATCTTCCTTTCTCTATTTTAAAAGGGTCAACTCATTATTTTAGTAGAAAAAGCAGAGATAGGGTTTGATTGCCAGCTGAGCCCCCAATTAATAGCGTATTTTGAGCCTGTACACTGGGGAAAAAAACACATTGGATCTAGAGTCCATAGACTCTTAAAAACATCGTCAAGAAAAAATACTCTTGATTCAATCGGATTTTAGCTTAAATCAAGAATCAAGCCTCTTAATTTAAGCGGATTTTCTTTTGATTTAAGCAAGAATCTGATTGAATCAAGAGTATTTTTTCTTGTCACTGTTTTCATGAGTCTGGACTCTAGATCCTATGTGTTTATTTTTCCAGTGTAGCTTTTAATGCAATTTTTTCTCATACAGTTAGATGAAAGCTACAGATCCCACTGAATTCTGCCTCGTCAATATACTTCTACATTAAACAGTATCATGCATGAAGAAAGATTCAATAATTTTTTTTTATGATTTTCCTTCTCTCACTTACCGATTGTACACAAATGTTTCTAAAGATTTGTGAAATAGTTTCGCAAATACCTAGTCATTTGCTAAAAGAAAATACTGTCAATTAGAGGGGTTTTCTCGATCAGAAATACGATGTTACTTTCGAACAGAATGTCACTCTTCATTTTGTCTTTTACCTCCTCTAATTTACTGCTCTCTTTGGGAAGAGAAATGAAAATCAGTCTCTAAAAAATCTTTAAAAATTTTAGAATGATAATCCTTAGGAGATCCATGCATTTAAATTAAATTTTACTCAAGAGAAAGTTCAGCGTGGAACACCATTATTTTTTTCATTTGCTTTGTGTCAAGTGATAAAAGAATTAACTCGGTGACATTCTAATGAATTTTATCCCTCTCATTATTATCCGTCGTAGTTCAGCCGCGGTAGCAAGGCATATCAATTGGACTACATTTCGCAATGAGGAACTACAATTTCTGGCTCATTCCGTTAAAAAACATGTAAGTCTGTAGGGAAACCAGTGGCGCATGCGTTGTTTTTTAACTGAGCCAGAAATCGTAGCTCCTAATTGCAAATTGTAGTCCAATTCAAGGATTGTTCAAGTACCCAGATGCTCCTGCATTTTTGTAAGAGTATGGTTTGAAAATGAAGTTTTCAAGTCTGCATCAACTGGAACAACTAAACTTATCAAATAGTAACAGTGCCCAAGTAGCATTTTTCAACGGAAAAATCGGGATATATTGCAATTTTACCACCGATAAAATCAATAGGATCGTCAACATCTGAGCGATTATCCTCGATCTCATCGGGATAAAATCGCGATTTATCGGAATATTTTCGAATTAAAAATCGCAATAAACGGCGATTTAATTTCGATTGTATCGACGAAAATTGATCGCAATTTTATCGAGCCACAAATTGCGATTGTAGCAATTTAATCGCTATATATCGCAATTTTTAGTGCGATAATATATCGATTTTTTGCCACCGATATAATCGCGATAACCAACCGATAAAATCGCTATTTATCGCGATCACTGCTACTTGGGTGATGGAAACATTTTGTTAAGAATGAAATGACGAGATTACCGGTTGTCACAGGTGTCCAGAATTTTTTCTAGTACAAATGTAAGTCGAAGCTCTATTCGTTCCTCGTCTTCCTGTATTCGGTTACAACTTTTGGTAAACGATTGCTGTGCGTTCATCAGATCGTGAGACTTGGTTTCGATCTGCTCTTCCAGTTCACTCATCCTCCTCTTCACTAGATTTAAGAGTGCTTCAAGCGCCACCTCCATGTAATCTGTCGTCGTTGAAATGAATTTAGTAGTTGAAAGATCAAACATTAAATGCAGTTGATTTGTTCACAGGGTGTCTAGTATCAGGATTTTCTCGATTTTCGAGATTCTATCAGGATTTGTGGTCAATCAGGATTTAGTCCCGATTTCTTCAGGATTTGAGGAATAATCGGTCGCAAAATCAGGATTTGAGAAAAGTCGGCCGTCCGATCAGATTTTTTTATCGAGCTATTTTTGTGAAGCTACATTCGCCAATTGTCTCCGCAAAAAATTAGGATTTGATCAAGATTTGGAAAAATTATGAAATCAGGATTTATCAGTCAAAAATCGGGGAAAATCAGGATTTTCCAAAATACTCGTAAAAAAAAAACTTGACACCCTGGTTCATGACATGCGACACAGGGTGTATCAGGATCAAAGTTTGGCCAAAAGTTTCGACGTGAAAATTTCTCAAGACCTCTTTCCCAAGGAAAGCGTGCCTCTGTTGACATCATCTGGTTTCTAAGTACCTGCACCATCCCCCTTCCATTCTCATCTCCAACAAACCTTGGTTTAGCCATAGGTATAATTATCAATCGCAGAAAGTAGGGTATCAGTTAAGTGCTAATTCAATGAATGTATCTAAAACATTCCCTTTTTTACTGCGGTATTTATTTACTCACTTTGAGAAGATTCATTCTGCATCTCTCTTTGCTCATTCGACAGCAGTACGATTTTCTTCTTAGTGATATTGGCTATTGATAATGTTTCTTGTAATAATGACTCCACTCTGTCACCGTGACGCTTAAATTCATCATGCAAGGCCGTCACCTGAAACAAATATTGTTTTATTAGTGTTTGCATCATATCATATTGCCGATGAAACTGCAGGAACGCAGGCCTCGTTTGTGGTGTTTCAAAATCTCCATTCCCACTTTATTTTATCAAAGGAGATCAAAACAACCTAAATGCTCGAAATTATCACAGACTATTCTTCATTCACAGACACAAAATCACGGTCATTTCTAGAAACAACTTCGATTATTTTTCCATTTAAAAAATATAGTATGATAGGAGATTTGCAGCGCCGCAAATCGAGATACATGTCTCTGCAGTTTCACTGTCGATGTGTACCTTTGACCTCGAATTTTTGGTACCCTCAGAAGTCCAATGCATCATAATTTAATCGTTTTCGGGTCTAACACCGGCCTAAACATTGGCCTATAGGCCAATTTCGGTGAAAAATGCGCGTTTTGCGAGTTGAGCAGTCGAATGCTAGAAAAACTCGTAGCCTATCAGGCTGAACTAACGTCTTACATGGTGCATTGTCAACAATCTTGACCTCGTTTAAGTTGATTTTCCAGAACTAATTTGAGTTGTATGTCGATCAGGCACGTAGCCAGGATTTTGTTTCGAGGGGGGCTCAGTGGGATGAGCAGGGTTCTGCCCCCCCTCCACGGCTGAGGGGGAGTTCGGGGGGTATGGAATAACTCCCAGTTCAGATGGGGGGGGGGGCTGCAAATTTTTGAAATTTTGATTCTATTTGGACGCATTCTGAGGCTTCCGCGACGCAGATTTTCCATCAATTTCTGCCGAAAAATTACGTATCAATTCTTACTTTCAGCCTTCGATACCTTCAAATTGTTGCATTCAACGCATCTAGATAATTTGTGAAATTTTAAATCGATTTCGACGCATTTTGAAAGTTCAAACTTCCTCTTTTCTCGTCTTTTTGTATTTTCTGTCTCCCCTTTTCTTCACTTTTTCCCCCTTTTGTTGCTTTCGGAGGGGGCTTGGGCCCCCCAAGCCCCCCCTCTGGCTACGTGCCTGATGTCGATATACGATTAACTTCCTTATTTTTGGTTAACACATTCGACATCATTGTATGTATAGGTATACCGTCAGGTGAATCGTAGTGCACGTGTAACGTACTATGTATCCTAAATTTTATCAAAATAATATTTTGAGATGGTTACCTTTTTTATTAAATTCATTGCTAAACTGTCACCGCCCTCTCTTCTGGGTGGCTGATCACTCGATCCGCTGGTTCCTCTCGTAGAATCCTTCGGACCAATTGATGATACAGTGCAGTTTGGACTCCCGATTTTGCTCTCCAAATTTTTTATGGCTACTTTTAGTTTTTCTTCTTGTGCCAGTGTTGAATTCTGGAAAGACTGTAATGAAACGAAAAATTAGAGCCAAATCAAGAGGATAATTTTTTCTGTACAATCTTCGGTTCCTCATTGAAAAATAAATGAATCTGAAATCGACTTGTCCTCGGAAAAGTCATCTTTGTCACAACCTTTTCAGTTTTGACAAGCTAAAGTCTTCCCTCCACTAACATATCCTCTTTTTTGTGTTAACTTAAAAAATCCTTGTAAACAAGTCATACTCATAGTATGGGACATTTTTGGACCGTGAAGTATCTTAAAATTTCAAGAAAATTTGAAGGATTATCTTTCTCATTTTGAAGACTGGGCGAATTCGGCTAATTTTTCATGTATTTTCCAACTTGGAGCGCCGGCTTTCCTCGTGTCCTTCATCCCCCGCAGACAAATGTATCGCTTTAAGAAAAATCCTGTAATGAGAAGCTGCCTTCATTGAAACATTTTTCATACACTGGAAAAAAAAAAAAAAAACACATTGGATCTAGAGTCTAGACTCTTAAAAACATCGACAAGAAAAAGTACTCTTGATTCAATCAGAATCTAGCTTAAATCAAGAACCAAGCCTCTTAATTTAAGCGGATTTCGTTTTAATTCAAGCAAAAATCCGATTGAATCAAGAGTATGTTTTCTTGTCAATGTTTTCAAGAATCTGGACTCTAGATCCAATGTGTTTTTTTTTCCAGTGTACTGTCTTCACCACTGTCTCCATTATTAGTCCTTCTCAATTTTGACAATAATTTGTCAAAGTTGTGATGCCCTTGAAAAAATGTCTAAAAATTTGGCAGAATTCCAAATCGCAAACCATCATTAGAACACCGTAAATCACCGCATTTTTGACCGCTTGTGGCCGTCCCCAGAAGGCCTTCAGTACATTCTTAAGCCCTGTATAAACTGCAGCCCAGTAGATCTCTCCGTTCGCTCGCTCGTGAGTCAATGACACGTGACATCACTTTTCGGATAATTCAACGGTGAATAATGGAGCTTTTTGGGACATCCTCCGTTACTAGACACCATGCATTTGTCACCAAACTTTATCCGCTGTTTACAACGCGGTTGAACTCGAAAATGTTTAGCCACTGCCGCCCCCCCCCCCCCCCCCCCCCCCCCCCCNTCGCCGTGAATCTGTCCCCGCACGGCAATTGGCACATGGTCATCTGTTGAAATATAAGAGTCGTTAGACGTGTATAAATCATGTATTTATCTCGCTGTAAGATGTATTACTTGCATGAGTTTGTTTCGCGTTTCCAAACTGTGACGGTTGGTCTCGTTCAGAGCGGCCGAGATGTTCGAGAACTCCGTCTTGATGCTCCGCTCTTGGAGTTCGATTCGACTTTGTATGCTGTCGGATGCCGTCTGAAATCGGAAAGAGAGGGGTCAATTTATATGGAATGGATCAACAATTACAACAACAACAGAATGAACCTAAATTCAGAAACGCATTCGTGAGATTATCAAAAACGAAATTTTTTCTTCTGATTTTTCCGAATTTTATTTTTGATACGGAGGAAAATTTCAAAAAGGAGGGGTGCCGATTTGGGAGGGCCCAGATCAGCCCTATACGAATTTGTGGAATTCCAGCGGTTCTAGTTTTTTTTCCAATTATGTACTGTTCCAAATTCTTTGGCAACCCTGTTCACTTGCATGCTCGTTGCCTGCCGAAAATCATTTCTAAACAACGAATCCTTATTCGAAATCACGTGAAAGTTATATTACGCTGAAAAAAAGGAAAAATGCCAATTTGGCAACACCCAATACTCATTGCCCGGCCGATGCATTTTATTTTTTACGAGTGTGCGCGCAATTGGGTGGCTAGATAATTTTCAATGTTCTCGCTCCAAAGGGATCCTCCAGCTGCTGTTAATTTTTACAGCGAAAAAGAGAATGATTTTATAGCTTCTTAATTTGTGCTGACGTCACGGTTTTTATGCTGGAGAATCCTACGAACTGTTTTTGGAGCGGTCGTTGGGCGCGGTGAGAGCTTGCAAAAGTTGTATTGTTGTCCTCAACATTTTATGGTGGATATTGCTCAGATTTTATCTCCAAATCGTAGCTATCAGTGGGATAAAAGTCTCTTGGTTCTAAGTCCAGATTCCTAAAAAAATTGACAATAAAAAATACTCCTGACTCTGTTGCATTTTTGCTTGAATCCAAAGGAAATCCGCCTAAATTAAGAGGCTTAGCTCTCGATTCAAGCGAAAATACCGTTAATTCAAGAGTATTATTTCTTATCAAGTTTTTTAAGAGGCTGGTCTCTGAATCAAAGCGACTTTTTTTCTAGTGTACGTTATTTCTTGACTTTTATTTATCTTAAGAGAAAACTCATCATGTTTTCTTTACAGAATTTTAGTGCGTCCTATTAATTTTAAATTAAAACATGAAAGTGAAGGGGAAAAATGGGAAAATCCGTGAGGCTGTTTATGCACCTGTAATCTGTCGTTTGCGGCTTCCAGAAATCCAATTTTTCTGCTGATCCTCTCATACTGTGCATCCAATTTTCGGGAGAGTTGGTCAAAAGCCAGGTCTTCTTTCAGCGCTTTGTTAAGGAAAGTCTAAAATCATATGAAACAAAGTCACCGTTAATGCGATTCTAGATGGAAAGAGAAAGAGAAAGAAAAAATAAGAAAGAAGTGGAACAGTTGTATCGTCGTGAAATTACACGCTTACTCTAAACTCACTCAAGAATTAGCTCTCTACTAAACGGGATTTTAACGTCATGTCAGTTTGCCTTCAATTGTTTGTCTAGGCAACACAAGCTCCCACGTGGTCGAATAGTGGTATCATCCCCCATACGTTAGTACGACGGTTTCTGTCGGCGCATTTAGTGTAAACACGATAACTTTCGTTAAAATCGCCTCAAGTTATTCAAATTTTGTATGGAATGCCTTCCGGTTCATAGGAGAGGAAGGAAAGAAGGAGTGAGAAATAAGTAGAAGAACAGAGCAAAATCACGGTCATTTTCAAAAATTGACGTTGAGTAGTTTTCCTTATAAATCGTCGCTTGACTGACGTAAGGGCGTAACTACACATTGAGATGAGCCCGGAAAAGCATTGCATTGTACGGAAGACACGGTTCATTGCAGAATGTAGTTACGCCTTTATGTCAGGTAGGCAACGAAATAATAAAGTATGATAGGACGTTTGCAACGTCGCGAACCGAGATACCTGGTCTGATAGTTTCACCGGCGATATTCATAACTTCCCTCAAAAATAAATAATGTATCGGGGGAAGTTTGGCATTCTTCGGGTGCTCATAGAGCGTTTTTCCTCGGCACGGCTGGCGCGGCGCTGAATGATTGACTATCGATATGTTCCCAGTTGAAGCTGTCGTAAGAATTGATTGTTAAAGTGTTGGTGGTGAGCACCCTGTTCATCGATCCTTTCCCATAGGCTTAAATGACAGATCAATCTAATCACAAGGCATGCCACGCTACTCTGCCGTGCTTAGGAAAAACGTCGTAAGAGCCTCCGGGCGTTGCCAAATTTCCGCCGATAAAATACGAATTTTTAAGGAAACTGTTGAATTCTCCCCTCCCCCCTCCCCAATTTTTCTGAGAATTTCACTCGCAGTTTGATTCAAAGTATATGTGAACATTTCAAGGAAAAATATTCGTAACTTTCCTCAAAAATAATTGTGTTATTAGGGCAGGGTTGCCATCGTCAGGGAATGCCGCGAGGACCGGGAAATGTCAGCGAATTTTAAAAAGTCAGGGGAAACCTGGAATTGTCGGGGAAAAATTTTCAAATCACCTTTATTTGCTTTCTAGACTAAGTTTGACATTTCAACCAATAGATTTTGCGTGAACCTCATACATCTGGCATATCTTCAATTACAAGATGCCAGATTCATTTTGCCAAGATGTGTCAGGGAAATCAGGGAAACGTCAGGGAATTTCATTTTCTTCATTCTGTGGCAACTCTGTACTAACTTTTCTAAAAAATAACTGTGTTATCAGGGGAAATTTGGCAACTCCTGCAGGCTCGTACGGCGTTTTTCCTTAGCACAGGAGTACTCTGACGTGCTAAGTAAGAACACTGTATGAACATTCGAGAGTTGCCACATTTCCTTCGATAAAATGTTCATTTTCGAGGAAACTTGCGAATATTTTCCCTTGAATTTTCAGGACTTTTCGGTGGAATTGCGAGCAAACTTGTCCGAAAAATCGGAAGGAAAATACTCACAAGCTGCCCAGGAAATTCGTGTTTCATCGAGGAAAATTTGGCAACTCCTGCAGGCTCGTACGGCGTTTTTCCTCAGCTCGGGAGTACTGGGAAGCACCCTCGCCGCCCTCTCGGCCAGGGGCAGCATCCCCGGTCGGATCCAGGGATCGGGGTTGGAGCGCGGACGAAAGGCGGGCTCTCGGGGCCGCGGGGAGCTCGGGCCTACGTTCTCATTATTGTCGTTTTTTTTAATTGGAGATGTTAATTGATGATTTATGGGCTCGGAGAATTCACCCAATTAGCCGCGGCGCGAGAGCCGTCATTGTGAGCGCGGATCCCTGGGTGTCGCCCCCACTTCCCGCGGGGCCCCAATCCCACTCCACCCCTATGGCCCGGGCCCTATCCTCGCCGATTGTTTTCACGTACGCCGAGCTCCCGTCCCGGAGCCACGAGTCAGCCCGCACCACATATGCTCGTCCCGTGTATCGTAGCCCGAGGGTCACTCGCATATGTCCCCGAATCCACAGCCCATTACTGCTCTGCCGTGCTAAGGAAAAACGCCGTATGAACATTCGAGAGTTGCCAAATTTACTTCGATGCAATGTTCATTTTTGAAGAAAGTTATGAATATTTTTCCTTGAAATTTTCAGAATCTTCAGGTGAAATTGTGAAAAAAAATGATCTGAAAAATTGGGAGGAATATATTCACAAGTTTACCAGAAAATTCGCGGTCTATGAAAGGAAATTTGGCAACGCCTGAAGGTTCATACGGCGTTGCCAAATTTTCTTCGGTAAATCGCCAATTTTCGGGAAAATGTGTGAAGATTTTTCCTCCAATTTTTCCGACAATTTTGTTCGCAATTTCACCTAAAGTTCCTGAAAATTTCAAGGAGAAATAGTCATAGCTTTCTTCAAAAATAACTATTTTCTAAGAGGAATTTGGCAACTCTCGAATGTTCATACGGCGTTTTTCCTCAGTACGGCAGATTAGCTATCCATCAAGGTGGGCATCAAAGAGAAAATGAGAGTCCGCATTGAATCGGAAAAGTGCGTGACCAACTGACCACCAGATCTTTCAGCCTCTCAGCCAATCAAATCACGCAAGTAGTAGTGATCGAGATAAGTTGCGATTTGATCGGAGAACGTATTGCGATTTTATGGACGTCGATTTATTGCAATATTACCGAATTAAAAATTGCGATTTTATCACAAAAATTTGCAATAAAATCGCGATTTTATCGACGGCGATTTATCGCAATATTATATCGAACGAAAAATCGCGATAAATTGAGATTAATTTCGATTTTATCAAACGCGATTTTATAGAGATAATATTGCAACAAGATTGAGGGTAATCGCTCAGACGTTGATAACCCTAGCGATTTTATCGCCAAAAAGTCGTAAAAGAATCGCAACTTAATTTAAAAATATCGCGATTTCTCCGTTGATTAATGTTACCTGGGATACACCCGACGACCACTTTTGAATTCACTATGGAAAACAACATGAAAAATCGAAAACCATATATTTTTTTCGAATTCAGCCGATTTTTCGGAGAATAGATGTCCATGACTGATTGGAGCTCTTGCATGCGTGAGGAATTTGCGATTAAAGTACTTGCTTGCACGTAAAATTTCGCGAAAAACACGATGGTGTCATTGGTTTTCTCTGAACTCAACTCCAAAGCTCGAAGAAAGCTCTCTAAGTTGAGGCTGTCATGTAGAGGATATCCCGAGCTACCCTCAGACTTCAGAGTCAACTCTATCAAGGCAAACTCTCCACGCAAAGATAGGGAGCAAATACATTAATAGGGTTGCCACTTTATTTGGGGACTCTAAATCTGAAAACACGGTAACCTTGCTAATGTATTTGCTCCTTAACTTTGCATAGAGAGTTTGACCAGTTATAGAGGTGGACTCACAGGGTAGCGTGGGATACCTCCTCCATTACGGCCTCAACTTTGAAAGCTTTTTTTGAGCTTTAGAGTTGATTTCATATGATTGATTATGTATCTTTTTCACGATCCCACGTAGCATTTTTCAATGAAAAAATCGCGATATTTTGCGATTTCATCGGCGATAAAATCGCTAGGATCATCAACATCTGAGCGAGTATCCTCGATCTTATTGGAATAAAATCACGATTTTATCGCTCGACAATTTATTGCGATATTTTCGAAATAAAAATCGCGATAAATGGCGATTTAATTTCGATTATATCGACGCAAATTGATCGCGATTTTATCGAGCCAAAAATCGCTATGTGTAGCGATTTAATCGCCGTATATCGCAATTTTTAATGCGATTATATCTCGATGTATTGCCACCGATATAATCGCGATAACCAACCGATACAATCGCTATTTATCGCGATTACTGCTACTTGGGATCCGGCATATCTTCAATTGTCAGGGAACTTCACCAAAATGTGTCAGGGACTGATCAGGACTGATCACACTGAAAAAAAAACTCCGGCCGTGGGAGCCGCAATTACGGGCTATATAGACATACCGTCCGTTCCGGGCTCAAAGGCCGAAAATTCCGGGTGCTGTAGGCTTAGCTTCGATTGCTCCGGGTTCAGAGGCCGAAGCTACGGCTCCAGCATCCGGAATTTTCGGCCTTTGAGCTCGGAACGGACGGTATGTCTATATGTATAGCCCGTAATTGCGGCTCCCACGGCCGGAGTTTTTTTTCAGTGCAAGCTTTTGTTCGCGTTTGTAAATTTTGCAACGCCTTCATGGAAGACATCGGCGTATGGAACATTTACACTACTCGAGCAAGAGCAACGTTTCTAATGAGCTGTCGATATCCGTCTCTTGGATAGTGACCCCAGCTCCATTTCTCTCGTGTCAAGTAGAGTCTGGACATGACTTTGAGTTAGAGCAGGGCGCGCGGTCAAGACTCCGGCATGCGCGACCCCAACCTTCCGTCTTCCCTCAATCGAGCCGATTGCCAATCGCCCGCCAAAAACATCATAAGCTCGCGTCATTCCTTCGCAAAATCAGCCGCTTATTTCAGGATCTAGGCAGCTACGCCATTCCATCTGTGCTTCGCTGAAAACGCCGGCCTGGTTTTTGTTCGTCGGCAAATCAGCTCGCAATCGAACGACTTAATTACAAAAGAACCCAAGTGCTACGAGATTCCTCTGTCGTTAATGCTTTTATTCACTTAAGCCGTTCAAGTGCGATTGTTGCGTAGTGGCAGCCACGAATTCCACCCTTGCCGATCTTGTTGAAAAAGTCTCAGCTAGTCTGGAATCAACTATTTTTTCGTCGTAGATCAGTGAATTATTTTTTACAGGCGGCAACCATGCTTGCATAAAAACAAAGCTACTAGGTTGCAGTTTTTCTGCCGATGGATTTTGGTCAAGTTTTATTCCTATTCAAGGGGGCTCTGTTCTTAATCAATGATTAATGACCGATAGCTTTGAATTGTGAGAGAAAATTGATGAAGGGGCTTTTAAAAGAGTTGTCGCTTACAATCAGGCGGGACCAAAAACTTTAGGAGTTCTGGTTAAACTCAAGACGAATGAACTGACGCGTAGATCCGGCTATTCAGTTAGTTATGCTGAAGTGACCTGATGCATGCAGAAAGTTGAACATGCGTGCATGAAGTTATTTTCAATACAATACCATTGTGCGGATCATTTCAGTACATCAGAATGATGAATTTCAAAACTAACAAGCCCATTCACCAAATGGGATCTTTGTAATAAAACAAAAATTGCAGAACCGTTTTGCATTTGATCAACATTTAAGGACCTCGATATACCCTCAAACTTTTACGGGATGCTCCCCGGAATTACCCCGTGAAAATAGACGAATTCAGACTGGCGTATCAGAGAGTACAGTTCATGAGATACGGATGTGAGTAAAAACGCGGTAGGAACATCCGAATGTTTCCGAATTTTCACCGATAAAATAGTTAATTTTGAGTATAGTTCAGAATGTTTGTCTTCGAAATTTTCGGATACTCACTAATAAAATTATCTCAAAAATTGAAAGAAATTGGTAAATTTTACTCGCTTTTGATCCATAGTATTATTAGTAAGTTTCGAACAAAAAATGTGAACAATTTCCCTAGAATATTCTCATTTCATCAATGAAAATTTTGCTGCGTTCCAGGGCTTATAGCGCATTCTTTCCCAGTACGACAGGATAAGTTACGATTTATTTTCACTAGAACCATTGGAAAAGGTTATGCTGTATTGTTTAAATCTAATTATATTTAAACTACACCTATTCGAGGTCTGGTTCTATCACTTCTTGGTATCGTCCAACCTCTCGGTATTTGCCGTGTACCTTGAGCATCTGCCAAAATTTAACTACAAAATTTTGTATATTTACCTCTGATTTTTGGTTTTTCAAGTTTTGATTTTCCCTCACAATGGTGTGGATTGAGAACCGTTCCATCACCTTGTTACTTTGAATTTTAACCAGAGATTAAGGTTTTTATCCCTTAAATCGTCGCTTGGCTGACAGAAGGGCGTAACTATGCACTTAAAGAGAGCCCAGGAAAGCGCTAAGACTTTTGGACAATATGGTTTCTCGCAAAGTGCAGTTGCGCCCTTTTGTCACCCAAGCGACGGAATGTCCCACCAGAGTCTAAAATGTCATTCTGACAGTACAATTTAGTGTCTAAGCCCCGAAATTCCCCCAGGTAACATTTGCAGTTTTGCTTCTTCAAATGTATTAAGAGGTAATAGAATCGGATCTCAAGAGAGAATCGCTTTAGTGGTATCATGTCTTATTTTGACCGTAGCTTGCAATAAGGAATCATTTCTTCATAGTTCATCTGCAGATACACTTATCCACTGACACTGGAAGGAAAAAACACATTGGATCTTGAGTCCAGACTCTTAAAAACATCGACAAGAAAAAATACTCTTGATTCAATCAGATTTAAGCTTAAATCAAGAACCAAGCCTCTTAATTCAAGCGGATTTCCTTTTGATTTAAGCTTAAATCTGATTGAATCAAGAGTCCTTTTTCTTGTCAATGTTTCAAGGGTCTGGACTCTAGATCCAATGTGTTTTTTTTTTCCAGTGCAGGAAAACTCATGGCCCTGATGTTGGTACACTCAGAAGCACCATCACATTTCTTTATATTTGTTTCATCTGTGCCCCAGATGGCTGATAAAATGCAGCCTGAAATTTACTTTTCTAGCCCTACGTGCCCTACGGCATGAGCTAAGAAACTTACTTCGCGTTGACCACCTAACTATGACTACATGTCCTCTTAAGCTCTCGCAAGTCACTCCATGATATTTTATCTAAGTGCAGATTTTCTAACTCTTATAATCCGGTATCGCGAATTCAGTGTAGTTAGATGTATGCAGTCCAAGTAACGCGACAATTACCCCATTCATTTTGTCCATGCGCTGTTGCACGGTGGCGTCCAGACGCGATAGCCGGAACTCGATGCCCTCCAACTTGCGCCCAATGTGCTCCAGGCTAAGCTCGCACTTTGCCGCGCTTTTTCGGATCCCGTCCAAATTTCGCAGCTGCTCCTCCACCTAGAACAGTAGACGAGAGTACGCATAAATTTTCAACGTTGCCAAACGTTAACCGAAGCCCACGAAATAACTGAAGACTTACCCCCGAACTCGAAGGTAACGGATTACTGAAACTGAGCTTTCGGCTTGAAATTTTTTCGTAAAAAATGGAGGAAAGATCGAGTTTTCCCCCTTTTCTTGTAAGACTCATAAATTTTTCATTTTTGTAACAAGTGAGTCCAGCTTAAAGGGTTTTTCTTAAAAGTTATTCTGTCTTAAATGTTTGAACATGGTTCAATTCTGCCGTGATAAGGAAGAACGTCCTATGAACCATCAAGCGTTGCCATATTTCATCCGATAAAAAATTATTTACTGGGAAAATTGTGAATATTTTCCCCCGAATTTTTCAGAAAATTTCGCACACAATTTAATCCAACAAATCCAAAAATTTCAAGGAAAAAAACGCACAACATCCCTTAAAAATATACTTTTTATCGGGGGAAAAAAGTGTCAACTCTCGAATGTTCCTACGGCATTTTTCCTTAGCATGGCAGAATTGCTTGCTGCCCAACTTACCATAGTCAGTTTTGTTATTTTTCGGACAACGTATGTATATTCCTAATGAATCTACAGCTCCTCAAAAATGTTCAATATGTAATTTAAAAACTAAAAAAAAATTCTATTTTTATCCTTCTTTTCTTAAAAGGAAGCTCAATTTTCAATTGAAAGTAAACGAGAAGCAAATGAAAAGACGATTCACCGAAAATCGCGCCCAGCTCGTGTGTCGTCGTGCCCTTTAACTCTTGTTAAAATTAATGAATCATATAGCCGCTTGAAATTTTATTGCTCTGCTCCCAGCGTCTAATTGGGCCAAAAATAGTGAAGTGAAACTAACCAGCATTAGAGAGGGTCAACGCTTTTTCCAGTATCTCCTTGCAAATTGAAAGAACTGACTGCATTTGTTTACAAGGAGCGCATTCTATTTCGGTCTTGTTATTGTTTTCTCATTTAACGTGCACGGTGCTCCTAGTCCAGATTGATTTTTGCACCGGGAAAAAGTGCTCTCACGTCAAGTTGGCGTCGGATCAAATTTTGACCAAAAAGTTGGTTTGTTCATTCTCCTGAGTACTCTGTATTTTTATCCGCGGGCAAAGCTTAAACAAACTTATGTGATGTACACGTTTATTGATATTGCTCGAGAGCTCTTGTGGAGTGGCAGTTCATCTCTTAACTCGGAATTATTCACTAAGCCCCCCCCCCCCCCCCGCCGCCCCCCCTGCCGCCGCCCCCCCTGCCGCCGCCCCCCCTGCCGCCGCCCCCCCTACCCCCCAATTCCTTGTATGTCCTTCTTTCATTGAACTTTAGAATCGTGCAAGGCAGACGTAAACATTGGCCTCCTTAGGATGAGGATTGGTAATGTAAGGATGACACAGGACGCACCGTGACCGGTGGGGGGGGGGGTGTCTGAGATGTGGAGTGCCCCTTCAGCAAGAGTGCGGTCCATGATTCTTCCCCAAATTTTTTTGAAAATTAGCGCACCTCATTGATAAATTGAATAATTTTTAAGAGAATAGACTTTATTTTTTTTACATTTTTTTTTTTTATTTTTTTTTTCTACTTCAAGTAGCCCACAAGGGCTAATCCTGCGCTTTAAGTCCCAACCCTCCTCCGTCCCTATTGAACCAGTCCGAGGCAACCCTTATTGTTAGAGACTATCAAACTCGGGTCGCCTGGCCGGGAATCGAACCCGACATTTATTGCATGAGATTCTGTATTTCATCCGTTTTGATGGGCTAATGAAGCAATCGTGAGGTCTTCCATTATATGTAGTTTGTCTTTAAGACAACTATTGAGTCTCAATTTGTCCGATTTATAAAAAAACAGAAAAATATCTCAGCATTTTTACGTACCCACAGGTTAAAAAAAAAAGTAAATTAATGAAACAAGGCTTCCTAAAATATTAAAGTTATCATGTTTCAACGATTAGTTCCCAATGCAAGATATTCGAGACAGTGCTTTTTATCAAACCTTAGGATAGACTTTTAGTTTTTTCAGTGAACAATGGTTGGGGTCTCAGCGGCAGGGGCATAACCAGTAGTGTCATTTGGCGGAAAAAACCACAGAGAGCACAGGAACTTTTGGCATTTTACAGCAAGTACCACTCGAAAATTTTTAGTTTCGACTTCCTAAGAAAGCCAAGTACTAATTGCTGTCCCTGCCGGGATCTTTGGAAGAAAACGCCGGGAATTTAGATTTGGACTTGTTTCTGCAGAACGGAACTAAGCGCCAATTTGAGGTCCCTTCGAGGATTTTAGAATCACGGATAGCGCTCTCTGTTAAACGGAACAAAGCGCCATGGAAAAGAATTGTGAGCTTGGGACGGAATGAGCTCCGGGGTCCGCAGCACTCGCCAATCCAACCCGCTTCCTCCCTCTATGGCGCTTAGTTCCGTTTAGAGAACTGCACAAACCGACTAAGACACGGAAAGAAAGACATGAATTTTACACGTCTAAAAGTGAACTCTGAACGGTTGCAAGTGTATGAGAGGGGAAAAGTTGAAGAATCACAGAAAACCGAAAAAGTTTGAAGAAAGTCAAGAAACTTTGACCACAATTGCGATTTTTTTTAAGTGTCTTTCTAGGAACAAGACATGGCAAAGAGTTCTTCTTTAGTTTAACGTGAATTTTATTTCCTCTAAAATGTCAGAGAATCCTGGTTTAGTTCAAACTTATTCGGTCAAACTAGGAAGAGACTCTGTCTCTTCACACACAGAAACTTTTTGTCCTTCGGAGTCAGTCATTTTTTATTACGGTGAAGCTAAAGACAATCACGGAAAACTCAGAGAACTCTCACACTCGTAGTCAGGATTTTCTTATTTGGAGTAGGGGATAAGGGAGGTGGTGCTCTGAGAGCAGGATTACTCCCCGGAGGTGATGATAGGAGATATGAGAAGTACCTAAAGAAAAATTTAGGAATACCTATCAATGGAATATCTGGGTGTCATGACGTAAGTAGCCAGGTATTTTTTTGGTTTATCAGCGAAAAGTTAAACGGAGAAAAAACTTTGCACTGAAAAAAAAATCTCGGTGTATTTACTAAAAAAAGGGCAAAATTACCAAGAATTCAGAGTTCTATTTGATCCCAGTTTTTTCTTGGTAAAATTACCACCTATGGAATTGGTAATTTTACCGAGAAATCTCGGTAAAATTATTGAACTTTCTCGGTAATTTTACTGGACCTTGGTAAAAACGCCGAGAATCTTTTTTCAGTGTGTCGCAATGTCGAAATTTCGGCTCGCATATGGTACCGACGTTTTTGGCTCAGGTAAACTAGGTTTCTGGTCGAAGGAACTCAAATCGGTAAAAATAACGGAAGTTCTCCGTAAAAATAATGTGTTTTCATCTGAACCGAAACGGGTTCCTTATACCCAAAAAATTCAAGCAACTGGGCAGAAAACTTTGAAGTGCCTTATGGACTGAGTTTTCTTTCTCCGCGCAGGGAAATTGGAAAGAACCTCCCATAAAAGAGTATTTTTCTGGCCTTCTCAGGTATTTGGGATTTCATTGACTATTTCGGCTAACATAGAACCTTTTATGATGATACAAGCTTCTGGTAAAAGTTGTGTGTAGCTTGAGCTGAAAAATGTATTTGGCGTTACAGCATCAACAATTTTCCATTTTCAGTATTAACTGATGCTAAATATAGGTGCAGCATATAGAGATACTAGAAATGTAAGCTTTGTATTACTGTATCGCCTAAACCACTTTTGAACTCAAGCATTAAATTTTACTATACAAGCTTTTTCCTTTATGAGGTTTCATTTTAGTCCCGTTTCAATCAAAACCCCGGGTAAGGATCTCAGTGATAATTTTCCAGGAAAATTTTAGGAGAAAACCACGTATGAATAGGGAAATTTTTGGGAGCTTTTTCCCTGGACATGCAACCCTGATTTTCGGACAATACGCACATCCCAAGTAGCATTTCTCAACGGAAAAATCGCTATTTATTACGATTTTATCGGCGATAAAATCGCGAAGATCATCATTATCTGAACGATTATCCTCGATCTTATCGCGATAAAATCGCGCGTTTATCGCCCGACAAATTACCGCGATATTTTCGAAATAAAAATCGCGATAAATGGCGATCTAATCTCGATTTTATCGAACCAAAAATTGCGATATGTAGCGATTTAATCACCATATATCGCGATTTTTAATGCGATAATATCTCGATATAATCTCGATGAACCGATAAAATTGCTATTTATCGCGATCATTGCCACAAGTAATAGCCCACATTTTGCAGAATTTTTCGGAACGTTTCTGGAGATTGTCTGATCTTTATATCAGGAAATTCTCGTTCTTGGTGCCCGATTTTATCTGTAAAGTACCTAGAACCCTCGACGGTGGCTTTTTGAGAAAAGAGGGAACTTTTTGGGAGCTTATTCTCCGGACATGCAACCCTGATTTTCGGATAAAACACACATAGAAAAGCATTACGGTGCTGCCATTTCCCCATTCCCTCCTGAATCCCCGGAATTTTCAACTATTTTCGGAATTTCCTCGAAATTTGCAGCTTTCCGCTAATTTGACCATTTATTTGATAAAACTTAGGGACTTTTTGATCAAATTTGACGATCCTCGGGACTAAATCCGAGTTAGGTTGGAAAAACTGGAAAAAAACACATTGTATCTCGAGTCCAGACTCTTTAAAACATATACAAGAAAAAATACTCTTGGTTCAATCAGATTTAAGCTTAAATCAAGAACCAAGCTTCTTAATTTGAGCGGATACCCTTTTGATTCAAGCTTAAATCTGATCGAATCATGAGTCCTTTTTCTTGTCAATGTTTTCGAGAGTCCGGACCCTAGATCCAATGTGTTTTTTTTTCCAGCGCTGTCTCGTAACTTTGGCAAATCGGAATATCGACGGTGAAACTACCAAACCACGTATCTCGTTTGCGGTGTTTAAAAATCCACGCTCACATCTTATTTTTTTGAAGTAGACCAAATCAATATCATTCCTTGAAATTTTCACGGAATTTTCTCCGCACAAAGAAGAAAAATCACAGAAATTTTCAAGACTGGGCGTTAAGTAGTTTTTCATTTAAAAAATAAAGTGTGACAGGAAGTCTGCGACGTCGCAAACCGAGATACGTGGTTTGGTAGTTTCACCGTCGATATGTTTCCGGAAATGGGAATTATTTCGGGATCTTTTGATAACAAGAAAATGAGAGCACTGAAAAGGAAGAAAGTTGAGAAATTTGCCTACCTACCAAGGCGTCGGTGGCGGGGCCAGGGATGGTCGGGCCGGGGGGCTTGAAGGCGGGGGGGTCCGGCTTGGCGAGCCTGGCGTCGTTCCTCATGGTCACCGAGCCGGCCAGCGTGACCAGGATCACCGCGAGCCTGGAGAGCGGAAAAGCCGGGAGCCCGGGAAAGCGGGAAAACTCGAAGAGGGAAAAGCACAAGAACGGAGGCGCGGAACTGGTCTGATGGGGCCGGGTCCGGCCGTCCCCACCCATATCGCTCGCTCGACTGCCCCAAGCCAGGCTCCTGCACAGAGGCTCCTCTCCGCCCGTCCCCTAGCGCGGTCATCCCGAAAATGCCCCTATCCGTACTCGCCGCCAGCGCCCAGCATCCTCCTAACCCCCTCCCCCTCCCCCCGGGCTACTCTGTCGCTTGACGGAGCCCCTCACTTGCGCCTAGCACTCCAGCACTCAAGCATATTCTGCCGTGCCAAGGAAGAACGCCGTACGAGCCTTCAGGCGTTGCCAAATTTCTCCTGGCAAATCGCGAATTTTCAGATTTTTTTTTTAATATCAGGGTTGCCACGGTCAGGGAATTCAGGGAAAACCTGGAAAAGTCAGGGGGAAAAAAGTGCTCCGGAAAACCTGGAAAAGTCAGGGAATTTGACCAAAAACAGCTTAAAGTCAGGGAAAAATTGACAATTTTCACGAGTTGCTTAGGCCTTGTCTCCACGGGACGTTTTCATGGGATTTGTCCCAAGTTCGAATCGCAGGAATGAAACTTCTGGGATTTTTCCCAGTTACCGTCTCCACGGGACGGGGCTTATACAGTCCTGCGACTAGTTTGCGCGGGAAGATAAATCAGTTATAGTCGAGTATTTAACCGGGATTAAAATAATAATTGCACTCAATTGACAATTAGACACATTATTTTAACTAAACAAACATGATCAATGCAGTAATGAATAAAATATCGCACAATTCGTTTTCACTTCTTCTTCCTCTCTCAGTGGGTCCTAGGGATACAAGTACCATACTTGGTACTGGGGAAAATATTGATTAACTCAATATTTTTCCCAACTTCGTAAGTGGGATTTTTCCCTGGGACAAATCTCGTGAAACGGCTCGTGGAGACAAGGCCTAGCACTCCAGCACTCAAGCATATTCTGCCGTGCTAAGGAAGAACGCCGTACGAGCCTTCAGGCGTTGCCAAATTTCTCCTGGCAAATCGCGAATTTTCAGAATTTTTTTTTGAATATTTTTCTACCAATTTCTCAGATAATTTTGTTCGTAATTTGATCTAAAACTTTTGAAAATTTCAAGGAAAATTACTCATAATTTTCCGCAAAAATAAGCCTTTTATCGCAGGAAATTTGGTAACTCTCGAATGTTCATGCGGCGTTTCTCCTCAGCACGGCATTATTGCTCTCGTGTTGAAGAAAAACGGCGTATGGACTTTCGAGAGTTGCCTTTCCCTCTAAGGAAGTCATGCATGCTTTCCTTGAAATTTTCAGGTATTTAAAATTGAATTGCACACAAAATCGTCCGAAAAATTTGGAAAAAAAAAATATATTAAATTTTCTTAGTAAATTCGTCTTTTTTTGAAGGTAATTTGGCAACGCCTGGTTCATACGGCGTTCTTCCGTAGCATGGCAGTTACGGCAGTCTAGCACTCCATCTCCATCGTATTGCTCCCGTGATGAGGGAGAATGCCGCGTGCGCCTTTAGACGTCCCAAATTCCCTTTGATGAAAAACGTTTACATTAATTTTCTTCAGAAAATTTTATTTTCGATTCCATCGAATTTACCTCAAAATTTTCAAGAAAAATATTCTTAAATTTCCTCAGAAATATACATTTTATCGGGTGAATTTGACCAGCGCCCGAATGTCCCGATCGTAATGCTGCCGTATTCAAGAAGAGCACAGTATGAGCCGTCAGATGTTGCCAAATTGGACTGCATTTTGCAATTTGGAACTATAAATTCTAGCCCGGTTTAAAACCAACGTAAGTGCCATTAGTTTCCCTATGCACATAAAAGTTTTTCCAGAAGAGCCAGAATTTATAGTTCCAAATTACAAAATTCAGTCCAATTGTCGAAATACGACTTTTCAGGGAGGCTCGTGAATATTTGGACTGCATTTTGCAATTTGGAACTATAAATTCTAGCCCGGTTTAAAAACAACGTATGTGCCATTAGTTTCCCTATGCACATAAGTGTTTTTCCAGAAGAGCCAGAATTTATAGTTCCAAATTGCAAAATGTCGTCCATTTCGAAGTCATCACTTTCGAAAACTGTTATTCCCTCGAAAGTCCCCTCATCTCTACTAAATCCGGCCCTGCTGCCACTATCCAGGATACCACATGTTCAAACAAGAACTATAAAATTAATTGACCTCAAGTCTTCACTTATCCCACCCCTGTCAAAAGGAGCAGTTTATGATTTTATATTTTCCTGAGAAAAACTCAGAATTCTCAATCTTTGTCTCATGATATTTTTATTCTGTGTTTCAGGCAGAGCTGATCAATCTCCGAGAGGAGATAGTTGAAGCAAAATCGCAAAACGACAATCTAAATCGTGAGCTGCATTTGCTCCTGGTGCAGCTGCATACATCTCAGCTGGGTAAATTGGACGAGGATAACTCCGCTGTAATTAAACAAAGACTAGAGGATGATTTGGCTCATCGATCTCCAACTCATAGAGCTCTTATTACAGGTATGTATTTAGGATTGGAACTGGTGCTTCAAAGAAAGTGTCGTATGGTGGTGGTGGTGGTGGTTTTGGGNGGGGGGGGGGGTTGTTAATTGGCTGTAGAGGTGAGACAAAACGGCCATCGCAAATACAAAAATCTTTATAAATACTTGAGCATCGCTACCCGATCGTATAGTGGTAAGTAGAGGCTGCAAATCTATCTACCTAATGATAGAAAAATGATGCAAAAAATAGAGGATGGGACACAGGAAAAAAGATGAAGAAACATGGCCGGATTTAATGCCGCTCATGGGCCGCCTGTATTTTGCCGCCCTCTTCTCATTCATTTTGAAACATCAATAAAAACCATCAAGGGAACGTGCCGGAGGGAGAAGGGTGCATAAGACGCCTTCACTCGTGCTGGACACATTTTTTGCGTAAGCCCTGCCAACTCTACTAGCAAAAGTTCACGGAACTTCGCGCGAAAGTTCAGTTCCGTAAACCTATCTCTGTGGGGACAAGGCCTTTCATTCGTAAGAAATGAACTAAAAAATTAAGAAAGAACAAACATAAATGTGGTTTAATAATTTTAACTTCCGCCGCCGTGCCGCGCTGACCACACTGTGTTTGGCGCAATGAGTGAAGTATTCATGTAGTCTTGTAGGCACTGTGCGTTTCACGCCGCGTCAACCGCTGTCGACCGTACTGTGTTTGACGTTATGCGTGAAGTATTCATGCAGTCTCGTAGGCGCTAATATGTGTTACATGCCGACCGCCGCGTCGAGGGCTTCTCCTTTTCATCTGAAGTCCTCGTCATTATTTCTCTTGGCGCCGCGCCGCTCCAGGCCAAATTACGTGTTTGCTTTCTCTCTTAACTCAACTAATTAAAGGTGCGCAGTCTTTTGTATCACCGAAATACGACAAAATTAGAAATTAATGAACTCTCAGGAAATGAGAGATTTTGTCACCTTTTCTTGTTTGTAATTTTTTTCTGAATTCGATTTTTTTGTACCTGCATTAAAAAAATTGCAAAATTTGCCGCCCCCTAATTTTGCCGCCATGGGCCGCGGCCCATGTGGCCACCACCATAATCCGGCCCTGTGAAGAAACTTAGAATGTGAAAAAGTTAAATCGGAAAATTCAAGCAGAGATAGGAATCAGGAAAAAAAAGTCAGGCCAATGTAAATGGCTTCAATATCCATTTATTGTGTCTGCAGTTCCTGGCACCATAACAGGAACAATGCTCGCCATATATTTACCTACGTATTGTATCTTGCTGAAATTATAGTAGTGAACTTTAAATAAAACGAACTATTCTGCTCATAATTTTTCTAATATATTTTCTTTAAACAATTTTTACCAACACAAATCTGAAAAATGAAGTAAGTTGTCTTGCCCCCTAATAAAAAACTGTGAAGATGAAGAATCTCTCCACGTTAAAAGACGAGAACCCAACAGAAAAACATTACCAAGGACGAAAGATTTGTAAAAAGTTTTTGGATTTTTGTTATTTATGCCCAGTCCATTCAAGTTTATTTTTCCTTCAACTTTTAATCACAACTGTTGAAACTGCAGGTCTGCATGGCATGAATTGAACAAAGCAACTCTTCTCAATGGAGGTCTACTAGTAGCTATGTGTACCTATTCTTAATAATAGCTTTAAATCTAACTGAAGAGGAAAAATAGTAGTTACATTTTCTAACACCATCTTGTATTTAAGTTTGCTCAATTTTATTTTTTTCGAAATAAGCATTTGATTTTTTGCAGTTAATTCTCTCTTTGAAATGCAAGAAGACTATGGAAAAGTGATAATCGTCGCATTCTTTGTCTCAGCAGTAGATCAAAAGCTGAAGAAGAGATTCTGCACTGTAATAATTTAATACAAATTATTTTTTTCCAAAAAGTCGGACGAGGAATATTATTTTTTATTTTTCTTGTTTGATGATGTTCTTTTTTCTTTTGCCTGTAGGAGGAAATGTTGATAACATCGTGATAGCTTTAGAAAATTGGAAGCGGCATCTACTAGCAGAAAACGCTGCCCTAAGGAATTGTATAGTGACTCTTCAAGCTGAACTGTGTGGTTCCAGGCTTGCAGCTCGCTATTTGGACAAAGAACTCGCTGGAAGGTACTGCCTTCTATTGAAAATTCCCAAAAATCTGGCTTTTTGATGTTTGAAAGTCACTGTATCGATTTAAAATTTTCCTTAATGTATCTTTTCCAAATATATGTCAGGACAGCTTGGTCAAATCAGAAGATCATGGAAATTTTGGAGGTCAACCAATCATGAACAGATTTTAGGCGCGAGGGCTTGTCTCAGTGAATTTCAGGGGAAATTTTGAATTTTTTTGCAACATATTGTACCACAACAATGGTGCATTGGCATCACAGATGAAAGACAACTTAAATAACGTAACTCAGCTTCTGTTTTTGACAGTCATTTATGATGCAAAATCACCGCAGATAAAATTATAAAAGGTCCCGAAAAATTCTCCTGCCACATATAATTACAAAATATTAAATTGCAGACTGCCCGCAATTTTTTTACTTTTAAAAAAAACGCAACATACACGATTGACACAATAACAATTGAAAAGACAAGTGAAAAGGGAGGCTTTACAATCCAAACCAAGACAAAATCAAATGCATGCCTGAAAAGAGAAAACTTGAATGGGTTACATTCATGAATAGAAAACGCTCTGAAAATATCTCATACAACTTTGATAGCAAAGTTTTCCTTTTCAGCAGCCAGTTGGCGGCAGTCCAATAAGCTATCATACTTTTTCACAATGTATTTGTCATCTACCATTAATAATTAAAAGAACTACTTGCGATCAATGCCTCAAAATTTTTAATTATGGCCGCCTGTTGATGGTGGTTCATTAAACTTCCATAAATACTGGCAATAATTTTTTTTTCCTTTTTTTTTCTGTATCCTCTCTAAACATAACTAATTAATTTTTCAGAATTCAACAACTCCAACTCCTTGGTCGATCTGATATGAATACAGAATGCAGAGATAAATTATGGAGACAGTTAGAGGCAGAAATCTTACTGCAGCGACATAAAACTGTGCAAAGGGCTGTTCGTCAACAAACTGTAAGTGAACCCTTCAGAACTTTTTCTGGGAATTTAAAAATTATGATTTTCGTCCATGCATTTAGACATCTTACACATTCATAACTTAATCCTAACATAAAAAATGCTTCAAAGGAATGAATTTTTAGTACCGTTGTCCTAGACATTTCACCTTTCCCCGAATGAAGAAATGAATTTTGTCTGAGCTGTTTCAGCATTTCTACAAAAATTTTACTTTTTCATGGGAAAATATTGTTCAAATTAGTCTAAAAATTCCAAGGTCTTTTTTCACAAGAATAACTAAAAAGCACTAGAAATTTCAGGAGAATTCTTTTGATGGTTTCCTTAAGGGCAAATGAAATGTATGTATTAAATACTGAAATAGCTCAATCAAGATACGCTTTTTCATGGAGGAGGCAACGATTTATCAAGTATTGTCTTGCTTAAGGTGAGGTGAGGTACAGTCTGTAGCAATCAAAACAAAAAAAAAAGAAACGGAGTTAACAAACCGCGAGTATCAAAATTGAGGCAAAAACAACATTAAATATAGAAAATCTAAATAATAAACTCTAAACTCACAATTTATAGGAAACAAAAAAGGTCAACATGTTCCGGGGTGCCTATTCTCTTCTTGATCGGAATCTGCCCTGACGAAGGGTACATGTGCCCTGTAACATGTCAGCCTTTTTTATTTTTTTCCCAATACACTCCACTTCACACATAATTATGAAGCAAGAGAAGGTTTTTTTCTCTTAGAATTCTTTAAAGTATTTTATATTCGAAATTATGATTTTTCTTTCCATACCTCTGGGTATGAATATATTCAATAAAATTTTAAAACTCACTTGCCCGTAAAAATATTAAATTGTGGACGCGTTTCGCCGGCTCGCAACTCCGGCATCCTCAGCGCGACTCACTATGAATATATTGTTTTAATAATCTGAGCAATATACCTCTTCAGTACAGCAAAATTTCATTTTGGCTGGGCAAACAACAAACTTTTGCAACAAATCAAAACAAGAAAAAGTTCAGATATTATCAGATTTGTAGAAAAAGTTTATCACATTTACTGATACTCTAATTTGTGCATTTTCAGGTAAACACAGCGCAGCCACCAACAAGCATAACGAATGTGGTCCGGACAGTCATGCTTAAACGAGAGGCATTCACTGAACTTGGCATTTCAATTACTGGAGGCAAAGAGCACGGCGTTCCAATCCTTATATCAGAGCTGGAGCCAAAAATCGCCCAAGGCCTGTATGTCGGAGATGCAATCATTAGTGTGAACGGAACAAGCCTGGCTCAAATGACTCACCAGCAAGCAGTTGATTTGCTAAACAAGCAAGTTGGCACGATTAAGCTCTGTGTTCAGTATCTCAGCAGTTCCGATTGTGACGATGACTATAATGAGCCTTCGAATGACAGCGAATTGAAGCGTTTCAGGTACATTGATTTTCAGCAGGGTTTCATTGAAAGCAGTGCCCTGCCTTCCATCTAAAATTTTAGGAGGCACCTTGGCCGAAAAGCCCAAATTTTAGGAACCATCTACTTTTTTTAGGAGCCTAATTAAATTTTAGCTTATAGGGAGCGCTTCATTGCCTCCGCTGCTTCCCGACTGCGAGTTCAATCTGTCAAATTTTTTAGGCGCCACGATGGCCTAGCCCCCCTCCCCCATTTTTAGGCACATTTGGCACATGGCGCCCGGGGAAGGCAGAACACTGGTTGAAAATCATTAAATCTGGTATTTGGTAAATAAGCTCTTAAATCTGAATAAGATAGAAACATGGTCACAATATTTTATGATAATGACAGCTAATTGAAAGTGAGAAGATGTTTGATGCCATGACCAGTTGTTGAATCACCTGCATAATATCATGCTTCTAATTGTCATGAAAATACCAACTCTGGCCATGTACATGTATGAACTACATTAACAGTTAGTCAAATTATTTAATTGAGGTAGATTTTCCATGTGTTGGTTGTTTTCCATGACTAAAAAGTTAACGTTCAAAATTAAACCTCACCGATTTCTTTGACTAAATGGGGAGAGAAGGGTAAAAAACCATTTATTGTCAACCAATCATTTTTTAATTATGAAATTTGTAACTTCCAAAAATTTGAAGTGATTTTCTCGTTTTGAATGACAGGTATGGTTACTTCAGTGAAGAAGATGAGGAAAAAATTGAAGCATACGTCCGCAGGATTACGTCCACCACACCAACTGCACCAAGAACTCCTGAAACAGACAGAAGGTGAGCAGTTAATTTTTTTCTTTTTATGCACTTTAAGCAACAAAATCCAAGGAAAAACTAGTTCCTCCTTTGGGCAATTACTTTGAAGATTGAATGTGTTTTAAGAGCTCAAGGGGAACATCATCAGCAACTGATTTCAGAACTTTACTGATGCACCTCCTGATGCTGCTCTCTCTTTTCCTTCTTGCATGCTAGTCCAGAACCCTGGATGTAAAACTACTAATAGATCAAAGTTCTGGTTTTTAAGCTTTAAAAATAAAGAAAAAAAATTCCGAAATTGCTAAATCGTACATATTTATTATTTTGATATTTTGCGGGATATGAGAAGCAATAAACTCTCCATTAGCAGAGTCACAAAATCAGGGCTGTCTATTTTTTACTGACATAATTCCTTTCAAAAATCCATTTCTGTCAGGCGTCCAATTTCAAGGAAAGCCTAAATACTCTCTCACCCTTAAGGAATCCCTGCAAAGTATTTCTGATATGAACCTTTTCTCTATCAAGGTCTAAAGACTGTATTTAATGATTTCTTTTTGTTAATTCAGTGTTTCAGAAAACAATGCAGCAGATGAATCTGTCATTGAACAATCAATAAACCGTGAAGACAGTAGCAATTCATCAAAAAATTCCCACAGCACTGATTATTATGGAGTAACAACTCTTCAAAAAATATTTCAAAGTCTCTCTCCAAGAGTACAAATAGGTGAAGCAATGAACAAATCTACTAAACCATCAGAAACCGTTCAAAGTCCTAAAGAATCTAGTATATCGAGCGTAGTTAGCTCTGATAAGCCAAGAAACCAAAGTTCTGAATCAAAAGATCCCTTAAAACTGGAAACTACAAAAGTTGAAATAGATCTATCATCAAACAACACATCAGTCAAGTCAGAAAATTGGATCCAAAACTCCAGCGATAGCCCCATTCTCACGTCTAGCTCAATGGACTGTATCAGTTCCGACTCGGACAACTCCATCGATAAGAGATTAGCTGCTAAGCAAATATTTTCTAAATCTTTCCGAGCCAAGCACAACAGTTTTGTGGATGAAAGGAGTAAGGTCAGGCATGAAGGCCACAACTACTTTCCCAAAGTTAATGCTAAAAATTGTGCGAAACAAGAAATGAGTCGGAAGCATTGCAGTCGCAGTTTGTCATCAGATGAGATGAATGTAAAAAAAACCAGCACACAGATGGCAGCACCTAGCGAAACTGTTCATGTTTACAAATCAGGCTCCAACAATCACCGGCAATTAGATCAGTCTCAATCAGTGCCTGAAGTGCCTAGACAAAACATTCCTGTGAAATTAGTGGCTGCTAACGGTTCAACAAGGTCAGACTGTTGTTCTTCGAAAAGGACCTCCGTAGAAATTTTAAGTCCTGATGACAACAGTAATCTGTACAGACTCGTTGAGAACAGAGACTCTGTTTGCAGTGGTAAAAGTGACAAAGTAGTTAGGCATACTTCAATTGATAGTGATATGGCCCCAAGGAGCCGAAAAAGTAGCGACAAAAGCAGTCGAGATGATCTTATGAATCAGCTGAAAGCTGCTAGTGTCTCTAAAGAGGTCACGGATTCTCGATATCTCTACAACAATTTGGATGATGCTAATATTGGAACTCCTGTTTAATTATTCCTCATTCATCCCATTAATGCTCATTTATTCCTTAAAACAGAGCTACTCTGTTTAAAGTTCATTTATTTTTCTTGTTCTTCTTTTAAATCTTTATCGTTACAACTGATAACTTTGTTTCATAGAGGCGGCTTCATTTTTGCTATCAACTTACATATTCGGCTGGAACTTAAAAAGTGAAAATACATAGAAGGATAATTTTTTTCAATTCTTAATGACTTTACTCATGTAATTCCCAAGCGTAGGACAAGATTGTTACAAGAGGAGAACAAAAAAAAAAAAAATCAGAATTTACCAATCTGTAAAAATTCTCTCAAAAGAGGCTAACATGATTTGTGATAAATCTGTGCTCCTTTACTCAATGATTTTCTGATATAATTTTAGAGAAGAAAATGTATCTTTTGAATTCAGAAAATTCGGATCTTCTTGGGTAAAAATCTACCCAGAATAGAGCTCCATCTTTTTGGCAAATCTTTTAAAAAAATGATTTGTTGACACGTTCTCTTTCCTTTTTTTATATTATGTATTTTTTATTATTTACTTTACTTTCAAAGGGTCAAACTTAAGTAAGGTTCTGCTCATTAATTTGTGTGTCATATCATTTCGTAATAAAATAATTATCGAGTTGTGATAAAGGTTGTGCGAGTCAAAGTTACCCTTAACACGACGAAATCTTACTCAAAATAAGAAACAAATTGTATGAGGAGTAAATCTCTAAGTTGTAATCTTTATCAAGTTTATTGCGTTAATCTCCTTTTAAACTGTTCTGAATGTTAACTTTTTTTAGCCTTTTAATCATGATAAATTATCGGTGGTAACTTGATGTACCTTCTACTGTCATGACACATTGCCTATAATGTGTGCAAATGCAGAATTTTCTGGAGAGACAGAATATTTTGCTTTGATTTTTAGTGGGAACTTTGGTTCTTTTTAAGTTTCCAGTTTAAATACTGTTTTCCTTGAACAATTAATGTATGATATGAAAGGACCACCTCATATCAATGGTGAAATTGCAAACATGCGTACCGATCTTTGTTGCAGTGTTTCATAATCTCCACCCCTATTTCATTTTTTTTTTTATGATAACTGAACAAACATCATCACTTCGAATTTTCATAGAATATCTTTCACGTACCAGAGATGGAAAATTATTCGATAGTTTTCCTTGAAGCAAATAAAGTATGAAAGGAAGTCTGCAATGCTGCAACGGAGAATGTATTTCTGCAGTTTTACCGTTGACATACTTTTTACAATCTACATTGATGTATGGTCTTATCCCAACATTCTGTTTTTGAAAACGACTCAATCACCAGTGAGTGTCAATAATTTTAAGTTTATTCAATATCAAAATTGCCAAAGATTTTCATCTACAATGTGGATGCAATCGAAATTTTCAAGTTTGTCGCATTGACTCCTCAGCCACACGAATGAGCAGCTGTAATTTTTTAGAGAAGAAATCTTTCCTCTCAAATTGGGTTTTGAATGAGCGTTTTCTCATGATTCTATTCTGTAATAAATTCATATAAATTTGCTTTGCTGCAACAGAAATTTCCGCTCTGCTGAGGACCGAATTTCATTGAGAGTTATGGTCCATTTAAAAGAGAGAGGTTAGACGGTGAGTTCTATCCATCACACTTAGTGCTGACTGTCAGCATTCATATTGTAATTAATCATTATTTCTAGTCAGTTTTAAATTTAATGTGTGCAATAATTTTTCATGAAATGATATGGACCGATCACTCCAACCTTCATCTTCAATGAGGCATGAAAATCCGTCAAGAAATGGTCTTTCATAGTGAACCAGGAAGGCTCTCCTTTATGCTTTCACCAAACGGTGGATTGTAAAAAAAAAATTAAAAAAAAAATTTAAGGAGCTATTTACAGATTTTTATTATATTCTTTGCTCTTACTATATATGATTGTATTTTTTAGCCTGTATTTATCTTTTGAATATTTTTTTGATCTTCACATTCCACAATAAAAACCAGATAGTCAGCAAAGCGTCAAATTTGAAGTGAGGAAAGTTGTTGAAAAGGTCCTATGATTTGCATTTAGTTTTTTTCTTTTTTTGGGCTCCAAAAAAAAAGAATCATTAGATATGGAGAACATATTAATTTTAGTTCGACATTGTTCAAAATTTAGCTTCGAATGTCAAGAAAAGAGAATGCACTGTTTTATTCTGTTCGTATGTTTAACTATTTTTTTGCTGTTATACTTACCATTCGGCTGTGACCGAATGGCCTTGAAGGTAGAAAAAAAATATATTGGTTTAACTATTTTGTGTAGGCAACTGTGTAAGAAAATTCAATTAAACCAATTTAGTATGAGCCAAAATTTGCTATTTGGCTCTACCTTATTGAGAGATTAGTTCAATATCAAATTGTATCTTCAATGATTATTAAAGTGCGCGTAAAAATACAAGTTCACCATTGTTTCTGTTTCATCCCAATTACCATGGATAGATAGGTGGTCAGGTCTTTAAAACAAGCTGTGAGCCTCATTTCATACTGAAACACAAAAAGTTACTATGTATCTCTGATCTGTGAATTTGTTATCAATTACTTTTCTCTGAAAATGTATCTTTTCACAAAGAATCCAATATAAACCATGAGCTACAAGAAGGATCAAACTTTAGGATTTTTCTTGAGAAATTAATCACACAATAGTTTCAGTTACAACCACAGAGAAACTTAGTGACATAATCTTCTCGAAAAAAAGAGAGAGAAAAAAGTATGGCTGTTGTCATAAAAATTGGATTACAGAAGGAGCCTTTCAATTGGATTGATGCAAGACTCCTTCACTGATGATAAAAATGTAAACAATTGTAGTCGTGCTTGGAGATTAATTAACCTTTTTTATTAGAAAAATTTAGTTTTGTAGGTACATAATAGCTTCTAATGTCCTCTGCAAAAATAAATAATTATGAAAATAAAATTCTCAATAGAACACAAAACGATGGGAAGTTACAATTCAATTTCAATACATTTATAATTTGTTTTTAAAAAAAAGGTAGCAACGAAATTTATCACAGGCTTTTGTAAGACTAAGACTAGATTTTTGTGATCATAATGAGATCAAACCCATTTTAAATAATTACACTTTTGATATAAAAGGATGAATACAGTAGGATGAAAAATTTGGATGGAAATGATAAGAGATCTTTACAAAAATTTCGTAGAGAGATCAAATAAAAATTTAAAAGGCAGAACTTGACTTTACAGTTGACTTCCATTGAACTGTAGATGTGTTTGAAGGAATTGATTTTGGAATGAATAAATGAATTTTTTGCTCAAAGGAAAAATAGCTCAGCAAGATCAGATTGAAATTTTATCCTTAAAATTTGGATTACAAAATTGATCATGAATGGTGACTGGATATGGATAGGTAGAGCCTGATATGATGACCTCATGATGTTTATTTCGACTCCAATTGATTGGGGAGTAGTCACATGCAAGTGTTCAGCAGAACTCAAAAATTTAAATTGAATGGCCAGAGGGAGAGCGATGAGATGATTCAACTTGAGTAACACAAATGACGGGCTCTGCTCTAACAAGATGCTCTGACAATTTTGCATCTGGAAAAAAGAAAATCATGAAAATAGTAATAAAACATTTTGTAATAGGTAAATAATTTGGATGATCCATGGCATTTAAGATACGGAAACGTATCTATTATAAAAAAGGAAGTTGAAAATTTTTATAACTATCAAAAGGATGGTTAGGTTAGGTGAGAATCTCAAATTTTTCGTAACCAATAATAAATAAAAAGTGGTTAGTAGTTAATTTCAGAAATTTTCATTGAGCAAATCGTATTCTATGTAGATTTTAAAGAAGAGATGTATATTAGAATGCTTAAATTCATACCTTGTATAGGAATCATGCCAAATATTTTTTTATGATTGCAAAAGAGTGAATAGGTAATCCATGTTAGAAAGAACAAATTAGGCTTTGCGGAACTTCGGACAAACTTGTTCCCGGAACTTATTATAACTTAGCTATGACTTATTCAGCACAACCCCAGTTTGTTGAACTGATTCACCCAAAAGTTCCACTACCTGCACTCATGTGGATAAGGCTTTATCGTGTAGAAGAGTTATAATGAAGATTGAAGAAAACTCGAGGAATTTTAGCTGACAAATGATTCCAAAGAGTCGCAGATAATCAACACTCTATAAACTGAAATATATTAAAACAGTCACTACTTTTCTCAATTTTTGCATAAATGAGAAAAGGGCTGATTACTTCATTCAAACATTTGGACTACATTTTACAATAAGCAAATAATTCTGGCTATTCTAGGTATAGTTTGACCTAAAGTAGCCAAGTCACAAGTTTTAAAACATTCCATTATATGAGCTTTTAGTTTAGCTGGTGCTTGACTTCCTCCTGCTACAAAATTAAAGCCCGCAAAACATTTTTACCATCCTGAATAAGGATTAAGGACTCAATTTGTTTTATGGAGTCAACTTATCGAAGAAGGAAACTTTGAACCTCTTCTTCTCCGGCATTAACTTTATGTAACTTTCTGCTAGATTAGGGGCAAAAGAAGTACAAAAGGAGTACCTTCATCATTCACGAGGAAAGTTTCAGGATCTGCTTCAACCGGCTGTAGGAGATGATCAATATCTGATAGATTTTGCTTCTCTTCCTCACTCACATTCATTTCATTGATAATTTCTTCATAATAGTCGTTCAATCTATGATACAGGCTGAGTCTTTTGTAGTTATCTTTGATTTTTTTATCTGCCAAAGATTCAGGGCTCCTCAGACACAGCTTAGAGTTGAAAGTCTCTGGAATAACATTAATTTCCTCGACTTTCTTGGGTAATGCCTCAAGTTCGGAGGAAGATACAAGTTTTTTTCCATCCGAACAAGTTATTTCAACAGGTGGTGGAGTGGATGGCTTTGCAGGAACAGCACTGGTGTTGACATCCAATGATTTAGAAACTTCCTGACTTTTTGGCGCTGGTTCATCAGGTGATCCAGTGGTTTCATTGCTTTCGGCAGTATTAACATTGACTTTAACGTTCACCGAATGGGCGTTCTTGTTGGCTGGGGGTCTTCGAATATTTTTTACTTTTTTCTGCTTATTGCAATCAGCAACACCATCTGAGGAGTTGGTACTGCTGTTAAAATTACAAAGTTGTTCAAACTTTTGTCTCAAAGCTGCAACATTTTGTTGATTTTGAAGGATCAACTTCTCAAAATTCAAAGAGTCATCAAGATCAGACGAAGACATTAGTGAGTCATTTTTGTTGAGATTTGGCAGAGGAACATGATTGGAATCATCTTTATTCTCAATGATGATTACTTGAGGAGTTTTATCGTTGGCTCCTGCCAAATGTAGAACCTCCAAAGAATTAGGGTTGTGTTCGTCTACCTTCTCAGTTTCATGGTCAGCTCTGTTCTTAGTACTTTTTTTATATTTGTATTGCTTCAGATGGAAAATCTGTTTTAACGGAGATACCCTGGAGTGGGATGTCTCTGTTTCAGATGGGCTTGGACAAGACTTACGAAAATGGCATTCCAACCAGTCACGGTAATAATGACGGAATTTGCGATTTGAACACTGTTGAGGCCCCTCAAGGTAATTACACACATCTGAACGTTCATGTTTGGTAATTTTATCCAAAATGGCACATTTTTGACTTGGCTCGTTCAGAAAATCACTACAAGCAGATTTTTGTGTATTGATGACAGTTGTGTTTTGATTACAGAATGAAGCCTGCGGCGTAACTGACGTGATCATGGGCCTCAAGGTAGAGCAAATGGGCCGAAATGAAGTGTAAGGAGAGAAAGTGCTCGTCATGAGAGTTGAGCAATTTCTTTGAGATTCTGAGCAGTACACCGGCTGGGAACTGGTCAAAACTGTTTCCGCAGGCTGATAAACAGAGTGTAAGTGCTGTTCTTTCTTAGACTGATAATCTTGATACAAACGATTAACGGCAGAATTTTCTTTTTCTAATCTTTTCAGGCGTTTTCTAGTTTCTTCTATGGTATCCTGACCGCTGAAACAAAAAATTAAATCAAGTTTTATGATCATATCAAAACATCGTAAAATTTTGATCACATAAATATATTTTGAAAAAGGGTGAAAAGAAATTACAGAAATTAAAGTTGTTTAGTTGAAATACAGCGCATTATCTACAAGTCTTGAAGCCATTCAAGTATTACAAGATGTATTTTGGCCAACTTTTTGACCCCCCTCTTCTCCTTTGTAAGGCATCTTTATAAAACCTCTCCCCCCCCCCTTTTGAATGACGTAAGATTAACTTGACCCCTTCCCAAATTTATCACAAAAGAACGGAGAAAGTCTGGAGAACAGTTGAGAAAAATCATTTTTGTTGAGAAACATAATGTTATCTTGAAGAGGGGATTTATGTAAGCCAGGTCTTAACACCCCCTCCCCTCTCGTGAGACCCTGAAGGCAGACTCAGACCTTTCATCCCCCTAGGTTGCTTACGCACTACTTGAACCCCCTTAGTGTGCTGAGAACAACTTCTCTCCATTTTGTCTGTTCTGGTAGCATACTTTTATAATGACTCAATCAAGGAGAAATAAGCATTTGCAATTGAAGTTTTGTTCAAAACGATAAACAGACTTTTTCTGTTGGAGTTTTAAAATGTCAATGAGACTAAAAATAGAGTCAAATGGTTACGGAGAATTGAAAGAACAATTTTTCCATTTTCATCTTAAAGAGCATCCCTGTGAGGCTCCACCCGATTTGCAGCCTATGTATTGATAAAGTCAACACATAGTGCTGTATTTTAAGTGCCTGTTTTGCAATGCAAGTAGGAATATTTCTGGTTGCAATGGATCAGAGAATTCTCCTCGATTGATAGTTCTTGGAAATCGAATGTCTAATTTTGCAGTGTTTAGACTGCCTAGGGGTTTACCTGGAGGTCTCGGTTGAGGATGATTGACTGACTACAATTGGAGCTACAATTCTGCGGGGCAGTTTCCTTCTGAGTTCCCTGAGACGAGATCTTGCTGAGTTAGCAGTAGCTGCAGTGGAGGAGAACATAGATTCTTCACCGGAGCCGACATGCCGGTTGAACCATTGGCGTCTGGGTCTTGTGAGTGCAAACGGAGCAGCGGTTGCAACGACTGGTGAGTAGGGGCTAACTGCTGAGGTTTGGACAGGAACATGAGGAGTCGGGTCTGAGCTGACTGTAACCACTCTCACAGTATTCGCCATGCTTAATCTGGATTCTAGTTCCCGTGTTTGGAGAGTCAAGTCTATGATTTTTTGATTTTGGAGTAGCGCCTGTGCCTTGAGTTCTGTATTTTCTTCCTGGAGTTTTTTAACCATGTGACGTTCCTATTTCAAACAAATTGAACAATTTGATGAATAGCAAAAAGCTGATTACAAAGCACATTGATAAAAAAACTGAGGGAAACAGTGCATTCTACCCACAGCCTTGATTTAGAAGGATACTGAAGTCAATGCCGACTATAAGAGGCAAAGAGAATTTAGTTCTAAGTCTCCTGCTTAAATGGTTAGGTAAATAATAATTTGATTCCAGAATAAAGCCTGTGCATTAGTTCATATAGGGTGATCCAAAAGTTGCGCACCAGTAGCACCAGATATCACCGGTGTAACTTTTGAACAAAATGAGATAGAAACTTGAAATTTTGGGAGTGCTCCTAGTTCATAAAAAACGACTTTCAAGACCCCTCAAAATTTTGAGGGGCTCAACCTGAAAAGAAGAAAGAGCCCTGGGGGCAATGGAGATGGTGCGGGACTTTCAAACCACCCTGTATAGTCACCTGAGTTCACAGGGTAATAAAGGCTGATTGATGAAAAAATAATTATGAAGTAATAGTTTATGGCATACTCTAACTGGGTGCTTTTAGGGCAAGCGAATGAAATACTTTGAGAGGGAGAAAAATATTTTTGCTTTTTGGGGGGAAAAAACTTAAATCAAGGTTAATTAGATAACAGATTTCAGCATGAAGTGAAGAAATCATTTTTTCATGAACCTAACAGCACCCTATATCTTCTTATACGTATTCTTCATTGTGAAAGCTTGTTTTTTGCCCATCAAGTGTCTGAAACTTCGAATCATCCATTTAAAAAAAGGAGGAAAAAATGAAATTTTACATAAAAATGGCTTACCACGTTCAGTCTATGAAACAAAGTAGTTCTGCTAGAATTGACATCAATTTTATTATCATTTTCATCCTTGAGAGCTTGAAGGGGCGATTGTCGGCCTGAGTCACAGCAGTTTTGTGAGAGGTCATCTGGAACCAAGATATCATATTTCTGACAAGTTTCTGTTGTACTTGTTGCCGAAGGTGTAGCATTCTCGTTTGAGTCATTCTTGATATTCAAGTCCAGGTCACCAACAGGCTTCTTTTCATTTCCGACATCAATAACCTTCGATCTTGTGCCAGCATCGTCGACATATGAATGTTTCGCTGGCGTTTTTACTGAGTAGGCCTCTTTAATCTCTTCAAGCTTCAGCATTAGTTCATTCATTTTCTGTTCAAGATTCAACTTCGTCTCCTGGATCAAATCTTTATGCTGATCGAAAATGAAACTGTCCACTGCCTTGAAAGACGGAGATGTGGAGGGGTTTTCGATTGGAGCCTTTTCCCTTTTATCTCTGATTACGGCAAGCTTTTTTGTCAAAGCTGAGCATTGCTGAGCTAATTGTTGCAGAAATTTAACATTGTCATGAGGCTCGTTAGAGTTGAGGTTGTTAGAGCCAGTTATGAGTTTCTGTGTTAGTTCCAGGGTTTTCTTCTCGTCTGCTATCTTTTTCTGATCTTCTGCTAGCCTATATGAATAAAACAGAATAATTATAAGAGGCTAAAATAATTGCAATATTGCAAAATTCAGGTTAAGGCATTTAAGATTTATTTTTAATCCAGCTTTCAAACCAACAGATTTCTGAACACATCCGTGATAATGCCCAAGAATAAGAATGGGATGAAAAAAATTGTCCGAACCAAATTATTTTCTCCCAAAGTGTACTAAAAGTCATTCTACAAGCAATGGGAAAAACTTCAATTTGATGACTATGAGTGATCTAGGGATGAGATCCGCCACTGCGCTGCACTGCTTCACGGTATGTGTCTTTGAGGAGCAATAATTACTGTAATGGACAGGTTAATGCAAGAAGTTGTTCCATAGCATGCAGCAGCATTAAAACTGAGTAGTAAGACATCAAATTCTAGAGGAGTCATTGGAAATTTATACCAGAAACTACTATGACTGATGTCACTTATTGACTTGGGTGTGTAAGGGAATATCTCACTTCCGCATTGAGTCAATGAGGAATGTCCGTTTTGGTTGTTTCCAATGTAAATTACTACCCTGTAGAATGCTGCTACATGTTGCAGATTACTTTCTTGCATTTCTTTGTAAATTACGATAATTACTCCTTTTCACAGACAGAGAGTGTGTATCTACACAAAATACTAGAGGATCACTTCCCTGGATAACTTGGAATCACCTTAAGCAGGCAATTTGGCTTCAAGGAATTGTACAATTTGCTGAAGAATTTAATTTTAGGTTGATGATTTTTCTTCATGAACAAATTTTGACTCAAAAGAACAAATGTAGAGAGGTAATTTTTTCTTTTCCAAAAAAAAGTAGCATTGTTTAAGTCATTAATAGCTTACTGTGCATATGCTGCGTCCAGTTCCTTTTCTTTTAGGTCTAACTCACTCTTCTTGGCTTCAAGTTTCTCAGCTTCCTTACCTCTTTCTAATTTTAGTTGCTTTTCTTTTTCTTCTAATTTTAAACTTTCTTCCTGAAAAAATACAGAAACTTTTAACTTAAATTTTTAATATACATTACTGAATCTGCACTAGGAGAAACAAGGTGTAACTTATTTATGGTAGTTCAAAGAAGAAATACAGTCCCCTGTTTTTCAGATCAAATCAAGTTTTCTCAAAGATTTGACCGCATTCAAATGTGGTCTTCCATGTTTTTCCTTAGACCAAGGGTAATGATTTAATGCTATTTTTTCATTGTGTGTCTTCTAGTTGATCATTTTCAATTCCAAATATGTATTCATTTTTCTACTATGGGAATTTCTTCGTGATTAAAAAAAGTTCCATGTCACTTTACAACAATTGGGCATGATTAGTCAATACTACTTGGGGGGAAAATACGGTTTCTAATTGGTTTTCAAACTTATTTTCACCATTTACGCTTTACTTATCTGACTTAAAAGTCTTTAGGAGGGTTTACTATAACCTTTCCTTCCTTCATAAAAACATGCCCTTAGTTTTTAGCTTGATCACGGCTGATGCACATCATTCAGCCCCAGACTTTTAACTTCCAGATTATTAAAATATAATCAATAGATAAATTAGATTTCTTGATGAAAAATGGTGAAAGAATTGCTGGAAACTAACTTGAAGCTGTGATAGCCTTTCAGAGATGGCTTCATGTTGTTTGCGCAGAGCTGATGATAAGGTCTTCAATTGGTCTTCTCTGGATGCTATTTCTTTTTCAATAATTTCTTGTTGTTCGATCAACCTTTTTTCAGTTTCTGCTAATTTTCCATAAGTCTCTCTTTCTTTCTGCAAAACTTCAGATACTTTCAAACGATACTTGGCTTCTTCTTCTGCTTTTAATTTTTTAACAGCATTTTTATAGTATCTAATGCAAAACGAAGAGAGAAAGGCTTAAGATGAAAATCAAGAGCAATATTTTAATTTCCAGGCCACAGATGGCATGAATTGTAATGAGATGCTGTTTGACACATTTACTAATGAGAGTAAATTGTTAACAAAAAAAAACCGTAGCAATTGCCATACATCTCTCGTAAAAATTGTTATGACTTGGAATTTCTCAAACGACTTCTTTCAACTTCTTCTTTCACAAGAGACCAGCATAAACTTCATAAGTGATTTAGTTTTTGAATAACATTCCCAGTCCGGATCCTTATGGACACCGAAAGATTAAATATGTAATAGAATTGTCTTAACTAAACGTCTAAATCGGGAAAAATAATGCTAATAAAGTAAAATGCTGACAGATGAGAAAAAATGAATATCTGAAATTCAGTGTTTAAAAATGTTATACTTAATTTTATTATTTTCAAAGAAAAGTAATGTGACAAGGGTGTTTGAATTTTTTGTAAAATACTCCTCTTAAGTAAAGGAAAAATAAGATTTAAAATTGTTTGGTACATTGCCTTCACAGAGATCAATTTTGTGCTCTACATTCAAAGAAATCTTTTAAAATAAGTCTCTACTATGGCAAGGTTGGTGATGAGTACAGGCAGAGGAACATGATATCCGAACTATCTCTTGAATAAAGAGTACTCTAATTTTCAGAGTTCGGCCTCGAGAATAATATCTTTTTATATTTTTTTTTAATATTGAAACCTGCTTTTCCTGCAAATTAACTTTGATACTTAATCACAGACAACAGAGAATATTAAATAATTGAGACTGCAGTGAAGAAACATATACCTGGTAATATGATCTTGTAAAATTTCCAGCTGCTCAAAACTAAAGTCACTATTGATGAATACATCTCGAATTTCTCTCGGCCACAATTCATTTTCTTCACTGTCACTGGTTTTCTGCGGGTCCCTGAAAAATTTTAAACATTAATACAATTTCCAAAAACTTCTTTTAAAAAATAAGGAAACGATTGAAAGGCTTAAATTTTCTATGAAAAAGAAACGGAAATGAACACAAACCTCCCGCAGAGCAAGAAATTATTATTCGATGATCTAATCATAAATTTCAAAATAAGTAAATTATGAAGGAATATTTCATTCAAAAAAATTAATATCTTGAAGTGATATGAGAATTAAAAGTTTTCTCCTCTAATAAAAAATGAAGAAAAAAGCGAAATACTGATGGCTAAGGACAAGGGGCATAAAGAGAGAGCGGTTTCAAAATTTACCTGTAGTTACAATTTTGATTTAGGTAGTCTTGAAGGCTGTCAAGAAGGCACATTAACAAAGCTTTATTTTCCCTGTTGAATTGATACAGTCGACGGGTTTTTATGCTGACACCCTGATCTGGTGAAAAACCAAGGGCTTGAAGAATATCTTTGACATCAGCAGTATCGATGCGAGGCAGAGGCTCTGATCCCGAGGATTCAGCGTAATTTTTATCTGCCAATCTGGTGATGTATGTGGAAAATTCTGATAAGCTGGTTAGAGAGGGAACCTAAGAAAAAGGCAATGAAAAATTTGCACATGTGAAAGAAAAAACAAAATTAGAGAATTCTCTGAATTGAGAAATACTGCTGAGATATGCATCTTGTATTATTACTTCTATTCAGAATTTTTTAAAAACTGTCGGCTGAAAATTTAGAATTTTCTACCGAAGTTTTATACTTTTTGGTTTTTGACTCAAAAATTAATGATCTACGAACAGACAGAGGAGCACATGGATGATGGAATGCAAAAAAGGCGCACTTCACTTGCGACAAAAATCTCCAATTATGTTTTACTTTCTTCAAGAAAAACTAATTGAACTGTTTCCTAGCAATTATGCGTCATTTTTTTAGATCAAAAGAAGAAAATTCAAATAAAATTTCTATAGAAACTGTTGGTTGGTTTTGCTTAAAAAAATTAACAAGAGTGCAGACTTAAGTATAACGTCACAATCTGAGATCTACATTTTTTGATCAATATAGATTTTTGGCTATTTTTAAAGTTAGAACGCCGTACGTGAACTTTCTTTCTTCCGCTTTCCAAATCACCTTCAAATAGAGATGATACTCCGCAACACACCATACTTATTTAGTAACATCGGAGGAAACAGGAATAAAATATATATTGAGGAGACCAAATAATCAAATGATATTTGGTGAGTGAAACAATACAGGCAAGAATTAACTAACCTCGGTGAAAAATACAGATAGTGTGTAATGGTGCTGTAAACGCAATAAATAATCGGAGATAAGCAAGTTCACTGCTTGCAATTTTGGTGACACTGACTTTGCACCATTTCTGTTCAATGATTCAACCCCCAAGGAGGTTCCTTTTAAGGCGCTGATCATCTTTTGACGTATGTGCGCTTTGAATTCTGAAAGGAGCCCTTGGTCTTCAAACCTGTAACAGACAAAGTAGTCCAAAAGAGTTGAAATTTTGGTATGATCTGGTCTGACAATTGAGAACTACATATTACTAACTCACACATTGAAACCACATCAACTCATAAAATTCATACAACAGGTAAAAACGACAACAAACAGCCGATAACATTCAAAATTACTGCAGGAGCAAAATTGGCTACCGCCCTTAATAAAGTCTAAAAAGTGGTTCTTGTTATCTGTTCAGATCAATTTAGAGGGCAGTCAATTTTTTTTTTGTGATTATTTCTTTATCTTTTGACAATGTCTCCTTTACCTGTGGATTTTCACAAATGGAAATTTCCTACTTGTTCCCTCCAATAGAAATAAGGTATGGACAAAATTTTTCGAAAATTATGATAAAATTACCAATGCTTAAGAACTTGCATCACAAAATATCATGGTTCAAAGTCTGAAGAACTTACCATGCGTACAATTTCTCTTGAATTTTGTCATCTGAGAAATTATTGTTATCTGGTTTCTTCAAAAATTTGTTTAACTGGAAGTTTTTCCTGTCCATTGTACTCAGTTAGTTTGAAGAATGCCACGTCACTAAAAAAAGAAAAAATAAGGGGACATATCATTTCTCATGAATAAAAACTAGAAATTTGTAAGAGATAGGTAGGTACCTAAGATGAATTTAATTATGTAAAAGATCACCAATTGAGTTGTTGGCGATGTTGTTAACAGTTTGTGATCGGAATGCTCATTTATGCCTTTGCTCAACGTTTGTTTAAGGTGATTCATCAAGCTCTCTGATGTGGTCGAACTGGCATGCGATATATCGCATATTTGAGGTCAGAAATCTCCGCAGATTTAGCCAAAACAAGGACGATAGCCCTTAGCTGCACATTAGCTATGGCAAAGTTTTCATACAAACAGGCTTTCGCTTCTGTCTCTCTGAATTTTGCCAATTTTTTGGTTTAACATGATTTTGAAGGCTCACACGCAGGGGCTATCATTCTTTTTTCGGCTAAAAATTCATAATCTACTGAGATTTACGACCTGCTCGATACAATATATCGCATGACAGTTTGACCATGTCAGAGAGCTTAATGAATCACCTTAAATTTCTGACTTGCTTCTAACAGATTCTGCAAGGGGAGTATGCATAATCCATTAGCCATAACCACAACACTATGGGCATAACCTCTTCATAAGAGCAAGTTGATGATTGCAGATTCTTTCGCTCCTTCCTAAATCTTGTGACGTTCTTTTAAAAAGTGCAAAAAAAAAATTAACTGACATGTATGACTTGGGCTTAAGTAGCTCATAACAATACTACATTTTAGCACTACGTCAGTACTCCATGTGCATACTTATTCAGCCAACCCTTCAACTTCAGAAAACTCTTGCGACCTATATGGAAATAAAAAGGACCAGTTCTGAGGAAGTGCATACACAATAAGAAGCAGAGTTGGAAAAAAATATAAATTTATCAGCTTCCTAGGATAGTATCAACATACGAGATAAAACTTACAAAATTTATCCACGGAATGAGTTTTCAAGCTGATCAATCAAGGTTGTGTCACATCAAATTAAATTTAGGACGGGAAAAGATTTTTTCAATATTGGATGCACAATATAACTTCAAATTTTGCGCAGAACATTGGTTCCACGCAAGTTCTGCCGGGATCAAAAGAATTTTGGAGAGCATTTTGCTTCAATATAAAGAAAATTGGACGAACTGTTTCTGTTTTGGTTGATAAGGAGATAAGCGTTGCTATGTGACGTAATTTGCAAGTGTGCCACAATAAAAGAAGAGAAGTTATTGTAAAAATCCGAGAGAATTTCCCTGTAATATTTCAAATAATCATTCTGAGGATTGATATACGGAGAGAAAATTTTAAAATTTAATTAAATCTCTTACTTCAGATTGAAAACGTAACAGGAGTGAGTTCAGTACTTTCCCAAATCCCAAAACTGTTTTGTTTAGAAGGTACGGTAGTTTGAAACTACTGTACGCGTCAAATGTAGAGCCATGGGTTCAAGTAACCCGTAAAGTGACCTGCCGTTCAACAGTCCCTGTAGCGCAGTGGATAGCGCGTTGGACTTCTAATCCAAAGGTCGTGGGTTCGATCCCCACCAGGGATGCTATATTTTTGAAAAGAGTAGCCTGTCACTCTTTGACAGCGAGTTAATAAATGGCTCTATGATAGAAATAGGTCACATTGCTCACTCCGAGCTACAGCAACTGTCATACTTACAGTCACGGTGCAATTTGCGACATTGGCGAGAAGAGGGTGATTCTACTTATCAATAAATATATATTTTCACTCGAAGCATTTTTCCAAAGTAGAAGTTTTATTCAGTGCTCTCTTAAATGAACAAAATTTATATTCAACCCCCCCCCCTCCCCTAGTACAGGTGCAACCCGCTATTAGGGTGAGACTATTATTTCGGTCTCAGTTGGATATTCAAGTCGCACTTGATTGATGTTAATTGGTTCTATCCTCAAAAATATTATTATCTAAAATTTAAGCTGATTTGGAGCATCGTTAATGATATTAAATAATCCTCGCAGCGATTGTTTCGAAAAAATTTACATCAGGGTAAGTAAAAGGGGGAATAACGTGCCAATATCCGGAAACAAGTTTTTTAGCCATAAGATGTCCAAATGAAAATTAAGACCGTCGCTCGGGAAGGCAGTGAGGAGCTTATTTCGAAAAATTAAATCACACTTGGACCTTGGACACATGGAATGGGGGGGGGGGGCGGTTTTGAAGCGCCGCGCGCAAGAATAATGATCGCATTTTATGGCATCTCGTCCAACCCAAAAGAGGCGTTCCGAAATTGCAGAGGCTAATATTTTTCGCAACTTGTTGGGGGAAAATGTACAAAAGCTGTCTTCGGGCTTCATTAACTATGTTTTACCCATTTTATCGCCGTCAAAATCACGTGAATATAAGTACAAAATAAAATATACACTAATTTCGTTCCATGCTCGAGCAAATATGTCAACTGTGTAAAGGGTCAAAAATATTTCTCCAGGGCCAAAACTACCATCGTAAATTCCTTACAAGGTGTGAGATGTATATTTTGCCTCATTTCCTCCCTCAAATTCGGTGCACCTGTTTTGAGTTTGATCATTTGATGAGAAAGTGTCATGTCAAACAGAACGATCCGTGCACGCGGTGACTCGAAACCAGCCCCCTTCCCCTCCCATGGGTGTAGTGTGATTTTTCATTCTCGGTAGGCCTCTGAAAGAAAAAAAAATTCAAAGAAATTAAATTCTAAAAAAATGAATTTTCACGGATAGGCAGCCCTAAATAATTCATTCGCAATTTAAACCAATGTAATTTTTTCCGCGATTTCGAACGATTTAAGGATAATCTGAAAAAGCTCTTTGGCCCATTCTTAGACAAATTTTGCTGAAAATGAATGGAACCAATTACCACTTGGTAAAATTTGCGACCCGATGTTCCAACGTGACCGAAATAAGTCCATATCTACAACCTACATCCGCATCCGCAAATCAACTAAAAAATCTAAATCTTGGGTCTTACCTAAATCCGGGAATGGAGATGCTAAAATCTCAATCACTATCCTACAATCATTTTAATGACAGTGTCTATAATCTTAATTGGAACAGGGCCGGATTTACCTACTTGCCGCCCATGGGCCGCCTGTATTTTGCCGCCCCCTTCTCATTCGTTTTGAAATACCAAATAAAAACCATCAAGTGAACGTGCCAGCGGGGGGTGGGATGCATGCATAAGACGCGTTTACTCGTGTTGCAAACATTTTTTGGGAAAGCCCTGTCAACACTACTAGCAAAAATTCACCGAACTTTGCGCGAACGTTAAGTTTCGTAAACCTATCTCTGCGTGGACAAGGCCTTCCATTCATAAGAAATGAACGAAAAAATTATGAAAGAACAAACATAAATGTGGTTTAATGATTTTAACTTCCGCCGCCACGCCGCGCAGACCGCACCGTGTTTGGAGCAATGCGTGAAGTATTCATGCAGTCTTGTAGGCGCTATGCGTTTCAGGCCGACTGCTGCTGACCGCGCGCAGTGTGTTGGACGCAATGCGTGAAGTATTCATGCAGTCTTGTAGGCGCTATGCGTTTCATGCCGACCGCCGCACCGCTCCGTTCTAGGTCAAATTGCGTGTTTGGTTTCTCTCTTAACTCGACTAATTGAAGGTGCTGTCTCTTGTATCACCGAAAGACGACAAAATTAGAAATTACTATACTCTCAGGAAATGAGAGATTTTGTTTGTAATTTTTTTCTTAATCCGATTTTTTTTATACCTACATTTAAAAAAATTGCAAAATTTGCCGCCTCCTAGATTTGCCGCCATGGGCCGCGGCCCTTGTGGCCACCCTTTTACATTTTGCAATAAGGAACCACTATTTCTGGCCTGGCCCATTTTAGAAACAACATACAAGCCATCGGTGTCTCTATGCAGGTATGTGCTTTCATAGGAGAGCCAGAGATGTTAGTGGTTCCATATTGTAAAATTTAATCCAATTATTATTGCACCGATTTTCACAGGCCTCTCGCTACTTAATCCTCCATAATGTCTGCAAGTTTAAGGCTAAAGGTTTTTTTACCACCCGCGGTCCAATCTGTCCAATCATACCTGTTAACTTGCGCAATGTATGCGTACTCTAAAAATGCGCACGACTTCTGTTCCCGCGCAACTGCAGTTTGCACATCAGGTGATTTCCGTTTCCGCTTTCCGCTCTCGCGCGGTTGCCGGTCGGTCGTCTTTCCCACGGAAGGATTTTTTCTCATTCCGTCCAGTTCCCCTTCAAAAAGCGTGATGGCAATTTGAGCGGCTTGGGAGCACGAATAATCGCACGGAGTAGTTTTGTCACTGTTGCCCTACCGCTCCGTCCCGGCAATCCGGCAATGAACTGCGTGTATAGGAGGATCGAGGAAGGCGGCAACACTGGCTTCTCTCCATGTGTTGATTTGTTTTGTTTACCTTTTCATTCATAGATAGTTAGTGCTAGTGAAGTAAGTTTGTTCTGCAAGTTTCGCTTTTCTACCGATTTTCCTCGTTTCTGCAGCATTTCTTGTTTGTTATAATTTAGAGAATGGTCTATTGAAAAATCTTTTATTATTTAAATCCCTTCAACACGCTGAGATGAAATGGATGCTCATGAATTCAAGTTGTTCCCATAGCAACTAAACATGCAACGCAGGTAAATAAAAGTGCACAAATACAAACTTAAGAGATGTTGAATAGCTTTTTCTGTGTTCACGCATTTTCCTCACACATTCGTTTTCTCTTGGCCAATAATTTTGACTTGACAGCTTGTACTCGTTTTTTTCTCAATATAAATCATGACTGTCTTGAATTGGGAGAATGTTCTTGAGTTCAGTGCGAATAATTTGACCGAAGATTTGAAAGATGAGCTTGGCAGTGAATTGGTCAAGTGTGACATTGAATCACAGTCTGATGTTTCAAAACTACAGCACATGCTCAAAATTTCTCAGCAAATTTTGCTGTACAAAAATGAACAGGTAGCATTGTGTTTCACTTAACACACCAACGTGTCAATATTGTTTTTCTAGATGAAGCAGAAACCATAGAGAGCAAATTTTTTTATGGTTTATGAATGGCTGATGTGGATAATTGCCTATCCCAGTTTTTTTACAGCCCTTCAAATTTGTGATAGGCTTATGACACCATCAGTACGTTCCCTAGAACCCTGATGATTGAAGATTTTCTTATTTTTGCACTTTTATTTGCAGAACAAAACGTGATGTCCTTCTTGTTTTGTAGGTTGAAGCTCTGACAACAGAAATTGATAACCTTGCTGCACATCAGGGAGAATATGAAGTACAGAATCGGCAAAGTTTGCAGGAGGAAATTGATCAGCTTCGAGCGCAACTATCTCAGGCTGCCAGATTCAAAGACCTCTCCAAAGATGACAGTAAGCATATCTGTAAATTTTCCCCCAACCTCTGATTATTTCGGAGGGTATGGATTCGATCGACATGAATCGATTGAAAAATGAAAATGTGAATCGGTCGACATGAATCGATCGACACCGATTCAATCGACAAATCGTTAAAAAACTGGTGTCGATTCGATCGACATGAATCAATCGAAAAATGAAAACGTGAATCGATCGACAAATTATTAAAGACCGGTGTCGATTCGATCGACAAATTATTAAAAGACCGGTGTCGATTCGATCGACATGAATCGATCGNGATGAAAAAATAATTATGAAGTAATAGTTTATGACATACTCTAACTGGGTGCTTTTAGGGCAAGCGAATGAAATACTTTGAGAGGGAGAAAAATATTTTTGCTTTTTGGGGGGAAAAAACTTAAATCAAGGTTAATTAGATGACAGATTTCAGCATGAAGTGAAGAAATCATTTTTTCATGAACCTAGCAGCACCCTATATCTTCTTACACGTATTCTTCATTGTGAAAGCTTGTTTTTTGCCCATCAAGTGTCTGAAACTTCGAATCATCCATTTAAAAAAAGGAGGAAAAAATGAAATTTTACATGAAAATGGCTTACCACGTTCAGTATATGAAACAAAGTAGTTCTGCTAGAATTGACATCAATTTTATTATCATTTTCATCCTTGAGAGCTTGAAGCGGCGATTGTCGGCCTGAGTCACAGCAGTTTTGTGAGAGGTCATCTGGAACCAAAATATCATATTTCTGACAAGTTTCTGTTGTATTTGTTGCCGAAGGTGTAGCATTCTCGTTTGAGTCATTCTTGATATTCAAGTCCAGGTCACCAACAGGCTTCTTTTCATTTCCGACATCAATAACCTCCAATCTTGTGCCAGCATCGTCGACATATGACTGTTTCGCTGGCGTTTTTACTGAGTGGGCCTCTTTAATCTCTTCAAGCTTCAGCATTAGTTCATTCATTTTCTGTTCAAGATTCAACTTCGTCTCCTGGATCAAATCTTTATGCTGATCGAAAATGAAACTGTCCACTGCCTTGAAAGACGGAGATGTGGAGGGGTTTTCGATTGGAGCCTTTTCCCTTTTATCTCTGATTACGGCAAGCTTTTTTGTCAAAGCTGAGCATTGCTGAGCTAACTGTTGCAGAAATTTAACATTGTCATGAGGCTCGTTAGAGTTGAGGTTGTTAGAGCCAGTTATGAGTTTCTGTGTTAGTTCCAGGGTTTTCTTCTCATCTGCTATCTTTTTCTGATCTTCTGCTAGCCTATATGAATAAAACAGAATAATTATATGAGGCAAAAATAATTGCAATATTGCAAAATTTAGGTTAAGGCATTTAAGATTTATTTTCAATCAAGCTTTCAAACCAACAGATTTCTGGACACATTTGTGATAATGCCCAAGAATAAAAATGGGATAAAAAAATTTGTCAGAACAAAATTATTTTCTCGCAAGATGTACTGAAAGTCATTTTACAAGCTATGGGAAAAACTTCAATTTAATGACTATGAGTGATCTAGGGACAAGATCCGCCACTGCGCTGCTTCACGGTATGTGTCTGTGAGAAGCAATAATTATTGTAATGCACAGGTTAATGCAGGAAGTTGATCCATAGCATGTAGCAGCATTAATACTGAGTAGTATGACATCAAATTCTGGAGGATTCATTGGAAATTTATACCAGAAACTACTATAACTGATGTCACTTATTGAGGTGGTAAGGAAATATCTCACTTCCGCATTGAGTCAATGAGTAATGTCCGTTTTGGTTGTTTCCAATGTAAATTACTACCCCGTAGAATGCTGCTACATGTTGCAGATTAGTTTCTTGCATTTTTTTGTAAATTACGATAATTACTCCTTTTCACAGACAGAGAGTGTGTATCTACACAAAATACTAGAGGATCACTTCCCTGGATAACTTAGAATCACCTTAAGCAGGCAATTTGGCTTCAAGGAATTGTACAATTTGCTGAAGAATTTAATTTTAAGTTGATGATTTTTTTTCATGAACAAATTTTGACTTTAAAAAAAACAAATGTAGAGAGGTACTTTTTTCTTTTCCAAAAAAAAGTAGCATTGTTTCAGTCATTAATAACTTACTGTGCATATGCTGCGTCCAGTTCCTTTTCTTTTAGGTCTAACTCACTCTTCTTGGCTTCAAGTTTCTCAACTTCCTTACCTCTTTCTAATTTCAGTTGCTTTTCTTTTTCTTCTAATTTTAAACTTTCTTCCTGAAAAAATATAGAAACTTTTAACTTTTTTTAATACATAGTACTGAATCCGCACTAGGAGAAACAAGGTGTAACTTATTTATGGTAGTTCAAAGAAGAAATACAGTCCCCCGTTTTTCAGTTCAAATCAAGTTTTATCAAAGATTTGACAGCATTCAAATGTGGTCTTCCATGTTTTTCCTTAGACCAAGGGTAATGATTTAATGCTATTTTTCATTGTATGTCTTTTAGTTGATCATTTTCGATTCCAAATATGTATTCATTTCTTTACCGTGGGAATTTCTTCATGATTAAAAAAATTTCCATGTCATTTTACAGCAATTGAGCATGATTAGTCAATACTACTTGAGGGGAAATACGGTTTCTGATTAGTTTTCAAACTTATTTTCACCATTTACGATTTACTTATCTGACTGAAAAGTCTTTAGGAGGGTTTACTTTAACCTTTCCATCCTTCATATAAACATGCCCTCAGTTCTTAGCTTGATCACGACTGATGCACATCTTTCAGCCCCAGACTTAAAACTTCCAGATTATTAAAATCTAATCAATGGGTAAATTAGATTTCTTGATAAAAAATGGTGAAAGAATTGCTGGAAACTAACTTGAAGCTGTGATAGCCTTTCAGAGATGGCTTCATGTTGTTTCCGCAGAGCTGATGATAAGGTCTTCAATTGGTCTTCTCTGGATGCTATTTCTTTTTCAATAATTTCTTGTTGTTCGATCAACCTTTTTTCAGTTTCTGCCAATTTTCCATACGTCTCTCTTTCTTTCTGCAAAACTTCAGATACTTTCAAACGATACTTGGCTTCTTCTTCCGCTTTTAATTTTTTAACAGCATTTTTATAGTATCTAATGCAAAACAAAGAGAGAAAGGCTCAAGATGAAAACAAGAGCAATATTTTGATTTTCAGGCCACAGATGGCATGACATGTATTGAGATGCTGTTTGGCACATTTACTAATGAGAGTAAATTGTTAACAAAAAAAACCGTAGCAATTGCCATACATCTCTTGTAAAAATTGTTATGACTTGGAATTTCTCAAGTGACTTCTTTCAACTTCTTATTTCACAAGAGACCAGCATAAACTTCATAAGTAATTTAGTTTTTGAATAACAGCCCCAGTCTGGATCCTTATGGACACCCAAAGAATAAATATGTAACAGAATTGTCTTAACTAAACGTCTAAATCAGGAAAAATAATGCGGATAAAGTAAAATGCTGACAGATGAGAAAAAATTAATATCTGAAATCCAGTGTTTAAAAATGTTATGCCTACTTAATTTTATTATTTTCAAAGAAAAGTAATGTGATGAGGGTGTTTGAATTTTTTGTAAAGTACATACTCCTCTTAAGTAAAGGAAAAATAAGATTTAAAATTTTTTAGTACATTGCCTTCACGGAGATCAATTTTGTGCTCTACATTCAAAGAAATCTTTTTAAAATAAGTCTCTACTATGGCAAGGTTGATGATGAGTACAGGCAGAGGAACATGATATCCGAACTATCTCTTGAATAAAGAGTACTCTAATTTTCAGAGTTCAGCCTCGAGAATAATATCTTTTTTTCTTTTATTTTAATATTGAAACCTGCCTTTTGTGCGAATTAACTTTGATACATAATCACATACAACAGAGAATATTAAATAATTGAGACTGCAGTGAAGAAACATATACCTGGTAATATGATCTTGTAAAATTTCCAGCTGCTCAAAACTGAAGTCACTATTGATGAATACATCTCGAATTTCTCTCGGCCACAATTCATTTTCTTCACCGTCACTGGTTTTCTGCGGGTCCCTGAAAAATTTTAAACATTAATACAATTTCCAAAAACTTCTTTAAAAAAATAAGGAAACGATTGAAAGGCTTAAATTTTCTATGAAAAAGAAACGGAAATGAACACAAACCTCCCGCAGAGCAAGAAGTTATTATTCGATGATCTAATCATAAATTTCAAAATAAGTAAATTATGAAGGAATATTTCATTTAAAAAACATAATATCTTGAAGTGCTATGAGAATTAAAAGTTTTCTCTTCTAATAAAAACTGAAGAAAAAAGCGAAATACTGATGGTTGAGGACAAGGGGCATAAAGAGAGAGCAGTTTCAAAATTTACCTGTAGTTACAATTTTGATTTAGGTAGTCTTGAAGGCTGTCAAGAAGGCACATTAACAACGCTTTATTTTCCCTGTTGAATTGATACAGTCGACGGGTTTTTATGCTGACACCCTGATCTGGTGAAAAACCAAGGGCTTGAAGAATATCTTTGACATCAGCAGTATCGATACGAGGTAGAGGCTCTGATCCCGAAGATTCAGCGTAATTTTTATCTGCCAATCTGGTGATGTATGTGGAGAATTCTGATAAGCTGGTTAGAGAGGGAACCTAGAAAAAGGGCAATGAAAAATTTGCACATGTGAAAGAAAAAACAAAATTAGAAAATTCTCTGAATTGAGAAATACTGCTGAGATATGCATCTTATATTATTATTTCTAATTAGAATTTTTTAAAAATTGTCGGCTGATAATTTAGAATTTTCTACCAAAGTTTTATACTTTTTGGTTTTTGACTAAAAAATTCACGATCTACAAATAGGCAGAGGAGCACATGGATGATTAAATGCAAAAAGTGCGTACTTCACTTGCAACAAAAATCTCCAATTATGTTTTACTTTCTTCAAGAAAAAGTAATTGAACTGTTTCCTAACAAGTATGTGTCATTGTTCTAGATCAAAAGAAGAAAATTCAAAGAAAATTTCTACAGAAACTGTTGGTTTGTTTTGCTTCAAAAAATTAACAAGAGTGCAGACTTATAATGTCACAATCTGAGATCTACATTTTTTGATCAATATAGATTTTTGGCTATTTTTGAAGTTAGAACGCCGTATACGAACTTTCTTTCTTCCGCTTTCCAAATCACCTTCAAATAGAGATGATACTCCGCAACACACCATACTTATTTAGTAACATCGGAGGAAACAGGGATAAAATATATATTGAGTAGACCAAATAATCAAACGATATTTGGTGAGTGAAACAATGCAGGCAAGAATTGACTAACCTCGGTGAAAAATACAGATAGTGTGTAATGGTGCTGTAAACGCAATAAATAATCCGAGATCAGCAAGTTCACTGCTTGCAATTTCGGTGACACTGACTTTGCACTATTTCTGTTTAATGATTCAACCCCCAAGGAGGTTCCTTTTAAGGCGCTGATCATCTTTTGACGTATGTGCGCTTTGAATTCTGAAAGGAGTCCTTGGTCTTCAAACCTGTGACAGACAAAGTAGTCCAAATGAGTTGACATTTTGGTATAATCTGGTCTGATGATTGAGAATTACATATTAATAACTTACACATTGAAACCACATCAATTCATAAAATTCATACAAAAGGTAACAACGACAACAAACAGCCGATAACATTCAAAATTATTGCAGGTGCAAAATTGGCTAACGCCCTTCATAAATTCTAAAAAGTGGTTCTTGTTATCTGTTCAGATCAATTCAGAGGGCAGTCAATGTATTTTTGTGATTATTTCTTTATCTTTTGACAATGTCTCCTTTACCTGTGGATTTTCACAAATGGAAATTTCCCACTCGTTCCCTCCAATAGAAATAAGGTATGGAAATTTTTTTTCGGAAATTATGATAAAATTACCAATGCTTAAGAACTTGCATCACAAAATATCATGGTTCAAAGTCTGAAGAACTTACCATGCGTACAATTTCTCTTGAATTTTGTCATCTGAGAAATTATTGTTATCGGGTTTCTTCAAAAATTTGTTTAACTGGAAGTTTTTCCTGTCCATTGTACTCAGTTAGTTTGAAGAATGCCACGTCACTAAAAAAAGAAAAAATAAGGGGACATATCATTTCTCATGAATAAAAACTAGAAATTTGTAAGAGATAGGTAGGTACCTAAGATGAATTTAATTATGTAAAAGATCACCAATTGAGTTGTTGGCGATGTTGTTAACAGTTTGTGATCGGAATGCTCATTTATGCCTTTGCTCAACGTTTGTTTAAGGTGATTCATCAAGCTCTCTGATGTGGTCGAACTGGCATGCGATATATCGCATATTTGAGGTCAGAAATCTCCGCAGATTTAGCCAAAACAAGGACGATAGCCCTTAGCTGCACATTAGCTATGGCAAAGTTTTCATACAAACAGGCTTTCGCTTCTGTCTCTCTGAATTTTGCCAATTTTTTGGTTTAACATGATTTTGAAGGCTCACACGCAGGGGCTATCATTCTTTTTTCGGCTAAAAATTCATAATCTACTGAGATTTACGACCTGCTCGATACAATATATCGCATGACAGTTTGACCATGTCAGAGAGCTTAATGAATCACCTTAAATTTCTGACTTGCTTCTAACAGATTCTGCAAGGGGAGTATGCATAATCCATTAGCCATAACCACAACACTATGGGCATAACCTCTTCATAAGAGCAAGTTGATGATTGCAGATTCTTTCGCTCCTTCCTAAATCTTGTGACGTTCTTTTAAAAAGTGCAAAAAAAAAATTAACTGACATGTATGACTTGGGCTTAAGTAGCTCATAACAATACTACATTTTAGCACTACGTCAGTACTCCATGTGCATACTTATTCAGCCAACCCTTCAACTTCAGAAAACTCTTGCGACCTATATGGAAATAAAAAGGACCAGTTCTGAGGAAGTGCATACACAATAAGAAGCAGAGTTGGAAAAAAATATAAATTTATCAGCTTCCTAGGATAGTATCAACATACGAGATAAAACTTACAAAATTTATCCACGGAATGAGTTTTCAAGCTGATCAATCAAGGTTGTGTCACATCAAATTAAATTTAGGACGGGAAAAGATTTTTTCAATATTGGATGCACAATATAACTTCAAATTTTGCGCAGAACATTGGTTCCACGCAAGTTCTGCCGGGATCAAAAGAATTTTGGAGAGCATTTTGCTTCAATATAAAGAAAATTGGACGAACTGTTTCTGTTTTGGTTGATAAGGAGATAAGCGTTGCTATGTGACGTAATTTGCAAGTGTGCCACAATAAAAGAAGAGAAGTTATTGTAAAAATCCGAGAGAATTTCCCTGTAATATTTCAAATAATCATTCTGAGGATTGATATACGGAGAGAAAATTTTAAAATTTAATTAAATCTCTTACTTCAGATTGAAAACGTAACAGGAGTGAGTTCAGTACTTTCCCAAATCCCAAAACTGTTTTGTTTAGAAGGTACGGTAGTTTGAAACTACTGTACGCGTCAAATGTAGAGCCATGGGTTCAAGTAACCCGTAAAGTGACCTGCCGTTCAACAGTCCCTGTAGCGCAGTGGATAGCGCGTTGGACTTCTAATCCAAAGGTCGTGGGTTCGATCCCCACCAGGGATGCTATATTTTTGAAAAGAGTAGCCTGTCACTCTTTGACAGCGAGTTAATAAATGGCTCTATGATAGAAATAGGTCACATTGCTCACTCCGAGCTACAGCAACTGTCATACTTACAGTCACGGTGCAATTTGCGACATTGGCGAGAAGAGGGTGATTCTACTTATCAATAAATATATATTTTCACTCGAAGCATTTTTCCAAAGTAGAAGTTTTATTCAGTGCTCTCTTAAATGAACAAAATTTATATTCAACCCCCCCCCCTCCCCTAGTACAGGTGCAACCCGCTATTAGGGTGAGACTATTATTTCGGTCTCAGTTGGATATTCAAGTCGCACTTGATTGATGTTAATTGGTTCTATCCTCAAAAATATTATTATCTAAAATTTAAGCTGATTTGGAGCATCGTTAATGATATTAAATAATCCTCGCAGCGATTGTTTCGAAAAAATTTACATCAGGGTAAGTAAAAGGGGGAATAACGTGCCAATATCCGGAAACAAGTTTTTTAGCCATAAGATGTCCAAATGAAAATTAAGACCGTCGCTCGGGAAGGCAGTGAGGAGCTTATTTCGAAAAATTAAATCACACTTGGACCTTGGACACATGGAATGGGGGGGGGGGCGGTTTTGAAGCGCCGCGCGCAAGAATAATGATCGCATTTTATGGCATCTCGTCCAACCCAAAAGAGGCGTTCCGAAATTGCAGAGGCTAATATTTTTCGCAACTTGTTGGGGGAAAATGTACAAAAGCTGTCTTCGGGCTTCATTAACTATGTTTTACCCATTTTATCGCCGTCAAAATCACGTGAATATAAGTACAAAATAAAATATACACTAATTTCGTTCCATGCTCGAGCAAATATGTCAACTGTGTAAAGGGTCAAAAATATTTCTCCAGGGCCAAAACTACCATCGTAAATTCCTTACAAGGTGTGAGATGTATATTTTGCCTCATTTCCTCCCTCAAATTCGGTGCACCTGTTTTGAGTTTGATCATTTGATGAGAAAGTGTCATGTCAAACAGAACGATCCGTGCACGCGGTGACTCGAAACCAGCCCCCTTCCCCTCCCATGGGTGTAGTGTGATTTTTCATTCTCGGTAGGCCTCTGAAAGAAAAAAAAATTCAAAGAAATTAAATTCTAAAAAAATGAATTTTCACGGATAGGCAGCCCTAAATAATTCATTCGCAATTTAAACCAATGTAATTTTTTCCGCGATTTCGAACGATTTAAGGATAATCTGAAAAAGCTCTTTGGCCCATTCTTAGACAAATTTTGCTGAAAATGAATGGAACCAATTACCACTTGGTAAAATTTGCGACCCGATGTTCCAACGTGACCGAAATAAGTCCATATCTACAACCTACATCCGCATCCGCAAATCAACTAAAAAATCTAAATCTTGGGTCTTACCTAAATCCGGGAATGGAGATGCTAAAATCTCAATCACTATCCTACAATCATTTTAATGACAGTGTCTATAATCTTAATTGGAACAGGGCCGGATTTACCTACTTGCCGCCCATGGGCCGCCTGTATTTTGCCGCCCCCTTCTCATTCGTTTTGAAATACCAAATAAAAACCATCAAGTGAACGTGCCAGCGGGGGGTGGGATGCATGCATAAGACGCGTTTACTCGTGTTGCAAACATTTTTTGGGAAAGCCCTGTCAACACTACTAGCAAAAATTCACCGAACTTTGCGCGAACGTTAAGTTTCGTAAACCTATCTCTGCGTGGACAAGGCCTTCCATACATAAGAAATGAACGAAAAAATTATGAAAGAACAAACATAAATGTGGTTTAATGATTTTAACTTCCGCCGCCACGCCGCGCAGACCGCACCGTGTTTGGAGCAATGCGTGAAGTATTCATGCAGTCTTGTAGGCGCTATGCGTTTCAGGCCGACTGCTGCTGACCGCGCGCAGTGTGTTGGACGCAATGCGTGAAGTATTCATGCAGTCTTGTAGGCGCTATGCGTTTCATGCCGACCGCCGCACCGCTCCGTTCTAGGTCAAATTGCGTGTTTGGTTTCTCTCTTAACTCGACTAATTGAAGGTGCTGTCTCTTGTATCACCGAAAGACGACAAAATTAGAAATTACTATACTCTCAGGAAATGAGAGATTTTGTTTGTAATTTTTTTCTTAATCCGATTTTTTTTATACCTACATTTAAAAAAATTGCAAAATTTGCCGCCTCCTAGATTTGCCGCCATGGGCCGCGGCCCTTGTGGCCACCCTTTTACATTTTGCAATAAGGAACCACTATTTCTGGCCTGGCCCATTTTAGAAACAACATACAAGCCATCGGTGTCTCTATGCAGGTATGTGCTTTCATAGGAGAGCCAGAGATGTTAGTGGTTCCATATTGTAAAATTTAATCCAATTATTATTGCACCGATTTTCACAGGCCTCTCGCTACTTAATCCTCCATAATGTCTGCAAGTTTAAGGCTAAAGGTTTTTTTACCACCCGCGGTCCAATCTGTCCAATCATACCTGTTAACTTGCGCAATGTATGCGTACTCTAAAAATGCGCACGACTTCTGTTCCCGCGCAACTGCAGTTTGCACATCAGGTGATTTCCGTTTCCGCTTTCCGCTCTCGCGCGGTTGCCGGTCGGTCGTCTTTCCCACGGAAGGATTTTTTCTCATTCCGTCCAGTTCCCCTTCAAAAAGCGTGATGGCAATTTGAGCGGCTTGGGAGCACGAATAATCGCACGGAGTAGTTTTGTCACTGTTGCCCTACCGCTCCGTCCCGGCAATCCGGCAATGAACTGCGTGTATAGGAGGATCGAGGAAGGCGGCAACACTGGCTTCTCTCCATGTGTTGATTTGTTTTGTTTACCTTTTCATTCATAGATAGTTAGTGCTAGTGAAGTAAGTTTGTTCTGCAAGTTTCGCTTTTCTACCGATTTTCCTCGTTTCTGCAGCATTTCTTGTTTGTTATAATTTAGAGAATGGTCTATTGAAAAATCTTTTATTATTTAAATCCCTTCAACACGCTGAGATGAAATGGATGCTCATGAATTCAAGTTGTTCCCATAGCAACTAAACATGCAACGCAGGTAAATAAAAGTGCACAAATACAAACTTAAGAGATGTTGAATAGCTTTTTCTGTGTTCACGCATTTTCCTCACACATTCGTTTTCTCTTGGCCAATAATTTTGACTTGACAGCTTGTACTCGTTTTTTTCTCAATATAAATCATGACTGTCTTGAATTGGGAGAATGTTCTTGAGTTCAGTGCGAATAATTTGACCGAAGATTTGAAAGATGAGCTTGGCAGTGAATTGGTCAAGTGTGACATTGAATCACAGTCTGATGTTTCAAAACTACAGCACATGCTCAAAATTTCTCAGCAAATTTTGCTGTACAAAAATGAACAGGTAGCATTGTGTTTCACTTAACACACCAACGTGTCAATATTGTTTTTCTAGATGAAGCAGAAACCATAGAGAGCAAATTTTTTTATGGTTTATGAATGGCTGATGTGGATAATTGCCTATCCCAGTTTTTTTACAGCCCTTCAAATTTGTGATAGGCTTATGACACCATCAGTACGTTCCCTAGAACCCTGATGATTGAAGATTTTCTTATTTTTGCACTTTTATTTGCAGAACAAAACGTGATGTCCTTCTTGTTTTGTAGGTTGAAGCTCTGACAACAGAAATTGATAACCTTGCTGCACATCAGGGAGAATATGAAGTACAGAATCGGCAAAGTTTGCAGGAGGAAATTGATCAGCTTCGAGCGCAACTATCTCAGGCTGCCAGATTCAAAGACCTCTCCAAAGATGACAGTAAGCATATCTGTAAATTTTCCCCCAACCTCTGATTATTTCGGAGGGTATGGATTCGATCGACATGAATCGATTGAAAAATGAAAATGTGAATCGGTCGACATGAATCGATCGACACCGATTCAATCGACAAATCGTTAAAAAACTGGTGTCGATTCGATCGACATGAATCAATCGAAAAATGAAAACGTGAATCGATCGACAAATTATTAAAGACCGGTGTCGATTCGATCGACAAATTATTAAAAGACCGGTGTCGATTCGATCGACATGAATCGATCGAAAAATTAAAACGTGATTCGATCGACATGAATCGATCGACACCGATTCGATCGACAGTTAATTTAAAAACACCCGTGTCGATTCGATTGACATGAATCAATCGAAAAATGAAAACGTGAATCGATCGACACCGATTTGATCGACAAATTATTAAAAGATCGGTGTCGATTCGATCGACATGAATCCATTGAAAAATTAAAACGTGATTCGATCGACATGAATCGATCGAAAAATTAAAACGTGATTCGATCGACATGAATCGATCAACACCGATTCGATCGACAGTAAATTTAAAAACACCCGTGTCGATTCGATCGACATGAATCGATCGAAAAATGAAAACGTGAATCGATCGACACCGATTTGATCGACAAAATTCGATCGACTCATGGGTTTGTCGATCGACTCACGGATTTTTCGATCTATTCATGGGTTTGTCGATCCATTCACGGGTTTGTTGATCCATTCACGGCTTTTGTCGATCCATTCACGGGATTGTCGATCGAATCGGTGTCTATCCATTCACGTTTTCATTTTTTGATCCATTCATGTCGATCGAATCGATACGGGTGTTTTTAAATTAACTGTCGATCGAATCGGTGTTGATCGATTCATGTCGATCGATTCATGTTTTCATTTTTTGATCAATTCATGTCGATCGAATCCATACCCTCCATTATATCTTTACGATTTCATTCTACAAAATAATAGAGTCCTTTTAGACCCTTTTTTTATGTAGGTATGCACACTTCACTAAAATGGAAAACTAAAAAGAAAGACCACACTAGAGGACAAAGTGCGAATACTCAAGGAGCAGAAAAATTTGCAATATATCGCGATGAAATCGCCAGGACCATCAACATCTGGGCGATTATCCTTGATCTTATTGCATTAAAATTGCGATTTTATCGCCTGGCAATTCATTACTATATATTTGAGATAAAAATCGCTTGGTGATTTGATCTCAATTTTATCAACAAATATTGATTCCGATTTCATCAAACCAAAGATTGCGATGTATAGCAATTTATCGCTAATTTTTATTAAATAATATTGCGATGAATTGCCACTGATATAATTGCGATTAACAACCAATAAAGTCGCCATTTATCACCATCACTGCTTCTTGGGTGCCTACTTCCCTGTTTTTACAATTGCCTAAAATTGTCCTGTTTTAAATTGTATGAAATGCATACAGGGTGATCATCATCCTGAGGGTGATTGCCCCTAGGGCTCTTGCCTTTTTTCAGGGTGATCCAGTTTTAATTTTGAGAAGTCTCAAAAATTGTTATCTTTGACCTGAAAGCACTCAAAAAGTTTCATATCTCCATTAGTGTTGCTGATATTTATGGTTGCTATGGATATCCAATTTATCAATTTTTTTCCAAAAATAAATCGATCCCAATGTATATCGAGCCCTGAAATATCGATATTCACAAATATCGAACCTAAAAATGGATACTTTACATGGTAACACTTTGCCCTGCCGCAAATTGGTCCCTAAATTGACCAGAATTTCCAAAATATCGATGGCCTAACGTGGGAATCACTCATCTTCACAAGCGACATTGCAAATTTTTACTAATTTTGTATTTTTTCCAGGAGAATTACCGATTATCTTCACTATTACTTCATGAGAATGACTGCTACAAAAATAGTAAACAAATCCCTGTGGGATGGAAATTCTATCCTTCGAAGTTTCCTACCTTATCCTCAAAACTGCTGATATAAAATACACAACTAAGCAGAAGATTGGAAGAAAAATCCATTTTATGTCTCTAGAGATGAATGTATCAATACTAACGATATATCAACGTTGAAATATTGATAAGATATTATCGATATTCCAAAATATCGACATCACTAATCTCCATCTCAATTTTTTCAAAAGTTACAAAGGTGATGCCGAGTGCCGGTGGTGTCAGATTTTTGGATCACCCTGTATACTGCCATATAATAGTCAGAGGTGAATTCTTCAATAGAATGAAAATATTTCAAGATGATAAAGATTCATTGAATTAAATACATTATTTCTAAAGATGGTCTCCATTAAGTTTGTTGTAATGAACCAGTCTTTCCAAATTAGATGTTTTCGTCATGGTTAAATGAATAAAAATGTCTCTTCTTTTTGTCAGGTGCGCTGATTCTACAGCAAGAAGTGGCTAAATTAGAAGTCCAGAATGAACAACTTTTGCTTGAGCTCCGAGAAAAAGAGAAGGACTTTTTGAATGAGAAGAAAGAGACTGAAAAGGTGAGAATATGTAATATATGATTTTTTGCCTTTTCTATTAGTTGGAGGCCAGAACATTGCAATGACTCAGAAAATGGGCTAACTATTTCTATTAAACTACTAATCTGACCCAAAATATCGGGGGGGGGGGGGGGGGAGTCCTTGGGGAAGGTTGCAACGGCCAGGAACAAATCCCTTGTATCAATCATTGATGCCGCAGAGGTGGGCGAGGGTTCAAATAATTGAACTGGAATTTGATCAGTTGCTATCCAGCCTTTTATTTTCCTTCGTGTTATGCAGAGGCCTCTATTGGCTCTCTCGTGCTATTGGTGACCTCAACTAGAACACTCAATGAGAATGAAGAGAAGAAAGATACGAGCAGAAGCGGAAATGATTTATGCGAGTTTGATAAAATGGCTCGACTGATAATCATTATGGTTTATCCAATTAATTTTTTTCTTCCCCTACTATATTAATAGCAGCCAATAGCATGGTCCCAAAAAGTTATTCCTGAAACATTGGCTTGTCCTCTTGCTTCACTCTTCTTTTCAAAATTCCCCTTCCATAGGTATCTCGCCATCTTGCAATGGTCATTGATGGTCACTTATTGACAGACTGGGCAAATTTAGCATAATAGCGGAACTTTCCACATCAGGCACAATCGCATGTTCATATGTATTGGGTCCTTTGCAGAGTATGGTCAAACTTTTTGCCTCCCTCAATTTAAAAATCTAAATTTTTGTATATACACCCATCTTCCAAATTCTTTGTAAAGATGTTAATAGCCTAGGATGCTGAATGTCTATAAATAAAATAACTAACTACCTACCTAACTCACATGCTGTTCATAAGTTCTGCATGCATTTCATCCTGCAAGGTTCTCTCCTGTCACTTGAAGGTTTCAGGAATTTTAACGGAAGTTTGTTTCAACTATTGATTAATATTATTGTTTTTTGTTTTACAAAATATCAGCCATTGTTTTTATACTTAAAATGAATGGTTTGATCAGCTCTGCCTGTACTGAATCCTTGTCAACAGAATTTCTTGCTAGTGAAGCATCAATGCTAGTCATTAAAACAATATTTGATAGTTTTTAGCTTAAAAGTTACAAAAATCATTCTCCTATCCTATTATGAGTCAATACTTGTAAGCTGTTACATCATTTTGTGTTTTTTTTTCCAGTTTGCAGAACAAGTCACCACACTTGAGAAAGAGAAAAATGAACTTCTTCGAGAACTGTCATCCCTTCACAGGGAAATCAATGACTACAGTGACACTAAATCAAGGCTAAGTACTCCCCTCACCCCCACAGGAAAGGAGCAAGATCTCACCGATACTATCCGCCAAAAAAATAGGCAAATCACAGAACTTTTAGAAGATATCCAGATTATCGAAAATGAAAATAGTACTCTAAAAGAGAATCTCACTGTTGTCCGAGATGAACTCACTGTAGCCACTAAATCAGTCTCAGAGCTCACAAACCAGTCGCTCAGTTTGAAATTGGCTCTTGAAGAGACCAAAGAAAAACTGAACACTAAGAACCAAGAAGTCTCTGGTTTGAAAAATCAGGTTTCTGAGCTTGTGTCGGAGAAGAAAATCCGAGACAGTCAGCTCGATGGACTCATTTCTGCACTTGATGTCCGAGTCAAACAATGGCAAAATCTTCTCAATGAAAAAGATGCCGAATTAAAAGCGCTCAAAAATCAGTTGTTGGCGTACGGTTCTGATAACTCTCAGATCACAGGTTTTGCACAAGTATTACGTAAGCGTGAAGAACAAGTTGAGGAACTTCAAAAACAGTTGAAACAAGCGACTTATGACCTGGAGGAAAGTGCTGATCTCCTGCTCAAATGCAAAGTAATTGGTTTTTTTCTTTTTTTGTGGTAAACTTTTGTTTACTAGGTTAGTGGTCATTTTGATTTCTCTCATAAACACGAAAATATAAGCGAGGGGTGTTGATGGGTGTGGAAAATTACCTGGAAGTTTTTTTGAAAAATTCCAGCAGAACAACATACGTCTTACTCTCATCAAAATTTTCCAAAAATATCTGCATGTATGTACCTATTTAGAGGTCAATGTTCTCCACAATTTTCAATGCTCAGATGTTTACTGTACTTATCAGAAAAAAAGGTGAAAGCCTCTCAGAATTTTCTTATCAGATATGATTGTCGCTCCTCAGCCTGTGACAAGATATACAATAAAAAAAAAAAAAAAACAGTTTAAAAAGCGGGTAACATGGCTGATTTTCACGAATAAAACCAAAACGTTTCGGCTGAGTTTCGTAACAACATCTCGCTTTAAAAGGTACAGCCAGGTACTATTTTAGATTTTTACCATTTTTCATTTTACTCTTTTTTTCAACTGAGGAAGGCTGAGTTTTCAGTCAAAACGTTTTGGTTTTATTTGTGAAAATTAGCCTTGTTCCCCACTTTTTAAATTGTTTTTTTTATCAAATGTTCACATCAATATCTCTACCTGAACTTGGCAATTATTCTATTTACCTTAATAGGACTCCGCAAACTCCTTGTAAGGCTGTGTGCCCAGATCGATTTCCCCCTTTTTTATTGCATGAAACTCGTCAATGAGTACTGATCAAAAGTCATCATTGCACCTTTGGTCTGGAATGTCTAATTTAGCACCTTGTCTTGTGGTCCATTGGCGTATATGACTTTTTTTTCCACATTTTATCATTCCAGCCTCAAGAAGGAGCTGCAGAAGTCCCAAAATCCCTTTACAATGATCTCAAGTTAAAGTTACAGTTTGCGGAAGAGGAGATCAAAGTGCTAACCAAACGTGCGGAGCATGCAGAGCTTGAAGCTCACACTAAAGCTGAGCAAGTTTCAGAGTTGATCATTCTTTTGCGAGAAAGAGAGTCTGGGACAAGCTCAGAGTCGCTCATCCGAGAACTCCAGAAGCAAAAGTCTATTCGAGATCATCACATTGATCGACTGATCCAAGCTGGGAATTCCCTGCAAGAAGAAACTGAGAGACTTGAGTATGAAAATATTGCTCTGCGAGAGAAGTTTAGTGTACCAAAAGATGAAGAAATTCCCATTGAAGGTTTGCAACATCCTATCCTCAATCTACCTCCTAGAATTAGCAGATTTCAGTATTTTTTTACTGAACTAAATCAAAACCTGAGACACAGTCAGTCAGTTTTCTTTTTAAAATATAAAACATTATCAAAAATTTACAAGTATTGCAATAGATTTACACATTTTTCGATTTTAATCATCAATACACTAATTGCATAGAGCATTCATAATTAAGATGAGAATTTACTTGAAGAACCTTTGTCATCCTCTGTTTGAAAATTTATGATAGTGTTTACCATTAATATCAGATTATTTCAAAATGCTTTGTGGTCGATACTTTTGAGCAACTATCTGCATCTCAAATTGTGTATCATTCAAATTTTGTCCATAGTCATACTCATTTTCATTTTCATCGTTTTGTCACCAATGATACTCAAATTAATTCATTAGAGCACCAAGCCAGTCAGTGTCACTGTCACAGTGTAGCCGGTCACTCATTTGAAACTCATCTTCTGTCTTCTGTTTGCAGGTGTGAAAAATCGTATACAGGAAGAAAAATTAAAGCTAAAGCAACTCGAGCAAGAACTAGAAAATGCACAAGCAACCATAAACTCTTTGAAAATTGATAACAGAAAGCTCACTAAAAAACTGAATTTGAAAGTGATAAATCAAGCACCTTGTAAACCGATTTCCATTTCACCTTCCTCATCAGACATTGAGGAAAGAGTAACGCTTAGTCAAGCACCATCGACTGCACGGATTGAGGATGATGCATCAAAATTTATAGATGAAACGCTCCAAACAAAATTGACTGAAATCATCAATGAAAACGAGGCGCTACGAGTTGGTCTTCATGAAGTTTTAGAGAGTATTCATGGTCAAGATGGAGTTCATGTTCAGATCAAGTCTCAATGTCTGGAGCGCTTGCTTGAGGCATTGGATGCTAGACATATCTCTGGCTGGTACCACCCTGCGATGCGGCTTCAGGCGCAACTACACAATTTGCAAGGGTTTAATAGTAGTCTTCGAGAACAGCTTTATCAAGCCAAGGTTTGCTTATCATCGTTATTATTTGTTTTACATATCTTGTAAATGTAGGAAGTCAACATCAGCAGTGGCGTAAGTCACTAGCAACTGACTATGTTTTCTCTTTTGGTATGGCCTTGGGTGCCAATGCCAAACAGATGAATATCAAACTGCATAATGATAATTATTTACTTTCCATTATTGAAGATCTTATAACTTGACAGAACAAGTGAAGACTGTCTTCTTTTTAGTTCCAGTTCAGTCCAATGTTTTTTGACTGCAGTATAAAAATGATAAAAAATTTAAGGTAGGGACGCGCCAGTCACTAGAAATCGACAGAGCGCACATTGTACAGTTATTTTACCAAAAAGTACCTATGCTGCCAACAATTTAACCTTTTATGGAAAGTATTTTTGCTGTTTACAACAGAAATTCCAGTTTTCCCAAAATCAAATATGCACTCTGATCTTTAAAAAAATCCCTTTCATAAGATTCCTCTCTAATTTCTCTGTGGGAACTTCCCTGCTTTTTTTAAAATCTCGACTTCCCCTAAAATACAAAGAATATCAAAGTATTAGAATCCAATTTTAAAATCAGAATTTTAATGCTCTGAATTTTTTTAACCCTAGAGATTTTGAGGTACATACACAAACTACTTTTTTTGTATTTTTTTATTTTTGGATAGCACATTTTCCCTCGCACATATGTATCTTTAAAGAATTAAAACAATTTAACGCACACCATTTTGTGGTGCAGTCAATTTTAACAAGCAATATTCAGCCACAAAATCATTTGAAATAACCGTGGACATTTTGATGAAGCAAGTATCATATATTGTCTCTTTTTAGGTCAAAGAAACTCAGTTACTGGAAAAGTTGCAACACTGCAATGCCTTTATGGGTCAGGTAGAAAACTATGTGTCATCACTGGAGAATACTTCAGTTCAAGATACACAGCAGAGTCAGCCAACGATTAAACAGGAAGAGCTGCCTGCTGTAAGTACTGGAGAATCTACAAACATCAACAGGAATGAGGATGATAGAATCCAACTCGAAGCATTAGAAAAAAAGCTAGAGATGACGGAACAAAAATTAGAAGAAGAGAAGCGCAACAGTGAAAATACAAAAGAGACTCTTTTGAAGAAAATCGAAGACCTGAAGTGTGTTCAAATGGAGATAGAAGCTCAGCTTAATGAGCTGAAATCATCGTGGGAGTCCATGCGTAAAAATCCTGATTCGCTGCAACAACAATTGGCTGACTTGGCTCTGAGGTTTGTTTTCAATCAGTAGAAAGTCATTTTAATCATACTACACAAGTCAACGGAGGCAATATTTCCATTTTCAGCAGATAGGAAAAATAAAGCCCTACACTTTTTTTCCAAAAATAATATTCCGTTTCCCTGTACCAGAAACAGTGCTAAAAAATGTAAAAGGATGAAAAAATGGTGGAAAACCGTGGACTGCTTAGGTGCCGTTCATGAAGAGGGAGTTGAGGAGAGCATTACGCCATTTTGTTTTTCTGTATCAATGGATAGGGATCCAAGAGAGGGGGGTCAAAAAATCTGAAATTTAGCGTTTCTTATTTTATGAACCGCCTCCCTGCTCAATTAGAAGATAAAGGACTTACCAACACAAACTATCACTGTTCATAGCCCCATCTGCAGAAATATCATTTATGTTTAAAATAGCATATTGCTTTAAGTTACAGATTCTGTATTTTAGAATTCATTCGTCAGTATAGAAGGAAATTTAGAATTTATTGCCTTCTTTGCAAGTGAAGATACTAACAGTTCTCCCCACTTATCTCTTTACACCATAATTTCGAATCCACATGATTGACACCTAATAAGTCAAAACATTTGGAAAATGCAACATTAAATGAAACAATCCTTTGGTTAATTTTCAAAATATTGTCCATTTTTCAATTGTTTGGTAACAATTTTGATGTCCCAGTATGGGATTCGCAGATGTCATTTTCTCATTTATTTATTTATATTTAATTTTATTTTCAAGGGCAAGCTCTTTAGCAGGTGAATGTCAAAGAAGTGAACGTAAATGCAAAGCCCTCCAAGACAATGAGAATCGTTTAACAGTGGAAAAGGTGAAAATTGAAGCAAAACTTGATGAATTAACACAAAGTTCAAGGAGAGATGTTGAATTGATGGCAGCTGAAAAGGTAAGAAACATAATTTTCCAACCCTTTTAAGCATCAGTGCTTTAAAGCTTTTCAAACCTTGAAGCACCGCTTTAAAGGGGAATGGATTTGGGCATGATTAGATGGTCTATTTGCAGTGAGTTTCTTGAAAAAAACCATCAAGTATTTTAATTACCTTTCTCAGGTAAATGATTGACAAGGATCTGAAATGAATAAGTATTCTTTTTACAACAGAAAAAATTGGACACATTCTTTTGATCCTGATTTCAGAGTCTCTTCTTGAATGTACCAAATCTTAAAAACCAAGCAATTATGTGCCACTGTCTATGCATCTTTTTACACATGTAGATCCCTTACTGAGCATGTCAAGAATGAAAATAGTTCGATTTTTCCAAAATTGTTGGTTATCTTTTTTTGGCTATTAACAACAGATATGGTTTTAATTTCTGAACTTAGCATCAAATGAATTGCTGTTTACATTAAATGTTGAGAAGAAAACAGGCAATGCAGTTGTTTAGTTCATATATGTCCACCACTTTATTCTCTGCAAAGAGTGAATTGGCCATTTCTCATCAAATTGAATCCAACTAAGTTGAAAGTGAAATGATACTAAAAAGTGTTCTATTCATTATATTTATTTGAAGTCTCACTCCCATTAATTACCACATAATTTTTGGATCCAACCTGAGCATGAATTTTTACGAATAATTAGTAAAATTTTTATTTTATATTTTAGAATGAGCTTTTACTGGACGTAGCAAGGTTAGAGCAACTTGTTGAAAATTCAGTAGCTTTGTCAGTACATGATGACTTGAAGCATCAAAATTTTGATCTGTCGATCAAATACAAAGCTCTATTGAACAAGCAACCTGCTTTTGTAAGTTTCAAATCCATATTATTGCCTGTTTTGAAGTGAGTATTACAATTTTCCTTTAAGTTCCAGCCTTTGAACAAATGAATCATCAGGATGAAAAAGGGCACAAAATCTATCAGCCTCTTTATTTCTTTCTCTAAAATTACTACCTCTTTTTTTTCCTGGCTTGTTGCCACAAGGAAGTGCATTTGCCTTTTATTTAGCCGGCAACCTTTTGAATATTTGACCCACTACCTCTTGAATATTTATCATCGTTGTAGCATTGACTGTCAAATTTCGACACCAAAGAAATGTATAAAACTGTCATAATGTATGAGTTAGGAAACGCTTTTTGTTTTCTCTTAAGTAGAGTAGATATGAAATTTACGTTAAAAAGAAGTTTTGAAAAAATAAAACAAAATTGTCATCAAAATTTAGTTAATTCTAGAAATTACTCATATTGATTCTAACCACCATATGAACTTCTAAGTATGAACATTTTATGTGGAATTTTTGCTAAAATTTACTGAAATGAAGTGATAAAAACGTGTTGAAGTGCAAAGGAGTATTTTTATGTAAGCCAATAACTCAGATATGTAAACGGTTTTTTCAGAGTTTTCGCTTTGAAATTTAAGTGGGTTTTTTTTTTTTTTTTTTTTTTTTTTTAAAGCTTTATCTCCAACAGCCAATGTCACAATTTTCAAAATCTCGATCAAACAAAGAAAGATCATTTGACTTGGAGAAAATACTACATACAGCAAGCTTATCTGGAGCTGAAAGCCCTCTATCGTGAAAGAAAAGAAGAAAAAAAACAAACCAATTATGTGGACTTCTTTTGGAAACCCAACAGGGCCAAAAATCCCCCTAGTTTTCGGATTTAAATTAATCTGAAAAAAAAAAATTATCTATAATAACATTTTTTGGTACAATAAATTATGCATTACCTAGAAAACATCCATGATACTTGTGCCACATTTGTTTACATGTGTGAATTTTTTTACCTTCAGATCAGTGCTGGTGATGCTCTATCAAAGTTTGAAATCGAAAATCAGAGATTGATCGCTGAAACAGATAGCAAAATAAATGGAATGTTGAAGACCCTTGAAAAAACCTTCTCCAACCAGGATAAAGCACCTTCTGATCAGGTCTCCAGTCCTTCAGTTCTTTCTCCATTTTACTTTGGAAATAAGAAATTTGAAAAGCAGGCTACATAGCACCCTCCTTTTTTAGTAGTAGGGAAGATTTTGTCCCTGTTTTGCTGACAATCCCAGCCAATTTTCACGATCGGTTGGCTGGTGACAGAATATTTAGCCCTTATGGGAAATAACGGAGGGTTTGTTTTCCAAGTGAATAACTTGAAATTAGAGGAAATCAGAAACTGCGAAAAGCGGTTATTGGGAATTTTCTGAGGAGATCAATGGGTAAAGAACAGAAATAATATACTTTAGAGGCCTCGCAATGCTATCCTCCCTATGATGTAAAAGTTAATTTCGGTAGTCATTTGCTCCGATTTGCTTAGTGATTATTGATGACCAAAGAGTCAAGCAGCTGGTTCAGCAATTCCTCTAGCAAAATGCTCAGTGTGACATTCCTGATTTAGCGTACCTTATGCGCAACCTGTTGCAAATTTTCTGCTGTCAACATTTCCAAGCCAAAAAATATTTTGGAAGTGAAAATATTCAGTAAACTTTGTCCTTAATTTTTAGTCTCACGGAGGAACAAATCATCGAATCTCTTTTTCTTTGCTCAAACTCAATGTATTTTGGTGCGATTCTGATAAACTTAGTTAATTTGATGATACCTTATTTTCTTTTAGCATCATTATTTTTTAGGGTTATGAAGGGATCTTTCAATTCTAACACTAATTTTTTACCCAAAAGTATACTTCATGTCTTTATGTTACAAATTAATCACTTATTCCTCGTGAAATTTATGCGGGTACTTTTTTTTAAGGAAAGTGGAGAATGCTAATACTGCTTGCAATTAACACTAAAACTTATGCATTTTTTGCTTTTATGAAGAACACTCCATAACAGATTGAATAAAAATTACGGTGATTGATGATTTCTTAAATTCATTTTTTGCTGTACTTAACCAGTTTTGTTATTAGCGAGAGATAGAAACATATCGTCAGGAAGCCTTGATTATGCAGTATGTAATTGTCGCTCCAGTTTCCTATATCATGAATTATTCTCTTTTTGTGTGTAGGTTTCATTACTCAACGAACAGTTGTCTGCAAGCAATGCAAAGTTACTAGTTGAATCACAGAGAGCTGAGTACCTTGCCAAAGTTAATCAGTCATTGAAAGGTTTGTTTCTTCTTTTTACAATAAAAATAATAATTGTATGTTTTCCCACTGATTTTCTTCTGACTTTTGCTGTGAAATATTTTTTGAAGTTTCATGATCTCACTTGGTACTGTCACAAGCAATGCAATGATTCAAACAAGAAATGAAAGATTCACATTATTATTGTGCTTTCATTTATTTTAAGTATTTTCTAAGTTTTTTTTCTTCCTCTCTCTCTCTTTCAAGCAGCGTTTATGTGAGGAGAAAACTTTTTTTTTACTTTTTGCCTTATGAATGGATAAAAAAATTATTGTAATATTATTACCTTCTAGATCAACTCATGGAAACAGAGACAAGATGTCAAAACCTTCAAAGTAGTCTGACAGAAGTGGAAGAAAGTTGCCGTAAGCTTGAATTATCAGAAGCAATCCTTCGAGATAAATTGTTCTCTTTTATTGATTCTGATTCTTACAATCAACTCCAAAAGAAGTGTTTAGACTTGGAGAAACGTCTGGTAAGTTTAGTATAACTCATGTATGTTTTCTTTCATTATCATGTAACCTTTTTTCAAAATGAATGTCTGAGAATTACATTGATCAAGAATTGAGAATACTTAATTCCAAAATAAAATGGGAGTAACTCTTTTTACCTTTTCCAATAGAATTTTTTTTAAAGTCCATGAGTAGGCAAAAGTTTATTAAAACTTTTCGACAAATTTCAAAATTTTTGCTAATTGTACCTATACACTTGTACATTTTTCATATCTCTGCTTTAAAATCTGTCCGTCATCTACAATGCGAAAAGTTATAGTAAAAACATAAATGTATTTTATGAGCGTATGAATGCATCAATGTACATGCATGAGTTTCAACTTAATCTTGAATGTGTTTCATAAACGTTTAACGCATAAAAGAATGTACAAGAATCAAGCAACGTTGAAAATTTAATTCCGGTTTAAGTCACAATCTTAACATGTACACTTAGCATTGACCAAGTGGAAGATGGATGAAAAAGTTTGTCCGTTCTAACTCATTTAGTTACTAACTTCTCGTCTAACTTCTCATTTTATTTCACCCAGTAAATGATTTTTTCTAAGTTTTCGGGCGCAACGATAACTGTTCTCAATGTGTAGTTATAAAAAAGTTTGTTGCATGATAATTTAATTCATACCTTGCCAACTGAACCTTCATTTAATAGTCTTTTACAACTTCTTTTAATGTTGCCATCAATTAACTCGAGGAATTTATTTTTCTATTAATGTTGCAGGTTTTCATGGACTCAGAACACCAGCGTCTGACTGCTGAATGCGATTTAATTCGCACGTCAACCTCAAAATTTGTTGTTGAGCATGGTATCATGCAGCTCAAATTTGATTCACTGAAGAGACAGGTTCTTGAGCTTCAGTCAGCTAGTGATGACAAGTTGCTTCTAGGTACTGAAATGTAGACCCCTATACTGAACAATAATTCTTAATTCTGGCTTAAATTTAGGTTTGCAAAGTCCTACTTCGAGGTACAAAAACTCAGCATAAATGTGATAAAATTTACTTGCCTGCACATTGTTAAGTCCCTCTTTAGCTCCATAGTGTCAGCAGAGGGAGCAGGAACGACCAAATTTTTAGAACTAAGTTGTCTTCAAAATATGGCCGATCTCATTTCAATAAAAAAAAGAGGTGCATTCCTTCAACAAGTATCTCTCAAACATTATCTGTGACTCTTGAATGTATAAGCTTATCAAGTTTTTAGCAGGTTTCTCAAAATTAGAAAAAAATGGACTTATGATGTTTGCACTAGATTCAATTAGATCCAGTGTTTCTTTTTTTAAGAGTCGTAAGCCTTTTCTTTTAAATTTTTTTCAGATAATACAGCGTAGAAAGCTGTCAAGTACCATCGTGGGTTGTGGAGACCTGCTTTTTTGTCAATGTAAAGCGTATATTATACATTCACTTTTCATGTATACCCATCCTGCATTTTATCAATGATGGGAAAAAAGGACCAACTGAACAACAAATCGGCATATTATGAGAAGGGAACCTTTTTAATGGTTTTGATCAATGGATGGTTCTCATCGATGGTTTTTCATAAAAAACGAAATGAAAAAAAAACGGCAAAATTGATTTTGCTGTGTGATTTAACTTATCACTTTTTTTTTTTAGGACAATTGATGCAAGAGGTAGAATTTGTTCGAGAGAAAAGTCTTAAAGATGAAGCTGAAATCGAGGAGTTAAAACTGAAAATTCAAGGGCTGGAATCAACTAACCACCAACTAAAAATCAAGCTCAGTGAAAGTGCAACTGTAAATGTCAATTGCAAGGACAATTTTTTGCGGAAGCAGAGGTAAGCAAATTGGCCTAATCTCACTTTCACTCCATTGTCGACAGAATCCACTGTACGTCAAATTTTATTCAACAGAAGTCATGCAAGAAACTGGACACTTTTCTAAATAATGAATGGTATTTTGTTTGTCAAGAGAAAACCACGTGCTAGTTGAAAAATTATTTCAGATCATAACCGAGAGAAACAGAAGGGGGGGGGGGTTGAATGGGAAAATTAGGCAAGAAACTTTAAGCCAGTAAACTGATGAAAGGTAGCAGAAAATTGGAAAATAAAGAACTGAAAATCACAAAATTTAATTGCAGTTTTTTTTTCTTAGCTTAACTTTTTATTTATTTAATTTCTCTTTCTTTTTTAATAATTCTTTTTTTAATTACTCATGATCTGTCCCCAAGAAACTTAAATTTTGAAGATACCTGGCTAATTTGATTGAAGTTATTCTTTCAGAAATGTTGATATCTGTTCTCTCAAAGTCTGAATCAATCCATAATTTTCTTTTTGTAATGTGGCTGTCTCATTTCAGATTGTTTCAAGAAATCGTGGCTGGCTTGTTGGAACACTGGGTAGATGGAATTCCGCGGCCAACCAGGGAGTGTTGGGTTGAAAAGTTGAGGAGGCTCTCGGAAGAGAAAGCTTTTGCTTGGGAACAACTTAAACAGGCCCTGTCAGTCAATGATCAAAAAACCATTGAGCTTCTAGAAAACCAACCCATGCTGAAGTCAAACAAGCTAAAATTACAGGTATCTACAGCATGATATCTTTGTTCTCAGTGATTTGAACACTGAATAGTTTTTTTCCTCATTCGAAATTAAATTAAGTGTGATTGTTTGTATTTGAAAAATGCTTTGGTCCATTTGAATCAGTGTCATGTACTCAGTGAGATTGATGTCTTTTTTTATGCATCATCAAGCCAATAATATTTTCAGAATTTTAAGTGACTCAAAACCTGTAATGGTTTTTTTCTTGTTTGTTCTTTTTCCAGAGTATTAGTTTACAGCTAACAGCTGAGAAGTTGGAAAAGCGACTAGAATTAGCAGAAAGTAGATTACAAAAACAGGAAGAACTCTCTAATCGCCTCGAAGAGGAGTTGGTTACTTTAGACAAAGAATGGGAAAACAAGCTTCGGAAGTGGACATCTTCTTTGGTAAGTTTTATAATGTTTGCTTATTGAAGCAGCAAGAAAACTACACTTACCTAAACTGCACTGAGAGTTTTAGAGCATATCAGCAAACAATTTTAACACTTGCATCTTCCACTTGTCGAAGCAATTTTGATGCTGAAACTGACGTATCCTGGTTGCAGTGTTTTAAAATCTCCGCTTCTACGTTATTTTTTAATAAAAAGAGACAAACCAACCATATGACTTGAAATTTTCACAGAATATTTCTCACATAGAGAAGAAAAGTCAAGGAAGTTCTCAAGAAATGACGCGTGCAGTTTTCCATGTAGGGAATAAAGTGTGACAGAAAATTTGCAATGCCGTAGAACCGTTAGACGCATTTCTGCAGTTTCACCATTGGTTTGCCCCTCAGTTGAAAATGTGAACCATTGTTGTGAAACCATGTGAAACTATGAAAATGAAATGTAAACCATTGTTTGCTACCTCCAACAGCGACACATCCTCTCTGCGAAGGTTTTGTCGACAGAATGGGCCAGTAAAGAGTTGTCTCCCCTAGGGGTATCACTCCGCCTGATCACCATCTCACGAAGACTTTTCCCTCTGCTGAACTCGTCTACTCCCTTCTCGTCCAGCAATCCTTGATTTATTCAGCAGGTAGCTGGAGAGTTCATACATTAGATTTTTTACTGGGTAAAAACGTGCTTGAATGTCTCTCTTCAGAAACTTTTATGCAAGGGTCAAAGATTTGAAAAATTTTCTGTTTTTTTAGGTGGAAATATCAGACTCAGAATCAGAGCCAAAGCCAGTAAAAGAACAGAAGACTGACATCAACACAAAAGACATCAACAAAAATTTAAGGGCGAAGTTGAATCAGGTTGGTGTATAATTATCGTGAAAACAATTGTTAAGTTGAAATACGAAGCAATTTATCATTAAAACACAAAGTGTTTTTCTGTTTCAACATAAAATTGTTCCTTTTTCCTTATTTGAGGAAGCCTCCTCACCAAAAACGAAGGTTCAAGGAGTTGCATCATCATATTGCAATAATTAAGTGCATTCCAAGAAAGGTGATAATAAATGATGTGCTGTAAATGTAATTTTCACGAAAAAATCACTGTCAAGCCGTTTCATCCAGATTTTCCTTACCGATGCCATCTGGATTTAAGCATGATACAATTATTGTAAGGACCATATGAGCAATTTTACCTGATTTTTTTATAGATAAAGTCTCCATTTAATTGTGATAAAATCACCAGGACCATCAATATTTGAACAATTTTACCCGATTTTCTTCTTACCTATTGACAAAGAACAACTCAGACGTTGGAATAGTAACGACAAATAATGTTGAACAATGGAAAAAGCCATTAATCAAAGTTAAATTTGTTTATTTTAACTGACACACCACTATCAAAAGAATATGCAGAGTCCACATTTGCATTGCATCAAGCTTCAAGATTTATGTAACACAAGTACCATGTAATCAAGGACCGTGAGCTAAATTTTTACTCGCTAAAGAGACAACTGTTAACTTTTTTTTACTTGTTTAATTGTGTGCTTTTTTCCAGGCAAACGGAACCTTACAGAAACAGGCTCAAAAAATAAAGCATCTTGAATCTGAAGTTCGGAGCTTGGAAAAAAGATTATCCTCTCTACAGAAACAGACCGCCGAGAAAGATGGCCTTCTTGCGTCGAAAGAAAGCACTATCCGCAAATTAGAAACGGAAATTCTGGACTTGACTGAAAGTTTAGCCAAAACTGAGGTCAACTCTGTTGAGACTTTAGCTTTGAAAGTAAGTCTGTGCATGGAGAGGACTTCATAAAATGGTCAATCTGCATTTATCAAAGGTCTATCACAGTAACCAAGTTTTTCTGGAAAATTTTCTTTAGAATTCGCATGATTCAATTTGAATTTTAAAAAGCTTTTGTCTTAATTGTTTTTAATCACTTCACATTCCTGCAACGGATGACAGATTAAGAGTCTTAAATCATAAGGCAAGAATTGTGAAACAACTGAGGGTTTGCAATCAAGAAGAATTTGATAAAATTTCATCAAATACTATACTATTTTTGTAAAGTGAGGACCTTTCCATATCTGCATGCATATGGTGGGTCATAATTGTATCCTTCGATTCCTCTACACATGGCAGCTTTTTTATCGACAAAAATACGATTGGTGCCTTTATTTAAATTTTTGGTCATGGTGTTGTTAGATTATCAGTATGTTTCTACGTTTCCTCCGCTGTGATATATCCAGCAATCATTTTCCAAAGAATTGATCACTTTAAGCATTTAACTCTGCCCTCAGGCAACGATCGACAGTCTCCAGAATATTGTGAACCAAAAAGAGGAAACCATGAGACGTTATCAGACTTTATTGAATGAAAGTCGTGAAGAACGCTCGTCTGCGGAGGCTCTTCTTCAAAAAGAGATGCAGAATCTTCAAGAGAAACTTAATTCTGTGCAAGTTCACTCTAGTAACAGGTATTGTCATCAAGTTTATCCTGCTGTGCCAAGGAAAAACGCCGTATGAACCTTCAGGCGTTGCCAAATTTCCTTTGACTAAAGACGAATTTACTGGGAAAATTCTGGATATTTTTCCTCCAATTTTTCAGACACTTTTGTTCACAATTTTATCTAAAACATCTGCAAATGGACCACTAGACAAGGTACGAATTACAGCATTCCGATACATGTTTCTTGACCAAAATTTCACGTAAAAAAAGATGCCTACAACGAAAATTACCGAAATTAACTCCTTACGAAGATATTTAATTATTCATGATGCGTGAATTCAAACCACTTGCTCATGAAAACTCAAGGCTCTACGTGATTCACATTGCGCGCTAAACGTTTATCATGTTAGTCTCTACGATATAAAAATCTAACAACCTCAATCTTGACGCTTCGGCTCAGCTATAGCAAATTGCTTACAGTTTGAACAACACATGGTGGAAAATGAATATTGCTCGATTGAGAAGATTGCTGAAACCGTTGTCGTACGTGATTTGACTCACGTAGAGCTTTGAGTTTCTTGTGAGCGGGCAGTTCAAATTCCTCGTAACCTATGTGAAATAATAACGTTAATATCTCCGTCAGGAGTTGGTTTCAGTAATTTTCGTTGTGCGAATCGTGCTCTACGTGAAATTCTGACCAGGAATCATGTATCAGAATGCTTAAATTCGCACCTTGTCTAGTGGTCCATTGTAAGGAATAATGTTCGTAATTTTCCAGAAAAATAAACATTTTATCAAGGGAAATTTGGCAACTCCTAACTGTTCATACGGCATTTTTCCTTAGTACGGCAGTATTGTTGATCGAATCCATTTTTTTCACCCTGAGGGGGATAATGAAAAACATTTTTTAGATATTATTAGACACTGTTTGTAAAAAAATGGTCCTGAAGTATTCATGTTGGCAGCTGCTTCAAAATCTCAATTTTGAGTTTCTTTATTTGAAGGTTCCTTTTCCGGAGGACAGTTACGTTTTTACACTCTGTTTCTAACTGATGTTTTGGTTTGATTACTACATAAACTATTGACTTTATACCGTATCAAAATTTTTCCTGGAACCCTCAACTCAGGCCTTGAGTGCATTGATGCTGGAAAATTCTGCGTGTGAGGAATATTGATGGCCAAATGCAGAAAATGCTTAACTCAAGTTCAGCATTTAAAAATCTCTGTTTACATTTTAACTTTTCAAGGATAACTAATCAAAACATTTCTTTGCAATTTCGTCTGGTTTCTAATAGATTAGAGTTCAGTGTTAGTTCAATCAAAGATTCTCCCATCTGCTATGTTCAACAGATATCTCCACATGGTCATACACATTTTTTTTCACAGCGCTCCACAATTCAACTTTCTAATTTTTATATCCAGTGTGATTCTGCCGATTTCAATTACACTCAGTCGAAAGTTTTTGACACAAGGAGTCTAACATCGTAGTAAGTTTTGTCCCCAACCAAGTTCTAACTCAAATTGCACTTAAGTTGTAGCTTTCATGATGCGTTGACTTATTCTGGAACCAGAAGGCTCAGCTTGAAAGGCGTAACTGATCTATCTTGAATGAAGGTCTGGAAGTTTCTTTTTAATTTCTTTCAGAGGTCACAAGTCCGATGAAGGAGGAGAGAACCCTCCGGTGCATGGCTACATCACTAAAGTGCATGAACTGGAAGATGAACTTGCTAACGTCAACACCCAGGTGCAGAATTTATCAAGCCAGCTATCGGTCGCTCAGCAGTTGGCCAACCAATGGAGTAACGCCGCTACTGATGCTGTACAAATGAATGAGCAGTTTGACTCTAAGTCAGTACTCAGCTTACGTAATGTTTGAAATAGGAAAACTTACCAAAAATGACTCAATTATATAAAACCCTAGCTTATAAAAGAAGATTCATTATTTGACCTTTCTGGATCACTCAGAGTTTTGAAACTTGCTAGTCCTGATCGGCCGAAATAGGCAAATGTAATACGTATCCAGGAGACACCTGAACTTGGGTCATCCTGTTTGAAAACTAGGTGAAAATTGTAAAACTTGTATAAAAAACTTGAAAACTGATGCCATTTCTGAAATGAAGGTGTCGCAGGATGTCCTAAGGCTAGGCGCTTTAATTTTTTGCTAGCTTTTGTGTGTAGTACAAAAGGTTTTCAATTTTAGTTTTGTATTTGAAGAAAAATGACCGCATTTGTGTACCTCGCTAGATTTTTCTATAGTTACCTGATGATGGCCAGAGTTCTGCCAAAATGATCATTGTATTAGAGAAAATTACCGAGGAAAAAATTGGGAAGAAAGGGTGAAAAATTTAAAATTCTACCCATTTTCTAGGCAATTTTGGCTTATGCATTAGAATTTTGAAGTACAAGAAACAAGAGAGGAAATACTTTCGAGATGTTTTGTTTAAGATTCCAGATGAAGGAGATATTGTAGAATTAATGGTTAACTTGTTTTTCTTAGGTAGTTCCTCAAACTATTTTCTTTTCTCTGTTAGGCCTGGATCTTCAAGAATGCCCAAAGAAGAAACAGTAGCAAGTTCTAAGCTTTTAGAGAATAAAGATGAAGAAATAGCTAAGTTGAAGAAGGAAGTGAATACGTTGAAGGTACTGATGAATTTCATTGACCGCACAAAATAACACGTACAGACTCTGCTGTCTCAGTGTTTCTAAAAATATTTTATTTTTTCACAGGAGAACTATCTTATAAATTAATCTAAAAACTTCAGAATTTTTTCCTGCAGAGTAAGGGAAAATAACAGAAGATTAAACAAATTCATGTGACGGTTTTCCTATAAAAAAATATGATGTTAGGTAGCAAGAAATATGGAACCAGCGCAATCATTCCTATATGTGGGAGATGACAGATCGATTTTTTCTTCTTGAACCTTTTCTCTTCTTAAACATTATTTTGGACCAAGACTGAGAAGGATGAATGTCACCTGAGACTGCACCTGCTTTTTTATTGAAGGCGCATTATACCTCAATAGGAACATTCTTTTTCGACTCCTGAAAATACTGGACAGAATTAAAATTTAAAAATTAATTTTGTAGGAAACTGATGTATAACTTTAACATCATTGTTGGAAACTTATATGTATTTGAGTTTTATAAATTTGGTTCTCCTTAGCTTGAAGTTATTTCAATTACATCATTTTATCTTGATCAGTTGCAAGAAAGTCCATTATAATCCCTATACCTTCTCTTACTTTCAGCGGCGCTTGATTGAAAAAGAGGAAAATGAGAAAAATTTAAAGCAACAAGTTTATGATGCTAAGGAGCAGATCAATTCTACAGAGCAACAACTTACTGCAAGTAAAACTGAACTATCTCGATTGAAGCACCAATTCAACGTCAAGTAAGTGTATATAAAAATCAGGCTACGATAATTATTCTTATGATATTGTGCACTGGGGTTCATCGTGCTGGCATTGTTGTTACATATTTTTCTAGTCTGAAGATGGGAGCTATTTAGCCCCGAGAGGTCACGATTTCAATTCATGTGTTTCTCTTTAGCCTTGGCCCTATATTTTGTGTTCATTGTATATAAAAATCAGGGTGCGACAATTATTCTCATGATATATGATGGTATATATATATTTTTTTATGACTATGTGTAGTATTTCAAAATTATTTTAAATCAATCTTTACTACAAACTTATAAAAACCTCGGGATCTAGATTTATTTATTTTTTTTCATAGAAAGTCATCTAGTCATAATGTCTCGAAACTGATCTAGCTAATGCTGTACTATTTTATTTTAGAGCACACACTGTAAGTTCAGTCCGAGAAGAACAGCTCAAGAAAAAGGTCAAGATTTTGGAAGAACAGCTTGAAAGATATGTCAAAGAGGAAAACGAAGAAAATAAACTTAGGAAAGAAAGAGTAGGTGAATGTTGATTAAGTCTGTTATTACTTTCTACACTTATGTCCAACTTCTGTTGTCTCACTGGCCATCCAAGTCTGAGAAAGTCTCAATATTTTTCTTATGATAGGAGCTTCGGATTATCAGAATATTTCCTCCTCCTAAAGGATAAGAAGATTCTTCTAGAAAACTGGACATAAGTTATTTCTGATTTTTTTTCCACCAAACAAATCTTGAAACTTGTATTTTTTTATTTATTTTATTCTCTCAAATTTATGTCAATGAGTTTTGTCAAAAATAATAAATTACAGAAAATGTCTTTCAGATTCAAGGTTTGATAATTAATTAAGTACCTAATACTCTTATTGTTTGTTATAGTGTGCAAAAGAGGTGGAAAAGTGGCAAGCAAGTAAGAAATGGCAAGCAACAAATGATAAACTTAAAGCACAGTTGAAAGATTCTCTTACTCAGCTTGAAGCTTCAAGATCAACCGTAGAAAAACTCAAAGAGCTTCTTGGGAAAATAGAAAAGGATAAAATGATGCTGGAAATCAAGTTGAAGAACAACCAATCAAAAGGTTCATTTCTCTGTACATAAATATTTCTCTCTCAGGGTAATTATTGAGTTTGCATGAAGATATAAAAACCATGGAGTTACTGTATGAAATATGACAAAAGGAGTCTGGGGCAGTTCATTGATTGCATATCGCTGAATGTTAGAATTAAGAGGAATTGTAGACCCCTCCTGCCATGCAACTGTCGTGCTTGAGGCTGTTCTCTTTCTCATTGACAACTCCAATAGATAAGCCAAAACGTGTTTTGATCAATAAACAGCCGCAAATTATATGAATAATTATCATATGCTTAATATTCGATCATTAGCTCCCAAAACCGCCACTGTCAGAGCGCGGAAAGCTGATGATGTGACATATTGACGCTCTGTGATGGATTGATTACTTTTGCCTAAAATATCAACGTCGTGCAGTTATTTTTACCGATAAATGATACAAAACGATCACTGCAACTTTGGATTTTTGATCAATAAACTTTATTTCACTAACTTAATGATGCCATTATCGATTTTAAAACAATTGGGCTGTAGGTCTGAACCTCGCCTAAAAATTAAGCCTTGCTTTGCTGGACCCCCTTCCTTCCTATTAACTAATAAATGAGAATTTTTCGCCTATATTTCCACCAAAATTCTCACAAAATTTCATTTGATGCGTGACATCTTGCAACTCTAAATCTTTGCCTCTGTACTCTCCGAAGTCTGACTCAATTTATGAATAACCTCTTGCCTATACTGTGGTTAAAAATATGCAAGGAATCCAAATTATTCCTGTGGTGTTCAGAATAAAAAGAAAAAAGTTGAATTCTCTTTTGCAGCGGAAACAAAAAGCATTTTGATTTTTCGTATTGCCCCTCTAAGATGTTTTAAAATACAAGTTCTCATGTCCAGAAACCTTTTAATAATTGCTTCCTCGTCCCTTCCCCCTTTTTTTGGTTTTTTTATAGTGCATAAGTCATCTGTAACTCAAAGTCTCATTGAAGAGCTGCAAAGAGAAAATAAGCGCCTTGAAGAGGAACTCAGTCTCTTGCGGAAAACATTCAACCTCACAACTGGAAGTACATCCTTGGTTAGCGTTATAGAGGCTCAAGATCGGAAAATCAAATCACTAGAAACATACTCAAAAGTAAGCGTCTTTTTATTTTCCGCCTCTCTCTAGTTAGCACCCATACCTACATCAATATATTCTACATGGGACTAACATACTTTTTAAATTGAAGACCATGGATAATATGAGGTTATTTTTAGGCTCTCTTAGATTGATTCACTTAATTTAGAAAGAGGAATCTTCAAGAACTGCAATTCTTCAAATATCAGACCTGAGAATTGTTGTGAATTTTGAAATAATCTGAAGGGTGGTGTTCTCTACATCATCCTCTTTTTATTTTTACCCTTTGCGAATCCATATTTGTCTAGATAAGATTGCAGCATTCATTGCTGGAAACTTATTGAAATTTTTCTTCTTAGCCTGGTACGGTTTCTCCCATTTCTCTAAAAAACTTATCAGTTTTTCCTTACTCTCTGCAGTGTAGTAAATCCAAGTCCACAGTAGAAGAAATGGAAAAGCTGTTTGAAAAACTATCTACCATGCAAAAATTGAACCACAGTCTGGAAGAAAAAAATCTAGAGCTCTCTATTCAACTTGAGGATCTGAAAGCTGATCAAGATATAAGGTAAGGAAAGTTTGTAATGCCTAGTTTATCATCTTTCAAGGAACATTTGCTCAGGTAACGTTGTATTGATAAGCGTTTAACAGAGCAGGGAGCCCTGTTGTCAACCGTAGCTCTTTAACCTTTACAGAATTTCATGTTTTAAAATGAACCCCCCTCCCCTCAACCCTGTTGATCGGTTTTATATTGCAACCTTAGTCCTTTACATTGAGGGGTGCCATTTGCAGGAGAGGCAAAATGCTCAATTAATAACCCTGCCTTGCCTTATGCGTTATGCCTGAGGTGAGCAAACTCACCTTGTCCATCCCTGTTTGACAAGGAAAGATGGGAATTCTGTGGGGAAAAGCTCAGACTTAGCATGTTATGTTAGCAACATGCGGAAAAAAATAACCCACAAAGGAAATACATTTCATGAGTTCATATGCACTAATAAATGATAAATAAATGGAATAAATAATGAATCTTTCCCTTCTCCTTTTGCTTCCAGTTCTGCTTTCCGTGAAATTGTTATCGGGCATATTCCAGGCTAAACTTTGAGTTTATTTCTGATGTTCAGCTTTATTCTGTTACATTCTATCTCTTTAAAATGGTCCATGATCGTGTGATTTTGATATGATTTATTGTTTATTTTTAGGAGACAGGACATCTACAGAAACATGCAAATGTCATCCCAGCAAAAAGATCAGGTATGCTATTCAGAAGGTTGGGTTCACCTTTTTCATGGCTGGCCTTCCAGAACTCCTTTGAAGCATAGGAAATTAATGATACTACGTAATAAGAAGGCTCTAAAGGCATAGCTTGCCAATGGCCTACTGCACAGGGTGAGAATGGACTAAAAAACAGGATATGTTCCATCTTGGCATGCCGTTTCTGGCTTTCAAGTGTAAAAAATGGGGTTAATGGCTCGTTTTCTACATGATGAAGATCACACAATCTACCAGCATAAAATGAAAGATGAAACACAAAATTATAGTCTTGATGTAGTAGCTATTATTAATAGTATCCTTTTAAATTGACCACTAAATGAGGTGCAAAGTCAAGAATTGCAATACATTTTTTCTCATCAAAATTTCATGTAGAATACAATTTGTGCAACGAAAATTATCGAAAGCAATTAAGATATTAATGCATTCTGATGTATAAATTCTAACTTCCCGCTCATGAAAAAAACCATAATCCACTTAATTTAAAGCTCACACTGAACGTTACGAAAACAATCTCTGCAACAAAAACGTTAATAGCTTTGTTAGAAGTTGATTTCAGTAATTTCCGTTGTGAGAATCGTATTTTGTGCAGAATTTTGTAGAGGAAACATGTATCAGAAGGTTTAAGTTCGCACATCGCCTGATGGTCCATTGATTTCCGGCCTCAAATACATTCTCTTTCAGGTTCAGATCAAGAAACTGGAGAGTGAGCTAAACATGATGAGAGAGAACTACCTGAATGCAATGAAGCAAGTGTCGGACTTAAAAACTGAACTTCGGATGCGAGAACTTCAGCAGTCCAAAAGATTACCCGGTATGTAAAAATTATCTGGTTATTTTTACTTATATAGCTCTTTGAGTCCGAGCATACCAAAGTGTTGCTTTTTTTCTCATGAATCACCCGTTTTATTCCTACTTTTCTTTTGTTGTGTCTTTTGCACGAAAAATTGAGCTCAATATCCTGGAAATCGGATTGAATTTTCAGTCTAGGCTAAAGTACGAAACCACGTGTCTCCGTTCGCAACGTTGCAGACATCTTGACATACTTAGGTAGTTGTCTCTTTGGAAAACTAGTTTACATAATCCCTTGATTTTTCTTCTCTGTTAGCAAAATTTTCCGTAATCACTTTAAGGTATGAGGCTGATATCTTTCTCCTCAAAAAAAAAAAAAAAAAAAAAAAGGAATATGTGGCGTGTTAGGCAACGTTTTCTTCAAAATTCTCCCTGAGACGGAATTTTTTGTCTATCCTTTTTCCTCGTATTTCTTCTGTCTCATTCTAAGTTCCATCTTGCCAAGCATTCTAGACCTTAAACTGATGCTTGTATATAATCAGAGGCACCATCACATCTATTTAATATCTTTTTCATGTGTGCACCAGATGGCTTATGCAATGCACCCAAAAACTTAAATTTCAAGGCCTACATGCCCTATTCCATTCCTCATGAGTTTCACTTCAAGTTTACCATCTTAGCTATGGCTATATGCCCTCTCTTAAGCTTTTGTAAGTCATTCTAAGGTATTATACTGAGTGCAATATTTCCAACTTTGTAATACGGCTTTCAAAGTGAATAAAGTATGCCGTGCTACCTCGGAAGATTTCCGGTGTTATTCTTCTATTATTGTGTTATTGTGTGTATATTCTATTGTTGTTATACATCTATTATTGTGCATCATTTTTCATTTCTAAATCATCTGTCTTTATTTATTCTCTCGTAGAGAGCGATGAAATCAAGCAACTCCGGGCACAGCTGAACCACAAAAATGCATTACTGAGTCAGGTAAAAGTGTCTCTAGGACGGGCAGTTGCAAGTGGAATTCATTCGTGAAATAAGTTTTCAATATCATCAGTTTTATTTAAGATTTTTGGGTAAATCATAGGTTCATAAGTCTTAGCTCTAAGTTATAGGGAAGAGGAACGAATCTGCAGTATTGTGTGAGTTTCTGTTCCGCTGAGGAAATTTCACTCAGGGAGTATTCACAGAATTTTTATTATAGGTGGGTTTGCTCCAGTGATCCCAAGCGTACGGATTTATCCGAGCCGCGCGGACATTCCCTGGACCGAATCGGACCGCGTACGGACAAAAATCTCACGGGAAAATGCTTCCCTATCGTAAAATATCCGTACGCGTGACGTCACAGAATGACGCTCGGCCAATAGCAGCACGGAGAGCGGTAGAGCGTACGGATCTCGCACACGGTGCACCCGGGAACACTGGTTTGCTCAGTTATAGCAAGCAAAAACAAGTGATAATGGTCTAATGTGGAGAAAAGATAAGGGAAAGTGGAAATAATGCTGCAGTCAATGATTAAAACCTAATTCTTGAATCGCATAAATTATCGTTAAATCTTGTGTTAGAGGAATCAGTAGTTCAAAATCATTGTAAAATTGTTTACTCGCATCATTCTTGTTCCAAGCATATGTTCCCATTTTTAATTCGCCAAAGTAACTTTTTCCTATAGAATTTTCAAAGATAATTTTAAGCTAACACGAGTCTATGTCTTGTGCTGATAGTAGAGCATTTTGTAACTTCCCTTCTCAAAAGACGGGTTGAAAAATAATTCGAAAGACATGAAATTTTTTTATACTGTTCTTGACTTTTTGTTCATTTTATATTTAAGTATGTAGGAAATCTCCAAGAGCGAGGTACCTGTGGAGCCAAAGACTAAAATGTCATAAGAAATTTCAAAAAGCCTTGATAAAAAGTGAAAGAAATGGCTTGGAAAGAATAGAAAAGGATGACAAGATAGAAACATGCTACATTTTTTCAATTGATGTTACGCCCTCATCATGCTTTTTATTTATTCACTCAGGTGTCGCATTATTTTGATAAGCAAAAAAAAACAAAGGGTCATTCCCCCTCTTAAGGTTTTGGTGAATTGATGGGACTGCTTACAAGTAATGAACGATTGTCATCTTTTTGATGGTACTTTTGAACACTTAGGGTCCAGAAATTATTGATGGATTAAAAAATGAAAATCAGATCTACACGTTCTTACAGTTTATTCACTCAATAGAAAGAATGATAATTTGAAAATGCAAAATGAGAAAAATTTCATGGCTAATATCTAGACAGAATAACAATAGTCAGTAACAAATTGGTGAGATAATACTAAACAGTATCAGGTGGACAAGAATCAGTTTCCATATTTGAGCAGTGTTTCAAACATCGAAAACTACATTAGTCTTAAACTCAAGGCTTGACATTGTTGTGCATGAATATACTCAGTTCACGCGCGTGTCACTTGAAGAAGAATCATAAGGCAAAATTGTTACAACTAAAGAACAACAGAAAAAGCACGACAAAAATGTCTAAAAATTCAGCATACTATCTCCTGTGCCAATGTTCCATTAGACAAGACACGAATTAAAGCAATCTGATTTATGTTTCCTCTCCATAATTTCACGTAAAACACGATTCGCGCAATGGAAATGGCGGAATTTAATTCCAAACCAAAGTCAACTTGAATAAAATCGCGCACTACAACAGTTTTGGTAGGCTTCTCAATTGAGTAGGGATCCTTCCTTGCTCTATGTTGTTTGAAGTGTGCACAATGTGCAACAGTTGAGCTGAAGCGCCAAGATAGAGGTTGTTATATTTTCATACAACAGAGGCTGTCACGGTAATATTCAGTGTGAGATTTAACTCAGGTAGATCATTGTTTTTTCTATGTTAGAATTAATGCATTGAAAAAAGTTAATATCTTGATTATGAGTTACTTTTGTTGTACAAATTGTGTTTTACGCTAAATTTTAGGAGATAACACTTATCATCATGCTTAAGTTCGCACCTTGTCTACTGGACAATTAGTAATATCCAACAAACATTTGGAACTCATGTCTGGGAAAGCGCACAAATTATAACAAAGCATTTACATTTCATGCGTAAGCTTACTTTTACATGCAAAACTGAAAGATTAAAGTGTAAAGGAATTCTATTTTAGAGTAACGTCATTCAGTTTTAAACATCCACAGCGATTATAGAACTTTTCGAGGAGAGTGATATTTCTTTAACAATAATGGAAATAAAATGCTGACACTTGAGGATTCTCATTCTCGCATGGAGATTTTGAAGCTGATCTGACATTTTATTTTTCCAAAGATTGATTTTCTGTTGGGTAGATAGTTATGTAACCAAAAAGAAGTGGAGTTATTATCTACAAGTTTCTCCAATTGCACGGGGGAAAAAACAAAAGAAATATGAAAAAATTAAAAATTCTTATCTTGGGATCACAGATTGGAGTGTTTTTGGTTTTGGTTACACTTATTTTTATTAGAGCGATTGCATTTCTTGTTTTCTAATCTTATCATAACTGAAAAGGTTCTAGCTTTAACTAGGATGAGTATTAAGAGCACATCAAATGTGATTCTATAACAAATAAAAGTAAATTCTTGTCTTTTTAATAAGGAGCTGTTTGTTTGTTGTTTTTTTCCCTCTTACGGACAGTCTTCACACAATATGAGTTCTCCGCTAACTATTCGGCTAAAGCCTCTTGAAAGGGAGGATCATTTTGACGAAAGATAACATTCTTTTTTGAGTCATTTTGTATCAGTTGATTTTTGCAGCTCTGCACTAAAGTAGAATTTTATTTGAAAAGGTTTTGAGGTCACTGCAAGTTTAAAAAAGTGACTTCTGTGTTTACAAACATACAGACTTGTGAGTGAAGTTTTTACATACCTACCTAAAACATTGTTTTTATACCAGTCATCAAGATATGGAATTCACTCAATTCGATTTTTCCAATTCGAAAATCCATTTGCACTAACACAATTATTTTGATGTGAATAAGCACTCTCTTACATGAAGATCTCTCAAATCACAAGCTTAACTCCAGATAAGTTCAGAATGAGAGTCAGTTTCTTAATTTTACGGAGTTAGACAGAAAGGAACCAAGCCCCATCAGCATCAAACCGAGAAAAAGAGGTTTAAAGTTTGGCTTCTGCATAAGACTCAATGTAAAAGATAAACTTCAAGTTCAATTTCTGCAAAATTTGCTCCAACATAAACTTTAAATTTTTGGCGATAGATAGTAGAGCAGTGGTTGAGTTCAAAACCACTCTTTAACTCAATTTTTCCCAAAATGCGGGTTGGTTCCTTTCTGCATCACTCGGTCCAATTAAGGCTCATTTAAAAACGGTTCCTCATCATTGTGGATTTTCCCAACAAATGCGGAATATTTTACTAAAAAATATGCATTAACTCTAAAGTACTCCTAAAATTAACAGGGGTGTTTTTTCCTCTTTACAAACAGGCACGATGCAATTTTCTCAATTTACTAGCTAATTTAATTGAAAATTTGTTTCTTTGTATCCCTACACTAATTCATTGAGTATTCTGTTTCACAATTGCATTTAAAATTTTTCTCAGTCTGGATTCAATTGAGCAAAAAGAAAAATATAATAACCAGACAAACATGGGATGAATTAAACTCTATTGAAGGAACTGTGCCTGCTCTCCGACAACAATACCAAATGGCTCCTAAACGAAATTGCGATAAGTACACATCCGTCCATAAGGAATGCATTTGTATTTATGAGCCAAAGAGCAAAAAAGAAGAGAAAATAGAAAGTTTTTAGAAGATTTGAAACTGCCGTTGGCAAGAATACAGAATACAGAACAAACCCAATATCGATAAAAAAACAGCATCCAAATGACATTTTGACAGTAAAACTACCAGACCACGTACAGCTTAGCTACAGAAGTAACAGCGAATCATTCAGCCACACTACAGCTTGAATGGCTGGTAGATGTAAAACCTGTGAGAAAAGCAACCGAAACAGGAAGACAGGGTCCTACGATGTCTTGGAATGCCTCCTTAACAGCGATTTTTACTGATGAGTGATTGGCTAATAATGCTTCCAAGGGATTTTTTGTGCTCGTCTCCTCACAGGCCAAAATAGATTACTCCAAATCAATAAATTGCATCAATGAAACCATGAAGAAAAGCAACCCAGCAGTTAACTGGTTGGAAGATTCTCCTTGTAAAAATAATGAGAGCGGCCAGAGAAAATTAATGAAAGCCAAATAATCATATACTGAGAGGGTAAAGTCAGTAAGGAGAGGTATTTTAGTTAAGGGCAGTTTCGATTTTCAGTTTTTGTTTTATATTTTTTTTAATTTTTATTATTATTTTTTTTTTTTCTTTAGTTTCATTTTACTTGGAAAGAGCATGAAAAGTATACTGTTGTAGTGATGTTTCGCTGAAAAATTGAAGAATAAATCCTCTGTCAGCTGAGGAAGAATCTCTATTAATGCTTTGATAACCACATCTAAAAAAGCGAAAGGTGAGAAATAATAATGATGCTATCAATTGGTCAGAGGCGATATATTATAACTAAGCAAACTGACTATTAGTAACAAATTGAGGTTTGCCTCTACTTCACAGATTAAATTCAAATTCAGAGAAGAAAACTCAAAAGTAAAGAGGAGATAATGAGGTAAAAAATATGTTCAAGTTGACAAAAAACGTCCAGCTTACAGTTTGGTAGACAGACAAATAAAGGTGATTAAGTCAACGGATTTACAAAATGATCAGTCTTGTGGGTATGGTCCAGAGGGTTGACAAAAATTAAAGAATGAAAAGAATTTAAGAAAATTACAAGCTAAATATCCAGGAAATAGTAATATTAGTAATATTCTAAAACTTTAAACAGCTATTTTTTAAACAATTTTTCCAATTTTGAATTTAGTAATTTACTTTTTCCGTAAGATGCTTGCCAAGAATAAGAATACAAAAATTCCCTAGAACAAAGGTAAAAATGCAGAAAAAAACAACAAAAGCACTTAGATGTTTAATTAGATGGATGGAAAAGAGAGGAAAAGATGAAAAGAAAAAATTTTTCGGAAACTCTCTTGTTTGTCACCTATTACCTGCTTAAAATACAGGGCGAGAATAATCATTTGATACTGTTTTGTAATAATCACTAAGGGCAAAGAAGGGATTGAGAAGGTGGAGTTGGCCTCTCTGTATAACTTTCATTAGAATCTAAACTTTGCTAAAAATTAACTATGAATGAAAACAAGGCAGAAAAAATTTCCAGAAAACAATTCCTCTGTACTATAATTGAATAAAACAAACTGAGAGATTAACACTGCAAAGTGTTGGGTAGGTGAAGGAGCAGGAAGACTTTCAATAATTGGAAGTCTATACACAACGCTCGGGCAAGATCTTCCCTGCTTTTTAAAGGGAATATGTACTTCATTAACAAGACAATTGGCAAGAACTTGCAAGGACATTAGTTTACTGTGAACCTGGGAGGTAAGATTTTGAGAGTCCAAAATAGTTCCTTCTTGCGAGGAGAAAGGACATTTTTCAATTGCCTTTTCAATCTTCTTTCTCTCAAGGAGAGGAAAAGCGGCAAAAACAAATCATTTTGATGTTGGCTATCGCTAAAAGATCTTTCACCGTCTTTTTTTATAATTGAAGCCTCTGGTCGGTATGAAAGGAGAACAAATGTTTGTAGAAACTAAAAAATAGGTGATTCTGAACAAGACTTGCTTCTGCAATAATAATATCCCATTACAAGGCCTCTCTCCGATAGGCGAGGTTTGCTTCTAAGTAAGCTTTACAAAAAAATTATCCAAAAACCATCAATTTTCAGTTCTTATCAATTTGAAAGTTGGTGAAGCATGGGACTACATGTTATTTTCAGAGTTTAAACTTATTTTCCTTAAAAATACAAAAAGTTACTTATCTCCTGCATTAGCTAAAGACTTCAAAAATATGTATGATAAGAAAAAACTGTGAATGAACTTCCACATTGTAGGGAGCACTATCAGGCACTCCCCTCCTCCTTTCAAGAAAAAAAATCTTCCTTCACTTGAAGGGGATTGAACCAACTTTTGAGTTTCATTTTGTGATTCTTTTCTCGCCTTAAATAATTCAAGTAATCTCAGACCTAGAGAGGAATTGCTTTGAAACTGAAATAACGATAATTATTAGTAAAATCGCTTAATCAAGATTTCTCGTCATTTCTTAACAACTTCTGTGAAAGTTTCATAAAAGATGTCTTGGCAATGATGACATAAAGTCCACAACTCGAATTAGGGGGGGAAACAGAAATAACCTTGATGGAACACAAATAAATGCATGAAAAGTAGAAATTATGACAAGAAGCTGATCTCCAGTTTCACAGAGATACCACATCCTCTTGTGAGGTAACATTAACGATAGAACATGCTATTCATCTTCTTTTCTTTTCATAATGAATCTTAGTGATTTATTTGAATAAAAACAGTAATAGAAACTAAAATGTAATAACAAAATATAACATATACAGTATAAGTAGATACATGTTGAATAATTTGTACATATTGGGGGAACAAGAGCGGTGATTTTTACAGTGCACACCCTTTTTAAGATGCCCATTTCTCCAAAAATTTGAAATTACTTAGAATTATAGCCAAATTATATTGATCGCAGACATTTCATTTGAAGGATATGAAAACTTCTATAATGACTGCATAGTCATAAAATTCTCAAGGCCAACAGCTCATTGGTCACTCCTATAATTCATTCCCTGCCACGATTTTTTAGCGCTTATTTTCCAATAAATCAAGATATCCTCTGATGGCAAGTAAAATAATTACTGTTAGCAAATAAGCCCTGTGTTCAGCCACACCAGTGTCATCCAGGCTGATTATTAAAATTGACAAATAGTGCAAAAGACAAGGAGGTCAAAAGGAAAATGGAGCGATCCTATTGGTGGCAGTGGATTGATGCAATGGACAAAAGGAGTAAGTAATACACTAACTAATGGCAACCCTTGAGAGACCCTACAATTAGTCCATCATTTTCTCCCCTAGTAAGAATCCTCTGTTTCAACCGATAGGATCGCTCTATCCTCTCTTTGTCTTCTTTATCTATTGCTTTGTTTATCAATTTCAAAAATCAGCCGAAAGTAGCAGACATCACAGTGCTACTAGTTTTTAATAACTCTTTGAGATACGGTGCTCCTTGAAGCTTTCCCAAAAAGTTGGTTGATCAGACATTGGTCCTCGTAACCAGTTACCACTTAGGATTTGTAAAATAACATCTGCTGTTGTGGTATGGCAGGGAACATAATAATTTTAATTTAAAATAATAATTTCAACATTATTCTAGCTTTCAGGAGTACTTCTTGAAAAAAAAAAGTCGCAAGAGGCTAAGCAAATTCATACCTGATGTTACTAAGATTGCAAAGATCTATATTTTACAAGTGCTTTATCACAATTTATCTAAATTGCGGACAGAACTCGAGAAAGAGCCCAGATAAACACATAAAGCAGCTTTGAAGCTATTAAACACCTCTTTCTTAGAGATAGTGATTGCAACGGATTCCACCATTGCGCCAGAGTGGAGTTTTGTTCGCTGTGACCGTTACATTACATTTACCAAATATAGATTTGAAACCGCCAAGTTCTCAGCTAATTTATTAGATGTTCATTTTCTGGAGGGAATGCCAAATATTTAGAGAAAGTCTGGGACATAAATGGCACTAAAAATCTTAATATAATCTCAAAGGGACTTGTGTTGTCGGAAATATGATACAGGTAGCCGTGAAATAATATTGAAAACCAGCGGATACAGCAGAATTATGTACAAGGATTGTATGCTTACCACCTTTAGAAAACAACTGAGTTTAGTTCAACTCCGTCGAAATTCAACACCTGGAAATGATGAAGAATGATTGTGAGTGTCAAAATTTGTAATGAGTTCACATTTAAAGGGATTATCCAGAGGAGTAATAGGAAAGTTGTTTCCTCTTAAAATTTTGCATTAAGAACAGCGCTCATGAAATTTTTTCTTCCAACTTGAGAAAAGCTTCTTTCAACTGGAGTAATCGAGAAGTATCACTACGAATACGATCAAATCTCTCATGCTCTCTCAGCTCTCTCATGTAGTCCCAGACAGGTAGCAAAATGAGTAATTCACTTAAAACATTAACAAGCCACTTTGGGGTTCATACATCTTCAACAGGAAAAAATAAATTAAACGAAAACGAAAGTTAAAAGAACTCGTAGCGCAGCCTTAACTCTGCTAAGTCCTGAGACGGATTGGCTGATAGCGTAGTGTCATTTTTGATTGTAGCAATGAGGGATTATAATGGTCCTACCTGTCATTCGATCTGTGAATTAAGTAGCTTATCTAGCAGGGCTTAATTGATTTCAAATTGTTCAAGCACGTTCAGTCTCTAGCCATTACCGAACTTCTGCATGATTTCTACCGAAACATTGTTCGATGATATGAGCCCTCCAGAAATTAGAATTCTCCTCTTTTTATCAGGTCACACATCTTAAATGTTTTATATTCTGGTAAATATTTTCCAGCTTGACCAAGTTGAAATTAGGAGTGTACCACCAGATCAGCTACTTAATGCACAGATCAAATGTCAGAATTTTTACTTTTTTCATTCTCAGATTTTGCTAAAAATTCCATGAGTTTTCCCTGATATTTCCAGGTCAGTTCCAATCCTCAGATTTTATCCTGTTGTCAAGGTTTTTCAGATGCGAATATATCCTACGATTACTTCTTGATTCATTATTTGCGACGCAAACACGCTAGCGAAGGCAGAATATTGTCATTCTAGGAGTTTCAACACTCTTCCTGAATCAACAGCATGCTTGGGAAACGTACCTTACAGAATACCATTCGTGAAATACTGGAAACCATCGTAAAGGCGAGTTGAAAGTGAGTGAAGGCTGCTCTCGACTAATTTATCAATTAATAAACACAATTGGTCCTCGGTGAGGTTTAGGTGAAACCGATTTCGGAGAGCTTGAACTGTTGAGCTACCAGATTTGAAACATGGAAGTTGGGATCCTGGGAAAAAATTCAGGTATATAATTAAACTCAAAGATAAAATTTTAGACCATGAAAATTAACTAAATATAAAGTAAAAAGATGATGTAATTTTTGGCCTTAGAAACGATTTCACCTCAGTGCAATTCTGCAGATCTTAGGGTGAAAAGGAAAGAAAAACACCATATTATTATTTATATAAAGAGAGGGAGGTAGATGGTAAATATTTTTATTCCTACCAAAGCACAACATATGTAGGATGTCACTGGGAAGAAAAATTCTGCGATCCAATACGCACCATAAACCACTTAACCTGACTAGAATAATATTAAAAGTAGCCACAGTGAGTTCTTAGCTAATCAGGCAAGTTTTGCCTCCCTCAACTTTTTGTACCCCCATCACTCAACCAGCACCTCTAACTTCTTGTGAATGAGTTTCAACTCAAGAATAACTGTAGAGTTCCAGTTGTAGAGAAACCAAAGTCGCTTGACACCCCATGACTATTTATAATATTCTGGGACAGCGCGATGGAAAAGTTGAACAATGTGACCCAGAATGTTTTTAATTTAATTACAGCACTAGAGTGAATCATTTTCACAGATCATGTCGATGATGCAACCGCAAAACCATGTATCTCGTTTGCGGTGTTTAAAAAACTGCTCATGTTTCATTTTCTTAAAAGCGAGCAAATTAGTATCATTTGTTGAAGCTTCCTCAGAATTTTCCTCAATTAAAGAAGGAAAATTATAGAAGATTTTAAAAATTGATATTGAGTAGTTCCCTGTTTTGAAAATAAAGTATGATGGGAAGCCTGCAACGTCTCAAACCAAGGTACATTGTTTGGGAGTTTCATCATTGATATGTATTGGCCTCTGAAAGAATATTATAGATAACCATCAAGGTGCGGTCAATCTACAGAAATGATTCTCAATAAAGTGAAGACGCTACCTGAGCTCATGATTTCGACAATATTAACGATGCGATCCATGTGTTTTCTTGCTGCGACAAGACCTCTCAACATGAGTATTTTAAAGTACTCGAACATATCAGATCCTTCGCCTCCCATTACAGCGACAAACTCTGGTATTAACTTGAACGGTGACATCTCAAATCCAAGATTGCGAGGTGATGTGGACAGAATGAATCCAAAATCAATATGTACAATGTGGCCTTCACCAGTCAATAGAATGTTTCCGTTATGCCTGGAGCAAAAAGAGTGAGGTTCATTTTAATTTTCAATATTTGGAGAGAAATGTAAAGGATTGATGAAACCCCCGGAAACATTTGAATTGTTGGGCAAAAAAAAATTGGACTGCAGATGATTTTAAGTAAGGCTTAAAGGAAAACTATGCTACAGATGATTTTTTTTTATTACTTCAAATAGCCCACAAGGGCTAATCTTGCGCTTCAGTCCTGCCCCCCTCTGTCCCTACCAACCAGTCTCAGGTAACCATTGTTTGAGATCATCAAACGCGAGTCACCTGGCCGGGAATCAAACCCGGGACCTCCCGATCATAGAGCTAGCGCTACAACCTCTACACCATAGGAGGCTTGCAAAACTAAACAAAATTCTGAACAAAACTAATTAGCTACTACGGTTGTCCATTCTTTATGAATTCAGGTGAAAATAGCAAAACCCCTTAAATTGGAAAATTTGATCGATCTGATACCTTTTGATAACGGTGAGTTGTACTTTAACCAGTAAATCAACCTCAAGTAGTCAATTATCATTAAATTAAAACTGTTTCCGTGAGAAATGGTAAATAAAAAAGAGCCTTTGGAGGGTTACCGAGAATTTTCACCTCCTTCATCAAGTAAATCAACAGAAATGAATATGTATTAGGTAAAATAATAATGCTGTATAATATAAACCAGTGCAAAAATATTGCACCCCATAAATAATATTTAAGATAGAGATGCTGAAAAAATAATGCACACTAAAATAAATAAAAAAAATTGCTGAGAACGTTGCATTTCTGATTCATAAAAATTGTGATATTACACAGTTCTCAGGAGTAAAAGAACCGAAAGAAGTAAATTGACCTACAAGTACTGTTTCTATTGAAATACCAGAATTAAGGCTGAGTATTATGTAATACACTACACTAACCTGTCTTTGACTTGCATTAAATAGCAAACTAAAGAATATGCTGCGCAACTTTCAACAAAATTACGCTGAGCAGTTAGGAATTTCTCCGAGTTCTTAGCACCGAATTCTTGTTCAAAGTAATCTTGAAGTGATAGCTGGCTATGTTTCTTGATCTGATGCAATGATACCGTGTTCAAAATTGGTTCTATAAGCCCTGAGTCATTTGACACGCATAATATTCTGTAACGAAAACAATCCACAGAAAAAAAAAATCAATATTTTTTAAACAAAAACATTATCTGTGATTATTAACCGGAAAAAAAGGTTCTTGTAGGGCATCACAGTTTTCCTTGAGGAGATCTTTTCCTCCAGGAGAATTACATGTACATTCTTTATAAAAACGAACCGTTTGTTCATCATGCCTGTGTTTTTAAGCCAACTGTGGTAAGAAGTAATTTTAGAATTTACCTGAGCAATTGCATTACAGAAACAACTGTGGTTTGACTTTACAACAGACTTATCATTGTGGAAGAAAGTCTAAGACTAAAAAGTTTTGGAAAGTACAAATTTTCAATGTTCGACAGAGGGACTTTCTTTACGGAAAAATTTGACAATACGTGTAAACCAACATCCACGTAAAAGGACAAGACAAGAGAACAATGCATGTATACCTGTACGGTTTCAACCAGAGTGGAACATGCTCTATTTCCCAGATTCGCTGAAGTGCTGACAGGATCTGATACGCTAATAATTCCATGCGAAGGTCATCTCCGCACTTCACTATTGCCGAGAGAAGTTGCCACGATGATAGGTGACCGTATGGTGATGTTTCTTTGACTTTTTGAACTTTTTCACTCCATGGCTCCTGCAATGTTGAAAAAGAAATTAATATTTCAGAAACTTTCAAGTCACTTACATTTTATTTCAATACTTAAATAACATTGACCTTTGCCAGATAGACCCGGAAAACGATACTTGTATTTTATATTTCTATGACAAAGAACAGTAATTGAGGCACTGGATGCGAAAAGGGCACTTCTCGGTTGCAGTGTTTCAGGGTCTCCTCATATATTTCATTCATTGTAAGCAAAGTGAATGCATCCATTTCACTAAAAATTTCACTGAATATTCCTTATGATTCTACAATTTTCTATGGAAAGAATTCTGACAAAATCACCCATTAAATTCTTCTCCAATGGATTAATTAGCAACAGAGATTCTGAAACACTGAAATCGAGAAATGCCCTTTCTGCATCCAGTGCCTCAATTATTTTTGAGCACTTCCAGTCAAGGATCAAAAAATGTTTTATTTTTAATTCTTTTGACACAGGCCTATTTTTTTGGATCAATTAAAGTCGTACATAAGAAAATTCTGTGACAGTTTGTGAGATTGTCTGTTTCATTTGTTAGGTTTTCTTTTGTATCTCTCTTGGCAAATCTGACTGCCAGCCACTAAAAAAAACTGCTCAGGGACACAAAAGATTTGAAGAGGTACATTGCAAAATATACAGATTGTACGCAGAGAAGTGAATTTCAGACTTTTTTCAAGTGTCCATTGTGATTTTTGTGGGATCTTACCTATGGAGACTTTATTCTCTTAACTGAGTCCCTAGCATACGACAAACTCATTGTCCTGAAGGATGGCCAGAGTTGGTTTTTTTTACAGAAAAACATCATCAAAGTTGGGGCACAGTTGCAGCTTAAAAAATAATTCACCTTGAGGGCGTGCGCTGATGGGTCATCGGAGCAGTGAGTAAATGCTGGCTGATCCTGGAGTGATTCTGAAAGTCGATGGCGGATATCTCCTGCTGCTACAAATACTGGCTCTCGTGAATCAGAGCTTTCAGACGACCTCTGGGAGATAGAGTCTTTTTCTGGTGATTTTCTATTTAATCCAAGGCACTAGAAGAACAAAATAAAAAAAATAATATCTTAGATTAAATGTTACATTCAATTTAGGTCACTTTGATCAGGTGATTATTGAAGATCGGAAAAGCAGCCATTTCAAATTGTAAAAATCATGGCAGCTAAAAAGGGGGGGGGGGGCGGTTGGCTAGGTATTTTGAGATTAAAAAAAGTGTAGGTACCATATTGAATTTATGGACTAAGCAACCGCGATAACTTGTGAAATTCATTTGGAATTTTCCATGTACCTATGATGTTCTATGTACAACTTCAATGGGGAGAATACATTAATCTCACCCTGCCAAAGAACTAAAGTTTCCTTTAGACCTGATTATAAGCAGCAGAGATGCAAAAAGTTTTCTATGGTTCTGTACGTAAAAATTGCAACGATTTTCCAGAAAAGACGTCATTTTCACCGCAGTTTGGCAAAATAAAACACGATTTTACTGACTTTCCTATTTAAAGACATTGTTCTTGGGGCCTTCCCAATATCATGCGATTGCGACCCACCCGGTTGCGTGGTTGAGAAGTTCTTGCACCTCTGATAAGCGGCAACATCAGAAACACTTCTTGACAAAATCGTTTTATATTGCCCACGCATTAGAATGATGACTGATAGCAAACTTACCTGTCGGGAGAATTCAATGACATCTTCATCTTCATCAGTTGAAACTGACGTTGGCAGGAGTTCCTCACTTCGCCAGAACCTATGACGACTAACCAGTGGACCAGATTCTGCTTCAGACATATCTACAACCTCCACGTATAAGATGTAAGGAGCCTGAGAACAACATTTTAAGAATAATTATAAACAATTTCTCGAACAGAATGCTCAGGGTTACATCCTATCACAGATGAAATAGTCTTCTGTTAGCTATCAATTAGACAAAATTTTGCTTTTAGAAACTGCAATTTCTGACTTATCTGTAAAAACTTTTATGTGCATAGGGAAACTAATGGTATAAACACTGTTTCTAAACCTAGACAGAGATTGTAATTCCTAATTGCAAAATGCAGTCCAATTAATACATAGATTAATTAGAATCTGAATTGATCTGGACATTTCCTTAAAATTGGAACATCAGTTGAAATCTTGAATGCGGTAACTTTTCACAAGATATGAAGTTAAGACTGGGAAATCCAAGAGGCAGAAGGAGGCATACATTTTTATGAAGAAAGGTAAAAAAATCTCGAAAAATGCCTTAATATTTACTAAAATTGCCTCTTGTAAAAGTTGAACTTCAGATGCAGGTAGGTGGAGGGTTACCCTCTGTACTTGGCGCCTCTGATGCTAGTGAATGAATAATAAGAAAAGTGACTTGAAAAACTTACCTTATCTTTCGAATTGAGTACCGCAGCAGCTTGCGGGGGTATCCTAACAATACAATGCCGTGTATCACACAACAATGGTAACCAAACTCTGGCAGGTAAATTGAAATTTAACTTATTTATTTCTTTTGTAAGTTGTTCACTTTTGTCCTCCTTTGTTGGGATTGAGCTTAATGTCTTGCCGATATTGATTAGAGCCTTCATGAATTCTAGTACTGGAGATAGTCGGTTAGCCTGAGGAAAACAAAGAGTAGGCAAGTGATGTAGTTCATGTAAAAAAGGAGATAGGTAAATAAATTATTTAAAAATCAGCTACTTTTGAAACATAGAAATTTTAAAAAATGAATGAGAGAGCTGGATCATTTACAACATGCATGGAGTCTCTTACGGTTTAGGAGCTTGGAATTCTTCGTCAAAATAAGCGTAAATTGTAAAGTTGGATTGGCTATCTGGTGTTTATCCAAAAAACCTTATCATCCGGCCTGATATTGGGCATCCGTCACCAACTGGATACAATTTACAAGGGTATTCATAACCAGCCGGATGAGCTTGCCGTCTGGTATTCAATTGGATAATGCATTTTCAGCCGTGAAAATTTTGTGAAACTGTCATTATTACTGAATTTACATACAAAAGCATCGCTCTCACAGCGCTCTCTGGCACTCTGCGACGCCTAACCGCCACAAAACTTGGTCCTCCCACAAGTCATCAGGGAGTTGGCACTCCCTCATCTCATCCAAAACCCCCTGTCGCCACCCTTTCACCAGGCGTTCCCTTCATCTCCTCCCAGGGGAACCCAATCAGGCATCTTTTTTGGCAGCCGCTATTCCGTCATCCTACTGACATGACCATACCAGACAAGCTGTTTGGTCATGACGTCGAACACAATGTCATTTTCGACTTCCATTATCTGATGCACTCTATCGTTACAGGCCCGATCTCTCCTGGAAATTCCTGCTGACCTCCTCCAGAAATCAGAACCCGAATTACTGAATTTCCACTTTTAGAAAGACAGAGAACAACTTCCTCCAAACTCAATGTCAAGGAGTTTACCTCCATACCTAGTTAAACTCTTCATGCAAAGATAGGGAGCAAATACACTAGCAGGGTTGCTATGGTTCCAGCCTTCAAATACCCAAACAAAAAGGCAACCCTGCTAATAAATTTGCTTCCTACTTGTCATAAAAAGTTTGACTAGATACAAAGGGGGACTCTCAACGTGACCAAGGGGGATCCCTCTATTGCAGCCTCAACTTTAAGAACTTTTTTGGAGCTTGGGCGTTCCTTTCAGAGAAAACCGGGGAATTATTGTGTTTCTCGCAAAATATGTGCTTAGGTCACTAATCCTTGAGCTCCATTCTACTGGTGATCCGTTATGAGATTACTTCCTGACCTAATTTAATTTGACAGGAGTTTAAGTTAGGTGCCAAAGAAATTTAAAGAACACTTGTTAGAGAAAAGTAACACTCACTCCACAAGAGCATTCAATGGACGTATCACACACTTCATTTTCTTGATGGTTGCTAATGCAAGTGCAGCTGTTGTCAAATGCACGTCCTGATTTAAGGTCACCAAAACATTGGATTTTTTCTGGAAAAAAACATAGGATCGATTACTTTAAATCTAAAAATATGCTTCTTCTACAGCTATTATGCTGTAAAATACAGGCTCTATAGTTTTACCTGACAAATACTAGCCGGACTTGCAATGTATTGAAGGAAACAGTACAGTACTGTAGGAAACAGGTTCTGCTATAAATTTGTGAGACATCAAGGAAGTATTTAGAATGCTAATAAGCACATCACATATCGCTGTAAAAAAGGAGAAATATGGACCGAGAATACACAAAATAGTTCTGGAACGAAACGACAAGCGATTTTAAAATCTATTTAATATGGAAATCAGAGTGCATTCAGTGTTCGCAATGCTATTTCATTTTTAGATTTTATTCGTGACAGGAAAAAGGCATGCAACTGACTCTAAAAAAAAGTTTTTGATTTCATCATTATTTCAGTCTTGCGATGAGAGTTCTGATGTCGCTGTGAGCTTAGAAATAAAACACATTTCCCAGAGATGTTGCAAAAAAATTGGTGCAGCCTTCATTTCTGTTGCAATCAGCACAATTTCATTCACAAAATATAGGAGGCTCCTAAAAAATTGTGCATAATACCTGAAAATAAGACATTCCACATAACTTTAAAAATTTTTAGAGTGAAATTGGAACACTGTTAGTTATGACTATTTTAAATTTCCTTGACTTTTTGGAGTGAGTAGAAACTGAAACACCTTTCTCAATGACATACCTCGCTTTTGTGCAGCTGACGCATCAGACCACGAACGATGATGGGTTTTTCTTTGGTTCATCAATGGTGACTTCACACCCTCTTTTAAGCCATTTAACACACTGAGTCCATTGAGTCCATTTTTTTTTGTTGATCCAGGATCACTTGGCCTTTAGAAAATTAAAAAATACATTTTTGAAATATTTTAACATCATCACTTAATTGTTGGACAACAAAGAAAAGATTCCTTTGTACAATAATTTATTACAGCTTGTTTTCTTCACAATTTTTCAACACTTTTGTTCTTTTAATGATAAATTCACTCCACATTGATAGGTTTAACAGGAACTAAACAACCAATGCTTGCACAGCTGATTTCTCTGTATCAGTGATCTGCGCGAATGTTGAAATTTTAGTGAGCTTGAGATGATTTCAGCAGATATATAAAATTATATTTCAAAATGGTTCAGTAAAGGTCAAGAGGTTAAATTTAACCAGAGGTGATAGAAACAGCAGCCTGATTGTTGAAATTTATGTCAGCACGACACGAATCGAAAATCGATACACTACACGAAGCACATAGGGCTATGTCTTGTCTTATCGTGCCAACACAGCCAGTTAAAGTTTCAACAATCCGGCTGCAGGCCTGAATATCACTAAAATTGAAAGAGCCGTATGAAAAAACGACATTTTTCGCCCCCCCACTGGAACTTATTCATACTTCGTCTACTGGAGCGCTTCTTTCCCCAAATTTTCAGACCCCCAAAAAATTTTGGGGGGGCGTTAGGGGGGTGGAAGTCAAAACCTGTGACCCTCGATATCTTTCGAACGAAACAAGATATTGAGGCCCGGTTTGGACGAAAAATCGTCTAAAATTGCATACTTTAAAATTCTAAAGATCAAAATCCCAAAATTAAATTTTTAACTTAACTTATGTGCTTTCTTTCAGTTTTTGAGGAAAAACAATTTCTTTTAAACAGATTAAAGTGAAATTTCACATTTTTTTATTTGAACCAAAATCAGTTTTTTAAATTGTGCGTCTTTTTCCACATCCAACGAGTGGTCGTATAAGCTGGGGAACCGAACGGTTCCGGAGTTATGATCGATTGAAGTTTCCGCTCAACGCGCGCCGACCGATTTTCGCGCGCGTTGAGCGGAAACTTCAATCGATCATAACTCCGGAACCGTTCGGTTCCCCAGCTTATACGACCACTCGTTGGATGTGGAAAAAGACGAACAATTTAAAAAACTGATTTTGGTTCAAATCAAAAAAAGTGAAATTTCACTTTAATCTGTTTAAAAGAAATTGTTTTTCCTCAAAAACTGAAAAAAAGCACATAAGTTAAGTTAAAAATTTAATTTTGGGATTTTGATCTTTAGAATTTTAAAGTATGCAATTTTAGACGATTTTTCGTCCAAACCGGGCCTCAATATCTTGTTTCGTTCGAAAGATATCGAGGGTCACAGGTTTTTACTTCCACCCCCCCTGGCGCCCCCCCAAAATTTTTTGGAGGTCTGAAAATTTGGGGAAAGAAGCGCTCCAGTATTAGTAACTGATAGACGAAGTTTGAATAAGTTTCAGTGGGGGGGCGAAAAATGTCGTTTTTGCATACGGCTCTTTGTTAATATTTTCTAAAATACACTTTTTAAAACTTCCTTAGAGTTTCAGACACTTCTCTCACACCTCATTTAGCGCAATAACTATTAGAGTATTTAAAGAAGTAAGAGAGTCACCAAGGTTTCCTCGAACAGGAACTTTTGTGAGAGCATTGAATTCCAAACCAGACTAAGACTCAGTTTGATTGTGTAGGCAGCGCCTATTTTTTTTTTAAAATTCCTAAATTTGTCAAATGATTCTCTAACTTGTGTCTGATAACATTTCCTGGAAATTTTCCGTTTTTCAGACCTGAAACCATCCTGTTTAACGATGCTACATCAGGCTAGAGTTCTAGCGGTTTTTTACTTTATAAAAAGAAGGCATACCTCAAAGAATCACTGAGAATAAGACTTTTGAGCTTTGTTCCAGGATTTTTTTTCTTAGAGGGCAGTGTTGAGTCTAGATTGTACGCTTCTAAAAGCCAGGAGCATTTCAATGCAAAATCTGGTGATTGTCGACATCTGAAATAATTTAAAAATGAAAAAGTTAGAAAAGTGAAAAGAGGATAGAGAAGCTCTTACTAAGACCATACAAAATACACAATTTCTCACAGGGTATCTGTGGAACTTTCGATTTTGATTCTGGAGAAAACCAGAACCAAACTTTCAAGAGGTTCCCATACCTGAATCAAGCCTTTGAGCTGAAAGGAGGAGCTCTATAATTGCACTCATTCAGATCAAAATTTGAACATGTGGCTGGTCAAATTGTAATTACTTTAAGGAAACTTCTTTTATCAAAACAGTTATTTTATATGGAAAGACAACATTCCACAATAATCCCTACAATCAAACAAATAATAGCTTTACTCACTTTAATTTAAATAAGTTTGATTTAATAGACAAGAGGGTTTTTTTTTTTTTTTTTAAAGAGTTCATAGATTTTACCTAAACAGTTGGTGAGGGGTTTATTCATAGATGAATAAAAAGAAAGTCTCTTCCAGAATGCTTCTTTCAAAAACAATCTCAAAATTATTGAATCAAACTTGAAAACTTACAAATTAAAATTCTAAGATCAAGCTAGCTCAAGATTTCTGCAACTTCAGAAATTTCTAGGGATATCTGATTGAATTGAATATTTTGGGAGCAAAATGCAATCTAAAAATCGGGGAAATTTATTTGGACAAATGAAAAAAGTATCTGTTCATACATTCAGTCTGTAGAAAAATTTACTAGCATTCCCAAATAACTAGGCTTCTCAAGTTCCTTTAAAGCTTAAGGGCAGAGGAAACTTTAAACCAGATAGATTCAGCTGAACTTTGTTTTAAATTGTAGCTGCACATACTATGAAAAAGTAATGATGTTTTGTCTGTTACTGCCTCCCGGAGAAGACAATTTTCTATACTTGGAAATTTAATTTTCCGTTCAAGTTGGAAGAGATTTTCTTTTGAAAAGTTTGCAATTTTTCTCTTTTATTTTGCATTTATACATCTGAGTATTTGAAGGAAACAAACCTGAAAATTAAATATGGATGGATTGCTTCGGCAACATCTGGCATCTGAATGTACATATGCACTAGCTGGGGCAAGTAAAACTCGACGTCTTTATCTGGAAAACTGAAAAACTTATTGCCTGAAAAAGAGAGGAAAAAATACAATATTTAAAAGCATAAGTGTTACAAGGATAAGAACAAAAGTTGATAAAGTGTTATAGTACATGCCTATACAACATTCATGCAGGGATGCAGAAACTCCCCAATCACGCAATAATCAAAGCAAAAATACTCACCTAAAAAGCGATAATATTTCAAGCAAAGTCAAAATAAGTACATAACCTTGCATTACAATGAGCCGGTAGGCAAGGTATGAATAGGATATGACAAGGTAGTTGTTGACTGTACATTTACCATCAGTCACCGACTCCATCACCCGTGCAAGATTAAAGATTTAATAATTGAGTTTAACCAACTTTTAAATTTATTTATTATTTTTTTACTTATTTTGAAGCGTTTGCAACCAGCAAGTCAAGAAGAAGATCTGGATATGGAAGTCATTAATTTTGAAACGGTCATCATTATGGAGTTGTTAAATCATTTCAAGAAAAAAAGATCGGGATACAAAGGTACATACACTATTCGCGATGAATTTCTGTTCTAAAAGAGATTGAATTTTTGGTGACTTTGAGAGCCATTTTCAGTATAACAGGAAGTGAACTGACTATCAATTAAGAATAAAAAATGGACTCACAAGTCCAATTAGCCATGTCCATTAAGTACAGCTTTAAAGTTACTTACCAATGAAACTCTGAACACCAGGCTCCTTGGAATTGAATAAATAAGAAATTGCCATGGACATATCAAACAAGCGAGATTCAAATAAGCGCAAGAGAAACCCTTTCCCACTGTTAACTGAGAGAGTTGAAGATTCTTGATCCAAACTTTCTCTGCTTTCGCTGGCGACTTCCGAGCTGAAATTGAAGACGGAAAATCAAAATCTGCTACTTATGAATAGACAAGAGACCTACTTAAACCACACCCATCAATGCTTAGAATATTTGCATGTTTGCCGATTGTGTCCATGATAGAATAGGAGCCTCATGGAAAATGGACCACTAGACAAGGTACGAATTTCAGCATTCTGATACATGTTTCTTAACTAAAATTTCACGTAGAACACGATGCGCACATAGAAAATTACCGAAATTAACTCCTTACTAAGATATTTAATGATTCTTGATGTGTGAATTCAAACCACCCGCTCATTAAAACTCAATGCTCTACGTGATTCACATCGTGCGCTAAACGTTATCATGACAGTCTCTGCGATGTAAAAATCTGGCAACCTCAATCTTGACGCTTTGGCTCAGCTATGGCAAATTGCTTATAGTTTGAACAATATATGGTGGGAAATGAACATTGCTCGATTGAGAAGCTTGCTGAAACCGTTGTAGTGCGCAATTTGACTCTCGTAGAGCTTTGAGTTTTTTGTGAGCGGGCAGTTCAAATTCCTCGTAACAAATATGAAATAAAAACGTTGATATCTTCGTTAGGAGTTAGTTTCAGTAATATTCGTTGCGCTAATCGTGTTCTACGAAAAATTTTGATTAAGAAACATGTATCAGATTGCTTAAATTCGTACCTTGTCTAGTGGTCCATTGCACATCAATGGTGTAAGTGGGCAATCACATAACTCAGTTTGCGACATCGCAGACTTCCTGTCATACTTCATTTTTTAAACGGAAAACTACTTGACAGCAATCCTTTAAAACTGCCGTGATTTTTCTTCTCTGTGCCAAGAAAATTTTGCAAAAACTTCAAGGAATGATGTAAATGTGTTCTCCTTTAAAAAATAGCATAGAGGCGGAGATTTTCAAACACCGCAAACGCGATATGTGATTGCGGACTTACACCGTCGACATGCTTGACAGGTAAGTTATTTAGTAGACCATTGATCTATACACACAAATGCAGTTTCATCGATGATGATACCACAATAACAGTTGATGTCCTAAAAAATTGAATTTATCTTATACATTAAATGTAATAAATTGTGAAAACTTTTTAGGATAGAGATGTTGTGCGGAATTTCCATAGAGTATAATGTCTGGTTTTGCTCCACTTCAGAGGAGGTGCAATGGCAAGGTAAGTTCAGATACTGTGACTAAAATTGAAAATTAGGTTAAATGGAAAATGCATTTTTGGTATGCTCTCAGGAAAATTAGCATTGTTCTGCACTTTTGCTTTTTTGAGATAAAACTAGAATATTAATAATAAAAATGGTGCTACAGTGATACAACTGCAGTTTCATGTCTTCCAACTTGATTAATAAGAAGAAATAATAAAGTTGCAATTAGGTGCGTCCAATACTGAATTTTTTCTCTTTCAAAAATCTCTGCAAAGGTAGTATTGACTTAACAGATATTTTCCCCTTTTTTTGCCATTCTTTAAATTTTGTGGTAAAGCGCTGCTTTACTTTTGAGAATCTCGGTTGAGGAGAGTTCAGTGAGGGCCACCAGTTTTGCTCCAACGAAGCACATCAGGCAAACTCAGTTTTCTTAACTTATATATCAATACTGGTTTTTTTCAATGGAAAATTTAAAATTCAGAAAAAGAGAAGGACGAAGAAACGGAGTAAATGAGAAAAATAAAAGTACCCGCTGATGATGCCAGAGTCATCAGAGCCTAAACTGGTTAGATCCTCTTTGTTTTTGGATTTATCTGGAGTTTCTGATAGTAGCTGTGAGGAAGACGGTTCACATTCTGGGCTGGGGGTCACATCTACTTCAGGAATCCGTTGTAAAGCTGAGTCTAGGCTCCTGTTGCGATGGTGCAAAGTCAGTTGCGGAACAGGTGGGAGTAATATTCCCATTGACCTGAAGAGAGACAAACCAAATGAACACTGAATTAGCAGCTACATTCTTTACGAATATGTCACTTTAGGGTCTTCGTAATTCGACGTATTTCTGCCAAACAGAAATATAGACAGGTGGAAAAGATGGGGTGTGCCTGCGCTTGGGGTGAGCTGCATAAGGTACTGCCCAAGCGGACGAAAAAAGGAAAGGGTTTTCAATCGTTAATCAAAGATTTTGACAAATTAAGAAACAGCAGAAATTCAATGATGAACTTTACTGACGAGATCATTTCAAGACAATAGTCAACATATGTTCTTGAAAGAAGAATAATTTTTGAATTGAACTATTGTGTATGAAAACTGTAGCAAAATAATATGCATTCTATATTCTGGGAAGCATTAAAAATGAAATTAATTCACTAGGAAATAGTGTAGGTATAGCCTTCAGAAAATGCGCTGAAAACCATTACTTACAATAGTCTATGGCATTGAAGCTTAAAGACATAGTGAAATAAGAGATATACATGTCTTTGTTTACCATGTTTGCAAACTACAGGATTACGTGTTAATAGTGTAAAAAAGAGTGTCTAGATTATCTAAGTTAAATTTGTAACATCCAGTGAAATTCTTTCCCTCAGTATTGAATACATTCCCATCCAGTTGAACAATGTAAAATTAGCATTATTAAGATTTTCAGAATTTTAACACGATTCTGGTGCTGTTTGTACCCACACACAGTGGATCAAGTCAATAGGAGAGGTCGGACACAAATTGGTGACTTTAAACCCTTATAACTCCGTTTATACAAAACTTTGAGGCCCTAAAAGTGGTTCCATTGGTTTCCTTGTGAAACTTCCTTCCAGGAACACTCCTGTAAATTTACAATGTGACAAATTAAACATTAAAATTTGCAGTTGTAGTTAAAAATTTCATGTCCAACCTTTCTGATTAACTCGATCCACTGTGCCACAGTGGCATTTTTCAGTTCCACTTTCATCCCAAAATGCTGAAGGTGCTGCACATATTTAGCTTTTGAAATTCAGTTTCAATTATCAAGGAGTCCAATTTATATTTGAAAAATTTGCTTGGAGTAACCAGTTTCCAAGTAACATGTAAGTAAAGGCACTGATTTTTAAAGGGTAATTAAAGCTGGTTTCATGGAGACGATTCAAGAGAAGTGGCCGGTAAAGGTGAAACACAGAGTTTCATTTCTGATTTGCATGGAACCACTCGTGGATTTAAGTTTTGTGAAGGTTCATAGCAACCAATACAATGACAAATTTATCATCTCAAAAATTTGCAGATGAAGAATAAAATCCATGATTATCAAGACTAGATTAAAGTATTCATGATTACCATGGAAGAAAGTTGTTAATTGAAATGCTAGACTGTAAACATATAATTAAAAACTACCTGAAGTCAAGGCTCAAGTTACGCTGATGATTACTGTAACGGCGAGGGCCATTCTGCCCATGGACAGAAGGCAGGCCTGCCTGGCTTACACTTGATTCAGTCATAGTCATCTGCTTGGCATTTTTCTCCCTCTAAACATATAAAATTAAAATGGGGTTAAAAATGAGTCCGGGGANGGGGGGGGGGGGGGGGGATGTTAAAGGTTTGGGATTCTGCATAATTTCTTCCTAAACAATTTTGAACCTCACTGTTTTACTAAAATCATTCTTTAAATATCTGGATATTTAAGTACTGTTTGAGGAAAACAACTTTTGAAAAAGACAATTGAGGATATGCCAGATGGTTAAGAAGACATAATTTGAAACAGTTCTTGTGCAAAATCTATTATTCGAAGTGTCACACCCATTCTTTCAAGGAAATAAAGGTGACTTGAAATTTTTCCCAGACATGTCCAGTTTTCCCGGACTTTTGAAAATTCTCTGACATTATCAGGTTTCCCTGACTGTGGCAGCCCTGATATTCACTCCCAAAGTTTGGTACTGGATAGACATATCTAGTATCAAACCAAATGTGCATTATCAAAAGGGAAATGAGAATGATTTATGAAAGTTTAAAGTTCACGGCCTATCTTTGGATGAACAGAAGTGTTTCAAGTAGAGGATGCATTAAGACTGGAAATAACATGCACGCATACTGTATTAGTAATGCTAAATATTAAACTCTTCAAGAAAGTGAAAAGATAAACGGCTGAAACGCTAGATTCGGTACAGTTTTAAATGCTACCTGGGATAATCACTTTAGCCAGGTAAAGATGGGTTGTAGGGAACCTCTAACACTATAATAATCATTGCTTTGTGGACAGCGTTATGCCGCAATCACTTGCTGAATGTGGGAGCTGAGTGTGGCTTGAATGTGGAAGTCATCGACTCAATGTCTGAATTTTTTCAGCAACGATTGTTGGCGACCATCGGATAATGTCAGATTTGTCTGAACTGTTTGAATAGATTTGATACACTCTTTTTTTTTCTTTTTTTTTGACTACTTCAAATAGCCCACGAGAGCTAATTCCTGCGCTTTGGTCCTGTCCCACCTTTATCCCTACAACCAGTCCCAGGTAACCATTGTTTGAGACCATCAAACTCGGGTCGCCTGGCCGGGAATCGAACCTGAGACCTCCCGATCATAGAGCTAGCGCTACAACCACTACACCATAGGAGACCAGCTGGCTGTCATCTAGATGAAAATAACTCAAAGTTTCAAAATTTTAGCCGTTGAGCGATGACTGTTGACTTCCATGTTCAGCTGCTAAATTCAGCGTATGATTTCGGTATTACCAATCAGTATTAGCTTTCCTTGAATTATTAGGATAAGTACAGTTGGCTAGTTATTGAAATTTTGCCATTGCCATTGAAAAAACAAGCCTACAGCGCAATGGAATATGCTTATTGGACAGCTTTGTCAGTTATCCGCTCTGTTGTGCCTAGGCTGCATGGAAATTGACGATAAGCTGTCCGTAACTCAAATGGTGCATTTAACTTATCATACATTCTGTCCCACAAGTGTTCAACACAGAGGACAACTGACACAGTTACCAAATAGCATAACTTCATTCCAATTTCTTCTTGACCTATCTGAACATGAAATACAAAATTTGACGATGAATCCACTGATAATGGAATCAGATTGGGCATGAAGCAGTGTCAACTACAAAGGTGTAAGGCAGTCACTGCTGCAGAACAATTCCTCACTAGTTTTTTATACGTGAGAGTAAGTAGTAAGTCTTAGACAATGCTTCAGCTGCTTTCTAGCAGCAAATAGAGATCCATTGCAGCTGGAGAATTGTGTTTACGGATGATAGAAAGTTACATTGAGAACATTGACCACTAGACAGTATGCAACGTGAGGGCTAGCAGGTGGAGTGACTAGACAAGAGAGGATCATTTGATAATACTAAAGCTATGAAAATAGGGGGATTATGGATTAATTGCAATTATTTTCTAGTATATAATGTGCAAGGATTTCCGCATTTAACCTCAGCCCATATCAGGTATATGAACACTAATTCAATCATCCGTCTGATCGACAGTGGAATTGAAATGACAATGCACTAATTATACAGGTTCATGGTTAGAGATAAGAAAAATACAACTGAATTGTGGCCCATTCATTTGAAATACCTGAATTTTTAGAGGTGTGATTAGAACTGTCAAATTTCGGAGAGTCTGTCACTTGAAGGGAGTGATAAGTTGGAAATCATTCTCCACCCTCGGCGAGGTGTTTACATCCGATAACAAGCACAACACAAATCAATACTCAATGATAAAGCGAAATGAACTTTCATTTACGATTAGAAACAGTGATTTTAATGCGGCTGAATGAAATATACGGGAGGTTTATCAGTGTATGTATTTCATAGGAAATGCCAACTATGCACAGCCATGTTGAAAATTTTGAAGGATGTCTCTAGTGTTTTATCAGCCAATCAGAGGACAGGAATTTACGCTGAGAGCGAGAGAGATCAAAGATATAGAGAGATGGCGCATATTTCGTTCATAAACGCACCCTAGCGGAATTTTCTTGAACTAAAAGATAAGTAAGTACATAGATTTTCAAAATCATTCTCACGAGGAGTAGGGAGAGAGGAGAAGGGGTTGCTAGCTCATAAACCCTTCGCTTTGCTCTGTGTGGTTTATTTTGTGTTTGTGATTACGAAGAATTTCGATTATGTGCTGATCTGTTACCTAATCCATTCTTAATTTTGATTATTGAATCTTAAATTAGAAGGAATGTGGCTGCAGTAATCAAGTCGAAGATGAGTGATCCAAATCCAGAGGAGGTAAATAATTCTTTTGCCTGGAACTGTGCTTTGTTTTTATCATTAGCCACTGAGAAGAATCTGATAAATTTTGACTCACTTTCACATCACCTCACTCGTTTTCCATTAATTAACTATTTTGGCAAATTATCTTCAAGAAATCTACTTACAAATACTTTTCCTATGTTATCTTTCCACAAAAAGATTTAATAATTTCAACTTAAGCTCTCTGTTTTTTAGTGGGGTTATGTATGGGTTTGTTCAAGTTAGAGTTTAGTGACACATCAAATTTTTTGAACCTTTCCTTTGTCCTTTGTATCACTAATGGAACAATGGACATCACTAAATGCACAGCGGCTCTTGTTTACTTGAGGCTCTTTCCGATCATCTCCACTCTTTTCCCTAATGAAAGTTTTTTTGAAAATTTTCACATTTTCACCTTTCTTCCAAAACACCTGTATCAAATCGAGTTATAATTTTTCTTGCTCCGTCAACTCTAGTTTGGGATCAGGGATGGCCCTAAAAATCTCTCTCAAGATTAGAGGGTAATCTACTTGACAGAAAACGAGAACATTCGCCGAAATTCTTGATGTGACCTCAGCATCCTTTTCTCCGTTACCTAGTTTACCAAGTCCTCAAAGCTTACAGCATTCAATTCGGAGATGCATGATCATTCAGAGGTCTCCAATTTAATATTTTGCAATCTTTGTCCGAAGCACCTCATCAGATCTGGCTTTGTTCAGAACCCTTCTATATTTATTTTGACTTGGACACGAGTTCCACGTCAAACTTTTCACCGATTTGTAATCTGAGGAAGTATTTTGGACAGGAAATGGATGATTTTCCTTCATACAAGTTCTTGTTATTCCCATGTATTCAATCCTTTTCTGACTCTCTTTATAAGTTCTCCAAAATGATCATATTAACTTTTGTTCACCCAAGGCTTGATAGTACCCAGTTATTCTTCCTTTTTAGGGAATTTTCTTCTCATCGTTATTGGGAAAAGTTCTCTTTGATGTTCCTCCAAAATATAGAGGAAGTCTCTTGTATTCAGTAAGCTTGCAGGATCCCCTACATAAAACTATGCAGACCAGAGCTCCGATTCAACAGATATCTAAAAGAGGTCAGAATGTTTGCTGAATCTAAGAGCGATCAACGAATGGAAACTCAATGTCGTAACAATTTAATAACGAAACAAGTTTGAAATTTCATCAGATATGACTTCTGCTTACCTCTCAGGATTGTTGCTGCATTAAGTTTTGCGATTATGTTGAAGAATCTTTTTAAGGAGAGAAAGGATTGAATCCAATTTTTGAACTTTTTTTTCATGGTTGGCTCACATCTCATTATTTACTGTGATTATCAGATGTTCTCTTACTGCCCATCAATTTTTTAAATTGTTCAGAATTTAGTGGAAAAGAATTAATCCACTCTCTTACAGTAACTGCCTACTTACTCTTTGAAAGACCAATTAGGCAGATCTGTTTTTAGGAAATTTAGCTATTGCGCAAAATGTTAGGTATACCTACTGATGTTTTGCTAGCATGAATATATAATTTTTTATATACTTTATAATTATACACATCTAATTAATATTAGAAAATTTTCAATTTTTTCTCCAAAATTATAAAAGATCAGGAAAAATCTGAAACTCTGAAATTGTGTTCAAAAAATGTATTTTCTATACAGACTGTTCTATCTCCATAATTGCCAGATGCTGCTAAAAAGTAAGCTTTTTTTTTCTCCCATTTTAACCCATGTTAAATATAATCATCTCTTTGCACAACCTGGCAACTAACTACGTTGTTGGTGTCTTGGTGTGGTAGGAAATAAAGCTCATTTATGTACCTACACCAAACTCACTCCACTAGTTTAACGACCTTTGAAATGATGGTTTTGTGCAGACTCAAATTTACAGTCCTCTATTATGTAAGGACATTGATCAATCATTAGTCATGTATTTATATCTCTAAATGTTGCTTTGCTTCCCAGTCAATACACTTTTTCCTCCTCCTTGGCACAAGTCCAAACTTTTGTATCTTATAGACCTTGTTAAACAAAGAGATGAAACAGAAGCTATCAAGTGGTCGTCAATGTTCAGAATTTCAATGCCACATTTCTAGTCTCAGGCTTTTCCTACAAACTGAATTTTGTCTTTTCAAAGAATAACTTCATCAACTTATCTAATACATCCTATTTTTCTTTTCAAGATTCGGCGCAAGCGCCTGGCTAGATTGGGATCCTTCGAACCTCAGTCCTCAACTCGGACCGTAGAGGTTCCTATCACGCCTGAGCTGTTATCTCCAACCTCATCTCAGTTTTTTGCAGTGCGGAACAAACCAGAAAGTGAGTTTAATCAATTTCTTGAGCTACTTGTATAGCTCAATGTTTGAGTTCATTGATCAGACTATTCACTGAGGACATTGTGGTTGAAGTCTCTCAATCTCAAAAATAATTTATCAACACAACCAAATTTTTCTCTTAGGGACCAAATAAATCAAGTTATTGGGTGAAGATTTAATTTTTTGATATACATCATTAATTTTTTTACGTATTTTATATTTTAAAAACACTCTTAACAGCACAAAGAGGAGAATGGTACCAAAAAGAAGAAAAAGAATGTGAAAAAAAGGAGAAGAAAAAAAAAGATTCAGCATTCTCTATTAAAATGTTCAAAATTTACAAGAAATTCTCTCAAATGTTGATGAAATTGATGAAAAGCTAAGCTGTCAGGGGTAAATTAGCTGCCTTTTAAATACATGTTTCAAACAACACAATATTGACCATTTAGCACTAGACATAGTTCCAGATATGAGCAATCTGGGCCAATTGACTTAAAGAACTTTGGAATTGCCTTGAGCTCCCTCATTTTTCATTGAAAGAAAAGTCAATCCCTAATTAGAACTAACTTATGTACAAGGAAAATTCCAGCAGTGAAATATACTCCCAACTTATTGCTCTTGTCAAGTTGGTCACTAATTGAGGGGCTTGGATGACAAGACGCATAAGTGCAGTTTTTACTCTTTCGAGAAATACATGTTCGAAGTTTTGAAATTACATGGATCCTTATGGCGGAAAGAAAGTTCAAGCTGACTTTTTGATGTTTAAAAATTGGAATTTGGAAGCAAATTTTTCACAGAGAATATTTTAAGATTAGTTTCAGTTAAATCATTAATATCTCAATTTTTTCAAAAACTGCACTAATGCGCCTTGTCCTCCAAGCCCCTCAATTTAACTTACATCTTTACTTAAATGACAAAGAATCAGAAAATTTCAAGTTTTGACAGTCTTGATCTCGAAGTTTAGGCCAAGAGAATACCTGTCAGCATTTTCTGCTCTTCTCATCATCGCTTTTATTTACTGTCTCCATACTATCCTGTCATCTTGTATGAATTTTTATTAATTTTTCAGGTTGTGATGTTTCTCCAATGGAGTTGGAAGATAAAAACTTATGCCCCAAAATAAACCCAAAAGATGAATCCATGGAAGTTGATGAGAAAGTTGAAGAGGTAAATTATTTCCCTTAATCCTTGTTCTTTCAAGAGTTGTACAGTGGCTTTTTTTCCCCCCTGTTCAAAAATTCATAAATACAAACAGGTGTTCTGTGAGCTTTTGGCTTGCTAATGGAAATTTTCTTATTTTAAAGAATAATTCATACTTGTAGGTCCTATAAGACCCCTCCATTGAAATTCTCAAGCTTTGTAAGGGCTTTTATGGTAGTCGCACATCTTGTGCCGTAACAAAGTAAGTTGCTCTTACTTTTTCTGTTTTTAATTGTACAACAAAACACCTCTAAAATTGAGTTCCCTCTTATCTTTTCCTGCTGTATAATTAATTTTCAGTTTGGTCGTTGTTAAAATACATGTGCTCTGGATCATGGGAGAAACGACGTAACGTAATACAAGCATATGCAATTCTTTAATCGCATTCGTTATTCATTGTTATACTTTAAGCTCTCAAAGAATATCACAGCCAAAGTAGAAAAAGATGTGTATTTTATTTTTCAACGGGGAAACTCATTAACGTAATTTCTTGCAAGCCTCCAAGATTTTCATTTTCCTCATGAAAAATGTTTTGTGAAAATATCAAGCCAAGAAATTAGTTAGCTCTAAAAAAAAATAAAATTGGATAGGAAACCTTAAAATGCCACATTAATAGCCTGGAATTCCCAAGTTCAGTTAAAAAATTATTTTTCTAGATGGTTTAGTCAATTTAACTGATTGAACTTGTCCTTCTCCTCATTCCAGACCCCTGTGATGATTGAAACTAACAATGACCTTTTGAGGAAAGTCATTTGCCGAGTTTTAAGCATACGTCTAGAAGAAGGAGAGGCCAACGCTGACTGCCGCTACCTACCTAATAGTGCAAATTTTGCCAAAGAGTCCAAAGATGCACCATTGGATGTTCAAGTTAGTTTTCTCTGCATTTATTCACTTGTATATTTTAGTTGCCAATTCAAGGGCAGTAATAATCTTTTTACTACAAAAAATTAATTGGAGCAATTGAGGGAAACAAATGCCAAATGAAGGTCATGGAATCAAGCAAAAGGCTTGTTGTAAAGAACAATGTGAGATAATTGCACTTCGGTGCTGAGGAAGCTTGTCGATAATCCAAAAAAATGTCTGTTTGAGCTAGACATAGTATGCTCTGTCTCATGGTGAAGTCAAAAAATATGTATTTACACTGGTTGTAGAAATATGGAGAGCATTGCTTGCCGTTTGTGCCCTCAAATGCTGAGGCTGTAACGGTCAACTTTTGTACATCAAAGAAACCCAATTTTTATAGAATATAGAGAGTAACTTGCTCAATATTTTATTTTTGTTATTTAAATTTAATGTAAAGTTGGCATAAGCTATGTGATAGTTTTTCAAGTCTTAATTCAAGATTTCCAATTTTGATGAAATATTGCAATATTTTCTGTAAAGAAGTTTTAATTTTCGAATTGAAAAGTTAAAAATCCCATCAAGTAAGGGAAAAGGGTTATAGGTGTGGACGGGACTCACTTCTATAACATATCCCAGATTGTGTATCTCCATGCAAAGATTGGGATTTTTAATGGTGATGGGTAAGTGGGGAATCAAAAGTTCTCCATAAATGTTGATAACCTAATTCATTCAGTTCGCCTTGTTCCATTTTGAACATGAAAAATTACTGCTCTGGAAACATTGAAATTACAGGTGAGAAGTATAAGTTGCCTAAACATTTTCACTGAATAAAAACCTTCTTTTTTTCAGGATTTCATTAACCAGTGTATGATGGAAGCAGTCTGCCTTGTATCAACTGAACCCTCTGTTTCATCAGAAGGTAGCAAAGAACGCGATTTAAGCGGCCCAACAAAAGCTCTTAGCTACATAGTTCAATGTTTCTCTAATATTCACGGAGAAGAGCAAAAACTTTCAAAGGTATTAATTTTATTGAATTTTTTGACAGCTGCGTGTCAATAAATGACAAAAAAAACCCTTTCTTGAAAATTGCATCAGCTGTATGATTTAAAGATCTTTTAACCATCAGGAGATTGCAAATCCTAAGAGTACAACTCCATTGCCTCTTGAAATTCCTTTCGTTTTATGTTGATGCAGCAGTGATAGTGTTTTAAATCTTTTTTCCGTTTTCAAAGTAAATGCCTCCTATTTATGTAGGTCATAGTCTTTGGCTTAGTTTTTTTTCTACTCTCAAGATTACATTAAATTTACACAGAACTATGAGTGCTTGTAAATCGGATATGACCGTTTGAAGGCAAAACAGATGATAACAGATTAACTGAAACTTGCTTAGCTCCCTCCCAAGTGTGTCTCAAGAGCAAGTTCCTGCCTCCTAGTGATATCTATCCTATAAAATAAATGAAGGGGCCATCCATAAAATATTTATCGCTGAAAATCGAATTTTTAGCTGCCTCCCCCCCTTCCTTTGTAAAACATCCGCAACACAGGCTTAATTATGCCCCATGAAAGTTACGCTCCGTTCAACCCCTTCTCCTCAAGCTGTTATTTTGTGATGAATTTTTGATGATAAATTACCACTTCAGCGCCTATTTGAGCATTAGGTAACACAGCTGTGAGCGCCTCCTACCTCCCTGTAATAAACGTTTAATTTAGGCTCAGACCCACTTCCCCCCGTAGAATGTTACATTTTTTCTGAATGGCCCCAAAGCTCTATGTATCAGTGATATATCAATTATAGCATTTTGTATGTTCTCTCTCTTTGTCTTTCGTAACTAGCGAGTGGCAAGCTGGCATGCAGTGAGTAATTGTTGTGCAGAACTGAGAAAACAATGTGTTCAGTATGCTAACCTCCTTCTCTCTGGCTCAATGGGGGACTGCCTACCTGTTGAGTCGATGCACGACCAATTCGGCTTTTGTCATGAGCTCATGTTACTTACGTATCAAAATCCAGAAGCTTTTGCTGAGGTATGTATCTTAAATTCAAGCGTTATAACATAAAATTCATTCTTTAAACCTTTTTTTTACCAAGAAACGTAGCAAACAAATTTTCTGCTTACTGTAATATTCTGGTCTTGTTCACACTGTAAAAAGACGTAAATGTTTGAGCTTTTTGCCCATAATTACAGAGGTGTTTTACAAATTCAGTAAGAAGAAGGTACATATAATCAGTTCATGCTCCCAAAAAAGTTCGTTTTCTCTAACCAAGAATTTAATTATAAATAATGCATGGTTTCTCTTGAAAAAAAAAAATGGAAATTATTTGCTAAATGTCCGTAGAAGTCCTATTATTTTTCAGACGTAGCCAATGTATAGTTAGACTCACTGAAGTCCAATTGTTTTATTTCAGACTTTTGAGAAATAGCACCATATAGCTCAGATTCCATAAAGTGTGTAGCTAATGATTTTTTCTTCCTATCACCTTGCTGTATTATAATTTTTTGTAGCATTATCGTTTTCATCGTCTGATAATAACAAAACTTTTAATTTTGACCACTTATTTTATTTAATTTTTTTTATTTATTTATAAAAATGAGTAGTAAAATATGGTGGTCTTGTAAGCAGAAACTGTTGAACCTTCTGACAACATCTTTTGAAAGAATCACAACTTTTTATTTGAGTTTTTTATGCCAAGTCTGTTTTTAAAGTTTTATTCAACCCTTTGACCACGCCTCATTTCTACTTTTGTGAAGGTGTTCAGCCCTATTCTTCAAAGTCTTCACCGGCGAATGTACGGTGCAAATATGGTTGGCAATGCTCATCGGAAGCCATTACTGGCCCTGTTGGAGCTTACGGATTTGCGAGGAGGACCAGCAGACAAAGCTCGCCCTGTTTGTAACCTTATCACTGAACAGGTAATTGAAACGCTGAATTTTTGTACTACATGCCATAGCTAAATTTTACATCCATATGAAATTAAATTCACCAGAGGAGTTGAGAGTCAACTGTAGCATTCATATTTTTTCCATCCTGAAAATACATAATAGGCTATAAAATGCAGGCCTTAAAATCGTTCTACGTTCTACTATACTTTCACCTTCCAAAGCAAGAATGACGCAAATTCTCTCTAACTTTTTTATATCGATCTGAAAAATGTTCCATTTCAAAAAAATCTGTGAAATTTTATTCAGTAAATCTTTACAACCGTTTAACCATTGGGAATTCTTACTAATAAAATGAAATACGAAAGTAATGATGCTCCATGTGGAACAATGTTTAGTTCGTGAGTTTTTGTCACTAAAGTGTGTTCACTCTTTTTCAAGATACAATTTTTACCGGAACCATGCACAAACGGTGCTGGACGAGAAATAGCTGTTACATCTTTCATGGGTCCATTTTTATCAGTCTCTATTTTTGCGGAAGATGATCCCAGCGTTGCTGACAAATTTTTCAGCAATAACAGTGTTACGGACAGAACATTGAACTTCGGTCTTCAAAGAGAGTTGGACTCAACCCGAGTAAGTCTCCCAGTTGTTTATATATCAGTTGATAGTTGCTCTCTCCAATGATCTTTTGTGCTAGATATTACTGTTTAGCTGGCTGGAATAAAGGTAACTTGTGAGCACTCTTGATGCTGTTTGAAGCCACTTCTATATCTATACTCATAAAAAAAGATTAAAATTTTCTGCATAAGTCTGCCAAACCTTTCTCTTATAAAAAAAAAAAACGGCTCTGTCTCCCGGCTTGGTCTTTAACATATCAAATTTTTGAAACTATTCACTGTAAGTGAGAGGAAGAGCTTTGTAGACCCTGTTTCTAGTGTAATAGGGATGCGAGGACTGAAAGGTCATTTTCAGTGGCTACTTTGACTTGTTCACTCTGGATTTTCTTGTAAATAGGGAGTTAAAATCAAGACTAATTCTGATTTGTACCATCAAATCTATATTGCTGGCCTGTGAGTTGATGGTAAAAACTTTCAGCGTGTCCTCTGCAGTCTTAAAAAAAATTTGCTCCGGGACTTGTATTGAAGTGATTTAATTTATAAGTTCAAAAGTTTCATTATTTGCATAGTTGTTTGTTCCATTAAACGCTCTAATTTTATGTAATTTTTTTCCACAGACTTTACTTCATAAAATCTTCCACAACATGCTCGTGAATCCTGCCTCTAGAGAACCTCTTTTAAAGTACATTTCAGCTCTGCTTCTGAACAATGAGAAACGATCGCAAATTCATGTTGAGAAGCGAGCGGTAGCCAGTGACGGCTTCATGTTGAACCTCCTTTCCATTATGCAAGCATTAGCTATTAAGGTATTTCTTCAAAGATCAAAACCTTTTTTTAATTTTAGTTAGTTTTCCACGATGTTTTTCCTACAAAGGATTTTTACTTTCCACAAATATTTTGCCTGCATATTATACTGGACATTTTTTATTTTAGCACAAATATCTATCTCCAAATTTTAACATTCTAACTTCAAAGTTGTGCCACAAGTTTCTCAGTCAAAGTAAAACATCGATGAAATCTCTGTGGAAGAGAAAAATTACCCCAATTTCATTTCTTGTAGTTCTTAACGAGTCTTGAATTCTCTAAGAAACGCAAGTTTTTTAGGAAAATTTTGAACTTGCAAAAAAACCTCATGTGATGGAAAACTTCAGTGCCATTTTTTAACTCCACTCCAAAAGTATTCATCTGGGAATCTCTTGAAAAATGGGGGAAAATGGTGTGACCTCCCAAAATAGACTCGCAAGGCAAAAGCAAGAAAAAATTGCAAGGCTATGAATTAGAATCTGTCTCTTAATCAAGTTTATATTAAACCCTAAGTATTCCAAAATCAATGCACTGCAATCTCAATCTCTAAATCTGCGTTTCAGTGCACTAAGAGTGCTAAAAAAAATGTTGCCCTCAGTGGCAGAGGGATTAATTTTAATTTTGGAAAATGCATATGAGAGAATTTTTGCCCTTGAAACATCAATAGAAGATCATAAAACGAATGAATGACAATGAAGGGATAAAACTGGTGTAAGATGTATGAAAGATTTTTCCTGTGTAATCGTCTACCTAGTAAAAATTTTATAAAACCTTGGAGAATTTTTTCTGTGTAATTTGCATTTGTAGTCTAGAGTTCTAGGATTTCATCATTTTTTCTAGGATTCATTTTGAGTTAAAACAGACAGTGATCTGTCTCATCTTCTCCACCAAGATTTTGATGTTTCAAAAACACCAAACACTTAATTTTATTTTTTATTTTTTGGACAGGTTAAGTTAGATAAAATCGATCCTTACTACCCGTTCCAAGAATCATCCTTAGTCTCAATAAAAAATGACACTCGCCTGAAATTGACGTCCCAAGAAGTTGCTGATTGGGTGGAAAGTCTAGGTAAGTATTTTATATTTTATCAGTACTTTTAAAGACATCTCTCTCAAGACTCTTACTAAATGCAGCCTACTGTCGTTTTTAGTTCTCCTAGGAGCTAGACAACAAGCACTTTTACCCTTTGTCTTGTTTAGTCATCGACACATTTTTACCACATGAGTCAATAAGCAGCGATGTGCAGTTAGAGGCTAAATGATCAAGGCTTGACGCCAATTTCTTTGTATCAGTTGTACTTATCAGAGTGCGTTACATTTCATGCCTTAAGAACTGGTAGCACTGTAACATGTCCCATAGGAAGTACAACTATCATTCTCATAGCTTTTTTGCCAGCAGGCGCTGAAGTGAAGTAAAAGGCATGTTCTATGGTACTGTGAGTAATACGTACTAGAACCTTTTAATAGTGAACGCACTTAATTGATGTTAGTTTGAATTAGAGTTCAAATATCCTAAGTGCTCCCTAATAATATTGATTTTAGTGTTTACCCTGTCACTAGAATCTTTTATCATATGATCTCTACTAACAAAAGTATCATTTAAGCTCAATGAACCAAGCAGAAACTCTGCGGAAGAATTAGAATTTACTTGTTAGACTAGCCATAAAGACTACTGTAGAACAATTGTTTTAAGTATTCCCATGAGGATACTGTATCTCAGACCTAGATAACATAGTTCACCTTGTAGCTGGGGCAAAGTTTGGCAACCTACAAAATGTTAAACTTTTGAAACAAAAAAATATGATTATTTTTGTAACTTTAGCATGCGTTGTTGTTGAAAAAAAGTTTCCATATGTGGAGAATCCAACACAAATAGACTTCTTCTAAATATATCCATTTTCATGTCCATCGAAGTGATAAACCAAGACTATTAGCAGTAGCAAATGAAAAACATTGTGGCCATTGATGTGATGCCTAATCTTTGCTTTGATCTTTTCTCGACAGACAAGAAGGAATGTTTCAAAGAAGCGAAATTCCCCACCCAGTGCTGGTTTTTAACACTTCATTGTCATCATATAGCCTTACTGCCAACAATTCAAAAATATCAACGCCGAATTCGTGCTCTTAGGGATGTGCAAAAACTTGTAAGTAGTTAATTCTTCTTTTTACCCTATTTGCCTCAACTTTTCTGTTGTTAACCTATATATCCACTGGTGTTAGAGTTGACCTGTAGTAAGTCCAAAAAAATCTGTTTATGGAACTTGAGAAGGAATATAAAACATTTCCAAAAATTATTTTAAAATTACAACATTTGGACATAGAATTCACTGGAAATTCAATGCCTTATGGTATGGAAATCAGAGGTAACAATTATTATACAGGGTGTTTCAGACCACCCGTACCAGGCCTTTTTCTCGGTTGGTTTAGGTCGTACGAAGTCGGAGACCGCGGGGTTGAATAGGGAATTGACCCCAAGAAATCTGAATTTCGTGGTCCCGAAACCCCCCCACCCCCCCTTGGGGGGTACAGGGGGGGTCACGATGCTAAAAGTCACGGTTCCCGACCGAATTGCGGATAGATCGCATCAGAATTGAAAAGCACGGAAAATTTCACGTGAAATTGACCCCTAAAAATCCAAAATCGGACCATCCAAGGCCCAAAAATGACCCCCTAAAGAGGGGGACAGTACCCCCCTCCATAATTTCTCTTTGGTCTCAAAATTGACGTAAATTCTCCAGAAAAAGACGGTTTCCCAGGTAATCGACCCCGAGAAATCCAAATTTCATGGTCCCGAAGCTCCTCTAGCTCCCCTTGGGGGGTAAATGGGGGGGGGGCCCAATTTTAAAAATCGGGGCTCCTTTCCGAATCGCAAATTGATTGTATCCAAATTGAAGAGCAGAACACATTTACATCTTAAGTGACTCCTAAGAGTTCTAATAGACCCCCTGAACGGCAGAAAGTAACTCCTTGAGGAGGGGGGCCTCGCCCCCGCCAAAAATTTCTCAGGATTCCTCTTTGGTCGCAAAATTGACGTCGATTCTCCAGAAAAAGACGGTTTCCTATGTAATCGACCCCGAGGACTCTAAATTTCATGTTCCCTGAGCTCCTCGGGGTCGATTACATAGGAAACCGTCTTTTTCTGGAGAATCGACGTCAATTTTGCGACCAAAGAGGAATCCTGAGAAATTTTTGGCGGGGGCGAGGCCCCCCTCCTCAAGGAGTTACTTTCTGCCGTTCAGGGGGTCTATTAGAACTCTTAGGAGTCACTTAAGATGTAAATGTGTTCTGCTCTTCAATTTGGATACAATCAATTTGCGATTCGGAAAGGAGCCCCGATTTTTAAAATTGGGCCCCCCCCCCCATTTACCCCCCAAGGGGAGCTAGAGGAGCTTCGGGACCATGAAATTTGGATTTCTCGGGGTCGATTACCTGGGAAACCGTCTTTTTCTGGAGAATTTACGTCAATTTTGAGACTAAAGAGAAATTATGGAGGGGGGTACTGTCCCCCTCTTTAGGGGGTCATTTTTGGGCCTTGGATGGTCTGATTTTGGATTTTTAGGGGTCAATTTCACGTGAAATTTTCCGTGCTTTTCAATTCTGATGCGATCTATCCGCAATTCGGTCGGGAACCGTGACTTTTAGCATCGTGACCCCCCCCTTTACCCCCCAAGAGGGGTGGGGGGGTTTCGGGATCACGAAATTCGGATTTCTTGGGGTCAATTCCCTATTCAACCCCGCTGTCTCCGACTTCGTACGACCTAAACCAACCGAGAAAAAGGCCTGGTACGGGTGGTCTGAAACACCCTGTACATATGGTCTTCAAATGCTTTTGTCCTCGTGTCTTTGTGAACCAGCCTTATCAGCAGCAAGTTTTGAGGTACGACTATCCTGCCGAATCAATTGACTGTTCTATACAGGCAACAGAAGATCTGCTGTCCTCATTTTTGCATTGACATATCATGATGAAATCTGGCAGATCTTTCGTCTCCTCCGGTCGAGGCTGTCAACTCATTTAGTACAAACTCAACTCGGAGACACAGAGAGCTCTATTTTCTCACTCAAAAGAACATACAAAAACTCCAGTTTGAAATTGTTTCCCCTCAAATTCAATTTTTTTCTGCAGGTTGATGAGATGCAAGGAAATGAAAGTCAGTGGCGCAATATGCCTTTTGCTTCAAGAAACAAAGAGTTAATAAAACGTTGGAAACAGCATATAAAGGTAATACTTTTTGGACGCTCTATTTTTTCGTGAACCTCCCATAAAGATAATGTACATTATTTTATCCTGTTCCTTTAGGTTAAAATATGTTTGAACAGCAAAATGTACAATCTGATCTCTTTAATATCTGTGAAGAACTTGACATTTTTATGTAAAAACCATGGAGGTTGTTTTTAAGGTGTTCCTCTTAAGAGCTTTTCAGGGTACCAGCGGTTGAGAAAGTTAGGGAATTTACAGTGACTCAGAAAAGTCAGAGAATTCTCAGGTAAAGTCAGGGAGTCCGCTCAGTAACTTCTACCAGTGCCATCTGAGAAATGCAAACAACTTCCAAATGCTTTTTTATTTTATTCGAATCTATAGAAGTAGAGATATTTTGTCTATAGTGTAGCAAAAGTCAGTCAGTGTAATTGATAGAAATCAAAAATCCAAGTGGAGGTTTTAATTAAAGGTCAGGTAATTTTGGAGTCCAGACAAAGCAAAAAAAAAGTCAGGGAATTTGGAAATGAAGAAATAATGACAATCCTGGCTTTATTTATTCATAGCAAATGTTGATTGGTCATAAACATCTGAAAATTACACTGTCGTTGAAAATTCTCTTCATTCTGTTTCCCCCCTTTTTTTCTATCTCTCTAATAAAGAATCCTTCTTTTGCATGAGATTAGATTTTGTAGCCATCTGAATGATCTATTTTTTTCTGTAACTTTCAGCGATTATCGAGAAGTAAAGCATGTGCTGATGCTGGCTTGCTGGATCCGATTTTAATGCGGAGGTGTATAGGATTCTACACAACTGTAGCTGAGTTCTTACTTTGCGTCTTAACAGAACAACCGCCAACGTCCCCATGTCCAATTCCTGTGCTTCCTTTGCCCTCCTCAGAACCTCCTGCCCTCTTCGCAGCCCTGCCGGAGTGGTATGTGGAGGATATTGCGGAGTTCTTGCTCTTCTTACTTCAGTAAGTTATTTTTTCTCATTTCATAAGAATGATTTGGTCCAACTCAGTGTGCCCTCTTTGCCCAACTTTCAGTCGCCCTCTAATTATCTTCTCCAGTTAAACCTGCATTTTAGAAGTTTCAGGCGTTTAGAATTATACCAAACCGATAAATCAGCTTTTGATCGGCCAAAAATCAGTATCTCAGTTTTAACTACTATTTTACGGAAGTCAGTTTTTCATGGTACGTTTATGCTTTCTTTTCAGGTACATGCCAAATCTGGTTTTAGAATCAATGGAAGACGGAATGATAACTTGGCTCTTAGTGATTGTTTGTGCACCGCACGCAATAAAAAATCCATATCTCGTTGCAAAAATAATCGAAGTCCTTTTCGTTGTTAATCCTGGATTCCTAGCGCACACAGAAACACTATACAATCGAATCATGGCTCACCCGGTTTCAGAGCGGCACTTACCTTCTTTCCTGATGAAATTTTATACTGGTAGGTCGATGAACTCTCTGTATTCCGTTTTGCTTCCTCCGTTTTTTCTCTGTGAAATGTACTGAGTTAAAATGGTATTCATAAGCTCTTGCTACGATACCAAGTAGTTCTTAAACAGAGGTAAACAGATGATTTAAAGATGTTGACAGCTATGATGAGCTTTTTGCACCACATAAAATGAACAGATGGTATGGGAGCCTGTAAAGAACCAGCTCAAAGGGTGGTATCAGGTGGATAAAGTTCTGCTAGTAACAGTTCAAAGCATCTGAGAGGGTTTCAAGTTTCCATCATAGCCCTCAAAAGTGGCTCACTATTAGATGAAAAAAATTTAAGTTCTGAGAAGTAGAAAAAGAAATACAAGAAGAAACCCCCCTGCGTCCCTGTAGGGGAACAGAAAAAAGGAAGAAGAGAGTTTTCTCTGGTGTATATCAAACCGCCTTGTTTTCTTTTTTAATGGTGAATACTTTGTTTCTGGAATCAGCCTACAGGAAACTAAAAAAAATAATGAAATGAAAAATACAAGGAATGAACAAATTAGGATGTGTATTTTTCTATTTTCACTGGCGACTAGTCAACGGATAGCTCATTTTTAATGTCATTTAACCATCTATTTTTTTTTTTTCTTGTAACAGATGTAGAAACAACAGGATCAAGTTCTGAGTTTTACGACAAATTCACGATAAGGTATCATATTAGTTTAATTCTCAAAGGAATGTGGGAAAGTCCAGTTCATCGACAAGCAATCATCAGAGAATCAGGGTGAGTTGTGTCCACAAATTATCTGAAAGTAATCATTTTTATTACATAATGACTTTTAGAGATTCAGCTGCAATAGTAAAAACCTCTGAAAACATCAAAGGGTGGTCTCTTAATGTAGAAAGAAATTTTTAGCAAAAAAAAGAATGAATGAAAAAGAAGAATGAAGAAATTTTTAGCAAAAAAAAAGAATGAATGAAAAAGAAGGATGAAATAAGGCGCCTAGTATCAAAACCTGCAATCTTCATTGCTCTGTCTAAAAATTTGGCAATCATTTTCATTCGTTTTACAGAGAAGAAGTAAGTCCTAATCCCCCATCAGGTCATTTTGATTGGTCTCTACTAACTTTAGTGCATTTTGCATAGATGATGTTGTCATTTGAGTGATATTTTCTTCAATTTCTGAGGTACGTTTATGTATTCTGAGATATTAATGAGATGCGTGCCGGATGAAAAAACGACTCATTACTCAATTTTTTAAATCTTATGTATTTTGTTGAAAAATAAAAATTGCAGCAAGATCGACGAAACCCAAAAACATCAAGCTACCCAAAAACATGTAAAATAGCTTTTCTTCTTGCATAATCTTTGGGGTACAACAAAAACCAAGCTTAAAAAGTGTTTTTTTTCTCTAAACACCTCTTTAGCTGGAGGTCGTTTTTTTTTTTGCAATCCCCTCAATTGTAGCCCTAATGGAACGATAATTGAAACTTTATTTTTCGTTTGAAGAGTGATTTTAATTGATGGAGAGCTGGAAATAGCATTGAAGAGGCCCTCTGCTCCATGGCAATATCATAAAATAGAATTTATGAAAGATGGACTCATGTTTTTTTTTTCAGATCTGGAAAGCAGTTTGTGAAATTTGTCAATATGCTTATGAATGATACAACTTTCCTCCTGGATGAAAGTTTAGAGTCGTTGAAAGTAAGACATGTTTAAAATACTCAAATTTTTTTTTTTTTTTTTTTTTTTTTTTTTTTTTTTTTTTTTAAGTAGTGTCAATTTGTACCTATTACATACGTTAGAGATATGTGTGGTACGGTACTATAATGAGTGCTTCCCTTGACCTAAGCATGGTAAAATTATTATAATTTTTTTTTTACTTATTTACTTAATTATTAATTTTTTTTATTTATTTATTTAATTATTAATTTTTTTTAAAAAAAATAAAATTCCTATCTTTCCTCATCAGCAGCTTCTTATTAATTTTTTGGCCCCTATCACTCTCGTCCTCTCTCATCACTTGTTCCATGTGAAGTAATAGTAAAGTATACAGAATTGTCACTGACGTCAAGTATATTTCAGGAGCTATGAAAATCCCATATCAGCCTTTTAGTGGAGGCTAATGATGACATGAAGCATAAAAATCCGAATCCCCCCCTCCCCCTGCCCTCACGGGGCATAAGTGCTACCCTGGGGGCTACTCTTTTTCTTTTTTGTACCAATTTTCAAATAGCCCTCATGGGTTTTGAGAGAATTTTTGGCCTTCAATGCTGTCATTTAACTAAAGACCAAAGCGAACGCTCAATGGAATTTGACAAAATGAATGATATGAGAGTGATTTATGACATTATCGTGTGTTTTCAAGGCATCAATTAATGACTCCAGCATTGAAGATATAAGAGCCTCATCCAAGTCAGTGAAAATGAAAAAAATAGTAAGTTAAAAAGAATTGAAATTGCTATATTTTTCATATTTGCATAAAAAATTTCTTAATTATCTCACTTATATATCTAACTTGCCAGCAGTTCTTTTTGATATGCTTGTAAACATCTGTATCAAATCAATGACAATCATTTTTTCATTCGCATCACTAAGTTATTGAGTCGACTAATATATTGGTCAAAGTATGTACTTTCCCTTATCATGATATATTCCTGATTCTCTTGTCTAATATGCACACTTTGATGTTTAGCGAATCCATGAAATGCAAGAACTAATGGGTGACAAAGAAGCATGGGCTAGAGTACCAAAAGAGCAGCAACAAACTAGGACACGCCAATTGACTGCTGATGAGCGACAATGCAGGTAATACATCTTCAAATCCTCTTCATCCTATTTTGTTGGTTGATAAATTGTAGTATAGGACTCCTAGTAACTGAGAAAACAGATGAATGAGGGAATCTAATTCCAAATTAAGAAGAAACCTTGGAAAGCATAAAGCAGGAAATTTGGAGGAAACCTTCAAAATGTAGGGAGCTTTAATACATGAATGTAAAGGCTAGGCAAAAATTTGAAATGATGACTGGATGAATCGTTTTACTGTCAATTTCAGACTTTAATATGCTTGCTAAGGAACCCGGATTATTGAATTTCAAAATTACTTATCTCCGTTCTGGAGTTGGAGTTTTCTGTGCTGATGAAGAGACAGGAGATGTTATGTGTTGATTAACTCAACCCGTCCCCCTTTTCCTTTAATGGAACATTGCTGTCCCTCATAAAGTACATTACAAGTAAATAAATGCCCTGATGAAATAATTTTTAGGAAGACTGAACTCAAGTCAAACACATTTTTAAAAAAGTAAAATCGGAAACCTAAAATTCTCTTTTCTTCCAAAATGCTTTGAGCAATGACCTTTTTTCCTACTCTATGTTTACAACATGGCAACATCAATATTAATTTAAACTGATTATAGGTGATGTAATTGTAATATTAAGACTCCTCATTGTGGTTTTTTAGTTATTTTTTAAATTTTTTTCCCCACTGTGTGTGCCAGAATATTAAGGAGCATATCATCTCCATCTCTTAATGTTTGATATTGATCTCTTGATTAATTATTCAAGTTATTTAATTGCCCATACAGTAGCAGGTGAAATATGCATCTACTCCTAAGACTTCCTCGGCCAAGTCTACTTTCATTGTACTATGTTTTGGCAAATATAAGACGCACTACCAGTATTTTTACAAATTTCTGCGATTTTGCAATAAATACAGGATTTTCACATTGACGCCAGTCTCTCCATTATCAAGACTCCATTTTGTAGCCTTTCTTTTTTCAAAAACGTTTTTTTCAAAAACCTCTCATTTTAGCACGCTAACGATTGCACCTCATCCGGCTCATAGTCAAGAAGTTTTTGCACCTTTGGAAGAGGAATTATGAGAAATATACAAAATCTACTCATCTAAAGTATCAGAAGTTGTTAGCAAATTCATTATTTTAATAACAAAAAACTTCAACAGAATTACTGGAGTAATTTTTCTGTTTAGCGGCCATTCCCTCTCTGCCAAAAATCAACTGAGTCACTGTCCTATTAGGAATAAATGATTTCCGTGGAAAACATTACTTAAGTCCGATTCTTTAGGCTTTATTTAGTCTTTACTTAGGCCTTTTTGTCAACATTTTCAAAAGAGTGACAACTCATTTGCTCATAACTTTTGTTTGTTCATTTTCATTCACTCAAATATTTTTTTTTCCAGATCATATTTAACTCTGGCTAGAGAGACGGTAGATATGTTCCATTATTTAACTTTAGATATCAAAGAACCATTTCTAAGGCCAGAACTTGTGACACGACTCTCTGCTATGCTCAACTTCAACTTGCAACAACTCTGCGGTCCTAAATGTAAGTTGACAAACATCTTCATTCTTACACTTCTCTATCTTGGTATTCCTATCAATGCTGCTAAGGAAGAACGCTGTTTGCACATCCGAGAGTTGACAAATTTCTCAGGATAAACAATGTAGTTTTGGGGCAAGTGAAAGAATGTGTAAAAATTGTTATTTTTGAAGTCATGAGTTGAATTTGGAAATTTTCAATGCCTTCATTATTTTCTCCGTAAAATGTTGATAAGGACACATATTGTGGTTCTCCAATATGCACCCTATCAGTTAGTCCATTCTTGAGTTTTCATCCCTAATACCTAGTGGGCTCTAGTATCACAGTTTATATCAAGTGCCTAATGCCAAAACCTAAATGCCCTTCTGAAAGTTTAAATAGTAGAAAATCACAGCGGTAATGCAAAACAATTTAACGGTGAAATTGCAGTAATGCGTAACTCGCTTTGCGACATTGCAGAATTTCTGTCCTACTCCATTTTCCGCATTTAAAACTATTGAACGTCATTTCTAGGAAACTTCGGTGATTTTTCTTCTCTGTATGAAGGATATCCTGTGAAAATTTCAAGCCATTATGTTGGTTGGTTATGCCTTCAAAAATAAAATAGGATCGGAGATTTTGATACACTGCAACTGAAATACGCATTTTTGTAGTTTCACCATCAAATTGTTGAATGAGCGGCACAGTGGCTGGATTACTCTGTAATCTTTACTTAAAATTCAAAATGTTTGCCTTTTTTATTTTCAGGCATACTGAACACTTAAATGTGATATTTTGCATGTCTCTCCTTGTAAACATCGATTTATTCATCTGTGTGTCTTTGCTCTTCTCTGAATTTTTGTACCATTGTCCATTAACAATTTGCACCCTATTTTCAGGTAAAAACTTGAAAGTAAAATCACCTGAAAAGTATGGTTGGGAGCCGAGACGTCTTCTTGGACAGTTAGTGGACATTTATCTTCATTTAGATTGTGAAGCTTTTGCAGCAGCCATTGCAGCTGATGAGGTAAAAACTGTTGTTTTATGGTTTTTTATTTACTTTTTAATGCTTTAAAGAGCCTACAACGTAAATGTAAACGCTTCCAATGAACGTAAAACTTGTTATTTTGACCATTATGAAACTAGTAAAGCACTGTCCAGAGCGGCAGCCCTATCAATGTGTTTGCTCCTATCTCCTCAAGAATAGTTTGATTAAAAATATAGATGGACAGTTGGACACTCTGAAAGTGCAGGTTAGCTTCTCGATCACAACCTCAACTTTATGAGCCTTCTTAAGCTTTAAAGTCACTTTCAGAGGAAATCATTGGCACCATCCAGTAAATTTTACAAAAGAACGAGTGTTTGAATTGGAAATCCTTATTGCACACGAAAGATCTAGCATAAGCATCCAACTGTGAATTTGCATCTCTCAACTGATTTCACCATTGAATAATTTTTTCACCCTTGATAAATATTTGTCAACAAATTTCTGTTATTCTATTTTATTTTTTTTTTTTTTCAATTTCTTCACAGCGCTCATTCAGGTTAGAATTGTTTGAAGATGCAGGAAGTCGGATGGAAAAAGCATTGATTAAAACAACAGCTGAAATTGAAAAGTTCTGTGCCTTAGCTAGAAGAGCCACTGAAATAGCAATCCAGAACAACAAACGAGAAATAGACTACAGCGATGCACCCGACGAATTCCGAGGTAGGCACAATTTTTGGGCCTCTAGAAGATCTTCAGGCTTGAGAGCTCAATGTTTAAAAAATAAACTTAGTCAGATAACTGAAAATTTCAAATAAATCCTTCATGTGAAAAACAGTTTTCATTCTGTGAAAGTGTACCAAAATCAGTGCTAACTGCCTAGCTTTCAGTTTCTTAAAGCTGTTCAATGATACACAACGAGACAGTCAAAATGGTCAAGAAACCTAACGCGTCAGTTTCATTTCTTAAAAATCTTCCAATTGGAAGAAGATAAAAGAGGTATTTTAGTAAATTTCTGGAAGAAACTATATTTATTTCACAAAAACATGCAAAAATTATCCATCTTTTAGAAGCTTAGAGCCCTGCATTAACACCGAATCGGGAGCACAAAATTGTCTGGAAACATGATTGGAGAAAATTAGATTTCTGCATAGCCTGGCATTCAGGCCATTTCAGCCCAGGCTATGTACTATTCTAAATTTCTTTTATCATATTCATTACTAATTGAAACATCACTTTTTCTAAGAAGTTGGAGCTTTTAATCTTCAAAAGTCAAAATTAAGGATAACCCTACCGAAAATTCAAGAAAATTCAGCCAAAAGTTGTGTGAATTTTTAGGAAAATGATTTGACCCTTGTAAAAAATACAGAGGTCTTAAAAATGTATTTGGAAAGTAGGAACCTCTTTTGGAGAGCACATCAAATGGAACCTTTCAGAATGTCTGGAATATTGATCTCATGAAAGTTTTTGCAACCTATAAGTATAACAATGAGATCAATGAGATGATACCTTTTCATTTTGATGCAGGGTCTGTAAAACAGTACGAATTTATTATATAATGAACTAAGTGAAAGTCCAATCAAATTGCAGCTTTTTTTTAAAACTGCAAAATTTTTGTTGCCTTGAAATGTGAATGTATCAAGATAAATTTGATGCGTCCTGAACTAAAACCGGCAATCTTTATTGCCATGTCTAAAAATTGTGCAATCATTACAATTTTAATATTGAAAGAAGGAGAAAGCTTCCATAGTCATGTTTTCTTGTGAATTTTCTGCTATCAAGCGAGAAAATTTGGAAAAGCATTGAAAGTAGCTAAAAGCTATGGTTGCTCTTTGCAAAAAATGAATATGATTGCACAATTTCTAGACGGGGCAATGGAGATTGCTGGGTTTGGTTCGAGACGCCTCATTTTTCATGGATGGAGAGAAACAGAACTCTTTTTCTTCTTTTGATATGATGATGATGGTCAAATAGAAAAAAAAGGAAACTTTAAAAGATAGGCAAAGGATGTCGAAACTGAAAAGAGTTTTACTCAGTTTACGTTAGCACAAAATTTACAAAAATCAGGAAAATTATATTAGAATTCTCTTCTGTTTTCCCTCGACAGATCCTTTGATGGACACTCTAATGGAGGATCCAGTCATGCTGCCTAGCGGAAAAGTAATGGATCGACCGGTCATAATTCGCCACTTGCTCAACTCGTCAACTGATCCATTCAGTAGACAGCCTCTCTCCGAAGACATGCTGGTACCTGGTGAGCATTACGAGAAATTAGCACAATTATTTGCTCCTTTTTGTCTTTCTCCTTCTTAATATCTGCAAGATTTCATAATGGATGTTATCAATCTCAGTTTGGATTCAATTTTAGAAAATGCTATCGAAAAGAAAGCGTTTTAGAATTTAAAATCCTGCTACGTTCTGATTTCGAGTCAGCCCCACAATCAGCAGCTCGTAAGTCAAGAGACCAAACCAATATCATGGCTATCACGAAATATTCTACTCATAGAGAAAAACAATCATCGGAGTTTTCAAAGAATAATGTTTAGCAATTTTTCATGTTGAAAATATAGTAAGACAAGAAGTCTGCAATGCCGCAAAGTGAGATACGCATTGCTGTAGTTCAAAGATCGATATGTTTATTGATTATTCTTCATAGTTGATGTTGAAAACGAAATGTTTATCATGTAAATAAATCAATGAGTGGTGTAAAATGACTTTAATACTATATACTCTACTTTACTTTAATATTGTCCTTTGACACCGTTACGAATGTACACCGCTAGAGTTCATACCAAATAAGTTTACACACTTATAGAATGCAACAAAAGATCGTTTGACATCAGTCTAGCATGGAAAGTGAATGCAAGAATGAAGATGGCGGATCTCTTGTTGCAGTCTAAAAGTGCGCAACCTCATTTAGCGTAAACTCTACTCCACCAGCCTCTGTATTTTTATGACTGTTTTCTATGTGTTAATTTATTCACTTATTTAATCACTAAAGTTTTTCTCTCTCTCTCTCTTTCTTGTTTTCAGCATCTGAACTTAAAGAGCGAATTGAAATGTGGAAGCGAGAAAAGAAGAAAGCTGCAGCTGTTTAAACTGGAAGCCCTTTTAAATTAAACGTAAGGATGCAAGACCAACAGTGGTTTGTGCTGTGCGTGAAAATAGCTGTACTATTTTTAAATCGATAATAAGATGAAACCTTTTGTAAGATTTTTTACCTGATTTTTTTTTATTTGTACGATATTGATTTAAAAAAGAAAAAGGAAAAAGAAAACTGTTATTAAAAACTAACCCTTAATATTTTATTTTACTCCTTCTCATTGAATCAGGAATTCAGTTTTTATGTGGAGTATTCTTTTGTGATCGAATTCAATTGTAGACTTCATATAAAATGTGTAATTAGGTATCATTAAATTTTAATTTTTTTTTTTTTTTTCATAAATCCAGTAGTGTGTCTTTGAGTTCCAATCAATCCTAATCGTTAATTTAACTGTTTGGTAAACAGACTGTAAATAACATTTTGATCATTTTTTGTGTTTGTAAATGAGTGCGATCAACAAAATAGGTACCATCAGCATGAAAGTGCATAACGGTGATATTAATGTTTACTTTCCTTAAAATTAAGAAATTTGTGATTATTGATGACCAAACCAGGTACCTAAGCAGGATTTTGTGAGCTCTATCAGCTCCCTTAGTTTTATTCCAATTCCATTATGCATTGACATCTAAATTGATATTTTTAAAGTTATTCATTGCTAGGTGAAAGCATTTTTGGACAATGAATTCTCAACAACAATCTTTTTATGGTGAATCAAAAGCCAAATTCTTGTCGAACCGTATATCAACAAAAAAAAATGATCAGCCTACGAAGATGAAGGTCACAAATTTTGCATAATTAGTATTGTACTCAAGGACTAGAAATTAGACCTCCCAAATTTTCCTTAAGAATAAAAACTTCAGAGTTTGAATTGGCTCGAAATCATTACCTTTTTTATCATTCTCTCAGTATCTGAAAAGTTTCTCTTTTATATCGTTGTGCATCATTACGAGATTTATTTTTTTTCCTAAGAGTCCCTGACGTAAAGGTGTATTTCATTCAATTTTAAGATTATGAAGTGTCTCCGAAGGATTAATTGTTTTCTTTTGGCTGTAAACCGTCAAGTGTATCTAATTTGGTGTGTTATATTTTGTTCATAGTAGGAGTTGAGAAAAATAAAGTATTGAAAAGCATTTTTGTTGCAGTATCAAGTCCATTTTCTTTCAGAATTCTCTCACTACCTTCAAGAAAGAAAAGCGAATGCCCAAAGTTTTGCCTTTAAGTGATTACATGGTCAAGAATTATATCCTTATAATATCCTAATTAGGGCCGGATTTACAATTTTGCCACCCTTGAACCAACACCAGTTTAACGCCCCTAGGTTCTAAAAGAGGTGACTTTTAAAGAGTTGAAAAGGGAAAACAGAAAAAGTCATTCCTCTTGAAATTTGCAGCTGCGTTTCCGTAATTTGCGGCCACGAGCTGGCAGCCCATGCGCAGCCCCCCCCCCTCCCTAAATCATAAATCTATTTTGGAAATTCACTCATGTTCTGTGCAAATGATGGTCAATATCCAAAATTGAAGACATCCTTTTTTCCTAACTCAGATATTTTTCTGTTTTAGTTGATCTGGTAGTATTTTTTATTTTCAATTTTATTTGGAGTTTTATCTAAAATTTTCAAATACTATTTAATATGCAGAAAGGTTTATGAATGTTTTGCGGATAATGAAGTGGAAACTTCTCATTTCTTGCCAATGACTAAGAGTGAATTGTTAAGTAATATGAATACTTTAATCGATGGAAGAGTATTTTCATTCTTTCAAATTCTCTTCTCTACCATGTAGCCTCCATGATAATTCTCCTATTCTTGTCAAAAAGATAATCAGTCTTGGTAAAAATCCATCCATTATTTCAAAAATGAGTAACATACACTACAATGCAGTAGAAAAAAATGGTTATTCGGTGATGTATTCAAATTTATGGCCATTCAGAATTGTATGAAAATTAGCAGTTAAACTCTGAGAACGCTTTTCGCAAATTGTCAAATTATAAATCCATCACACTACAATCATTTGAAGGAAAATCATCATATCAGCAGAAAGACTTTCTAGTGATTTTTAGACTGCATAATCGTGGATCATGCGACATTAGACACTTAGCACGCAACATTTTTTTTTTTTTTTAAATATGTATCCCATTCAAAAGTAGCAAATATACCTAGTGTAGTAATCATGAAAGAAAACTAGCAATTAATGTTTTTCTGAAAAAAAGAAAGGCGCATGTACTTTCTCCCGCCAAAAATTCAAAATTGCAGGTTTGCTCATTATCTATACGCAACACCAAAAATGAATTTTTGATGCACTGTAACTAACAGAATTTGTTCGGTGAATTTTTTCAGGACCCTTCTTTGAGCCCATTTGACTTGTGTGTTTCTTTCACTCTTTTAGCGCGTCTCCAAAATGTAAATGAAAGATATTATTAAACACGAATTTCCATATTTCCACCCCTCCGGCACGGTCTGACTGCACTGGTCACCCTGCAAACACGTAATTCTCCCCTCCATCAAAATTTCATTTCATTGCATTCACTCTTATCATGGCGGATGAAAGTCCACATAAATGGCGGCATTGATGATGTGGATTATCTAATTTATCTGCTCAAATTCAGCTAAAATTTCGGTGAAATTCATATTCCAGTCAATTTCACCGTTCCAGGAATATTCCCGCAATTTCAAGCCAGCAAACAGTGAGCTGTTGATCGTGGGAAGACCATCGGATCGCCCCGATCATAACGATTTCCCCTATCCCGCTAAGCTATAAGGCGGCATCGGCTTCAAATTCGCTCAGTTTCTTTCTACCGCAAGCGCCGAGCTGTTGCGCCGTGCCGAAAGTGTGCGACTTTGAATGTCGATTTTCGTGTCATTAAAATGGATTTAAATCGCACACAATCCCCTTAAATTTTCGGAAATCGTTTATTCAGTGTTAGTTGTGTTGATAATCAACCCTAGCTATCCTAGGGACTGCAAAACGGAATTATTATCAACGAAGACTCCAGTTGTCCTTATTTCCTGCGAAGGTGCGTCGCTTGCTAACCGTTTTTCGTTATTTTAATCGTATCACTTGAAAACCAGTGCAAATTCGATTCACTCATCAATGGAGGGTGTGTTTATATGTATTTTTACATTGTTTAGTACGAGGATTTTCGTCTAAATTACAGTGATAAGTGAAATTTTCGAGGAGCTCTTGCCCACACAGTTTTCCTGTTTCCGCCATGTTGTTTTCGTGATTAACAGGCATGTGATGCCGCCAATATTTCATCAGAAGGGACACGTAATGTTGAAATTTTAATTTGTTATAGTTTCCGAGCAAATCTGCCGGTGTTGGACCGTAATTTCGCTTAATTTCGGCTCTAGGTAACAAGTTTTATCACCGGAAACTTCATCTCTTATCAACTCTTCAGGTTATGTTTTGAGTCAGTTGATGGTCTCTCGCCTATCAAATGATGCTTCATTAATTTCTTTCTATAATACTTACCGAGAATCAGCTTTTACATTCCAATCTGATAACGCGCGAAACTCATTTGTCTCTGGTAATAGGTAACGTTGTCACTTTATCTGATTTCTCTCCACTTTATCTCTCAAATGGATTGTATATTCGCCGCCCTATTCAGAGAATACATCATACGTTGTTCTTTGAAACAAGATGGAATAATTAAGTGTTAAGCCGATAAAACACTGACTGATTTCTCTCTTTCATCGTTTTTTTCCTATCATTTAGAGCACATCTATTTTTATGTAGCTAGACAGTCAGGTTAGTGGCTCTGCAGGCTTGATGATTGGTCTCTCGTTAGTCATAACAGTGGCTTCATAATTTCAGATTTTGACTCATTCCATAGGATATTCAAACATCTTAGTGCTACAGATTCGAAGTACCAAACCGCTGGTTTGATGGCATTCCTGTCAATGACTTTGACAGTTTCTATGCAAAGAGTGTAAACGGTCAAAATAATAGGCTTCTCCATCGTTATCACTTCCATTGGGAATTACGTTGAACGAAGTTGTCTTACCTCATATATTGTCCCTCAACATCGAACTAGACAGTAATGTCTCGAAGTTTATCTTTAAGTTTATGTCAAGTTACCTTATTGTGTAGAAATTAGATGCACTTATTTGGTTATCAGCCACACCATTGGATTAGCTCTGGCAACATTTCGCAGTAGATTTATGTTGAGCTCACTCATCATTTGTGAAGCCAAAAGTTAAACTAAGTAAGGTATGTAATACTGAACAGGTGTTCACATCCGATGAAACAGCACCATTGATGATAGTTGACTCATACATTGCAATTTGACTGTCGCTAAGCGTATTTTGATAGAGTCTCGAAAGCTGCCCCCTCATGATCGGAGAATAGCTGTGCCATGGTTCAAGGAGAGAAACTTTTTAAACCAAACATATTACAAACTAACAAACCGGCTCGGTTTTATCTTACAGAAGTGCTAATCTAAGGGGAAAATTAAAGTAAATATCTGCTGCAATATCCGTTGTTAGGTACCGTGTGGTTGTGGAAGGTACTAATATTTGGCCGCTACAGAATCATTGACATAGATTTGAAATTTAACTACTGCCGAAACATTGACATAAATGGTGGGAGTTGTGTTTTGAAAAGGCTGTGTTGTCAACTTGCAAGGCAAAGTTCTTAAGGCAGTGATACTTGATAATGAAGGGTCAAAATTGACCAGGCAAACACACATTGGTTGCACTTGGTATCCTCTTGAAGTTACACGACATCAGGTACATTTCTTAAATTGAACGGTGAAGCCCATAGCCCTTGAGCGCTAAGCACCAGTCTCTGTAATGGTAGTTCGAATCAAAGTGCTTCGGTGTTCATCTGCCTTGCAAAATCAACATTTGTTAGTTTTAAAACCTGACAGTGAGTAGGGTAACAAGAGCGCGAAAGTTTGGCTCAAAATTCTACTGTTACAGAGCTTGTTTTCAGAGCTGAACTACGGTAAGAGAAGAAAGGTTCCCAACCTTGAATCCCTGTATTGTATTATAGATGGTTTCAAACATTAAGCTTAGCATTGTGCCCTCAAGAATAATCTTTTGCCCAAGTTCGGAAATTTTTTATGGCAGACTGTGTAGTCCCAAATACTCTTGGCACCTAGCTTTAGGGGTGTTCAAACGAATTCTTGCCAGAACACTATCGGTATTGTCTCTTACCGTAACTGGTGGGAGTACCGACAGTGGCGATGATATTGTTAACAGCCGGCCTTAACGGAGTTTTGAGAACTCGCACTCAATTCATTGTTGCCCCTTGTGTCGGTTTGTCAGATTGCCTGGCGCAGCTGTGCACAAAATAGATGTACAAATGGCAACAGCTTATTTTCGTCAGCTCCGAAAACTCAGATCGCTATCGGTAAGAGCACTCTTATCGTAACTTTTTCTTGATGGAACTGTTTCGGTAGCTTACCGACAACCGATAGAACAGCCCTACTTAGCCTTAGGATTGATTGAAATCAGCTATTGGTAAGTTAACGGTAGTTTTCCCAAAATTCCTCTTACTTCCAGGCTGGTAAATTCTAATATTTTATGTATCCCTCTTTGTTACAGACAAGTTTCTTACTCCCAAAGAAGTAAGAAACCTGCTGGTATGCTGCTTCTGAGCTAAATACTCCATCTCTAATCTCTCCAGTCTTGGTGGACGAATACTTTTCTAAGGTAATTATTAAATTGCTCTCATAATTTTTTTTATTTACGTTCAAGACTAATCCGAAATGCTGAGAGTTCTCAGCCTCTCCTCGGAGTCTCCCCATTTACGCTTGCAACTATTGGCAGGTTGTTGGTCTTATGGTTAAGATGTTCCTGGGACTAATTTCAAGTAATATTGCGATGATAGTCTATAAATAAGTTTTTAAATGGATGTAAGTGCTCAATTTACTTACCTCAGGAAAATATGTGCTGTATTTAAGTTTAACAGTGAAATTATTGTAAATATTCTCATAGTTTAAATGCTGTGGAACGTGAACAATTATCATGTCATCACATTGCTTCTAACAGCATTTTTTGAAAGATATCAGATACTTAAGTGGCTGAAAGATGAACTGGTATGCTATTGTTTTTTTGGAAATCATACAAATTTCATGTATTGAGATACTTAAGTAAAATCTTCATTTCCAAAATCAGAATTATTTTTCGGAATCCTCCATTCCTATGGCTCAAATTGGGATTCCCCATGGTAGTTGTGGTAATTACCCCTTCCTCTTGGGAAAGTCTTTGGAAGTTCCAGAAACTTCCCCAAATTGGGGAATTTAAAGTCCGAATCCACTAACTTAGTCACTGATCATTTCTACCCTTGACTGTAGGATTGTAAGCTACTTAAGTGACAATTACTAACACTATAGTCTCCTTTGTGAAGGAGAAGGCGGAAGTTCCTGTCAGGGGTTGGAGCTGGAATCCCTGTCAAACCTGATCAATCACAGATGAATCATCAAATAATCATGAATGATGTCAGGTTGATGACTGATAAAGTATATTTATAAAAATGGAACACCTCTCTTTGCAGGTTATAAGTACGAGGGAGAAGTAATTCAGCGCAATTTTAACGTATTTTTTGCACGTTTTGCCTTGTGATTACCCTACCTCATGTTTCAGCAATTAATTTTTATGTAGTCATTCTTCTCATTATTTTCTATATAGTCATTCAAGCTTCCACTATATCTTATTTCTTTTCCCCTTTTTTCCAGACCTCCAAAATGCAGCATGAAACAGCTCCCGGCAGTCCTGTAAGTTGATTTTCCAAGCCCTCTGGGTGATGATAGTTTTATATTTTCCTGGATTATAATTATGACTTTAAATCTGTGAGAAATCATGCTAAATTTTCAATGGACCACTAGACAAGGCACGAATTCAAGCATTCTGATACATGTTTCTTAAACAGAATTTCACGTAGAACACGATTCGCGCAACGATAATTACTGAAACTAACTCCTAACGAATATATTAACCCTTTCATTTCACATTGGTTACGAGGAGTTTGAACTGCCCGCTCACAAGAAACTCAAAGCTCTACGTCAGTCAAATCGCGCACGACAACGGTCTCAGCAAGTTTCTTAATCGAGCAATATTCATTTCCCACCATGTGTTGATCGAACTATAGGCAATTTGCTATAGCTGAGCCTAAGCGTCAAGATTGAGGTTGCCAGATGTTTACATCGCGCAGAGACTGTCATGATAACGTTTAGCGCGCGATGTGAATCACGTAGAGCATTGAGTTTTCATGAGCGGGTGGTTTGAATTCACGCATCAAGAATCATTAAATATCGTTGTGAGGAGTTGATTTCGATAATTTTCATTGTGCGCATCGTACTCTACGTGAAATTTTGGTTACGGAACATATATCAGAGTGCTGAAATTCGTACCTTGTCTAGTGGTCCATTATAATGGAATCAAGTGAGAGTAGGTTGGTCGAGCTATGATTAATCGCTCAAATTAGGTCTCAATTGATCTGAGAGCAAGCAGAAATTTTCTAATTCCTAGGAACAGCTTTTCTAGAGGAATAGCAGAACTTAGTCAGGATCAAAAATTTCTAAGAGCTCATAAGTAAAATTTGGTTCATAATGGCAAGCTTAGCTCACGTTATATAGGAACTTCCAAGTAAAAATTAGTTTTTTAGGCAGGAACGAAAATTAAAATTTCATTAGGTATGGTCTCAGATGGCATATAAAACTAGGAAAGTCAGGGAATTTTGAAAGTACATTGCGTTTGGCACTGTGCAGAAAATTCACAAAAATTTACACCAAAATCTGCACAACCATTTTCATGTAAAAAATTAAATTGCACGATTTCATTTAGCAATAGCTGATGTGGCTTGGTTCCTTTCTGCTTAACGCTGTCCATATCAGAACTGCCCTCTAAAGAATGAAATGTTCTCCCAATCAGGCTTAGCGTTTCTCGACTCAGATGATATTTCTCAGAAATTTTTCTGGTTTCTCCTCACTTAGCGTTTTTTTACTCAGGTGGATGTCAAACCAGAGATTGATATCAAGCCAGAAGTCGATGTCAAACCGGACCTCTCCACCGTCAACAACAACATTAATAGTAACAACAAAGTAACTACGAACAATACAGCAAGCACTGGTGGACCTACAGCCGGTGCAAAAGTGGTTCCTCCTCCACGAATCGAGCCCGTCGTGAAGCCTATCAATGGAGTTGTACAGCCTCCAGTTCTGCCACCTCCCAACCGACCAGGGCGGAACACTAATCAGCTCCAGTTCATCCTTAAGAATGTGTTCCGAGCTGTCTGGAAGCATCAACATTCATGGCCGTTCCAGCAGCCTGTCGATGCCAACAAACTTAATTTACCAGTAAGTTGACAAGCTGCACGACACAAGTTCTTGAAGAATCAGTACCCTGAAAATTCAGGAGATTCAATCGTGAAATGTCGGGAAAGTGAGTAAATTCTGCTGTCACACCTCAAGGTGTCCAGCGACCAGGGAAATCCGGGAAAATGTCAAGAAATCTGCAAAAATTCGGCACGTCAGGGAATTTTATTTTGTAAGCGATTTTCGTGTCAGGGAACACGCATTTCTCGGGAAATGTTTCGCAAATTTCAACTCTTACGGAGATTTCTACTAGAATTCCTGCTGACGTCTTTTAAATTCTAAAAATAAGGCATAAACATTTATTGTAAGTTTAAGTGCCACATAATTTGATTATGCATTCAATTGATGTAACCCAAGTTTTGTACCTAAAGAAGCGTAAAGTGATGGGAATTCTTATTCTGGGCATCCTTTAAAATTTATGAAACATTAGATTTCAGGTAAACTAGTCTTCCTGTCCTCTCTTTTCCCCCATAAAATGCCGCTTAAGTAGCCTGAACGCTTATGCTGTGCTCTGCAGTTTAGTGAATTTATATTATTTAAGGTCTTTCTCGGTTTCTTAATCGTATTTAGCCAAAAAAGTAAAAGAGAAGTTATAACTTAGATGCTATGTAAGCATATGGAGTGTTTGTGAACGTGCCTTAATTTTTACCTGGGTCTATTTTCCACTGTCGAGAACATGATAAAGTATCTTCTGAAAGTACTTATTGTCATTTATAGAAGCATATGCTATCTTTTCTCCTACATCCTTTTTTCCTCCATGAATTTCCATTCACCTTGAATAATATTTTGCTTTTTTTTCCCAGGATTATCATAAAGTTGTAACAAGACCAATGGACCTGGGGACAATCAAGAAACGATTAGAGAATAATTATTACTGGTGTGGGCAGGAATGTATTGATGACTTCAACACCATGTTCAACAATTGTATGATGTACAATAAACCCGGAGATGATGTGGTTGTCATGGCGCAGACCATAGAAAAATTGTTTCTATCCAAGGTATGCAGATTAGAAGTTTGAAATCATTTTCTCTATGCCTTCCAAAACTTAAAACTTTTCTACCAGGGATCTCTTGAAAAATTATACTTTATATTTACATTTATAAGGTACATTTAAGAGAACAAATATTTTTAAATCAGTGTTGAATTGTTAATCAATCTGGAAAAACCAATCAAACTTGTAGCAGTAGTTCAATCCTATGGAGTTCGCCCCTTGGCTGCCCTGCAGCCCAACCTCCTGATGATGGAGGAAAGAAAAGGGTGCAGACATTATATGCAATAGTATTATTGGCTGCAATGCCTTGCCTGCTCCTCTTAACCACTGCAGCGTGCCACCAAACGGTTTTCGTGCTACTGCATCTAGCAAACTCTGTTCACTTTAATGGTGTCGCGTCAACTTTACTGCACAACATTCTCAGTTTACTATAAGGTTATTTTCATATAAAGCCATGATGTAAAAGACAAAAAGGGGTATCGGTATTCACACCTACCATATTCCTACAACCCTATTGAAAGTAGCAATGACACTCTTTTTCTCCGCTAGGAGTTAAAGTTGCAAGCCTTGCAGTTTGAAATTACAATGCTCTTATAAGTGCCTTGTGAATGCCTCTTTTTAAGACACTTTTTTTTCAATGTTATTTTCTCTGTTTCTTTAGATTGCTACAATGCCAAAGGAAGAAGTGGAACTGGAACTTCCGCCACCAAAAGGATTCGCAAAAGGGGCTACAGGTGGTGCCGGAAGTGTCAAGAAAAAACCCCCAGCCGCACCCCCAAAACCTCCACCAAAAGTTTCACGACCAGTGGCATCTGTTGCTCCCACAACTATACCGGGCTCCACTAACACAACCACTATTCCTCATGTTTCACATAATTCTGTACCGCAGGTAAAATTCTTTAATTTTTGTCAATCAAAGATTAATTTTGAATCAGAAACCTCTAAGCGGTAAAATGTATGTTTAGAGTTTCATAATCTCTTCCCATTTCAAAATAGATTGTCAATCTTCAGTGTCGACTCGTTTTAATGTTTCGCGGAGCAATGTTTCTTTGGGTACATTGTTCGATTTTTCAGGTTTTAGCTTTTTCACTGAAAAGAATGCGATCGTTTTTGCATTTAAGCACTTTCTGGACACAAAATTCGAAAATGTTGTCGGCATAAGAAGGAAAGACAACAGTATAAGTTACTCTGCCTGCTGAAATACCAACCAAGTCACCGTTCTGACTAATCAATTTTTTCAGCTGTTATCTGAAGCGACAATAGAAATGTTTATTTGAGTGTATTCAGGAAGTATAAATTGACCTTATCGAGCTTACAATTCTTCTGTAACCCCAATACACCCGGTGCCGCAATAATTAAATCAACTGAAGACCCATGCAAGGTCCTTAGACCCAATGCTCTTGAATTTTGGGTGTTGGAACTCAAATGTATTACGTCTAACAGTGAAGGAATGGATTTGTTCCAGGGTGCTGGCTCACACAGTAGCATAGGACAAGGAGTTGGACGTGACAGTATCAGCAGCCTGTCGAATACCTCCACATCTCCCAACAAAGTAAAGAAGGGTGTTAAGAGAAAGGTTGATGGCCCACCAGTGCCTGCGACTCCGCCCAGCAGACAAAATGCAGTAAGCAAATCAGCTGCCTCTCTTCATGCAGCATCGCAGCCTCAGTCTCAAATTTCGGTAAGATCTCAACCTTTAATTAAGTCTCAATACAAGTAAGTTTATCTGTGAAAAAGATTACCTCTACCACAAATTTAGGACTATTTTTACAACAATAGGTATGTCTTAATTTTGCTAATGATCGGAACGATCAGAACGAAAGATCAGGAGGGCGAGATACTGTGCCGCAACCACATAGTGTATTTTATTCCAATTTACCAAGTCTGTCTACATCCTAGACAGAGTATTATCTAGTCGACCAAATACCCATCCGGAAGTTTTTTTGGCACCAGCTTATTTAAAAAGTTTTTGCCAAAACAAGCTCAAAAAAGATGGAAGCATAATACAGAATGAATTTGAAAACTTAACTTCTTTTCAATGTCTGTGTGAAATCTGGATGTGTTTTGAATCCTCTTTTCAAAGTGACATAAGTTTTAAACCTCATTCCGTATTAAATATTAAGAACTTTTTCGAATGCATGTTCACAAAATAAATCTTTGAATTTTTTTATGTTATTATTATTTTATCCATTCTCCTTTAAAATATTTTTTCAAAACTTTCTTTTCCGAACAGGGGCCAAATCAACTGAGTGCGTCATTGAAGTATTGCAATGTTATTCTCAAAGAACTTTTCTCAGAAGCGCACTCGGGGTATGCATGGCCGTTTTACAAGCCGGTGGATGCAGAAATGTTAGGCTTGCGGGACTATCATGACATTATCAAGAAGCCCATGGATCTCGGAACGGTTAAAATGAAGCTGAACAAAAGAGAATACCGCACAGCAGCAGACTTTGCAGCAGACGTTCGCCTTATTTTTACTAATTGCTACAAGTACAACCCACCAAACCACGATGTTGTCACAATGGCACGCAAGCTTCAAGACGTTTTTGAAATGAGGTAACAGCTCTCTTTGATACCAACTTTTCTTGATAATTCCAAGTATTTCTTTTCAGTATTTTTCGGAGGCATTGACCTTTTTTTCATATCTTTCGTAACTTCGGTAATCATGTTTACCACTCATGACCCCAAGCAATTATTGACTGTGAAACTTGCAGACTGCGTATTTCGTTTGCAGTGTTTCAAAATCTCTGCCCATTTTTCATTTTTTAAAGGGAAAAAAAGTCAACATTTCCTCTTGAAGTCTCCATAGAATTTTCTTTCAGAGGAGAAAAAAAAATTGCAAAAGTTTTGTAGAATTGACGTTGACTAGTTTTTCTTTAAGAACATCAGTTATGACAGGAAGTCAGCAACGTTGCAAACACAGATAAGAGGTTTGGGAGTTTCACCATTAATATGCTTTACACTTCTGCAACACTGAGAAAATTAATGTTTGAATCCTCTTAAGTTTGATCAAACTTGGCACAATTCAGCATCCTTACGACAACATCAAGTTTTCAGTAATATCAGACACGCGAGAAGGAATCAGGAGTCAATATCTGATTTAACTATTACTTAGTTCAAAACCATTTCAAAGTAGAAAACTCTATAATCATTGTACGATTAATTTGATTTAATTATTTCGTACATGCAGTTGTTTCATTTACCTTTATGATGTACTAAATCAAATTGTTTAATTCACAAAAGACGTGAAGCTGTTCTTAGGGATCCCTGATTAGCTTCTGACCACCATTTGTTTTATTTAGGTACGCAAAATTACCGGATGAAAATGGAAGCGTGGCTCCTCCTCCTAGAGCGAACCATGCACCGTCAGATGCTAGTTCAGATTCTGATTCAGATTCTGATTCTGCAGATTCCGAAGATGAGCGGGCAAACAAATTAAAACTCCTTCAAGAGCAGGTCAGTCTTTTGAATGTTGACACTTGAAGAATAATAAAACATTAAAACCAACATATCAAGCCACAAGTGGAGCATAAAACAATAAAAGTACCAGATAAAGCAACCGTTGAAAAAGTATAAAAAGGAATCTAGGCATAGAATCTTCAAAATAAAAGAAATTGTCTCTAAACCGAGTCCTTGAGTCATTTTGATAGTGAGACATTAACGAAAGGAAAAACTGTTTTTACTGAAACTTATTTTTAATGTTATCAACTCTACAAAACTAAATACACTGCAGTTAGTAATGAGTTTTACTGTGGTGATTGTCAACAACCAATTAAAGCAAATTTTGTCAACTGTTAAGACCAGTTAGAGAGGCGCTGTTAATAAATGTGTGAACTTTAAATTGTGAAACAATGAAGATGAAAATCATCATTATTTGGAAATAATGTTGGAGCTAGGAGGAAAGATCGTCACTAATAATTTTCTGGTTGCCTTTATGACAGCTCTCAAGTGAACACAGGAGTGGCTTGATTTAGATAATACATATCAAGGACTAAAGAACAATACTGCCCAATCGACAATTTTGGCAAAAATAAGTTAGCGTCTTTAGGGTAATTATACCGTTACGGGTGTCACGGTCGTACGACTTTGAACAAGTTTATTAATACTTTTTAGAAGTTTAGGAGACAAACCAATAGCACAGGGAGAAAGAGCTTTAGTTGTAGATTCTTAAAGTATACAAGAACTTGTTTTTCCTCCATTTAGTTCCTGAGAAAAACCCACAAAAAGGGGTGTTACGGGTGTCACAGTTTTTGGAAGTGACTTTTTCCTCACTGCAAGTAAAGTTAAAACTCTGCGAATTTTGTATTAAGATAAAAATCTGGAAAATATATGTTGAAGCCAAGGATATGTGCTTTAACCCCATATGCTTTGTTTTCCATTTTTTGCTTTCCATTGTCATGAAAATCACAAAAGTTTGTGTTACGGGTGTCACGTTACGGGTGTCACCGAAGTTCCCTGTATGTTCACATTCAAATTAAAGCACTTTTGAATAAAAAAATTGAAACTTTTTTGGTCCTGTTGCATTTATCATCTTTGAATTTAGTTAGGTAAGGTGAAATAAGTTAGTCATAATAGCAAATTTTACTAGAAGATGAGTCTCGATTTATGTAATAACTTATTTTCCCTCTATTGTTTTCAAAAATCATAGTATAACATTTTTAATCAAAGGAATGTGTTTAAGAGATAATGTATTATTGATTTATAATGACAGTTTCATTTTTTGACACTCCTACTTAAGGAGTAAAGCAAAAACAGTGTTACGGGTGTCACAAGAATGCCTGATAGGAGCCATCGGCTTGGAATTTGATTTAAAATTTATCCTAACTTTACAGAATTCAAGACCTTCAGGGAATTTAATAACACAGAAACCATGAGAGCATGGTTTTTGTGTTATTATCATTTATTGAGGGATTATAGTTTTCATAAGAATAGATTAAAATCTTTAATAGAAAGGAACAAATATCTTATTTATTAGGAAAACAAATGAAAAATAAGTCTTAGAAAAATATTTAGTTAAGGTATTCTTAAAATTAAGTACACATTTAAGGATATTGTCTCCTGAGTATGTATTGAGCAATTAGGACAAGAGTATTTGAGATCAAAACTACAAAGAGAGAGAATAGGAAACAAATCGCCTAAATTCTAAAGAAAATATCAAATTGAACATGAACTTTGTATCAGGTTCAAAAGTATCTAGAAACTGAAATTAATACAGAGCATATTTCTTTGAGATCCTTGAAGTGAAAAGGAATTAAACCAGAAACAAAGTAAAAGAAAAAAATTCACTTACATACTAGTCAGAAAAAATTGAACAAATTTTGCACGACAAGTTGCATTGTACGTGAGCACCGTAGAGCTTTTCTGGAAAAACTCAGTTTGGCTTTCATAATTTGACTTTCTGGTCACTTTGGAATCAATAACTAGAATAATAGCACGTCTTAAATTTTGTCTTTTAAAGAATTTTAAGAAGGAAACAAATAATTTCTTAAACATATGAGAAAAATGTAACCTAAAAAATGTTTTCTAACTAATCAATAATAGTGTAACAAAAAGTAATAAGTCTATGAGAAAAAACAAAACAGTTTTATCACATTTTTCTTAAAAAAATAATAATAGCAAAACAAAAAACAAGTCTCGCAAAAAATGTTCAAAAAAATTAGTGAGGTTTCTCAAAAACTTGAATACTAGTTTTAAATTCGTAATAGAATCTGTCTCCTCTTTGAACCAGCTTAGGATCTTCTAAAATGCATTTGACAGCATCAAAAGGCACGAAGGAAATTTCATCTGAAATCTTAAAAATCTTGGATTGGTGATCTCTAGCAGTTCTTAAGAATAAGATTTTAACTTCATCTTCTTCCTCGTCTATCTCTTGACAAATTCCAACGTAACGATAAACATTTGAATTTTTTTTGTGCTGTGAGGAAATTTCAACGAGAACATAAGTACCTTTCTTTAAATTATTGTAACTAATCTCATGTGCTTCAGTTAATCTATTCTTAAGATTTGCTTCGACATCCCCAGGCATCTTTGATGGTCCGGCAACCAATTGTACCGGTTGTACAAGAGAAATTTCTTCTTCCGAGTCGGTGTAAACATCGTCTACATTCAGTTTTTCTTGCACTGCTTTATTTCGTACAACCTTGTGCTCTGCGGTAGCAAGTGACTGATGAGAATACTTTGTGGTCAAAGAATTATTACTACTGGGTTTGAAAAAATGCATTTGCTTAATTTTAGAGATTGCATTTACTCTTCCCCACCTTGCTTCCAGGAATTTCTGATAAACTGCAATTTCCTCTTTTGGAGCATAAAAAGTTGTGATCCCCTGTAAATGCTCAGTAGCATATTCATGACAGCTCTTAGCATCTGGTAAAAGCACTTTCCTGGATCTCACAGCAGACCAGAGAAACTCTTTAAGCACAGCGCCAACACCATCCACCGCTCCTTTGCCATGGCTTGTCGCATTGAACTGCCAGGTCAAGTTAAGCTGAAAATCCTCATGAGCATAAACGGCGTTAGATAGTGTAAACCTGTTCTTGAATTGAGATGATGCCCCGTCGCTAAAATTTTCCACATTTTTAAGAGCTGGCTGACTATTTTTCAGGAACTCAAAAATTAATTTCATGAAGTAACAAGCAGCAAATTTGTCCTGTTTTTTGCAGTCAGATAAAACAGCGAAGCAAAATTTTTTGTTCTTCATCCAAACAACGCTAGTAAAAATTACCACTTGTCCCTGATTAAAGTATGCTGACTGTGCCTCATCTTGATGTTTAAGGGCATACTTTTCCGAAAAATCAACTTGCATCACTGCTGAATCAGAAGATATATTTTCTTTACTTTCTCGAAAGCGTTGTGACTGCACATTATTGGTGAAATAATGTGTCTTAAACTGGTTCAGCTTGTCTTGAAGAATTCGAATAACTTCTGGGAGCGATTTTTCGATCTCTACAAGAGTTAAGCGTTTATCGTCTCCCTTCATCCACTGGCGGAACTTGACCATAGTCCCAGCGGAAATCTCTGTTTTGATTAAAACTCCTACAGAGTGGCATAGATTACAATTATTTCTCATGCAGGTTTCATTGTCTTTGTCACAACATACTTTTTCCATTAAGTGGCTGCCCCTGGATGGAAAGTCTGGAATGTTTCGTGCTAAGCAATCAATAATGTACTGAAAATTTTCATGGTAAATACAAGTACACACATTATGTGGTGTCTTTCTACTTGGTAGAACATGCGTTGGTCTTAGTCTGAAAAATGTTGCTATTCCCAAAGAATTGTTTGGATAGGCCACACGAAAATGTTCGTAGAGCTCTGAAATTGACATTATCAAGTATCGCTTGGCAATCTTGGTACGTTTTCCTGTTGCAGGGTTTTTGACGGATATGGTGTCTTTTAGGCCTGGGGCCTGCCATGAGTATTTATCGTTAATGTAGAATTGAATCACTTTTTGCTCTGTGTCCTTAGGCAAAGAAGTTTTGGCTTTAACTTCTTTAGTGCTAAGAATCATCTTTCTTGCCTTTGGAGAAAATTCATCAAAAATTAACTTTCTAACAGCCGCAGCTTTTTTGCGGGGACTGTCAGGTAGGGTTTTTCTGATTCTTCGAACTGCTTTGCCGAGAGTTTGTACACATGAGTATGAGCCTAACATAGGTGGACTTGTAACCTTACATGATTCCGCAGCAGCAGCTTCAATCTTCCGTCGGCGGTGAAGTCGCATCCTGTCCGTAGCCTTTCTCCGATCCTCCTTGCGAGCTTTTGTGTCAGCGGCTAGTTTCAATTTTTTCTTCTGCCTTCTTAATTTATCTCTATTTCTTTCTTTCTGTAAATATTCTTGGTATGCAGCCGCATCACCTTTCAGTTTTTGTCTGAACTTAGCTGTTCTGTTTTTAAAAACTGGCATTCTGTTTATCTGGAAAGAAATAAGAAAATCTAGGTAAGAATTTGCCTGTTTATCCGTTTAAAAACTGAAATATTGATGAATTAGAGGCACTGATACTCCTACGTTATCATCCTGACAACAACAAGTATCTGTGTGTAATCATTGACAGGTATTTCTCACAAGAAAACAGGGAAAAGTGGGGCAATATCCTCTGTGTCAATGAGTCCTCACATTGGTGACACCCGTAACGCGTGACACCCGTAACGTTTTTTTTTAAATATTCCTAACTGATAAAAATTGGAAAAAAATACCCTGATGTCCAACATGTCACTTAGACATTGAAATAAAAAAATCAACTGAAAATATTGAAAATTCAAAGAGCTACACTAAAAAAATGTCCTTCCTGCGTTACGGGTGTCACCATCAACAAGTTTCCAAACAACATAAAAAAGAACAGTACTTACTTGTAAGAAGTTCCAACTTTTGCAGGCTGAGCACTCGTTATCACTTGTTGAATGAATGTAAACATAACCTCAAATTTTTTAGTGGCGGGAACAGCTGTAAAAAGTGCTGCCAACATGACACTGCTTTCACAGAAAGTTCAGACTGATTGAAAGGGTTACAAAACACGTCAAAATTCAAAGAAAAACGAAAAAAAAAGGCGAAACCCGTATATTTCCGAAAACTAGACACATTGAGGAGTCCAAAAATGTACATCATTAAATGTTTCAAGAAAAAAAAAAAAAACATGTTGAGGTTCATTTAAGCATATAATTACCCTTTACCGCATTCTACAGTGTAAAATACGCACGCTGATGGTTTTAGTTTTTTTCCAATTCCGTAGGGATTGATTCAATGATGCTACAATGTATAAAAAATTTGGAAATCTAGCCTTAAAATTGCAAAAATGGCGAAGTTTTCTCTTTGTTCCGCAAAATCGTCAGTTTGCAGATAGGTGGCATTGTTTGTTAGCCCTTGATATTAAATGTTACTCACCCCTCCCTCCTTTTGCAATTTTTATTTACAATCTTTTTCTCAATCAGTTTTGGCAATTCTACCATGAATGAAGTTGAATTATTTTTTGTTCTTAATCTTAAATATCCACTTAAATTCCAATGTTCTCCCTGCTGATTATGTTATCCTTTATTTTCCAGCTCAAAAATATGCAAGAACAAATGAAAAAACTAGTAGAAGAAACAAGTCGGAAGTCTAAGAAAAAGCCTCGTAAAGACAGTACGAGCCCTGGTTCGGCGGTAGCTGCAAAGAAAGCAAAGAAATCTAGTGGGACTGGTGCAATGAACAATTCGGGTATTGGGGGGGCAGCAGTGCCCAATTACGGTGCGGGTGATGCCAAGGCCAATCAGACGACCCCTGCCAGACAGACCAATGCTGGAAAAGCCAAGCCAGCAGGGAAAACAGCCGTCAGGAACAACGTGGCCAAGAGGCCGAGAAATAACTCTAAAGCTGCCAACGCAAGGAAGAAGAATAATGCGATACCAGCATTTGATTCTGAAGAAGAGGACATCGCCAAACCCATGACTTACGATGAAAAACGACAGCTTAGCTTGGATATCAATAGGTTACCAGGTGAGTGCAAATATTCAATTTCAAGAGTCTAGAATTCCTTCTTTTATTTCTGTCAAATATTTTTCTGAGATGGAAAGAGGTTTTTAATCACCGTAACAACTGTTTTTTGGCACAAAAAAATTGATTCTCAAGTTACTTTTTGACACCGAATGAGAGAATAACGGAGAAAAGCACAGGTAGAAATCCTGCAACAATTTTGGTAACCATTCATGTTTCAATCATCACATATTCAAATGATAAGATAGCTCTAACAGATTGTAAGTAAGATTTTAGAATTCAAAAGCCCTGCCAGTAGTACTCTCTCTGTAACATTTTGAATTGTTGCGCATTCTTACTAATTGTCACACAGAAGAAAAAATATCTCAAGCTTTATGAGGTCAAAACATGATCTTTTTTCCCTAAGATTTTCCTGCAATGCTTTAGATCAATCCACATGTATGAGTCCAATATCAGAGGATAAGAACCAATAATTTTCAATTTTTATTTACATATAAATTAAAACATTTTCCAAAGCGACATTGTATTTATACCCTTGTAAGGAGAGTAGCCAATTCATGAGGTTGTAATTTGTCGCAAGGAATTTTTTTTTTATATTCTTTTCAAGCTAAAAGTCGACGAAGTGGTGAATCGGTTGATCCGGATTCTTTTAATTTTTCCCATGAGAAAGAGATTAGGATTGGTAGAAAAAAATCTTAACCAGCAATTTTATCCTGTTCTTAATTTTTCTCTTATGTTATCATGTCACAGGAGACAAACTTGGAAAAATTGTACAAATTATCCAGATGCGAGAGCCATCACTACGGGATTCAAATCCAGACGAGATTGAAATAGACTTTGAAACGCTAAAACCATCCACGTTAAGAGAACTGGAACAATCCGTTGCCCAATGCCTGCGAAAAAAGCAACGTAAGCCTTACAGTAAGTGTTGCGGGAAATGGTGCAATTCTTTTTTACTTAACCTCCTCTACTCGTTACATGATTTTATTTTTGTTTGTAACGTTTGACAACCGTCGCAATTCAAATGAGACTGAAAACATTTGGTATTTTTTTCTAACACTAATTTACTTAATGTTGGTGCTTTCCTGAAGTGAAGTAAACAAGTTTTTAAAAATTGGGAAAAGTCGCTTTCACTACAAAAACAATCTCATGCATTGTGTAACAACTGCATCAAACTTTGTCTTAGTTTCTTGTGGCGGTTGAAATAATCATTTTAAGTTTCAGTACTCCTTTCAGGAAAGACAGTAAGTATCATCAACAGCATCTTGTCAGTAGGCCAGTTCATGAGTTAGTAATAAAGAAATGCTAGTGAAATGGTAATGACAGAGAACTTAAATATTTCAAAGAAATTGTACCTTGCGTAAATAAACATATTTTACAATTTGAAATGGGGTTAGAGCCTCGGCAACTTTGAAAAATGTTTTCTTGGTTAAAGTTTGATGAAACAAAGAACTGGAAAATAAGTATGTTCTCATTGTATACATACTCTCCAAAAATGATTTTGAAAACTTTGCGGAACAGTCCTTCTGGACAGATTTGTAATTTTTACCTTGATATATTTCTTTGAAAGCCTATTACTCAATACTTTGGGACTCTTGGTGTTCTGTGGAGAATTTGAATGCAGTCGGCAAATGTGAATTAACTGTGATAACCAATGAGAAATCTGAAGATTGGGTTTGGATATGCTAATTATGTCTGTGAAGTGTGAAGTCATGCATCTCATGCTGTACTGACATGTATTCTTGTAATGAGACTTTTTTTGGTCAATGCGTTTTGATAGTGAGCAATTTGTATGTCGGAGAATTGCTCTTGTAACATTCTGTAGCATAGAGCGGAGAATTTTGCGCAACTCCACTCTGAAGTTTTGTATCTTGTTTTTTTACCTGCAAGCCAAGATTCTGAAAAAAATTTCTATCGAGTTGCGAAAGCATTAGGGTGCAACTTTCGATGTTTTAGTGTTTTTAAAAACCTGAAAGGCCTTAGTTAAATACCGAAAGTTAACCAACCATCGTCCGCACACGAATCGAAGCGCAAGGTTCAAGAACTGATCGCATTTTAAGTTTCGATGCCCTCATCTTCCATTTTTTTATCATTGAGCTGTACATTTTGTAGCCTAACACATCTTTATATATAGGGTGTGAGTGATATGCATGTTCATATGGTCATTGGCTGGCAGTGATCGCAGAGGGTATTGATCATTGTGGGTTTTGGATGGGGAAGAATGGAATTGAAAGAAGCTTTTACTCCGTTTCATTGTTTTTGGCTAAAGAGTATTGTCGTACTATTATTCGATCAATTTGTTGTGTAGTTCATTATGATAGTCGTGTTGATTGTTGTACAAAATCGTTTCTGCATCTCTCCAAAAATCTGTTCCTTGCGCTGCTCGAGGGTAGTAATATCTTTTGACCTCATCAAGCATCATACTTTTTTTTTATATTTAAATGTGTCATGCACTAGTTTTGAAGCAACAAAACTTGGTGACTTGAGGGGTTGACTTAAGTCCCCTGACTCCTCAAGAGTGAAGTGATCAACACCATCAACGAATTTCTTTCCCCCTTTTTCCTGTTTTCCATCAATTTGTTTTCAATTCATTTGACGTGGTAGAATCGTCTCTTACGCACATCAAGTTGAGCCCATGTTATGTATTTTTGATGTGTCAGTGTTATGCGATCCAAAAAGGTTCGAGCTCAAATGAAGTAAGTTTACCTACAGGAATTAGTTGAATGAACAGTTGAGGTTTTAATAGTGATATTTTTATCATTAAAAATGCAAATCTAGTTGTATGTGGATGAGTGAAATGAAAGAATCAGGATGCTTGGATAGATTTGGATTTTGTGTTCAATGAGCTGTGTCTTGAAAGTCTCAGAATTAATCAATCAGCAGTCTTCCTCAGTATTGGTCCGTGTGTCCAAAATTTCATTATAGTTTAGTTATTTTTTTTAACTCTCACTGCAATTTTTAGTTTCAGTTTTGTCATATTTTAAGTATTAATTTAAACAGCGATAGGGGCGCACCCAGAAATTTGAAAGTTCCCTTTCTTTTTGGTTCAGTTTTATTTTCGTTACGAAAATTCTAGAGTCTCTGTGACTTATCTCTAAAACGTTTTAAGGAAGGCTCGGGCCTTTTTTTTCTGTTAACCAATCTAGCTATTTGAGTGCGCCTCTGTCCGAGTGATGGGGAACTGAGTCTCAAATAAGTCTCATTTTACAGTCAGCATTAGTGTTAGCCATAATGGTTAGAACTATGCTGTATTAAATTTTGTTTGGTTTTAAGTCGGTATGGAAAGATTTTCCTGCTTTTTTTTTTTGACAAAAAAATAAAAAAAATATGTGCCTAAGACCTGCGGCACTTTTTATTCCAAGTTTAAAAATTTGAATTTGTACCATTGCACGGAAAATGAAGTTAACGAAATTTGGGGGGAAAATTTCATCCCTAAATTTCTAAAGGTAATGTATGGATGATGTTTGACATCACGCATGAGAATCTCATCCTCATCCTGAGCAATTTTATGAACATCTACTCTCTGAAAGACTACATAGTACTTTTTCTGCTAACAAATGAGATTGATAGGAGTAATGAGTGCATTCATAAGGATACACTAGCGTCTCCGATTTTCAGTGTGGTTCAAAGGGAGGGTTAAGAGACTCAGTTTCCGTTTCGCTCCGACTAGGATAAACTATGAAAGATTAATTCTGTTACGCAGATAAAAGAGTGGCAGGAAAGTCAAAAGAAGATCTCGCGGAAAGAAAAGAAGAATTAGAAAAAAGACTCCAAGATGTAACAGGGCAACTGGGTGCCAGTAAAAAACAGTCGAAAAAAGGTACAGCTTTCCCTTTTTTATTTTTATTTTTACTCTCCAAGCAATTTCGGATCTTTCAATACTCTTCAACATCTCTCTCAAGTAAGCATGTTTGAAAGGTTACTGGAAACGTAGGTGATATGTCAATGTTGTCCGAAATGAATTCATCAAGACCCAGTGGTTGCTTCCAACTGGGTTTTTGAGTGAAACTCATAAAACTGCTCTCTTTTCTTAGAATGAGAAACTACCATCGATTGTCAAGAATACTTTTTGCCGAAGTCCAAATGTAATACATTCTGCTCCAAGCTACTGTTCTTTTCTTTTTCTACTTACTGTGCCTCTAATGTAAAATATTTTTGTATCATTTTGGGATATTTATATATTTCATTTCTATTCTTGGCATATTGACGTGCACTAGTCTTGCATCATCAATGAATGTCAATAGAAAGTGGTATATGTATCTGTCAGCAATCTTTTTTTCTAGAGCCTCTGAGTAGAATCAAAAAGCTCAGATGTTGTTTTGAAAAGGGATTCTTCTGGGATCATGGTTTCGCTTAATGCTGGATTCGGTGATTTCTTTAAGTCCTTGGTGACTACCCTTCGTGACATATTCTCTTAAAAAAATACAGAGGAATACTTTGTACCTCGAGGGTGCTGTGCGCACAAATCATTTAGACACCGTTAGTTTTTTTACTCTGTAATTAGCTTTTTCGTTCTGATGAGAATTTCAGTTTTAGACTGAATTGGCTAAGAAACTAATGTTGTCTGAATCTTTTGTAGCTCGTTCATGAACAGTTCAAGGAAAACCCGGGAACTTACTTGAAAAAATTCCACGGGTAAAATTGAATGAACATATCTTTGGACTTGTGAATTTCACACCAATTATACCTGTTTTCAGTCGTGCAGTTGACCATTGTTTTTAAATATCATTATGACTATGATAAAACCACTGTTAAACGATTTAAAAAAACATGGTAAAAATTGCTGTGAGGTTAGCAAATGTTTTTACAGCTTACAGGCTGTTTTCCTGCTGTACAAGGATTTTAGTTAAGGGCAATCACAGGATGCAAAGTTTTTTTAAATTGTGGCATTTTTTTTTTGGAACCATGAGCGTAGATCAAGACCAATCCTCACAGGTCAGTCATTGCGCAGCTTTTTTGAAATCCACTCCCCCGCCCGTTCCTAACTCGCAGCACTCAATGCTACGTCACAATGGGTGCTCCCATAAGAAATACATTGCTGGCACTCAATACTACGTCACTGCGCAGTAGAGCACCAAAACTCGTCCTCGGGAATGACTGACCTGTGTGGATTGGTCTTGGCGTAGATTATGTTATAATCAACAACCCTCAGCCGCCAAACAGTGCTGCATGTACATGGTTAATATACCAGTGGTAACTTTCAACAGTCATTTCATTTTGCCTGCTCATGACTTTGGGGTGGTTTTTTTTCTCATGTCCATTTTCCACACCTTCCTGCGTATTTCATCCTTTCCCCAAAAACCGATCATCTTTTTTAACCGACAAGATATAAATGTTGAGTTTTAAGCTTCAAATAATCACCAAATTTAATCTCATGAGTTATTAATAGGAAACAAAATTACCAGTCAAGACGTAATAAGTGACTGAAATAATAATTCCTTGCTTAGTGTTGGACAGAATTATTTTAATGAATTCAGCATTTTTCCCCTTTTTACAGGACTATAAAACCTCCGAATTTTTTTCATACGAAAAACAGTTCTTTAGAATATCTTTTTTGGTTATTTACATCTACTGGATGCCTTTTTTTGTCATTAATCTGTTTCTTTGCTTCAACTATGCAGATGTTTCATCAGATTTTTTTTTCTAATTTTATTTCATCATCTTCAAGCCATCCGTAACTATGTATTTATCTGTATTTGACAGATGGTGTGCGTGGCCCAGGAACAGGACGACTTTCAGCGTCTAGTAGTAGTAGTTCAGATTCAGATTCGAGCTCTTCAAGCGGGTCGAGTAGCTCGTCTGAATCAAGCGATGGAGAACCCGGCAGGTGAAGTAAGTGTTCAAATTTTTAGACTGTTTATCAATTTTGTTCTGTTGCAAATGCGACTTTGAACTTTCTAGCTCTTTGAATGAAATTTGATTCTCTTTATTTCTTTTTTTTGTGAGAACAATGTAAAATCTAAAACTTGCTAAAGATCTGTGAAAACTAAAGAAATCAAGTTTTCGAGTAGTATTCGGATTGAGTAAAGCAAAACAGTCACATCTACATTGCGATGTTTCAAAATCTCATCTACTTTTTCCATTTTTGGACAGAAACCAACCACAATCATCACTCAGAATTTGTTCAGTTTCTCTTGTAGATATGAAAGTTATTTCCACAAATTTTTAAGCAAAAATGTTGGTTGGTTTGCTCCCAAAAAAATGAAACAGATTTCCGTAAACCGCCATGCAATTGTGACTGTTTTGCTCAACTCTATTTGTAGAGCCATCAAGCTAAGGTTTTTTCTGCTTCTCCTAGCCTCCAGGCCTGGGTTGGTGGCTGTTGAATTAAAGAGTATTGTTGGCAAAATTATGCGGAGAGTATGGACACATTGGTAACTTAGGAGGCGAGGTTTAATCAGCTCATGGAGCTCCAAAAACCCGAATGGCACCCAACCTAAGAAGTCAAATCATCCAGAATTAATTAGTAATTCAATCAGAGTACTTACATCAATTAATAAATAATTAAAACTGGTATTAGACCTTGTTTCTTGCACAAATTTCCTCCGTTTTTTTGGAAAGACGCTCATTTATAAACATCATTGTCCAACTTTGTTTGATATTTGAATGTTATGGGTGGCAAGAACATTTTCTTAGTGTCCTTCTTGTGGGAAGATAGGCTATCCTGAGAGCTCCATCTGTCGATGTGCCCGTACTTTCCGCATCAAAGTATTCTAGTCTCCTGAGAAGGAGGCCTAACCAGAATGATTGCTTTCACCTATAATTTAGAAAGGGATGCCCAGGACTAAAGATGACCCAGGAGCTTGCAACTAGTATCCCGGTACACTGTCCAAATCAGCTGATTATTGAAATTAATAGACAAAGCAATAAACAAAGAAGACATAGGGAGTATGTAGCAATCGGATTGGTTGAAATGAGTGGTTATGTAGGCGAAGGGAGAAAGTGATGGACTAACTATGGGGTCTCTCATGGGTTACCATGAGTTAGTCTATCACCTACCTGCTTTGTTCATTCCAACCATCCGCTTTTAACAATAGGATCCCTCTATACCCTTTTGTCTTCTTTGTCTATAGCTTTATCTATCAATTTCAATAATCAGCCCGCTGAAACTTCCACCTTGGTAGTTTCAGATTTTAAAAGCTTCAGTCCCAGTTGAAGCAGTCTTACAGCTGTAAACTTGTTTTCAACAAATTGACGTAAGGTGACAAGCTGGAAAATAGAGACTGTGGTTTGGAGCACATGTTGTCATTTTTTGGAATTCCATTATTGTCAGTGTTACCAATTTCCCATTTCGCGGGTCATTGCATTCTGTAATGAAACCATTAGCAAGTCAACTCATCTCTAATGATGGGAACACAACTGACCCTACGCTGCATACGTTATGATTCACTGATGTTTCCGAACTTAATTGGCCACTCTCCATGTTGTTCTTTGAGATTAATGCCTCTTGTCTTTCTTTTTTAGGTTGAAATGTTGTAAATAAGCGGACGTGAGCATTACGCAGAGAATTATCAATTGCTTGCAACCACCACCCTCTGTTAAGGTAATTTTCATGTATATCTCGTTATGTATAGTCAAATCGCGATTTACCATTTTGAGGGCTCAAAATTAGGGGCTTATACTTACGTCTTGACTGGTGAAAGAATGAACAAAACTGCCAGCAATATCATCACTAGGATACTCAAGTGTTTTCTGTTTGAAACTCGAACTCAGATTTTTTTTTACCTGATTTGACCCAATCGTTTGCCGTGATCTGGCGTTTTTAGCTGGCAGAAAAATGTCTGATTTACCAGGAAAATGCTTAATATCCTAGTAAAATATGTGATTTACCACCCTTTTTAGAAGTACTGAGTAAAGGGCATAGTTTGCTTAAGTTATTGCACAACCCAGGATCTGTTTAATGACTGCCACAATCCTATAATCGAAAGATACCTAGGATGTTTTCTGCAACTCCTGAATTTGACAAAAACTTGTTTTTTTTTTTTTTTTAGAAATTTCTCCCTAGAAACTAAATTTTTTTTTCATATAGATGGTCACCTTTCATGGTAACCTGTTAAAGGAATGTAACTCCATTCCAAGGTTGCAAACTTGACTCAAAGAATTCAATTTTTTANAGATTTTTTTTACCTGATTTGACCCAATCGTTTGCTGTGATCTGGCGTTTTTAGCTGGCAGAAAAATGTCTGATTTACCAGGAAAATGCTTAATATCCTAGTAAAATATGTGATTTACCACCCTTTTTAGAAGTACTGAGTAAAGGGCATAGTTTGCTTAAATTATTGCACAACCCAGGATCTGTTTAATGACTGCCACAATCCTATAATCGAAAGATACCTAGGATGTTTTCTGCAACTCCTGAATTTGACAAAAACTTGTTTTTTTTTTTAGAAATTTCTCCCTAGAAACTAAATTTTTTTTTCATATAGATGGTCACCTTTCATGGTAACCTGTTAAAGGAATGTAACTCCATTCCAAGGTTGCAAACTTGACTCAAAGAATTCAATTTTTTACAATGGGCCTGTTGCAAACTTTTGCTAGAGCAAAACTAAGAGTTGTTTATTATAGATAATGCCTCAACAATCACGATGAGCGCATCGGCGAAGTCTGAAATGCACTCATAACTTCACAATCTGCGTAAGAAATTTGTGTTTTTTTTAGCTTCCCGCTTCAAAAACGATACTACGGCACAGGTGAACATTTTGTCAGAGGACTCGTTCCATTGTTGGCAATATTCATCATGACCGACGCCAATCCGCCAAAACACGTGTGATGGGACGAGATAACACCTGACCAGTATAAGAGGAGATGACAATCGGCGTGTTTACGTTCATATTTTCCTCGCCTACCTTGATTGACCTTGAACTCTCCTCGAATTACGCGCGAAACTGCGGGAGCGTCGGCTATGATGAATATTGCCGACGATGGAGCGACTCCTCTAGCAAAATGTTCACCTCTGCAGTAGTGTTGTTTTTGAAGCGGGAATCTCAAAAACGCACAAATATCTTACGCAGATTGTGAAGATATGAATGCATTTCAGACTTTGCCGATGCGCTCATTGTGATTTTTCAGGCATCATCTATGGGAAACAACTCTTATTTTTACTCTAGCAAAAGTGTGCAACAGGCCCATTGTGTATCTGTGCAATTTTTTCCAAAATTTTTTACTTTCTCGCTCCCCTAGGGTAGAGGAAGTATTTTCATCCTGCAAAGGGGGGGGGGGAGTTGAACTTTCATCATTTCTAGACGTTTTTAGATTTTTGCATGAGATCGAAGAAAAAATCTGCAAAATTTTCAGGTAGAAATGCCTTTGATTTTTCGGGCAAAAATTCTATTTTGAAGAGGAAATTTGGCAACATGGTGATGTAAGTACGCTATTTCATGAGGGAAACTACATTTTTTTGTGAATTTCATGTTTAAGAAGCTCCTTTACTCACTCATTTTTCTATTTTGTTGTTCTGCTTACAGGTTTCTCCACCGTGGCAATTTGTGTTTAAGTCACTCAACCAATGACGGTTTTTGTTGTTTATTTTTCTCTTTTTATTTATTTTTTGAAAGCACGTCTTTTGTATGTATGTAATTTCTTTATTCTTCCCTTGATTCAAAGCAACAATCTGTAAATACTGATTTGTACATGATTCATGAATTTTGTAAAGCACTATCATGTTGAAGCTGGATTTTAAACATTGATATTCGAATGAAAAAGTGTGAATAGTTATCTACATCCAATTAGAGAGTTTATAAAAAAAATGGAGTGTACATATTTTTGTGTAGTACTATGAGGGTACCACCGAATGGCGTTTTCAGATATCTTTGTGGAATCAGCTGCTCGTAGGAAATTTTTGTATTTTATTACTAGTTTTAGGCACTCTGAATGCTACTTCAATTTGAATAATTTTCAATATCTCCCCAGTAATAATTACTCCGAATCTGGTCAGACGTTCAAATTATATCTTATGCTGATGTTAAATTTTTAAAGGTCTGACCTTAAGCTTGGATGAGCTTTTACAGCACTACTAAATGGAGTTGAACATTTTTTTTCTGTTATTTTTTTTTTTTCTTTGTGTTAATGCAAGTCCGAAAGAGGATTGTAGCAAATCATGTAATATATATTTTTTATATTTTAATTGAGAGAAGAGCATGACTTGTAATTAGTTGAGAAATTTATGTTCTTCAATGCTCTTGCAATAATTAAGAAAGAATAAGTGCTGAAAAGATCATCTATCTTGGCGACTCTAATTTCGTTAGAACCAAAGGCAGTTCTTTATTTAATTTCTGGGTACATTGTTGTAACGACAAAAAATTCCAGCACCTATCATCTATGAAGCAGGACATTGACAGGTTGTTCGTTATGTAATATTTGTGAGAAGTAGGAATCGCTAGTTGTGACTTTTCAGCAACAACTGCCAAAGGTAGCTTCGAGGAATTTTAAATAATTGGTATTCTAATGTCTCTCCTTAAGTTTTATTTTCCAAACATGGGCAGTGAAAATCTTTTTCAGGTGATCTGTAGTGTGATTTTTGGACTCAAATTCATAACTTCAGAGTAAGTTCATATTTATCACAAGCTCCTTTCCTCGCTATTAACTCAGGTTTTGTGCCCATTTTATACAATTTTTTTTGTATAACGAACTACAAAAGATACAATGAAATTTTTCAAATTAAGTTTCATTCAGAGTCGATTTAGGGATTGAGATAAAATTCAAAAGTGAATTTTAGATGACTCAAATGATTTTAATTTTATTCAATTTTTATTTCGTGAACATTTTCTATCATCTTTCACAATTATTTTAGTGTACAGATTGTAGCAATCTGATATTGAATTTAGTGTAATTGGTTCTTCTTAGAAGATAGCTAATTGTAATTTTTCTAGAATCGTACATCAAATGGACTTTTTAATAACTTACTGACCTAAAAAAAGGTGATATTTTCCAAAAACTTTTTTTGTGACTGAAGCTTTTTCAGGTTATACCAACGTTCTTTTTGTAATCGTATTTGCCAATTATTGCAGCCTCTCTTGAGAATTTGTCAATTTTCATCTTCATTTTCTTTTACCAATTTTTGACCTTTTTTTTACAATTAATGTGTTCCTCGATTATGAATTCCTCCAACACAGCTTGTGTGTGGATTGTTCCAAGCTCCCTGTAGTCTCAATGTCAGGTTATCTCTACCTATTCGTATGTCTTTGGCCAATGCCTGACATTAACATGTTGACAACTGCATAAGGTGCCGGCGCCTGAAAATGCCTGTCTTCTGGTTATTATGTTCACGAGGCGTATTTATCTGATTCAAGAAGTGTTGCAAGGTTCAAGTAAATTGATAATATTTTGAGTTCTTTAAGAGCATCACTGTGTCCTGTAATAATTGGCTCAAGACCTGATGTAAGGAAAAATCATTTTCTTTGATTGTTTTACTCGAATCTGTCTCATAACTAGAAGAGCCTCAGTTACGAAGCTGACCTGACTTTGAAGATACTATTCTTCAGAAAGTACCTCTTAATAGAAGCAGATTTATTCTGGCTAAATGAAGAAATACGCGCCTTTCCTAAGACTGCCTTTGTTGCGTATGCAGTAAAATAATTATAAAAAATAATTTTTAATGTCATTATTCCCTGATTCTCGCCTAAATCTCATATCTGTTTGTAAACATAAAGCCTATTAGAGACCTCGGATGTAATGGGTATTAATTAATTTATGATCTGCACGGATCTGGATACTTACTCATGGACCGCTTTTTGCAGAAAGGAATTATTATGATGTCCAAAGTGTGAAACCCCGAATCCCCATTGTGGTGTTTCTAAAGTCCTGCTCCTATTTTATTTTTTTGAGAAGAAACGAACCAACTTTTTTTCTCGAAATTTTTACAGAATTTCCTGCTAACGGAAAAGAATAATTAGGGAAATTTTCAAAAAATGCATTCCCTAGTTTTCCAAAGTGAAAATAGAGTATGAAAGGAAGTATGCGACCTCGGAGTTAGGTGGTTTTGCACCTTGGACAGCTTTGCAAAGTGGCAAAGGTTGTGCTCATTCTTTTATATTGCAAGAAAAATCTAAAAATGTCCACAGTTGCTCCCTGTACACCAAAAAAATGTTAATAAAATGAAGAAATTTCACTGTGTATTTCATTTATTCATTTGTTTCAGTTAATTCGTCGTAAATATAGAAGTTGAACAATCTCAGCAATCCGTGCTATTAGTTTCTCTTTGTAAACTTCAGTCCACATGTTCTCAGAAATCTACCTTAGGCAAGCAAGAGATTTAGCAAAACTGGGACTCAAACTCTATGAGCAATAGTCTATATTTTGTAGAGGAAGGCCCCAGGCACGAAGACTAGATTTTTCGCGATTAATGACACTTTCTGATGCCATCAACTGGATGAATGTGAGATGTTCGCAATTTTTTTCAAAGTAGTAATCTATAGAGTCCTTGTTTGCCTACTGTGAATTTTCGAGAACTTTATTATGACTCTCTTGAACTGTGTAGACTCACATTGTCACCAAGTACATTGAGGTGAAAGGGAACGGCTGGAGTAATGTTCTCTCATTTTTATTTTGTATGAAAATGTGCTCCTTGCCTTTGTGCTTCCTTTGTATGTAACCCTCTACGGGTGAAGGGACCTTAGTCCTGAAAACTTTAAAATTGAGATATCACCTCTGGGGTCTAGAGGAGCATCTAGTGAATATTTTACCACTTAAAATGTCAAACCAAACCAGATACTTGTATGTTTTGAAGTTTGCAGTGCCGAAAACTTGTTCACTTTTTGTAGAAAGTATGTAAAACTCCAGGTACATACATTAATGAACCAAGGCTCATTATAAATGCCATAACTCATCACTCAATTATCAGTGTCAATAATGGGTTTTTCTTCTTTTTTCAGTTCACAGGTGAAAATTCTTTAGCAATAACTTTATTTTTTTTTTTTTTAGTTGTTTTTTCTCTCCCGGCAAAAACTGAGATGAGAAGAGAAACCCATTTTGAAAGTTTGAAAGCATACACCGACAGGCTAAGTCAGAAAAAGCTTTTTTCCACTACAACCTTTTAGAATTGTGGGTTATGTTTTAAGTTCTGAAAGGAAATTAACCTAATCATCATTTTAAAATCCTCCGAGAATATCTCTATATGGGAGAACAAAATTCACAGAAAATTTCAAGACAAACTCTCGTTCAGTTTCCTTGAAAAATAATCATGAGAGTCGATTTTAAATGCTGCCATTGGATGTACGCTTTTTCTTACTCTGCATTAGTCTTACCTCTTGGAATGTGTCAGGACGATCAATGAAAGGAGGAAGCAGTTGTTAAAAACCATATTCGATTTTTCAAAGTATATTTATTGAACTGCAATCCATACAAGCAACTCGAAAGTGAGTGATGAGATGCCAAAACATTTTCTCAATAATTGATGGTAAAAATTACTGTGTAGTAAACCCAATATCAAGACATTACTCTTCTTATAAAAAATAACAAATTAATTTATTTTTGTAAAAAATTGGATCGCATTCAGCAGAAAGGAACCAGCGCGATTACAGTGTTTTCAAAATCGTACAACTTCTTCTTTCCTTTTAAAAATACTCAATACATGTGCAGTATTAGAACTCCCACAATAATTTTCCTTTAAAATTAACAATTTTTTGGTGGAAGGAAAAACTATTTGCTTTTCTGAGACTTTTTTAGATAATTATGAAGAAGCAACATTTGTACAACACTGTAATCGCGCTGATTTCTTTTTGCTGAATACGATCCAATTAACATTGGAGAGAATTGTACAAATACAAAATCTAGTTACATAGCACTCAATTTACCTCGTAATTTAATTGAATATGACATTGAACAACTCTGCATGCGGACGTTGCCAAACTTTCCCTGTAAAACCATTAATTATTAAAAGAAGTTTGAATATTTTTGCTCAAAATTTTTATATACTGAGAATCAAATTGCTAATAAATTTCCCTGAAAATTGACCAAAAATATTCAGAACTTTTCCTGAAAATCCGTGTTTTATCGAAGGAAATTTGGCAATGCACATAGGTTTATACAGCGTTCTTCCTTAGCACAGCAGTACGGACTCATTCATTGATTCTGATGTATATGATGGTAGGGAAGGCTGGAGATTTTTTTGCTGTGGAACTATTGTGTCGGGAATGAATCTAAATTGGACGTCATTTTGCAATAGAGAACCACCATTTCTGGTTCATCTATTAAAGCACCTATTTGCATAGAGAAACCATGTTGTTGAGCACATATGTTGCTTCTTAAATGAGCCAAAAATTGTGGCTGCTCCTTGCAAAATGTAGTCCAACCATCAATTTGTCATTTATGATCCTACTTAACCAATTTGAAATTTTTGACAGACTCTTGCCGTAATCCAATCCTCCTCATACGTTGATCAATTTGAAAAGGCAGACGTAAGGGTGACAAGTGAATTGAACATTTTTAACTTTAAGAATTAATTTTTTCACTTTAATATTATTAATCAAATTGATACTTTAACATTAGGCACATGATGAAGAATTCATGCAATGAAATTTTGTAAATAAGAGACAATTGAACTGAATCATTTATCTTTTATAATTTTCCTCTTTTTTTTGAAAAAAAAATAAATAAATAAACAATTTTTGAACTTGTTATCTCTTTGTTATCATAAAAATAGTAATAACTTAAAATTACTATTATTTATTTATTTTTCTTCCTCTTAATCCTTACTTTTAGTTTTGTAATTAATTTTCATTAAAATAAGTTTTTTTTATTTATTCATTTTTTTTAGATTAAAATCTAAACGAGTGAAAGTATTTTGCATGAAAAATGCTAGTTTTATTTTCAAGCAATAAACCCTTCATTTTTCTTGTTACTCAATAATTATTTTTCTTATTTGTGGTTCATTTTACCAAATCGTTGTGACAGCCCTTGAGTTAATGATTTTCGAGGTACTTTTTTACTTCAGCAGTACACTATTCTTTCTGTTTAAGTTCACTTTACATTTTAGACAAAATTCAATGCAAATTTTACAACCTTTTCCCCTTACTTTCCATAATTTTAGTCACTGTTCAAATACTTTTTCAGCTTATCACTTTCTTTTTTATATTTTTGGTGTATCTATGCAGCAATTTTTTAAGGAGTGCATAACAATCCTATGATCTCCACCTGGTTTGAACGATAAAAATACAAAATTTTGCACAAATTATGAATAAATTTATCATGAGCCATTAGACTTCTGATTGTTTTATCAGGCCCATTGCCCAATTCAACTAAGTTTTACAACTTAAAACTTGATCCATTAGGAGGCTGAAAGTGTCACCTATGACCTAGAAGTTACTTCGTAATTTATCATGCATTCAGAACCTAAAAAAGTCAGAATTGCATGACGAACAGGACAACTGTTTAGTGTCTACGAAGTATTGTTAATTATTTCTGAGTCTTACGTATTAAAGCTGCCAGTCATTTTTTTTCTACGTTTTTTAAAGTTAAATTTTCACATGCATCTAACATCTGCTCTTGACGTGCATCTATACTTCTCGAATAGGAGCGTTTTCAAAACTCATTTCAAGTCCGATTTATTGAAGTTTGCTCTTACATTTTAAGCCTATTCACTTTAGAATGCAAGAAAAACTAAAAGATACTAGAAACATAAGAAACTTAGGAAACATGGGAAATTAAAAGAATGATGATGGTTAAAATTTATGAAGGATGTTTGTTTTTTTTTTTTTCCTTCTACAGTCTTACTCTGCATTTGGCTGTATTTTTTTAGTGGGATTAAATTTCAAAATAAATTCATTGCTGATGTCTGTGAAGTTTAGCGAGCCCTTGTGAGTCAGTTTCAGAACATGAGGAAGCAACCTCTTTCATACAGTGAAGAACTTTACCTCAGGATCAATTTTGGAGGAGGCTTCAAAAGCTCAAACTCTTAAAATTAAGAATGAGCGTGCCGTCAATTTGACTAGTCAGGAGTGTTCGGCATAAAAACTTGTTTAAGGAGGGGATGACTCAATCAAATTGACATAAGCTCAAAATTTGTTTGGGCTCCTGCAGTTGAATTTGCCCTTATTGTAAATTTGAATTAATGCAGGTAGCAAGAAACTTGGCGGTTACAACTAAAAGTCAGTTAAGAAAATACTCACTGGTAGATGACAGCACTATTATGAAATAAGAATCAGGAGTTGATAAAATTTTAACATTGAATGAAAGGGCAATTTTTGGTTTAATTATCTTTCTTTGTGAGAGTCAAAGGGCTCTGATCAAATTAAAATATACGATTTCATCAATGAGTTAATGTATAATGTTTTAAACATGTGCATACTGCTGTTTATTAATTGAATTATGAATGAGAAATTTAAAGAGGTAAAAAGATGCTCCACCTATCTCATAAATTCAAAATTGAACAGCGACAACAACCATTATGAAAATTAGGGCTTCAAATCGTCGTTCCCCTGTCAACAAATGTAACTCCATTTCAGCGTTGCCAAATTTCTGTTCAAAATTTGTAACTTTACTTAGAAACTAAGCAATTTTTTTAATAGAAAATTCCACTGGTATCTCCAGCAACTATAGTGGCAAATCAGCAAAATTTTCAGCGGCTATTGCTCGATTATTTTTGTTGAGGAAAAATAATTTTGTAAGTAAATTTTGCAACCTTTGAATGGAGATACATTCCTCTGAATAGGTAGGTAACGATGATTTTAGCAACTGAAGAGGGTTCTGAGAGAAGGGCTTCAAATAGTTGAGGTGTGCTATTTTTCCAGGCAGGAGCTGGCTGGACAAAGGCAGCTTAACTGAGACCATCGTACCTGCCCGTCCAGATTAAACAGCTCAGTAGCCTGATCGTTGAAATTTTGTGTTTGTCAGGTAAACATAGATGACGTAGGTGACATAGGCGGAGCATGATTGGTCGGCTATGTCTTATCGCCGCTTTGTCATGCCTATGTCGGGTGGAATTCACGACAAGCTAGAGCCTCTTAAGTTTCCGTCAGTTTGTCGTCCATTCCACCTGACAAAGGTATGATAAAACAGCGATAATACACAGCCGACCAATCATGCTCCACCTTTTAACCTATGTCATCTATGTCTACCCGACAAACACAAAATTTCAACGATCAGGCTGCATAGAAATGAACTTGCTTCTGATTAATATGCCCTTCTTTCGGCACCCTCCTTGATTTTTGTAAAACTTTAATTGGAAAAGTTCCAATATTCTTTCCCAAATTTGATGAAATCAACTAGTTTCTCAATATTGGACTGTAATATCAGGAGGCTGGGTAACACTATTACAACCTACATTGTAAATAACTTTAATATTCTTGTTTAGGAAATTGAAATTTTTATGTCCTATGGGTGAAAGAAGGAAATATTTTGTTTTCTCCTCTTATTAGAAAGGCTACTTAAAATTCTTCCTTCATAGTTGATGTAGACAAATTTTGTACAGGACGCAAAGTCGTATTCACTATGAAAGATACAGTCAACTTCTTCTCATTTTACATTTTCAATCTTCGAGAAAACTTACTTCGAAGTCAAATCTCCTCTTTTTTGAGCCAAACAGTCACATCAACATTGCACTGGGTCAAAATCTCATCTCCTATTTCAATTTTTTGGAAGGGAACCAACTGACACTTTTGCTTAAAATTTTGTGAAAATAACCTTCATATGGGAAAGATAAATTGCAACAATTTTTGACTGAGGATGTTCGTTGGTTTCCTTCCAAAACGTTAAAATAGGAGATGTGATTTTGAAACATCGCAATATAGATGACTTTTTTGCTTCACTCTATCCATTCGTAAAGTAGTATTCAGTCCGTTCTATTGAACCTATTCTCAAGTGACCATGTCTCTCTTAGCCGAGCCCTTAAAAGTTGAGTAACTGTAAACGAGAGATTGGTTCCCCAAAAAACAGAAAGACTTGTGTCCTGAATAAAACCTGTCTTTTACTAGATGTCCTACAAACTGATGTTAAATATGTTGTCTGAGTGCTTGCCTAAGATGTATAGTTTATTCAAAATTTCACCCCAGATTGTTCCACTTCTTGTACAGAATAAACTTTGTTTATTTTTAGTCAAATTGATTTTTGCTTTCAAGCCCGAGATCATTTTATGGTCAAGACTCCTAAGTTCTAAGCAGAAATTGCGCAGGACATGTTTGTCTGTCCATGAAATGAAGTGAAAAGTCAACTTCATATTCAGACAGTCTTCGTTTATCCAACAGAACATAAAGTGGTCTGCAATACAGCAAGCTCTGTCAGTTCATGGATGACATTTGTTCAGGGAAAAACGTTTGCTCTTCTTCCAAAAAAAGCTAGTTTTCACCCAGAACTAGAAAACACTCATTTTTTCTCGGCTCTTCCTGTCAGATTTCTCTTTGTTGATACTATTTTCTCTATTTTGTAGACCGAACAATTCATTTTGAGCCATTCTCAACTTATTAGAAATACTACTATGTACAGCAGATCCAGTTGCATGTCTGCTTAATGATTCTTTTAGTTTGACGATGTCCTTACTCACTCTCTTGATATCTTCACCTACTCTCATGCTATCCACATTCAATCCTTTGAGACTAGAATTCTTCAATGATACGTTGCTTTTTTGCGTAGGAGCTGGGGTAGACGGTCCTGAAAAATAGAAAGCTTTGATTATAAAGTGTAATTTGAATGCTCATATTCTAAGAAACGAATGAACAAGAAAATCTGAAATCAGAGTCGCCACAGAGTTCAGAAAATGAATGTCCTTCACATATTTCAGTGCAATTCCTTGACAAAATTAGAGATATACCAGATTATTAAAAATACATAATTTGAAATAGTTTTTAGGCAAAATTTGTTGTTTGATGCATCAAACCCATTCTAGAAAGCAAATAACATTGATTTGACAATTTTGCCCCAAAACTTTCTTCATTACACCTGATGTTTCCAGGTTATTTCTGACCTTCAGAATTCCCTTATATTTTCCAGTATTTCCTGATTTTAGCAAACCTGTGAAATGGGAAAGATGAATGTTTTAAAATGGACCCCTTTGAGTTACAATTATTGCTGTGATTGTATTGTTTCTTTGTATAATGTATTTCTCCTTTAAAAATCAATACTTAATGAGGGCATTAAATTTACTGTAAAGATTCGACAAAACAACCAAGTGGGCATGGGACAAAATACCTAAAAAGCTGATATTTCGATGATGAAACTGCAAAAGTGCATATCTCGGGTATGGTGCTTCAAAATTTCCGCTCCTCTTAATTTTTTCTATGAAGACCAAACTCACATCATGGCTGGAAATTTTCATAGGATATTTTTTACATGGAGAGGAAAAATCACAGAAGTTTTCAAAAATGATATTCCTTAGCTTTCCATGTGAAAAATAAAGCACGACAAGAAGTCTACAACACTGCAAGCCAATATGCAAGCAGTTTCATCCTCGATATACAACTTTTTAGGTTTAAGATCTAGGCATGACATCTATTCTAGAGCAGGCTGGGGAACAGATGATAAAACAGTCACGCTATTCGCATCAGTGAGATAGGGAAATCTGTTTGGGAGGAGTCTACAATAGATGAAAGCTTACCTGCCAGCTGTTCATTAAGGAATGAGAAGAAGAAACCTCTTTGTTTCTCTCTTTCATAGCTATGTTTTCGCGCTTTTTCCATCTTGGCAGCGTGTCTTTTTCGCCTCCTTTCAGCTTGGAAGAGATCTTTGTCACCAGAACTTTCCTTTAGTTTCATGCAATAATCTGAAACATCAAGGTCACCTTAACATTGTAGATTCAACTTGCTCTTAAATTCTCTAAAGTATGCTTAAGGTGATTCGATGGAAGCCATATTTTGTGTCAGAACGGCATACGATATATCGCATCAATTGGTTTCATTGTTTCAGCCACTTGTCAATTTCTCCAATTTTGCGATCACAATTCTGTTGTCAGGAGACTAAAGCACTCACTTACCAATTTTAACAAAGAAATTCAACGTAATAAAGGCGTGGCTTTTTTAGAGAGAAAATATCGCATTCGTGGGCAGTTTCGATATCAGTATCGAATGCGATGATTTCTCTCTGAAAAAACCACGCCTTTATTACGTTGAATTTCTTTGTTAAAATTGGTAAGTGAGTGCTTTAGTCTTCTGACAACAGAATTGCGATCTTAAAATTGGAGAAATTGACGAGTAGCTGAAACAATGGAACCAATTGATGCGATATATTGTATGCCGTTCTGACACAAAATATGGCGTCCATCGAATCACCTTAAAACGAATCGAAAAATGGAAGAGGGTGCTTCCCTCTAAATACCTGCCACCATTGTTTCAAATTAAAGTGATTAAAAATTGATTTAAATGCAAGTAAAATAATCCAATATTTGTATGGGAGGCCATCTCACCTACGATCGATTATTTATAATGGTTTTAAATGGAGAAAATCAGTGTTACCACAGTCAAAAAATTTCTTTAAACTCTAAAAAATAAGGGAGGCTAATGTTTGTTCTCCCCAAATAGAATATGACTACGATGCAATACTCTATGTGTTAATGCTACTGCATAGGGGAGAAAGAAATGTTCAAAATGGGAGGGCTAGGAACTTTTCCAGGAAAATGGAGGAATCCAAGATATATGAAATTCTCTATTTAGGAAAGAAAAGAGAAAGAAATTTAATGGAGTTACCTAAAGATTTTCCAGTTGGAAAAACAACAGCTTCCACTGGATCAACTTTACCATCTGAGTTCTTTCCGAGACCAGTTCCAGCAATGTATCCCATGCTAGCCATCAACTTAGATCCAATACCCTGAAAATTGGTGATGAAAAGCCAGATCAGTTAAACAGTCAATGCATAGGCAGCAATTAAAGCCAAGTGGAGAATTTTATTTGAACTGGATGTGCCTTCATCAAACAAGCACTAGAGTCTGAGTCAATGTTTAAATTCAGACTTAGATCTTAGAGGGCATTTTTATGAGCAATATCATTCTTAAAAGTAGCTTTGGAAAAAGCTCTTCAATGCACAGTGGTGATAGGACCTCGTTAAGACACTTTTCCAGCACCAAATGACAAATATTGAATACAAGTTTAGGGGGAGAAAATGTAAAAGTGGGAAAAACCTTCACTTTGCGCAGACACACTAGGCGCAAGATTTTCGGTAAAAATGGGTGTATTTTGGTGCATTTTCCGTGGAAAATACACTGAAAATTTGGACATGGCATCTTACTGCCCAGTACCAATTTTGATTGCAGTGTTTGTCGATTGGATACCGAGGAACTTTCCACGTGCCACTATTGGATCTGAAAAAGGCAACTTTCAGAAATTTAACACCCATCATACAAAGACGTGGCACCTTCATAAGAGCCTTTGGTTTTGAACAGAATTGAGACGTTGCTTTACGTCTGCAGCTAAAGTGAGACAAAAAAACTTAATCACTTACATTTTTCCACATGATGATGCATATTAAACTAACATACACTGCATTTTCTTGAGATAGGATCTTTGAAGGTTTGATTTTAGAGGCTCATCTTGCTCAGGATACCACGAAGGATATCATATGAAAAAATCTTAAAATGCAGCCTGGGCCAAATTTCTCAGTGCTCCATCCATAGTCCTTTGGTTATTATCAATGCTGACTATTTTTCTTCAGATCATTGCTTTCACAGTTTTCACTTAATTTTTTTCATACAATCTTTTCAATGTTGAATGTGTTTTTTGGCTGATCCTTTTATTTAAAAAAAAAAAAAAAAAAAAAAAGGAAAAAGTCATTAGGTAATAATTAATTTAATTTGTTTACTTTTGTATGTTTCTCCCAAGCACCAAGAGCAGAGCGAGTCTGGGGATTTAGCAAAGTCTCATTAATTAAGGCAAGCTTCCTTTCGTCGAGTTCTTCCACATTGTTCACTCCATCTTCTTCAGATGACGATGACGAGTCAGAATCGGATAGATCTTCACCTGAATCAAACAAAAAATTGTTGCAAAGATGAAACGAGATTTAAAGAATTTCCATCAAATAAAATGAATGATTTAATACTCAAATTTCTCTACCATGTGGCCACCCACAGACTATTGACCGCAGACTTCAATGAGATTCATGTGCCAAAAAATTAAAAATTCCGATATTGATGCCACTGCACAGAGAGGTGTTTGACTAGCACCTCTGAGCAAAAAGTGATCATAAATATTGAACCAAATCAGAAATATCATGGTTCACAGCAGTTCAAAAGATGTGGTTCTGGAAAAAACTAATCCGAGTATCATTCCTCTTCATTTCAGACCTTCAATCTTGTATCATAATGCACATTAAAGTCTTTCAAATATACAAAAACAAAAAAATAGCTAGCGATTTGTTTATCGGAGTACTACAGAGTTTTCCTTTGAAAACTCAAATTTCCTTTTTTCCATCCACCCAAAGAAGAGTATTCTTTAGTAAAAATCGCCTTCTTCAAAGGTCTCATTTTTATGCACCAAGAAAAAATAAACTGAAGCTGCTAATCATTTAGGTCAGCTGAGCACATCTCGCTAAAACAAGTCAGAATTATTATGTTGGATTGATTGACAAATTCAAGGAGGCTTAAGGGAAATTAAAATCGTAAAGTTTCATCCGTCGTCCATGACCTACTGGATTCTGAAGTACACATTTTGTGAAGGGAAAATAAAAAGTTACCAGCAGAAGTCTCAAGAGGTAAAATATCCTGAAGCTGAATTTCCATTTCAGCTGAGGCGGAAGACTCCAATTTGACTGAGCATGTTGTGTCATCCAGCCGGCTTATAAGAATTGCTCTTTTCCAAAGGCCATCTCCCATCTTGGCTAGCACAGCACATCCCGGCACAGCTTTGCTAAAATCAGGCTCCCTGATCAAACACACCAATGAACACGTTAGATTATTTGGAATAGTTAAATATAAACTTCATCACGATTCGAATTCATTACGATCATGCGCCAGTGAGCAAAGCATCATCAGAGCGCCATGCTCTATTAAACCGGTTAAAAACAATGCACGCTTAATATTTATTGCAATTTCTCAATTTGCATTTTAATTTAGGTAGTGGATTATAAACACTTTCCAAACTTTTTGTGCTGTTATTTGATGATTTTTGCATGATGTATCAATATCCAAAGTGTGAAATCATGTACCTCTCTTTGCCACATTATGGACTTCCTGTCTTAATTTATATTTTCTTTAAAAAACAAGTCAACATGATTTCTTGAAAGCTTCCTTGATTTTTCTTATCATTTAGGAGCGTCTTCCATGTAAATTTCAAGCTGTAAAGTTGGTTCAAGAAATAAAATAGGAGGGAAAATTTTGAGACATCGCAAGGAAGATAAACGTTTTATCACTTAAGCCATAAATATTGTAAAACGAAAAATTCAATGAATTGCTTTAACTTTGTGTGAGACGGTGTGTGGGTGGGGGTGTGCGAGTGTGTGTGTGCGCCAGGTGTCCCTTTGACGAGCCGCGGAATGCCGCATCTGATCAATGAGTGCGAGAGAGATGGACGATACGAGGGCGGCTTGGCAAAGCCGAGTGGTCTCCTTTGACGTGCCGCATCTGCCCAATGAGTGCAAGAGAGAGAGACGACAAAACAGCGTATCGACCGATCCAAGATGAGCCCTGCTCCCCGTTTACGGCCGTTCTTTCCGGGCTCACGCTCGGAAAGCACTTGGTTGCTTTTGCCGGCAACGGAATTCCCCAGCGCACTACCACCGCGGACCAAATTAGGAGGCCCAGCCTGTATTTTTGCGAGTGTGTGTGTCGACCAGGTGTCCCTTTGACGAGCCGCGGGTTGCCGCATCTGATCAATGAGTGCGAGAGAGATGGACGATACGAGGGCGGCTTGGCAAAGCCGAGTGGTCTCCTTTGACGTGCCGCATCTGCCCAATGAGTGCAAGAGAGAGAGATGACAAAACAGCGTATCGACCGATCCAAGATGAGCCCTGCTCCCCGTTTACGGCCGTTCTTTCCCGGGCTCACGCTCGGAAAGCACTTGGGTGCTTTTGCCGGCAACGGAATTCCCCAGCGCACTACCACCGCGGACCAAATTACGAGGCCCAGCCTGTATTTTTGCGATTGTGTGTGTCGACCAGGTGTCCCTTTGACGAGCCGCGGAATGCCGCATCTGATCAATGAGTGCGAGAGAGATGGACGATACGAGGGCGGCTTGGCAAAGCCGAGTGGTCTCCTTTGACGTGCCGCATCTGCCCAATGAGTGCGAGAAAGAGAGACGACAAAACAGCGTATCGACCGATCCAAGATGAGCCCTGCTCCCCGTTTACGGCTGTACTTTCCCCGGCTCACGCTCGGAAAGCACTTGGGTGCTTTTGCCGGCAACGGAATTCCCCAGCGCATTACCACCGCGGACCAAATTACGAGGCCCAGCCTGTATTTTTGCGAGTGTGTGTCGACCAGGTGTCCCTTTGACGAGCCGCGGGTTGCCGCATCTGATCATTGAGTGCGTGAGAGATGGACGATACGAGGGCGGCTTGGCAAAGCCGAGTGGTCTCCTTTGACGTGCCGCATCTGCCCAATGAGTGCGAGAGAGAGAGACGACAAAACAGCGTATCGACCGATCCAAGATGAGCCCTGCTCCCCGTTTACGGCCGTTCTTTCCCGGGCTCACGCTCGGAAAGCACTTGGGTGCTTTTGCCGGCAACGGAATTCCCCAGCGCACTACCACCGCGGACCAAATTACGAGGCCCAGCCTGTATTTTTGCGAGGGTGTGTGTGTGTGCAAATTTTGCCTAAGTGTTAAACATGTTACACAAACTCTTTAAGAACCTTACATTACCTTTTTTTTAAGAATAAAAAACACAAAGTGATAACGAAACACACATTAATAGAAATAACAGGCAGAAAAAGCCAGTTTTAAACTTTTTTTAGGCGTTTAAAAGATTGTCCATTTCAAGCTCAGAATTGGTTATGCTTTCAGTTTTCAAAATTGTGCACGCAGAATCTTGAAAGAGCTTGATGGTACATAATAACAGTCGTATTTTGCCAATCTATCTTTAAGTAAAAATCATTTTTGCTAATTTTGTTTTGCCCTCCTTTTTTAAAAGAAAAAAATCTGGCGCCAGGCACTAAAACGGGTTGATCATACATTTTTGCCCATTGTAAGAATCCAGAGAGAAATACAAAAAAAATCATCAGGAAATTTTTTCATAACTCACTTATATTCCTTCAATTCAATGAATGGTACTGCATGTCCATGAGAAAAGTGGCACTGATCCGCTGAAAACTTGCAATCACCCTCCAGAAAATACGGACAGGGTACCATATTTTTATAGATCGGATTCACGAACAAAATTTGCACCTGCGATAAAATTCATAACCATGATTTAGAAAGCTATGGATTAGTCTTAAACTCAAGAAGATGAGAGTATGCATTCCACACAGGAACCTATAATTCAATGAGAAAAATGCCTTCTTGGCTCAAAATTCAAAACAAACTATGATCACTCGAGATCAGATGCTGTTTGTTCCTCCACAATTTTATGGTGAGCTCACAGCGTCTAAAAGATTGAAAATTTATTACAAAAAGTTTTCTTAACCCTTTTATTACCACAAACGCAACATCTACGTTCAGCAAAACCTTATCCTTCCGGTAATGATTCCACTATTATTCAACATCCTCTTCCAGAAGTATTCACATTTGTAACTCTATTCTTCAAGGAGAATCTGAACTCCAACTTTAGACACTTTCCAATAGAAAGCGTTCCAATTCCTTAGGATGACAACCAATTTCCCTTGTGGATCATTCGCCCGCAAAATCTAGCCTGTAGGTTAGATTCTTCATGTTAAAATTTTAAGATAAGGAGCTACTGTATCTGGCTAATTTTAGAAACAACATGGGTGCCAGTATTTTTCCTACCCAGATAAGTGCTTTTATAGATGAGCCAGAAAAAGTCGTCTCCAACTGCAAAATGTAGTCCATTAACAGAATCTTTAAGAGGTTTCCTTATTTTCTGTCATGCATATTTCTTTAATTTTAGGTTGGTTTCTTTCCTTTTCAAAAAGAAAAAATAAGAATAGAAATTACACTACATACGTAGCAAAAATGACAATATTCCGAATACTCACTTGGAATATTAATAAGGGCTAAGAGAACTACAAACTTACCATGATATCGTCCATTGACGATACTTCGTCTGGAGTTTCTACATTGATAACAAGGGCATTGTGATAACTTGATTCGCCAAAATGATCAAAAGGGGCTTGACATTTCGATCCTACTATATGTTCTAGCTCGTTCTGGGAGGAAAGAGGAGGAAAAATTAATAATTTGTGCTATGAATGGACATGTTTTACTTCACATGGTAAATTTATTCATCCTTGAAAATTTGATTCAATCCTACAAAACCCAGGGAAAAGTTGAATGTCACAAAACTGGTTCAAATATGAAACTTGATGATATTATGACTGTTTTACTAGATGACAAAATTTACACCTGGATAGAGTAACACAAAAAAGTCTTAGCTGCCTTGCATAATGTCATTTTCTTTACATATTAATCTTTTGGAAAAAACCCAATCAACATTCCCACTTGGTAATTGTTGCAATTCTTCTGGATACATGAGGGTTGTTTCTTTACAATTTTAGAAAAAAATTTTTGATTTGCTGCCTCCTAAAAAATTAAAATAGGAGATGAGATTTAGAAATAATGCAATATAGATGTTACTGTTTCGCTTGTCTCTATCCTTTTAATGATGATTCCTTTCAGTGCAGATTGATATTCTCGCAGAGGAATAGAATTTCAACACACTCTAGCAGACAAATTCACTCAGACTTCATGCCTGGCTTTACACTTAGAGCCTTGATTGAACAGAAAATTGAATAAAAAACTTGGATTTGATGTTGCAGAATTTCATTTATTTATTTTTTTCTTCTAACTTTGCTTCAGATCTCATTATTATGTCAGTATGGCAATGTTTAATGAAGGAGCAACATAGATCATGACAGTACATGACCGAAACATACCTGTATATCTGCTAAATTGGAGGCTTCAGGCTCATTGCTACCACTACCCTCCAAATTCTCAATTTCAGCCTGATGAAAATGGAAAACAAATAAAGTTAATTGTTAAGTCTTCCTTAAAATACTTAAAAATCAGAATGAAATTGAAATTTATTTTACTACATTATAATTAAAGCAAGAAAAAGTTGTGTTGGATCTGCAGTTTTTGAGGATGCTCTCTCAGAATTTTTTTTCAAGTGACAATTTCATGGCACTATGGCAGTTTAGATGTGTTGAGGGCTGGCCGATAATGAAGTAAAAAAACAATTTGGTTTGAAAATACATAATTTTGATCTGATTTACTTCTGCATTTTTTTTAGATTTTAATTTCAGCACCTTCTTGACATGGTAATTAAGCAGAATTAGTTTCTGAAAATGGCAGCATTAGTGGAGATCAAATGAAATGGGTCAGTAGCATAACATTTCTGCAAAGTAGCTGACGGATGATTCTGATGCAATATGTTGTGAAAAAACCATAAGGTCCATTAAAAAGTTTAGAGAAGACTTCTTAGGACGAAAAATTAAATTCATATCTAACCAACCAGAGGCTAACAGTGATGACGTAACTAAACCATGTCTTTGGCTTGGCATCAGCTAATTAGCAAATACGGACTCCCTCATCTCCTTACATCATAACAGCTGTAGATCCAGATCACTAAAAATATCACTGTAAATGGGTCCAGATATTAGCAACTTCAAAATCGATTTTCTTTGTCATTTTGAGTCAAAAACATTTGAAAAAATTACTGAGAACTCTCTTAGTGCTGTAAGAAAATTAATTTTAAAAAAAATAAGCACCCCTGGCCTGTTATTTTAATCCTAAAAAATTGTTTACGAGAATTCTGTTAAAAAAGAAATAAAAATCCCAAGTTGGGACAGTTTTAAGATTGCTAATTCAGTTGAGGTTGATCATGATGAGTATGATCATGAATTAAGATTAAATCTTACATCAAATTGAGCAAGCTCATCTTGGAAAGCTTTTTTTCTACTTGCTGATTCTAGCTGTGACAGGTTCTCTTCTGTGAGGGAAATCAGTTCTTGAATATCACTTCCAAGTTGGACAAGATCTCCTTTCGTGCTCTCATCAGAACTAGATTTAATAGCTTCTTCTATTTCTGATAGCTGAAAAAGGTAGAAAAATATGACAATAGAATATTAAAGCGAAATAACTGAGAGAAACATCTGCAACCACAGAGAAAATTTTAACAATGAACTAATTGGAAGAGAGGTAGAGCAAAATTACTTTCAAATGACTGTCTAATGTACTGCACACGAACTCATTTTATTTTTTGACCTTTAAAACTGGACATAGATTTTTTTTGCCTTCAATATTTCACAAAAAAAGGATCATGTGTAAATTATGAAACTGCTTATTGGCACCTTTGGATGGAAGTTTTTTCTTGGGCTCAAAGAAGAACCTTCCCTAAGTGTGCAAGCAGTAAAACTAATCTTTTCTGAATTAATGTTGAGACATTCGGAAAACGTCGGACTTGGATTTTTTTTTGAAATTAAGGAAACAAATGATGAAATATTCCTTCAATTTAAGGAGTCTACACTGTCTCCTCCGCAAAGAATCGCAACAAATGCACGGCATTAGAGTGGCAAACAGAAAATAGTATATTTAGATAGAACCTTCATTTCCGCTGAAATGAACCGTTTTGGATCATTCTCACCACAAAAATGGTAACCTGCAGGAGCATCTATATGTTCACTAAGTATGACTAGGGGTGTAAAATTGGTTTGTTGCAAGATATTAGAACGGCTCTGTTATGTAGTGGTCACAATAAGGAGACCCTTACCGATAGCTAACAGAATTTTCACAACTGGTACCCAGTATTGCCATGTTATTCAGTTTTAGCCACTGAACAACGTAACAGACAAATATATCAGACGACCATGCTTTGACCTAAGGCTCAACCATTTTGTTATCTCTCTCATGAGGAGTGCGCCTCGACTGCACTATTTCAATATTTTTTTTTGACATTGTATTCATTTATAGAAAAACCATTACATAATTGTCCTGAAATTTCTAGTCATTTTTCCTTCACCCTTTACGGTATTTTAGGATATATTTATGGGACCAGTTCTCTCATAAGAAAATAAAATGTTAGTAGAATACTGAAACGGCTCGGATATGATACGTGTGAGAAACGATGAGTTCCAGTTGGGGTGACCTCGTGGGAGTGTGTCGGTATTTCACGACAAAATCTACCAATCGTTTACCAACTATGATTTATTTGAACTAGCCTAAGAATAGCAGCACACAATGATGAGTACATGTCAGGGTTGTACAACCGTATTCCGCCTAATTAGCAGTCTACATAAGGTGCTCCCTTTGACTTCCATACTCAGGCTGAATTTCCAAGGCGGATGTTGCCATGGGCTGTTCATCAGTCTACATACGGTACTCCTTCTAACTCCTTTACTCAGGCTGATTTTGTACGGCGATTAAGCTTTCAGCCGCGAAGCAGCAGAACTCTCAAACACGCCAAGTGAAAAACCAATTCCTACTCGGTAAGAATTGGAAAGACCTATGATAGGAGGCTGAATAATTGGGAAAACAGTATGAAATTGGTTTGGCCTTTCTTTGATCACGGTGGTCGCTTGATAAGTTTGACAAAAAATACTAATTGTGCCATCACAGGCAAAAGGCGATGACTTATGTACCTGCGTCTTGTACTGAGCAAGAGATGACTTCAATGCTTCTATGTTATTATCCTCTTCTGCCGCCATGGCTGAAAATACAGTGTTCGCCTATTTTCATGAAAGACGCTTGTAATTTGTAATAAAATGAAGGTGTGAATACAAAATTAGAAAATCCGAAATAAAAGAGCTTGCACCAAACCAAACTCAAGTCACTTGCTTTTCCGGATGTCTGATTTCTAACCTAGAAAAATGATAACCGGAGAGAAAAATTCAGAAAAATTGCCAGATTACCGGAAATTGGCTCAGTTCTTTCCCTTTATTCCGCATTTTAAATGACAGGAATTTTACCGCAAATTCTGAACCACGCATTCTGATTGGGCAAAACCGGTTCATTTCATAAATTCCCAGTTCAGTTCAAAACGGCGGGAATTTCAAATTTTTACAGGATATCCTTCTCATCAACGTGTTTCCGGTTCCGGTCAGCTGTCTGATAGGAAATGGATTTTTTCCCGCCTTTGAGCTGATAAGAGTTTGTTTATTTACATTTTATAGCCAACAACAATAACAAGATTGGACGGTTACAAAAATATTGCAAAAAGTTATTTATCAGATCTAATTTAAGTCAGTTTTATTAGAGTAAAATATCAATTCAACGGAAACGTTCTCTCTAAAATTGGTACCCTAATACTGGTGAATATTTACAGTAAGTTCATCTTATATCATTTGTTTAATTATAGCATCAAGGCTTCCTTTCACACTCAGTCTGACGGTTCTTTTCTGTTTTGCACACTCAATGTGCGGATATGCAATACATGCTCACTTTTTTGAACATCTCAGGCTGTTAAGCCCAAAAACTTTTCATTTGATTACAAACACATGAAATGTTGACTGGTAAGTTGGATAGAAATAACTCAATTACCGTCGCCATTTGATATCGTCATGACCCTGGATATCGGCACATAAGTATTTCCGTCAGCTTCCGGTTTGTGAAGATACAGCTTTTGGTAATGTCGGTCGGAAGATTTTGGTTGAATACTCATCCAGTCAGGGCTGCTGACTGGATGGAAAGTTGAACTGTAAGTTGGAGGTGACGTTAAATTTAAGTTTTCGTTTAATTTTCAATCTAGTTGTTGTGTTCTGCGGTCAGTATTTTATAATCTTAGTTTTTATTCGACAAAACTGAAAGAGAAGTCGAGCATAAAGTTTGACTGTCCGATTAGGGCTTTATACATTCATTTCAGAGGTGACGTCAGATACATTGACATTTGTTTACTTTTGATTTGCAGGCGTTTTAGCGTCACTACTATCCACATGAAAACATCAAACTCTGGCAGAAGCGAGAACACAAGCTTGGATAGGTTTTATAATACTTTCAAACCTTATAACACTTTAATTTTTAGCTACGCAGAGATCACAACCACATAAAAGTCACGGATCGTAACTGACAAGTACTTTATCTCGATATGATCATGAGACGGATGTTATTAAGGTAGATAGTAGCGAACGATGCTTTGTGTAGAGGCGTAAATTTATTGCCTGCGCCTGCAAATCGAAAATAAAGGGCTTCTTTTTATCTGCGGAATGCGATGGATCCGGATCTTTGCGGTTTGGGCCGGTTCAACCAGCAACCGCAGCCTCAACCCACTTCAGATGAGTAGTCCAAGCATACCTCTAGAACAGATGGAATGGGCTGGTATGTGTCAGTGGAACAGGGTAAAAAAGTGATGCGTTCCGCTGCGATCCTTTGGAGTTCGGATTAAAAAAAAAGCCCTTTAGAAAATTTCAACGTATCTGATGACACCTCCAATACTGTTGTAATAAAGTTGAAGCCTCTGGCTCCGACTTTATGTTTTTATTGGTCTCATATTCACCAACCGTTTTGCTCCACAGAATCGCTGAATTTCTTGAGCGAGTCTTAATTTTAGGTAGTAGTCCTCTAGCCTCAGAACATCAACAGCAATCACCTTTAACTTTTCTTGGCATGAGTCAATGGCCATTTACATATAGAAAATGTATTGCGTCACAGAATGTGTGCACATTGCCATATACTTGAGTATGGAGAAATGGACTGTTAAAATATTGAAAACAATTATTAATTTGGTCACTTAGGATTGACCCTGGAAATATGACGGAATTTCACACTCTTGATGTTCTTTGTTTAACCTAGAAACCTTTTTTTTACTCTCTTTCATAAGGTTGTTGTTGCTGCAAATATCCGATAAATTTATTTGAGAATGAGTTTGTTACATAAACGTCGCTTTTATATTTTGACTGGTACAATTGCAGCGTCTTATTTTCATCAATTTTGTTTCGTTGAACTCGTAGGCCTGCAACAAAACTTTTGTTGCCTAATATCACATTTTTACAATTTTAATTACTCCTCCATTCAAAGAGTTCATAGTAAAATAATTCTAGCTCTTGAAGAAATTTTACAAATCGGTATCCTTGTAACCACTAAAATTCCCCCTGTGTTAAAGAGAAGACAGGTAAGTAGTCTCTTCAGTATTTTCTATGCCAGCTAGATAACCACTAATTTTTTTTCTTCTTCTTTTTTTTCAGACAAAATGGCTTCAATCAACATCGCTGACTTGAACCTTCAAAATCCTGTTGAAGTTGCCAGTAAATTAATGTCGCAAAAAATCAAAGAAAATCAAGAAAAATTGAAGATGCTCCAGGCCAAGAAACCTGTCTATAACTTTGATACTGACAAACATGTAGGTGTATAGTAGTGTGTTTTTATACTCTTTACTTACTCATTAATTTTTCCTTACTTGGAAATGATGCAATGACTACACGTTTTCTAAAGACAAATATTTTTACTTAAATCAAGTTTTTTCCTGTTTTTTGTTTTTGAAAAAAAAAGGAAGAAGATGGAATCAGCATTTTACACTTTTCCACAATGTGTACCAATATATTTGATTGCCCCGTGTGTTAAAACACGTTATTTACCAAAAATTATGGCACTTATCTAGAACCAAAAGGGGTTAATCAAAAGTTTGCATCAATAAATAAATATTTGGTGGAAACTGTGAATTTGTAGAAAACATCTGTAATATGTTAGTCAACTAAGGAAGCAAGTCTCACAGTTTATCCATTGATTTCACACTCAAGCATAATTGAAAAAATCGCTTGTTTTCTTTTAGGTTCTGAAAAAAGTCAACATTCCTTTTGCAGAAAAGCTGTATCAAGATTTGATTGATTTAGAGGTCAAAGACAGTGACGTCTTGAAAGAATGCTCATCTCAACGTCTGAAACCAGTCCCTGTAAAAAAGGATCCGGAACCAAACCTTGAAGACTTTTATCAGCCCAATTTCAATGAAGAATTTTGTTACAAACTGCCACAATACACACCAAGTCTTAAGAAACTCAGGGAGTATGATGGTTATAGCATCTCCAGTAAATTTAAATGCGTTCTTGACTCATAGGTGGAGAGTAAAAAAGCTGCTGAAAAGCTTCAACTGAAGTGCAAGTACCCGTCGTGGAATTGGGGAACTTAAACTGAATTTATTAGTCCCAGATTGAGGCTCTTGGCTGGAAAGTAAACTGATTGCCTTCTTGATGGAAATCTCTTTCAAATTCCAAAGATAATTAACCGAACGTTGAGTCTTTGTTGGAATCATCAAGTGTAATCGATTAGTTTAGCTGCGTCTCATAGTCTAATTACATCCAATTAATTTGATAAGGTTGCTACTATATGTTCTGAGGATGCCATTCCAAATAATTTAATAGCTAAAAGTTGAATTTCAAAAGCAGTAATTATTGCTTGAGGAAATAAGCACTGGAGTAATGGGATTGAATTCTAATGAATATGACCAAAAATCACATCGAGTTGAAACTAAGGGAAAATGGTTTGAAGTTTTTCGCCTCCCTGAGACCCCGTGTCGAGGATAAAATTTAAACCTTGTTTACTTTAATTGTAACCTACTCAGTATATTTTTTCAAGATTTTGAATTTTTGACAGGAGGAATAGTAACTCTAAACTATAATTCTTAAATTTTTTTTTCTTTGAATTGGAACTTGGTTGCTTTCTATTTAATAGACCACTTGCTAGGGTCAGAATAAAAGATCACGGTGTATATATTTTTTCATACAAATTTTGCGCTGAGAATGGTGAACACCTTGAAATCAACTCTTGTGTGAGAAATCAACGCTCTCTGTATTTGTCAATTTAAACTCGCCATTGCTGACAACCGAAAGTCTTCTTGGGTTGAATCAGTCACAATATTAGTTTGCTCCATAGTAAAATTATTTTTCCAGAGAAATTTAAAATAATTGTGTGTCATAAGGAGATTGGAAATCTTTTGTGAAACCAAACGGCATGCCAATTTCTTTGTCATTTGCCACTAGTATAGATTTGTTTCTTAAGGCCAATTTGGACTGAATTGATTTTTCTTTTCTCACAAACATGAGGTTTAAATTTATTGAGTTTAATCTTTGTGATAAATGTCGATTTCCATTTCATAAGTTAATTTTGGACATTTTAAAATGTTCAATGTGATCTGCATCAAATTTTAATGAGAAAGCAAAACCCGCAGTACATTAATTCTTATCTTTTCTGTAGATCAATTCGATCCAATTGAGTTGTGTTTGTACGGCAGGACGCAAATAACAATAAGTTCTTCACTATCAAATACTTCAAAGCATAAGAAATGCTTAGTGTTCAGTAATGTTCAGTGTTTTATAGCACTTGATCTGCATCAACAGAACCGGATAAAAACTCAGAGAAAAACGTTGTATTTGAAAATAAAAAAAAAAAAAAATTTTACAAAACATCTTTTATTTATGATTAATTTTCTTTACTTACATACTTACATGACTTTATAATACACATATTTTACTGAGGAATTTTTACTTTAGTGACATAAAAATCAGTATAATCTTAAATTATCATCATCAATGAAAATATTTTGACCAGAAATAAGATGATAGTTTGAGATGACGATAACATTATGAGTATTTCGGCCAGCTTAACATATCATAATAGGAGCTTAGTTTTTGGATAGATTTTCAAGCAAATTCCAGTAAGTACTCTCTTAACAGTCGCTAATCATTTCATTGCTTTTTTTAAAAAAAAACTTTAAAATTGTTTTCGGTGATTTCTCTTGGTGCTGAAACCGTCAAGATTCTCTGTAAATGAGTACTAACCAGACAGATTTGAGCACAATAGTAATGTCAGATTGTCTGTTTTTTTATCAAGCTACTACTGCACTAAAATTATATCCAACAAAAAATAGAAAAATGTACACTTTTTAAAAATGTTCTTGAAGTAAGGACAAAATTTGCTTGAAAGAGGAAAATAAAATATGATGAAATACACGGATTCTTGATATGAATTCATTTATACCTAACTACAACTTGGTGAACAGAAATATTATGCACAAAATGGGGGAAATATTTAAAATTCATCTTTAAAAATAAAATGACATGAACTGGAAAATTTTGAGTCATAACTTGATTACAGTAGCCGATAGAATTACATCTGAAGTCTGTAGGCTAATGGTGGCTATTTGACTTAATAAAATTTAAATATCAGAAAAAAAAAAGAACAAACCTATTTTTATTACATGCACTAATTGCTTTTGTAGTCCAAATTCTGTCATCACTAAAGCTTCTTTTATTCTTTTAATTTTTGTAAAGAAAAAAATCATTTTTGTAATACCATCAACTTCGCAACTTTTCTTTGATGGAAAATATGTCCTATTTTTGAGTCATCAAGGAAGGAAAAAATAAAGTTATTGAAAATTCTGTGTTCAGTTATATCTTTGGCACTCTAAGTTATCACATATATTTACAAGATGAGTATTTACAATTATACATAATAACAAGTTTAGTATCACAGATAATTAATCAAATCTAAAATATGAAAATATGATTCCAATTTCGTGAGATTCCACAATATTCGAAAATTAATTTTACGAAATGCAAAATTCTGAATTCCTAGAGCAAAGATCAGATTTCAATCAAATACTTTGTGGGAATCATAAGAGATAGTGATGTCAAAAATTATTCAGTGTAACATATCAGTCAATGCCAATCCAAGTTTGGTCACTTCAGCTTAGTTTATCTCTCAAGAAATTGACGAAACTATTGATGTCATTTGTTCAAGATCTCACTGTAGCCTGTGCATATGGGATAAACAATGTATTGATTGATTATCCTAAAAGAGTGAACCTCACAAAATTGGATCAGATAACATGAATAATTTGCACCTTTTGCACCTTGCAAATAATCTCCGGTGGGTTAAGAAATATTCAACAAGTGGAGGTAGCCAAATAATAAAATGATTTCTGAATCAGCTCTTAATCCTCCACTGTATCAGATTTAAATTATTAGACCAAGGTAAAAAAGGATGCAAGATATTTTTATCAGTCTTTTAAGCTGTATAGAATCTAGAATACCTAATATCTTGGTATTAAAAAAAAAAAAGTTTCGAAGTTACCTTCAAATGGTGTTCTTTACAAAAAAAATTATGGTAATTTCAACTAGATTTCTGTCTAATTTTGGTGCCAGCTAGAGGTGTAGTTGCATCAGCAAGGAGTGTGGTTAAACAAACCATGCCTCTGGCTGGCGCCACAATCAGCTAGGAATATGGTTGAAATTATTTTACTTTTTTTCAGAGTTGGTTAAACGAAAATGAAGAGTTATTTGAGAATGACTTCTTTTAGACTCTCATATCAGTAAATGAAATTCAGGAGAATATTTTACACATCATTGCATAAGCAACAATACTGCCTAGGTAACTTTTTTAGCAGACTTGAATTAGCAATGGTAATATACCTAATGAAATGAGCAAACGGACTGTCTTTTTATGAAGATGAGTTCCAAGAGATAGTACTGCAGAAGGAATCAGAAGATTAACCTTCCATCAATTTCTTGCTTAGAGTGATAGAAATGAGGTTATTTACAAGCTACTGCAAGATACTTGAAAGTTTATTTAGGCAGTATTGTTTTTTATGTGACAAACAATGATAATTCTCATAAGTTGGCACCACTGAGTTTTGTCCATTCAGATATATTTAAAACAATCAATATTCATCTAGAGAGACTGCCTGTTCTAGGGTCGATTTTTTGAAATTGGGAAAAAAACAGGAGTTGCCAACTTGTAAGAATCACTACTGGTGACAAAAGTCTTGCTGATCCATCATTATTACTGTGCATTTGACAAAGAGTCATTCTGGCACAGAAGTTTAAAAAAAAATGGGAAAGGAACATATTGGAAACATCTTAATAGTCTTTTGAAGCACCAACATTGCCTGTTTCAATTTTGAAACAAAGCAAGCGAACAATGGTAACTGATCTACTATGTTAGAAACTTTCCTGCGCATAATACTGCAACTAACATTGCAGCACAGCTAGGGAAAACTAATAAGCTAGCAGCGCTGGTAACTTCTGAGTGAACCACTGTTGCCTCCGTGAGTGCACTTAGACTGAGCTCGCTCAAGATTCGCGGACTGCCTCGATGAATGAGGCTGGCTAGTTTTTCTGCTTCCCTTACGCATGCCTCCAGTTGCAGAGCTGATGGTCGCGGTGTCACTGGTATAACAAGAACCATTAAGTCTAGTTCAATCGTCAAGTGACCCCTGGCTGAACATTCCGCCACCTGAAATACAACATCAAAAATTAAATGCTAAATTTTAATTTTAACTCCTGCATGTCATGAAGTCCCACTGTAATAGCAAAAATAATGTATTGCTTGATCCATGATGCTGCTCTGAAGAGTAAGAATGAAGCAACTCCATTTTAGATTTTATGATTACTTTTCTGAGCAAATGCTCCATTACTGGGACAACAGATTGCCTCTGACTTTCATTTTCCCACTGTGAGTTTTCAAGAGAATAACACATGTTGTGATTTCTTTGAGAATTTTCCCTACCCTGGTAACTTGTAATACAAAATATTAGAAAAAAATTATAAAAGAAATGAATAAAATAGAGAAAAGCCCATGAAAATAGATTTAAAAAATCAAAATACATTCAATTTGATTCACTAACTTTTTTATTGCTTCTCTAATGACTCTTCCACCTCCTTAAAAAATCATTGACCTCTGATTGAATATATTTGTTTTTACATACATCTGTCAAGCTCATTGAGATAACCAGTTTTACATTTTCTTTTAAATAAGTTATTTTGCTAGCTGTGCAACAAGACTGCAGAAAATCTAGATTAAAAAGTTTGCATATGCGCACTTTTTTTGGAAAGAAACAGTGATTTGTAGATATCATGAGAAGTAATCTCACCACTCTTTTATGAAGCTCTGAAAATATTTACCTGAATCAGTCGATCAAGAGCACGGATTACAGCAGAAACTGTTAGTGAGCCCATTGCAGCTCCTTCTTTGAGCGCATATAATGCTCTATCCACTTGCTTTTGGCTGCAACAACAGGAATAATCACCATAAACATTAAAACCTCAATATAACTCGAAGAATTATACATAGATGTTAAAGGAATATTTCAGGCATCCAAAAATTTACTTGGAAAAAAAATGCAACCCAAATACTCTTTAGTATCAAGACGATGACATTGAAATCCTCACAAAAAAAGGGTGCATTCAGAGACGGAAATGTAGAAAAAGTCAGGGTAAAAAATTCTCTTCTAAAATGTCAGGAAACGTTTAAAATAAAAATAAGGAGAAAAACTGAAAATTCCACATTTGTCCAAGCGAAGATTTTACATAAAAATCACTTTCATCAGGAATACTGAAAGATTTGAGGTAGATGTAGAATGGGTCACTAAACTGTGAACGAATTTTGACTTGCGAATATAGTTTTCTGAAGGAAAATGACGCGTAGAACACGATGCGCACATTAAAAACGCGAACAAGTAACTCAATAACCGAGAAATGCGCAGTTCAAATCGCTCAACTTATACGCAAATTTAAAACGCCCCGGTTTCGCGCCGCGCTGAATGATGTCATCCGGTACCAATCAGAAGCGGGCATGGGTTTCCACGACTTCCGTCAAATGTCTATCTACTCTTCGTATATGAAAACAATACTAAAGTCGAAATTATATCTTTTGAATTCAAGACTTGAATCTCAGTCATATGTTAGCTGTAATAAACGAGCAACAATTCCATATTGAAACACGTTTTATTTTAACAAACATCAGAGGAAAATGAGAGAAGATTGCGATATGACTACCGCAGTGCGTCAACACCGTCAGTTTCCCGCCATTCGGGTCTGTTTGAAATGTCTTGCAGTTTTTAGATTTTTCAAAAGCGGGTTTCTCCGCGATTTCGGCTCCATAAAAATGCGGAAAAATCACCACGTTATCTACTCACATTGTACTTTCAGAATATTCAGTAAAATAAACAAGGTTTAGTGACCCATTTGGCAGTAGATTTTGGAGGTTTTTTTTGCAATAAAATGATTTTTTATAAATCCGCTGGGGAATTTTTTCTCCAAAATCTGAAGAGAACCTGCAAATCAAGAACTAATTTCTCACTTGATATTTTCTAAATATATTATGATTTGGGGAAAATATTAGAGCTCAGTAGCTCTGCGTCCGAACTTGTCAGATCCAATCAGAGTTGCAAAAGGTTTGAAGTTAACAGTTAAAAAATATCATTTTAAAAAAGCTATTTGAATGTTTTATCTGCTATTTTTGGAGCTCAAAAGCGTTGGATTAGAATCAAATTTTCTGCTCTCTGTTGGAATAAAAATGAACTCAATAACTCAAAAATTATTCTTGAGGGTACTAGATGCGTTTCCTATCAAGAATTGAAATTTCCATCTTTTGACCAAAAAAAGTTGAATCCATACAATATGGATCCTTTACCTATGAACAGTCTAAATTTAAATTTCCAAATGACTTTCATTACCTGTAGAGTATTCGTAAAGCTCCAGCACACACTGGACAACAAGCTCCTGGCGGAGTAATGCCAACACAGTCAGGAATAGGAAGAGGTGGACAGACAACACGTGCGCAACGGTGGGTTGTTGCCAGTCCAACCGATGTACATGGTCCGCGGTAGTCAATTGCCACATACTGCGCTTGCGCAGCACACTCAGTTACATATGTGTTGGCATCCACACCACATACTGGCCCTGAATTACTGCAGCCATGCTGAAATTAAACAACGCTTTGAATTAAGATTGAGGAGTGGACCACCCAACAGCGGAAAAATTATTCATCATGAGAATATTCGGACTGCGTTTGGCAAAGAAGGGACCAAACCGCACCAGCTACTGCTGAATTTATCAGGGCACTTTAACTTTTTATAAGAGAACGTTTAAGCGGATTCCTATGAAAATTTTAGGAAAATCGCTTCGTAAAATGCAGAAAATTCCTAGAAATTTGCACAAAAGTATGCACAATTGTGTAATATAAAGAAATTAAAATGCCCAATTAAATTTGGCAATAGCTGATTTGGCTTGGTTTCTCTCTGCTTAAAGCGGCCCATTTCCTCCTCAAATTATCATGCTCATTTGGTATGGTCATGTCCAGAGAATGGCAGGAGACAGGTTGCCGAAGAAGGTCCTTGACCGGGTTCCTCCTGGGAGAAGACGCAGAGGGCGCCCAATGAAAGGTTGGAGGGAAGGAATTGAAGCGGAAATGTTAAGGTGCTCAATCCCCCAAAATTTGTGGTTTGTAAGAGAGCAGTGGAGGTTAGGGGTCGTAGAGCGCGAGGGAGTGCTGTAAAGCGACTTATATGTATGTATTATCATGCTAAAAATTTTGGACTAGCTAAGATTTTCAAAAATTTGAAAAAAAGTGAAATGATATAGCATTTATTTTTCATATTAAAATTGGTTCATTTTAACTTTCATGCACTGTTTCTAGAAAAGACCAAAATCAACTTCAACTAAATTTGACATTGAAAAAAAAAATTATGTTGAGCAAATAACTACGTTGGAATGTCACATAAAATTCTTCCACCTCTGATGCACACCCATCCTGAAAACATGCTGAGATTGTAAAACACAATGATATTCCCTGTAACACTTTAAAGTGATCTTCAGAAAAAAAATAGGAATAGAGAAAAATGGGGGAAAAAACTCACAAGACATGGGCCATGATAAGCTAATGTTTTGCCATAGCGCGCTAGGAAACAAATGTTGTGATGTTCCTGTCCATCAGTGTCACAGACGTGTTCTTTTGGTAGACTGCTACAGGCTTCTCGCTTGTTAACTGAAAAATTGGGAGAAACAATTTAGTAATGATACATTTATTTTTCCTACTTTGTCTAGGATTTAGCAATTTTAGGGAGGAAATTCAGAAACATTTTCTCTATATAACAAGGCGTCAACAAGGCGTTTTTGTTATGACAAGGCGTTTATTAAATTTTCTTTCCTTTTTTCTGACCATTGGATTTTCCAACTCCCCGATTTTCCCTGATCTTTTTTTTCTAGATCAGGAGAAACGCAAAAATAGACATAGCCAAGCGCAAAGTACCTTGGGACTGATAAGGATTTCTGAGGAAAAAATGAATAACAGACCAGGAAAAATCACTGCAGGGCTCAGTGTCAAAGCACTGAAATCATGAAAAACTCACAATCTTGCACAGAACTTTGCTGCTCTCCCAATTACACTTATCCTCTCCCTGACCAATTTCAATTCTCTGTCTTTCCCAGTTGCTAGAAGCGCTGATAATACCATACATACATTTTTCCCAGGCACTCTTTAACAATGAATGACCATCTTCTGTCGTTTTCGCCAACAAATATGTGAACAGTGAACTATAAAAATTTTCAAGTTAGATGAAACTTTCAAGTTCCTATGTGCTGTGAAATTATGTACCACTTGAGAGCAATAGTTATGAATCCCTAGGAACACGTACCACACTGATATTGCTTGCATGGCTTGTGTAGGAGGGACAGGCAGACTTGTCGGGCACGAACACATGTCTCTCCTTCAGGACATGTTTTTGAATCACATGCGTTTAAACTCTCGCATTGTCCGAACTCAAAGTCAGCATCAGTCAATCCTGCACACCTAAAATTTGAGTCAAAAGAGGATAGCTGGATTAATGATCAGCTCTTGCAAATTTTGTTGAAATATATTCAAATTGCCTTCATTTCTTTCTTCTTACGAGTTAATAGGTATAAAGCTTAAATATTTTGAAGAAGAAACATTATCTGAGATGGTTCCCTCTACAAGAAAACAAATTACTTAATTATTGCAGGTTTTCACAACCAAAATAGTAGAGATTCTACAACTTCATTATCAATAATCTACCAACGTGCATTAAAAAAATTAAGTCTCTAACACTTATTTTAGGATTGACAGACAATTTCTTACTATTTCTTGTCGAATTCATAGTTTACCTAAAACTTCTTTCAAACTGTATTGAAAACTTAATAAATCTAGCAGGCAGAGAAAATATTAGTTTTCTTCCATTTTTAAAATCTTTTGGTCTAAATCTTTTTAGTTATTAAAGATACCCTGATTTTCAGTAATTTCTTTGTAATCTCAAAAAGGCATCCATTTTCAAATTTTTACGACATAAAGAAGTTGCATAGGAACAGCCGCTTACTTGGCAAGACACGAGTTAGGATACGTATTTCCATTCCGACCACAGACAGGGACATAGTGACGTGCACAGTTGCAAGGGAGGCTAGTGTACGTAAAATCATGGCCTCCTAGTGCAGGAATATCACACTGTTTCTTGGTGCATGTTATCTCTCCTGCATAGCAACTACACACATTACACTCCATATAAAACCATGCACCATGATCTGAAAAAAAGAAAAAAAGTTATTTCCTCTCACTGATGTGTCTAAAAAGTAATTGAAAAAGATCCTATTATTTCAGAAACACACAATTCGATGCATTTTAGTGAATTATTTCAAACAGATTGGGAGTTTCACTTAGAATGATTAATTTAGCTTGCAAGATTTCATTTCAAATTCAGTATACAATAAAATATTATAAAACCAACAATTCAGTTCTGTGTCAATAATTTGTTTTCAAAAATCTTTTTTACAGATCAAATATTATTTGCCCCTTTTTTCTCATTTTGTGATCCTTCTTTCCTTTAATAGTATTCCTCTTGTTGAACTAGGTAAAAAAATGTTCTTCCTATACCAATCTCCCATTTCCATTCAATTTTGGGCGGAATATGGCTCAGAAATATTCTCTTCCAAAAATACTGTGCAACTTCATAGGAGATGATCGTGATGTAAAGCTGATCTTTGACCCTTGTCCTCCTTACAATACAACATAATGCAGACTAGGATTTCCCTCCCCTCTTGGAACATCACATCATATTCAGGTGCTCACTATGAGTAATGAATATATTTTTAAAGCCCCCTATGAAGTTGACAGATTATTATTACGAGCGTTTAAAGAGCTTTAAAAGTACCTGCATTAAGAAAATTATAGAGACACGTGTTTACACAAGAAGCCTCATTTTTCAGCACTCACCTATTTGTTTCACTCCCAGCCAACAAGCTTCCAACGGAAAGTAGGGCATTGGCTGGCACTTTCCAATTGAGCCGTCACTCATACAACGGCAAATTTTCAGATAGCCCTTCTGCCCGCTTGGAGCAGGAATCCTTACATAAGATCCTTCAGGAACAATATACTGAGAAACTTCACCTAATTTGCAACCTGGAAATCAACAGATAGGAGTGGGCGTTTAATAAAAACATTTTTAGTAAAGGCAATTGTAAATAAATCAAGAATTAATATTTTGGTTGTATATGTCGCAGGCAATTAGCAATCGCCGGCAATTTGCAAGCGGTTCACTTGTTGTTTCAATAAATCGCAGTAACGCGCAACGGCATAATGCAATTTTTAAGCTTTATGGTCTTCAAAAGTATGAGCTCGGCTTGAAGCGTCTTCATTTTTTGTAATACTCTACGCTTTATCACAGTGTTAGTTTAGGTGCCTGTCCGATCTCAACCCAAGTAATGTCACGGAGTTCACTACACGCGTTTCTAAGTGTGCATATTCCTGCCATGTTTTTAAGGATGGAGAAGTGTCTATTCACATTATAGGCAACATAATCAGCACTCTAATCTTTTTCTTTTATTTTTGAATTTTATGAATTTCTACATTTATTCACCACTGGCTTGTAAATTGCCGGCGATTGCCAATTGCCTGCGACATATATATCCATTATGTGTAAAATCGCATACAGCTTGAAAAGACTTCTAGATTAAGAAAGAAGTTACATTTATATGCCAAAATTTGATCCAATTCTGTCAAATTTTGGTGAGGGTGTATTATCTAGTCCTCGGAGGAAAATTAAATTTCTTACTTTGAAAACTGAAAATAAAAGTAGAAATGCATTATGATAAGAGTGGGAAAACCACTTGAGATTCCACTGAGAAACCAAAACCACTCAAATGTTTTTAACCCTTCTGACAGAAGATTTTCTTACCTGCAAAATGAAATTCCTGCTTACGTACGGTTTAACCAAATAGATTTGTCTACAAAATGTCAGGAGAAAAATGTTCTTTCTCCTCTGGACCATCATTTTTGATATTTAATGATTCATCCTTAATTCTCCTAGGACATGAGCTGTGAATCATCCCTAACCCAGCCTCTATGCGACTAAATTCAAGCCGAATCCAATCTTGAAATCGACAGGTCTAAAAGGCTCCAAGTAGACTGATCTATCCGTTTCATAGTATGCAAATGGACTGCAAAACGTAAAGGAACCTCATTTCTGACCCACTTTAGAGACAATGTGTGTGCTGTTAGTGTCCCTATGGATGGGTCAGGGATAGTTATTTCCTGTTGCGTAATGCAGTCCAAATGATACGAAAAGCTGATAGCAGCTGAAACACTTAGGGTAAACTAGATATCAAATAATGCTACACTATTTGAAGGAAGAAACAAACCTGGTGTGCAAGTATACGCAGGACAATGAAGCCCGAGGCGACAGTTGCGGTTGACAGAGCAAACTTGACCGAAAGGACAAGGGTCTCCTCGACAGGGCGTGGTCAGCTGATCCAATCTGTAGGGATACAAAGCATTGCTAGGCTCTAAAAATGGTTGCAATGAGACACAAGGACCAGCTGAATTGCTCGAGAGCTTGTTGCAAACAGCTGCTGCTGAGTGACCCTTCGGCATTCGATCCCAGTCAAGGCACCGATTCAGAAGTTCAAAACAGTCCTCTCTGGAAAAATAAAATAATTAAGCACTATAGATAATGTAAATGTAAATTTTAAATTCCTGATTGAAATGTTAAGTAGGTATGAGGTTTAAAAAATTTCAATTGACAATATGAATTCTTTTAACTCTGACCATGAAATTTTTCGATACTGGGAAGTTTGTGCAAAAATTTATCTCGCCTGTTTCAAATTGGTAATGTATAGGTTTATTGATTAAATTGCATCTTGTATAATTAAAAATTTGCTTCTCTGCAGGTTTTACCATTTTACCTGTTGAAAAGTTCATTTGTTGAAAGTGGTCTCTTAATGATTTTCTCCCGCACTAAAAATATTGAAAATAAAATATTTTTGAGAAAAATAACTGCTCAGGGTGACATGACTTTGGTGCTCAGAGGCAACTTTTTCGGGCGTAATATATTTGTCGAATTGGATTGGTAGGTAAATCCACATTTGAATCTCAAACGAATTTGTCGAATTCTTGAAAAATTACCCATGGTTCCAGTAAAGATATCAACAAAAATAGAGGTCTACCAAAACAGAGGTCTACCAAGGCGTGATGCAGGTAATTTTCTAAGGGAATATAGACCTACATGGCAGGGGGGGATTTAAAATTCCTAATTTCAGCAAGATGGGATCTAACATCATGTATATAAGTCACATTCAATTTTTTTGTTGTCCGCGTTGAGGTTGCAAGATATGTGAAACTGACCTGCAAATGGTGTTGATATGAGAATGTCGCTGGCATGGTTTTATTTGAATGGTGCAAGCGACAGCTTTCCAGGCTTGAGGCGAACATGACGAAATATTTTTGACAGGTAACTGGAGGCCTGGGAGAACAAGGGTCCCTTGCTGTTGCCACAAAGCGACATCATAACGCGCTGCCTCATCAGCAACATTGGAGCAGCTCCGAAATAATTGTGTGGGGCGATTGTTAAAGTTGGTGCAGTAACTGAGGCCATCACAACCCAACTCACACGGCTCCTCCACTAGAAAATTACAGAAATACATACTTTATGATTGTATAAATATATGTTTGTCAGTGGGTATTAGCAACAATAACAAACAAAACATTTTGAAAAATAAATCCAATGTGAAAGTAAAAAAAATATACAAAAAAGAAGGATGTTGAATTGACATTTGGCAAGTAAAAATCATTCCAATCCCTTACTTTACACCCAGCTCCAGGTGAGCCTTGCATTGGGACCATCAAACTCAGGTTGTCTGGGCATGCTTTGAACCCCAGATCTCTTGATCATAGAGCAAGCACTACAGTCACTACACTACAAAAGGCAAATCAACGGTGTAAGTCGGCAATCACATAACTCGGTTTGCAACATCGCAGACTTCCTGTCATACTTTATTTTTTAAGTGGAAAACTACTCAACAGCAATTCATTAAAACTGCCGTGATTTTTCTTCTCTGTGCGAAGAAAATTCTGCATAAGCTTCAAGGAATGATGTTAATTTGTTCTCCTTTAAAAAGATGACAAAGAGGCGGAAATTTTCTGACACTGCAAACTAGTTGTGTGATTGCCGACTTACACCGTCGATATTTTGTGTGCACATGCTCCAATATTTTCAGGATTGCCAAAAATTTATCATCTTCAAATTCCCTGACTTTTGTCTGCTTTTACCTAACTCCATTATTTTCTAATTCCCAGACTTTTTTTGAAGGAAATTTTCCGACACCGCAAACTAGTTGTGTGATTGCCGACTTACACCGTCAAAATATTGATCAGAGGTATTCTCGCGAAACCCAGAGCTCATCTGGAAATTGGACTAGTTCCCTTATACAGACAATTTGTTCAATTATACCGTAAATTTTAGTGATAATGATTTCATTCTATAATTACCTTCCTCTAAACAATAGAAGAGACTTTCCTCAGAGGTATGAGAAAGACATTCTTTATCAAAGTTCTCCCAGGATTTTGTCCACTCGGTAGAGAAAGTTTCTAGACACAATCTTCTGCATTGTGGTGAGACAGCTCGGTAACAACAATGCAGTTTCGCTGCATCAAGACCTGTCCGGTCAACATTGCTTTCCTTGTCCTCAGTTTTCTGCATAAAGCACTGCCACAATGGTAAGCTAGATAGCTGGGGATCAGAAACAAACAAAAGCTGAATGAGAAAGTCAAGTCAATTATGAAACAGTTATGAAAAGACACCTTACTCCCACTTTAATTCCTGGAACACTGCAAAAATTTATAGTGAAAGTTACAAAAAATGTACCTGCAGTTGCAGATTTCTTTGTACATGTAAAAATAGACCAACGAAGATTATTGTTTTTGGAATTTTCACTGCATTTTTTTCATTGCATACTTGATATTTTTTGAAAATTTTGGAAAATAAAGATCATTGAATCTTATTCATAAAATAAACAACAGTTAGGAATTTGAAGTGGCGCAACTACTGAGTTCGAGATTGGTATTTGACTTCAACTTTCACAGTCAATACGTAATATGTCTATTCCTCCTGTACTGAGCTATCAATTTCCTTGACTAGCTACTGTGCACCCAAAAATTTTATGTGGTCAAGTGAAGCTGATGACAGGAGATTTAGACTGTGAGGTGAATACAAAATATTACCGCATTATCAAAATGAGGAGGTAGTATCCATTGAGCTGATAAATCATGTGATGACATTCAGAGACACCAGTACTCCACAAAAAAGATATGCACATAATTGAACTAGACAAGGTACTTCTAAATGCACACATGGTGATTAAAACCACTTGCTGATAATACTTTAAAATCGAAGTCGGAATCTCACATGGAATCTCGCTACTATTACAAGGCAAAGCACACGTTTCTGTGTTTATTTTCTTATTCGAGGTTAGAATTTTGAAATTTCGCGCAAGAAGGATTCATCCATGTTTCATCACTGGTGGCCAATCAGATAGCTTCGTTGGTTCCGGCTGGCATGATGCCGAACCGGAAACGCATTTTACGCGCAGATCGGACATTATCAACCGGAAATGCACCACAACAAGTAACGGGGCGGGGAGCTCCGTTTCAGGGCAAAAAATAGAAGAAAAAAAATAATGATACTACTCGTTTACTACGAATCAGTGGTGTGGAATTATCGAGAGATTTTCCCTAAATAATTACAGGTGAAAAATTGATAGAGGAGAATTTCGTCCAGGAATGTACAAGTTCGAGTTTCTATTTGGCCATTCAAAAACGTGGGAAGGACGTCTGACTTTTTCACTGGAACTTACGATGGGGGTGGCGGAACAGGGCGTCCGCAGTCTTTAGTAAGCCTCCCATTTAAAGAAAAAAAGTAATACCCCGCATTTTTCAGAACTATATTAGTATGTTCTGCACATTATGTAGACTGGTTTCACTATATTTTATTCCATTTTATTTTTAGAGTACATCAGTCAAAAGTAAAAATCTTACATGAAGGAGCGGAGGTCCACATCCTCCTTCTTGCAGGCTATCGATTATTTCGTGGTCCGTGCTTTTTATTCTCAGGCTTTTCCGACACGATTCTCTGCATTGACTATCCGTTGATTTTTCACAACAATGCAAGTCTGTGAAAATAGAAAAATAAAATACAAACATCAGCATCTTGTTTAAAATGCCAGGAAAAAACTAAAATAGAAAAAATCTGAGACACCAAGTTGAAATTCAGCACAATGTTGTTGAGGGTTTTGACCGAAACTTCGGGATGGAGATGAGATCCGCAGCCCCGAGTAATGACAAAAACCTCAAAAAAATACTGAACCTCTGGCGTGAATCACGAAAATTAAATCCAGGTACTTCGTCACGCACATGACACTTATGACGAACGAGAAATTTATAGGAAAATTGGCAAGAAGGGAAAGTTTGTCAAGGGTGCACTATTTCGCCTTCAATTTTTGAGGTAGGCCAGGAGAACACTCTCCATGCATCCTCAGTTTGTGTCACAAGTGACGAACATATAGAGCCCGAATTTCATTGTAGCGCCTGGATGCAACTATTCGGGCTCTATGGATGTCCGTGTTGCATACGCTTGGGAGTGAAGGCGTTTTATCTGTTCAGGGATTAACATGTGACGTTATATACAAATCTTGCCTCGCAATACCTGAAAATTATGATATAATCCACCTAGAACGGCACTTATCCGGAAAATACAACATTTTACATCAACAATGTTTTCAAAATACATCATTGAGGAAAGAGAATTGACCGATGGATGGATGAATTTGATAAATACGTACATTTGTGAGGGTTGGCGACAGGCGCTACCCGAATGATGTTCTTGAGGCAATGGGTCACTTTGGGGCTGTTTTGACTGCAGGCCTCCGTCACGGCCATCCTCACCTGGTGGCTCGGTGTCAGCTGACTCCGGAAAACGGCGCGACACGCCCCCTCGCACTCCAGACTCCGCGCATTGCTGCAACACTCCGCCCCCAACTGAAAAAAATCAGAAGGAGGATTTTTAAAGTTGAACTTCTTTTTATCGGGCTGCATTTTGTTAATGATATTACCTTTCTCCCGATCACTTGTTATCAGATTTTAGGCGATGCTATTTCGATGTTACGCACACATCATCACCAGGACGCGTTCGCGGCGACGGGTGCACTTACGAGTGTTTTAATAGTGTTTTTAATAAGTTTTAGTACATTTTAGTGAATTTTAATAATACACAATGTGACTTTTAGTGTTTACCAAATCCAAGTGGCCTGATGATGATATGTACGTAACATCGAAATAGCTATCGCCTAAAATCTGATAACAAGTGATCGGGAGAAAGGTAATGTGTATCATCAAGAAGGAGAAAAATTAAAACCGAAATATTTGAACTTTGAAAGTGTCTTTTCAGGCAAAGAGCGATGGAGGAAAGGGCCTCACTATCGGCGACGCTGGAATTAAGTTAGGACATAAGAGAGACGAACAAAGCATCCTCAGTTTGTGTCACACGCGACGAACATAGAGCCCGAATGTCATTGTTGCGCCTGGATGCAACTATTCGGGCTCTATGGATGTCCGTGTTGCATACGCTTGAGAGTGAAGGCGTTTTAACTGTCCAAGCACCCATAGCTTCACCCGTAACGAGGTAGCACGGCGGCGCACGGTGGATCGAGTCAATGAGAGAGATCGGACATGAAATTTTTAACTAAACCTGCAAATTTTGATGTTCATGTCGTCACATTTTACATTTCAAGGGGTGTTTATAGAAGAAAATTTTACTAGAAAACCAATGGAACCTCTTTGTGATCCTCAAAATTTCGTATTGACGGAGTTGCACGTTCTTAAAGTTTCCAAATTGTGTCCGACCTCCCCCATTTACTCGACCCATTGTACGACGGACGGCACTGCGAGGATTCAAAATGACGGAGTACGATGGTGCTCCGATGGTCATATACTAGACTAATTCTATGATGGAAAGGTGCTTTGCGATTGGTCGGCTCGGTCGATCGAACAACCGGCAATTGTATTCGCGCTTCTTAAGTTTGACTTCTTCCAACTCACGCACTGCCAATAATCAAGTGTATCGATTACCCTCAAATGGTCACTAAAACTATTACAAACCTTGGTCGTTAATTTGTTCCCGAAAATTCTGATTTTATTTGATGGTTAGGGCAAACCACTTAATTTTTAAAAGCAGGATTTCACAACCGTAAAATACAGCTGCGAGAAACCTATATGAAAATCCTTCAGCCATGAAATTAACTTACATCTTACAAATAAGTAATTTTGTCGAACATCTGTGATACAACATCGCGTCTCTCAGCTTTACGAGTTTTGGTACTCGGGCCGAACGACTAAACGCGAGACACACGTGTTTTTCAGCTATAATCGTGACGAGTGTCTTTCCTTTCCGGGCGTTTAAGTCTCCGAATAATATTAACTTGAAATCTCAAAAAGGCACATAATGCACCCGGGAGCAAACGTCCAAAATTCAGCGAGCTTTTTCTGTATGAATCAAAATTATTACTTCGTATGCCGGGCATTTAAGTCTTTGAGCTTTCAGTCACTGAATGATGAAAATACGTGCTCATGTAAATGATAAATAAAGGTAAACATGAGTACTGATAAAAGGCAAGAAAATTAATGTAAGCTGTTTATTCAGAAGTTGAAACAATTATCTTCCTTCCCGAACGTTTAAGTCTCCGAAGTGAATCTCCAGTTGACAAAATACCATTCGAGGGACTATCAAGATTATCTGCTGATCGGTGCGAATTTCTAGCTGAAAATCGTGCCGGTAACGTTTCTTCCCATGCGTTTGAGTCTCCGAGGTAATGGTCATTTGAAATGGATAAAGCCACGAGGGACTTATCCATCACTTGAAAGGAGATGGTAAGATCCAGGACTTCATTTCACATGACTTTTCAAAGCTCACCTAACAACTTACACTTTTCCGTTCGTCGACGAATATACGTGTTTTACATCGACAATTTTACAGAATTTTCGTCCGATCAAGAAAGAAATTACAAAAAATTTAAAAAAAAAAAAAAAAAAAAAAAAAAAAAAATACAACCATTTTTGGTTAGAGCAATACATTTCCGGATGAAAAATGTTAAAGACGTGCAATAATTAATCATACAACGCAGCATCACCGCCGTTTCACCCCGGAAAACGATAAAAAAAAAACCGCACCCTTCAAGACTTTACGAGGTTCTCGACCCCCGTTCACACGGCTACGCTTCACGGTTCGTTTCAGAGGGAGGTAAATAAAATAGTGTTGCCCACTCAAAATTCCTTCGGGATCTTGAAGTAGGATGCATACACAGTCATTTAAGCCTAAAATGAAAATATTCTGTCGAGCTCTTCGAAAATAAAATCGATTTTTGTGTTTTTGGCGCTAAAATGGCCTTCAAAAACGATCAATGATTCAATTCCGATGGGTTGTGCATATGCAAAATGGTACATGTATGATGAAATCTACGTATTTTTGGACCAGAAATCGATTGAGCAGGGTCCCGAATCGGTCCGAAGCTTCATTGACCGAAAAATGGGCCTTTTTTGGGATTTTAGGGATGTTTTGGGCCCATTTTTTCCCAATTTTGTCGTGAGAAAATCTGTGCCGTCATGGGTATTGATTATTCGGTAATTTCGTGCGAGAAATCAAATACGCTTGGTCACGAGTCAATCCGGGGCTTCCTAATCCAAGAATACGCAGTAGGCCCAGGTGGAGCTCCGGAAGAGCTTTGAAAATATTTTTTGTCTTTTATGTTCAAACTGGATGCTGAAATTGGCCTTTCTTTGACTTTAAAATGAGACTCCTGAATAAGTAAGTTGTGGTTTGTGTATGAGGAATATTTCTTTTTCATGATACTTGGACAAATTTTCCAAATACATATTTCTCTGATCATGAGATCTAGTTCAATTTCTAGTGCTGCAACGTAACAAATCAATATCAATCACGAGATATCCAAAGGAATACATCCACCGGCGGTATCAGTGGTATTCCTATCAATAATTTTTATTTCGACCGAGAAAATATGCCGTACACATCAATTTCTCTTTTTCAAAGATCTTCTGACGTGAAATCGTATGCGCTTTATGAAGAGACGGTATAAATTTGGACTTGAAAAATGAACTCCTCTTGTGGATTTATAATATTTATATATGCAGAATAACTATTTTCCCTCCTTTTTCGGTCAAACAAATAATCTTAACCCAACCAAGCCGAGAAAAATTTCTCGGCCTAAGAAGCCCCGGAGTGACTCGGGACCAAGCGCATTCGATTTCTCGCCCGAAATTACCTAATAATCAATACCCATGACGGCACAGGTTTTCTCACGATAAAAATTGGGAATAAAATGGGCCCAAAACATCCCTAAAATCCCAAAAAAGGCCCATTTTTCGGTCAATGAAGCTTCGGACCGATTCGGGACCCTGCTCAATCGATTCCTGGTCCAAAAATACGTAGATTTCATCATACATGTACCATTTTGCATATGCACAACCCATCGGAATTGAATCATTGATCATTTTTGAAGGCCATTTTAGCGCCAAAAACACAAAAATCGATTTTATTTTCGAAGAGCTCGACAGAATATTTTCATTTTAGGCTTAAATGACTGTGTATGCACCCTACTTCAAGATCCCGAAGGAATTTTGAGTGGGCAACACTATTTTATTTACCTCCCTCTGAAACGAACCGTGGCTTGCGTGGTGCAATCCCTTGTCTTTTACTTTAACCAGTTCAGATCCTCCTCTGTAGCTTTACGCCGTGCCCGGGTCAGTGCTCTAAAGCTGAATACATTCCATTTTGGAATTAAAGTATATTTTAGTAATATCATGACTTAAATTTCTTTAAAAAAATTGCAATTTTGCAATGCAATTAATTCTCTCTGATTATTATATTCTGACTCTTACTCTCATGAACATTCCTATTATACTCTTACTTTGCTTGTGATTCCCTCTAATCTACCACTCCAATTCTTTATAACTCATGTCCGGAGGGTATAAATTCGATTCGTTGCGTCTCACAGTGGATCGAGTCAATCAGAGAGGTCGGATATGAAATTTTCGACTAAAAATGCAAATTTTGATGTTTATTTCGTCACATTTTAAATTTTAAGGAGTGCTTCGAGAAGAAAATTTTACGAGAAAACCAGTGGAACCAATTTTGGAACCCTAAGGTTTGTATAAACGGAGTTATAACCGTTTGAAGTTTCCAAATTGTGTCTGACCTCTCCTGCAGACTTGGTCCATTCTGCGTCTGTCCCGATCTTACCAGCACTGCACCCCACACTGGAAAAAAAAAAAAAAAACACATTGGATCTAGGGTCCAGACTCTTGAAAACATTGACAAGAAAAAGGACTCTTAATTCAATCAGATTTAAGCTTAAATCAAGGAAATCCGCTCAAATTAAGAAGCTTGGATCTTGATTTAAGCTTAAATCTGATTGAATCAAGAGTATTTTTTCTTGTCGATGTTTTTAAGAGTCTGGACTCTAGATACAATGTGTTTTTTTTTTCGGTGCAAGACCAAATTCTCTTTATACTGAGTGAATTTTTTAACATTTTAATTTAAAGCATGCGTTATTAGGATACTTAAGCAACATACCTTTTGACGATCGACACAGGTGAAGAGAGCGAGCTCGTCGCTGTACCTGCAGTTGGACACGAGATCCGATCGGGAGTTGGCCGACAGACAGGCTTCTTTGCACCGCTCCGACTGGGCAAACGTGCAGCAAGGTCGTCCATGCCAATGCGGGCTCTTATTAATCTCTGCAACAGTCATCGTCGTCCAGTGTCAATATTCAAATTCGCATAAGCCTCTTACTAAACGCACATTTATATTGATCGGAGAAGCATGAGTTCATAAGAGGGTTACCATCCGCGATTAGAGTGTATATACTTTAGACCGCGTTCAGCAGAAAGGAACCAAACCACATCAGCTATCGCCAAATTTGACAGGACGATTGAATTTTTTACAAGATAACGTTTAGGCGAATTCTTTTGAAAAGTTAAAGGAATTTGCTTCGAACTATGCAGAAAATTCGCTGAAATTCGCACGAAAATCCGCACAACCGTTTTCATGTACAAAATTGAATTGCCCGATTAAATTTGGCAATAGACGACGTGGCTTGGTTCCTTTCTGCTTGACACAGTCCATGAATCGTACCTCTATTCTCACACTCATCCGTCTAGCACGGAGACAAGATAGCCCCCGCGACTGCAGTAATACTGCCGAGCTGAGGAAAAACACTGTAAGAGCCTTTAGAGGTTGCCATTTCCTTGGACGGATCGTGAATTTTTGCGAAAATCTGTGGAAATTTTTCTCCCGATTTTTCGCGGAATTTTGTTCGCATTAAGATTTAAAGTCTCTGAAAATTTCAAGGAAAAATATTCATGACTTGCCTTAAAAGTGGAAATTTTCTGAGAGGAGATTTGGCAACATTCGATTGTTCATACGCTGTTCTTCCTCAGCACGTCAGAATGGCTTCCCATGGTATAAGATTTACTTTCAGGGATAAACATTAATCTCTTTCGTCTAATGATGAGTGATGAGAAACGTGTCGAGGAACTTATTTAACAAATAGAATATTAATTTGACGGACCTTTGTCGGAAAAATGCTCGGTACACGATATTAATCGGTCATTATTTGGCGAAGACGAGTGAAAAATCCTCAATTCTTCGAAACAAGAGAAAATTGATAAATAAAGAATAAAAAGTAACAAAACATAAGCCTGAGCTTCAAAGGCGGATATGGCTCGGAAAAAACAACTGGAAATCCTCCGTTATTTTCATCACATGTTGCCTTAAATGCTGTGGATTGTGTTCACTAATTGGACATGCATTTTGCAATTAGGAACCTTGAATTCCGGCCCGGTTTCAAAACAACATATGTGCCATTAGTTTCCCTACGCACATAAGTGTTTTTTTCAGATGGGCCAGAATTTATAGTTCCAAATTGCAAAATGCAGTCCAATTGGACCGAGTTCATCGGAAAGGAATCAACCCACATTGAGTTGAAACTGAGAAAAAGAGGTTGAAGTTTTATTCCTGCGTACGGCTCAATTCAGAAAATGTTAACCTTTCTTCACACGAGCTAATTTCTTTTTTTCGACTTTCAGCTTTTCCTAGAGAAAATAAACTAGTAGAACTCAAAAACATTCTTAGTTCAATTTTTTCGAAAATGTGGGCTGGTTCCAGTCTGATAAACTTGGTCAAATCGCTTCTAATGTTATCGAAACATAGTGGGAAAATCTCCCAGAACGCGTCACATGTTCATCACCCCGAAAACGAGCGTAGTTTCTGTCATTCGTGTAAGTGATTCGCGCTTTTGTTGACTTGGCAAATCAACAACGAGGCGCGATTAAATCTTGCTTTTGATTAGAGACAGGAAAACGTGGGGGCCCGGAGAGGGGAAGGGGGGGACGGACCACCACGGAAGGAGACTGCCCGGGCCCCGGGTCAAGTGCCCTATCACGTCCGCTCTCCAAGCGAGCTTTGTGCTTTGGTTCCGATGCCAAACACTCGATCAATGATAAACTGACAATAAATGCGCGTCAAAAAGGACATTGCAAGGAAAGTTATTTGAAAAAGTATATAGATGAAAAAAAGACGGGGAGGGGGCTAGGAATGCCTTCTCTAAAATGATTTGAAAAATGACAAAATAATGACTTGATCAGGGCCGGATTAAGGGGGTGGCCACATGGGCCGCGGCCCATGGCGGCAAATTTTGCAATTTTTTTAAATGCAGGTACAAAAAATCGGATTCAGAAAAAAAATACAAACCAGAAAAGGTGACAAAATCTCTCATTTCCTGAGAGTTCATAAATTTCTAATTTTGTCGTGTTTCGGTGATACAAAAGACCGCGCACCTTTAATGGGCCTGTTGCACCAATTTTTTTTATTGCTTTAATCGATAGACCTAAGGCTCCTGATGTCACAGGAATTTTCCCGGAGTTTTTTGATCACCGGAAACCCCCAAAAAATCAACTTAAAAACGCCTCAGAATTTGGATTTTCAAAACGGTCGTTTCGGGTCCGCCATACTTGTGACGTGAAATGATATGACAGACCTGGTTTCTTCATCACTTACAATGTATTTTCCCGTAAGGAAATGGCAGCCGCTTTTCAAATGCAAATATTGAGTCAATCGCTAATTTTTTGATCAAAATTGAAAGCAGAAATGGATTCCTCGTACGTTTAAATGGTTAAAACCTTCATTTGATAAATAAGAACCGACGGGATAAACCCTATTTTTAAGGAAGACTGTAGTCAATGGGCGATTGTTTACATCTGCTTAGTGATAACAGACATGGACATTAGCTCAATCTTTGGCCATTTTCATGAGTTTTTACTCGTTTGTCACTATTTGAAGGTAAGTTTATTTTGTAAATCAATTGTCTAGTGTCTTAGGATCATGTTAAAAGCTGTAAAGGTATACTTTGTTACTTATTAATTCAGAACACACTCCGGCAGTCCAACGCTCAAACCTGGATGTAGCGAGTCAGTTGTTATATCTTACTATTTCACCCTTTAATGCTTCACTGAAGACACCAAAATGATAGTATCAATCATTGATGATAAAAAAACTTACTTTTGACAATACTGATGAGATGAGGAGACCGGTATGTTTTAGCTGGAGGCAAGGAAAGTAGACGTAGGATCCTTCTTCGATTACCAGACTTTATCGATAAATTTTTCTGTATAGTGTTACATTTGAAACACACAGGATTTTAAAATAACATAAGTTTATAAAACGTGGGAACGTTCTGAATGATATTGAGATGTTTGTTGAAGAGTTAAGAATGATTTACACGCATTGAGAGAACATCCAGGGTTTGAGCGTTGGACTGCCGGAGTGTGTTCTGAATAAATAAGTAACAAAGTATACCTTTACAGCTTTTAACATGATCCTAAGACACTAGACAATTGATTTACAAAATAAACTTACCTTCAAATAGTGACAAACGAGTAAAAACTCATGAAAATGACCAAATATTGAGCTAATGTCCATGTCTGTTATCACTAAGCAGATGTAAACAATCGCCCATTGACTACAGTCTTCCTTAAAAATAGGGTTTATCCCGTCGGTTCTTATTTATCTAATGAAGGTTTTAACCATTTAAACGTACGAGGAATCCATTTCTGCTTTCAATTTTGATCAAAAAATTAGCGATTGACTCGATATTTGCATTTGAAAAGCGGCTGCCATTTCCTTACGGGAAAATACATTGTAAGTGATGAAGAAACCAGGTCTGTCATATCATTTCACGTCACAAGTAGTCACAAGCATAGAATCCACCAATCACAAGTATGGCGGTTGAAAAGCGCCCGTTTTGAATGGGTCGGTTCCAAAAACAGCTTTTTTTTGAGTTCGAGAGGTCATTTCAAGGTTTTTTAGTAGCGCCATCGTTCTTTTCGTGAAATTTGCCATAAGAATCAGGCATCAATTTGCAAATCCCCGCACCTTGACCAGGCCCATTAGTTGAGTTCAGAGAGAAACCAAACACGTAATTTGGCCTGGAGCGACGCGCGGCGCAAAGAGAAATGATGACGAGGACTTGAGATGAAAAGGAGAAGCCCTCGACACGGCGGTCGGCATGTAACAAATATTAGCGCCTACGAGACTGCATGAATACTTCACGCACTGCGTCAAACACAGTACGGTCAACAGCGGTCGGCGCGGCGTGAAACGCACAGTGCCTACAAGACTACATGAATACTTCACGCATTGCGCCAAATACAGTGTGGTCAGCGCGGCACGGTGGCGGAAGTTAAAATCATTAAACCACATTTATGTTTGTCCTTTCTTAATTTTTTAGTTCATTTCTTACAAATGAAAGGCTTTGTCCCCACAGAGATAGGTTTACGGAACTGAACTTTCGCGCGAAGTTTCGTGAACTTTTACTAGTAGTGTTGACAAGGCTTACGCAAAAAATGTGTCCAACACGAGTGAACGCGTCTTATGCATCCTTCTCCCTCCGGCACGTTCACTTGATGGTTTTTATTGATGTTTCAAAATTAATGAGAAGAGGGCGGCAAAATACAGGCGGCCCATGGGCGGCGAGTAGGTAAATCCGGCCATGGACTTGATTTTAGACCTATCTTAACGGTTGAAAGCGATGGACCTTTAAGCAGTCCATTTTTAAGTCCATTCAAATCTCTCAACATTTTCCCTCATTTTTCCTCATTTTCTTTGCCACACCGCGATGAGAGAAAATACGATGGTATTATAGACCGCGTTTAGCAGAAAGGAACGTAGCCACATTGCATATAGCCAGTTAACTTGGTAATTTAATTTCTTACAATATAACATTTAAGCAGATTTATTTGACAAATTTAAGGAATTTGCTACGTCGTGCATGTGCAGAAAATTCACTGAGATTTGCACAAAAATCCACACAACCGTTTCCGAGTAAAAAATTAGATTGCCCAATTAAATTTGGCAATAACTGATGTGGCCTGGTTCCTTTCTGCTTAGCACGGTCCATATAATTCAACATATTCAATACGAATTTGCCTATTATTGCAATGCACTTAACCTGATTTCTTCTCGTGGTTCAATTATGCTTTAACGGTGAATCAAGTGACATGAAACTTTGTAATTTTTTGTGATCGTCCCCTAGATTATAAAGAAACGCTCACAAAATTGCAAGTAAGAAAGTTGCTTGGTCCTCATTTAAAGATATAACATAATGAGAAGAAATCAGGTAACGTCTAAGGTCAATCAATTCCGGCCAAAGCCGTGCAATTCTTCGTGAGGGTCCCACAGA